AGTAAATAGGAAGTGCTTTAGTATACCTCTCTTATACTATAAGCTAATTAAGAACCTTAGTATAGTAACTTTTAAGTAAATTAAGGAATATTAAGAGAAGGTTAAGTTAGTACTATATATAGCTATTATACTCCGGCTAGATATCGCCTTTATAGCCTCTTAACTATCGTACTTCTTAACTAACCTAAGCGCGCTATACTTAGTAGTAGTTAATTAGGCTATATAATATTTATTTAGCTTAAGATTCTTAGCTATTATTTAGAGTTAGGAAGATAGAGAGATATACCTTCTTATTACCTTAGACGCGTTATTTACTAATAACGCTGAATCGCGCTATTCCTCCTAAGGATTCCTTATTATACTATTTAGAGGAGCTATTATTTAGAAAGCCTTCTAATAAGATACTATTACTACCTTAATAACTAAGGCAGAGCTTCTTAGTATAGAATAAACAGCTAAGGAGGTAATAGCGCTTTAAAGGTTCTTTAAAGAGCTAAGGCTTAATATAGGAGCTCTATAGAATATATTCTATAATAATAAACAGACGATTTAGCTAATAGTTAAAGAGAACTAGCGTATCTCGATAAAGCTTCGGCACGTCGATATATAGAATATATAACTATAATAAGAGTATAAAAAAGGGAGTTTTCAGGTGATATATCTCCTAATAAATAATATACTAGCTGATAGCTTAACTAAAAACCTACTAAAGCAGAAGTTTAAAGTATTTATTACTCTTTTAAACCTTTAAGACTCTTAAGCTAATATTAAGAAGCTCGCTTAAGTTATATAGTTTATATAGATACTTTCTTTTATTATGTTTCCTTTACTTTATATTTATAGTTTTTAAATACTATTAGAGAGGAGAGAAGAAGTAGAATTATAAGACTTAATCCTAAGCTATTACTTTAGAGTTATAAAGCTATACTAAAATAACGCGAAGAGTAAGAGACCTAATCTTAAGCTACAACTTCTGAGTTATAAAGCTATACTAACACGTTAGCTTAAACTATAATAATAAAGAGGTAATATTCCTAAGCTACTACTTAAAGGTTATAAAGCTTATACTACTTACTAAGGAAGGAGGAGGAGGTTAATTAACTACTAAGTAGCGCCGGTTATAATATTAACCTCTACTAAAGTAGAGGCACGTAAAGCTAAACGCGCCGCGGAGGCGATAATAGTAGCTCTTATAAAGCCAGAGCCTATTCTTATAGTGTTAAAAATAGAGTAAGGGGAAGGAATAGTAGTTTCTCTACGGAAAGTAGAGGCAGAGGTAGGGGTAGTAGCTAATATTAATAGTTAGATAACGTCTAAAACCTATAAGACTACTATTATAACTTATAGATAGCGGTATAGATCTTATCCTTATCCTTATCCTTATTTTCCTTAGCTTCTAAGGCCTTTCGAATAGCGGCCCGGCGGACTATAAGAGCTTATATATATTATAGAGTTAGCCTCGCTTAATACTTCAATATTAATACCTTAATACTTCGTTGTTTTAATACTATAATATAAGGAAACACTTATATATATACTCTTTAGGAGGGCCTAGGCTACTAAGTAGCTAGCGAAAAGTTTAGTAGCGCGGGCAAGGGTAGTAATATAACTCGATTTATTATTTTTATAATAATAAAAATAGTATAAAGCTATCTCTTTATCATGACAAGGGTCGCTTAGCGTACCCTGTAAACTACTGCGAATATAGTAGTTATAAGGCACGGTATAGATAGCTTCTACTATAGCGGGGCAGTGAGCGGGAGTTAGTAGTAGTAGTAATAGTAGTAGTAGTAGTAGTAGTAGTAGTAGTAGTAGTAGTAGTAGTAGTAGTAGTAGGGAGGCGGCAGTGAGGGAGGTATAGTAGCTATAGGCCTATTTTATAAGGTATTAGTGTAGTTTTAATAATTCCTTATAACGCTAACTATATCGGAATCTTTAAATAAATAACTTATAGTTTTCTTCTTTATTACGCGAGTAGTAGTAAGGTTAAAGGCGCGTGAAGTATAGGAGGTATAGGAGCTTTTAGCTATATTTACTAATATTATATCGAAGTTATTATTTAAGGAAAGAGCGTTTAGAGGAACTTACTTACTTTATATACTTAAAGCTACTAGGCGCTTAAGACCTAACGCTATTAGTTAGTATTAACTCTTATTATAGTTTAGGTAGTATTATCTGTACTATTTATATCGCTTCGCTTACTATTATAAAGCTAAGTGAGAGGGTATATCATGTACTTAGCGCACCTGAGGCACTCCCTAAGGCGCTCTAATCAACTAGAGGCTGCTTATATAACTAAAACTCCTAGAGCTTCCCCTTATAGGGGAGCTCTAGAATACCTTAATAAATCAAGACTTTCATACTATATGAAGCTCCTCCCTATAGTACACGATATATATAGTTTAAATAAGAGTTTCTTATAGCGTCTTTAGTAAATAAGGGTAAGTTCTACTAGTACTTAAGGGGTATTATCTTAGTTATCTCCGGATAATCTACTATTATTAGAGTTATCGCTATCCCCTAAGTTAAGAGCTTATTATTAAGAGCTTAACAACTTAAGCTTCTTAGACTTAGAAATTAAGTTCTTAAGTATTTCTAGTATCTTATAGAAGCTTTTATCTTACTTCTCTTAATACTTAGCTAGTTTCTGAAGTTCCTTAGAGCTCTTTATAGCTCTAACTATTAGTATAAGAGTAGTATATTCTTCTTAGGAGTAGTCCTATTAGTCTTAAGGATTATTCTCTTTAGGAGATATAGTATTACTATAAGAGGTTAAGAGAATAATATTATTCTTCTCTCTACTATTATATTTATAAGAGGTAATATATAAAAGAGAAGAGGGTAAAGGCGGATTTCTTTCCCTTAGTATTAAGGAAGTAGTAAGTTTAACTATAGGAAGAACGCTATATTATATTCTATTACTTTTCTAGAAAAGATTAAAACTACTTATAAGGAAAGGTAAGTGTAAAAGTAAAAAATAAAAAGTAGTACTTAAGTTATAAATACAACTCGATTACACTTAGAAAGTACTTAAGGAAATAATAAGGTATAAGAGGTAAAGTAGAAAAAAGAGAGCTAAAGATATAACTCGATTACACTTAAAAAGTACTTAAGGAATTTAGTAAAAGTAGATATTAAGACTTTTATAAGTAAGGTTAGTCTTTTCTAATATAATAGTATAATAAAGGTTTATTAGTAGCTATAATATAAAGTAGAAAAGATAGTAAGAGAAAGAGGTTCTTAAGGAGCTTTAAGAATAAGTAAGGAAGATATAGCTGCTAGTGAACTAGGCTAGTCCTAGGTTCACTATATAACTCTAGCCTCGCAGCCTTACGACGTCAGCCTTACCTATGTGTAATAGCACGGTTTAGCGTTAGCTAGCACGTGAGCGAAATAACCACAGATCAGGTGATAACCTCTCTATTAGCGCGAATATCAAGCTGAGGAGCCCTTGATTCCGTGGAGGGCGCTTGAGCCTATATAAACAAATTCCCCGGGCTATTCCCGATTAGGACTAATTACATTTAACGTAAAACTTAACGTAAACTCCTGTAGTAGCGTAGAGCTATTTCCCTTTGCGTATAACTAAGTGGGTAACTATCAGTAAACCCCTTCAGAGTTAACCGAGCTCCACTGAGTCTTACCGAGCTTTGCCGAGCTCTAGACTCTTCCTAATCAGGTATAGTAAAGAAGTGGTTACTACTACCTTTACACTATGTAACTCGCCTATCGTAATTAGTCTATTATATTATTATTATTATAATATCTTTCTAAGCCTATCGGTTATTCTACATATATATCAGTATCAATATTAGCGTGTACAAAAGCGTTTTTTATATCGTATTATAATAATTTCCACTTATTAGATATTGCTATTATAAATATTAGCCTATAAGATTCAGGTCTACACGTAGCCGAGAAAGTCTCTAAATAGTCTAGACCTAATATTTGCTTAAAGCCTTTTACAACCTACCTAGACTTAATTTTAATTATATTATTATTTAAGTCTGTTTTTATTTTATATACCCACCTGCCTCTTAAATAAGTTTTATTAGATAGTAATTTAACTAAGTCCCACGTTTTTTGTAATTCTAGTTCTTCTAGCTCTAATTTCATAGATATAAGCTAATTATCTTTATAAGGACTATTTATAGCTTGTTTATATGTATTAGGTTCATTATTAATATTTACAGTTAGTGCTAAGTCTATAGTAGGGTTATATATATTATTAGAGTCGAATTCTGTTATTAATATTTGCTCTGTATTACATATAAAAGTAGGGTAGTTTCGAGCACGTGTAGTTATATAACTGTTATTATTTATTATACTTCTTGTTGTTATATTACTATTAATAATATTACTATTATTATTAGGATTATTATTATCGTTATTATCATTATTATTATCGTTATTATCGTTATTATCATTATCATTATCATTATTATTATTATTATTATTATTATTATTATTATTATTATTATTATTATTATTATTATTATTATTATTATTATTATTATTATTATTATTATTATTATTATTATTATTATTATTATTATTATTATTATTATTATTATTATTATTATTATTATTATTATTATTATTATTATTATTATTATTATTATTATTATTATTATTATTATTATTATTATTATTATTATTATTATTATTATTATTATTATTATTATTATTATTATTATTATTATTATTATTATTATTATTATTATTATTATTATTATTATTATTATTATTATTATTATTATTATTATTATTATTATTATTATTATTATTATTATTATTATTATTATTATTATTATTATTAGTATTGAGATGTTGGTGATTCTATCCCCGTTTCTGGGGTAGTGTGGTCGCTGTTTTACTTACCCTTTCCACCTCGCTTGGGCGCTCGAGCATCGAGCTACGAGCTCTAGCGCATTAGCCCACACGCCGCCTTAAGCACCTTCCAACCCGACATTTTACCCTCGCCTATTCCAAGTCAATAACCATGACCATCAGTACAGTGAGGGTTGACCACGACAGAGGGTTACCACATGAAGGGCCCTAACACCCTTTTGAGGATGCATTTAAATTATCGGTCTCGCCGTCCTTTTTCTCCTATTACCCTCTTACTCATTGCCTCTTTACCATCGATCTCTTCGTCCTCCATTCCAGTTCCCATACCTTTATACATTTCTAAACTACCAATCGAGGATTTATGAACTTGCAGGATCGACGTATCGCCAGACTGGTTGCACACCGTAACAGGTGCCTCCAATTCCTTAAACACCACTACCCCACACTCAAAGCTGCCAAGGAGACGAAGTGGTACAGGGAGTATAGGGCAGCACACTTTAGGATCAACTCCTTCCAACGTTGTGAACAATCGTCTTCCAAGGACGATATCGTCCTTGACCATCTGAGAAGTCTGACGTTGCAATAATCAACAATCCTCGTTGTATCCTTGGTATTACCACCAAGTGACAGCATGTCTCTTCCACCACAAAAGCTGCCTCGACGTCACGCCCAGCGTAGGACTCTTTACCATGGCCGTCATAAATCCCCTCCGTTGGATTTATCTAGTGCTGAGAATCCTCAAGCAATCAAACTGCAGGCCAAGAAAAGGCAGAAGGTGCCTATTTCTGATGCTAACCACTCCAGCGCCGGCTCTGATACTGACTCCGATTCCGACTCTGAGTCTGACTCTGGCTACAGCTCCAATCGTTGCCTCGATTCAGAAGCCGAGCATTATCGGAAGATCAGGGCCGAGTTCGTAGTCGCCGGCCCAAATCTAGCAAACCCCTGCGACGACACAAAGGCGATGATGAAAAGAGAAGAGCAGATGTGGAAACTGTAGGTAGCTATTGTCGTTTAACATTATATACTTGCTAATAGCGGCATTTTAGGCATTGCAAGAAAATAAGGAAGGGAGATCCGGTGGCTGCTCTCAAAGGTGCAACCGCGGAAGACTTCAAGACGTTTCTTGTCTGGCGGAAGAAAAGGAAGAATTCGCGTATCAAGAGGCAGGGAACCATGTCCACGTACTGGCACGTACTCAGCATGAACTACCAGCGCACAGCAAAGCGCTACATGGATGAGGGGATTCTGCTAGACCTCCGGAATGTTTGTTACTAGTCTTGCTAAGGATAATTTCCTATGCTGATAAGTTTATAGTGGATTCCTACACTCGGTCTCGATGATTCGGAAAAAGAAAAGTCTGCCCTGTACGTAGAGGACTTATGTGTTCTTCAAAACGGTCTTTGGGTTCGTGATCAAGAGAAATATCCTCATGAACGACTCCGAGTGCAGGAGTCTCCGATTAACATTTTCGCTGGCTGTACGTCTACTAGGCCGGCCGCTTTGGTCGGGAAGATACCACTCTTGTACGAAGATATTGAGTTTCATGTCTTCCCTCCCCTGATGAAAGGACGGCGGCCTGCTGTACGGCTCATTCTTAACCTTCAACACATCAAGCGGTCAGGTGGAAAGAAGAAACCGTAAGTGCATATCACTTTTCCTTCTGATGCTTGCTTGAATAGTCTGATCTTATATAGGAAAAAGTTCACGTTCCGCGACGATGAAAGTATAATTTGCTGCCCAGTCATATTCATTGTGGCTTTGGCTATCGCAGACAATGCATTCAAGAATAAATTCACATCACTACGACAGATCTACGATCTTGTTGTTCCGAAAGGAACAGATCGTATCCGGTTGAAATGGGACGACGACTGGGCAAAACGACCTATTTTCCGTGACGTCGAGCATACGCCAACCAAAGTCGAAATATCGAAGACGAAGTCATTTCCATACGCAAAGCACCGATACTACTTCGTCCGTCTTGGCCGCACCTGTTGTTTCAGGAAACGGCTCCAATGGTATGACTTGCGAAGAGGATCCGGGAAAGGGTTGAATGGTGAGAACGATCTTCTGCAGGAAATCTGTCGATACAAATATACTAAATGCGAACGATATAGAAGCATTGACTCCCGAGGAGAGAAGACACGCCATGGGAAACAGTGGGGACGTGTATGAACGACATTACATGCCCTCGTTTATTGATGCCGACTGTCAAGCCATTTACCTTGGAACCACGCGCCGCGAGGATCTAATTCGAGCTGTTGGCCGCCTCGAACGTCATGATGATGCCCCGGATAAGCTGAGTGACACACAAAAAAAGGAAATTTTGAACAATTCATATATCTTGAAGAAGGTGGAAGCCCGAAAGAGCTACGCACTTAAGATAAAGGAAGACGGCTACTCTACAATCAAGGCGGCCAAGGGTACGTATTGGTACAAGAAACATCACAAAGCTCAACGCAAGATCAATTGCAAGAAAAACAGATTAAGGAATGAGTTACTCGACAATGCAATCAACAAGTTCCACGAAACCGTTCACGTAGATGAAGTAGATCGCCAGATGCGAGGCATTCTTCCCGATACAGAAGTACTCACGCCGTCGACTATCGAGTATGAGCTCGAAGAGCGGGCCATGGTGGCCAAGCTACTCTTTCAACCGCTTGATGGACTTCATGAGGATCAAGTTTTCGACATAAAAGTCCAACTTGTCCATAATCTGGCGCAGCTCTGCCATCGCCAAGAAACCCCTCGCCAATTCAAAACAGTGCAGTCACAGCGGCATTCTCCAAGAAAAGATTCGTATACTAGTACAGGTACAGACGATGATGACAAGATTTTCCAGGAGGAAGGAGGTGGCACAGTTCAGGGGATGCAGGCGGTGAATAACAGGCTATGTACAGAGTCCACATTGTATTGCCCATTTTGTGAACGGGGTCCATTTTCCCGCAAAGATGGTCTGGGGAGGCACGTTCGAGTTCAGCATCTTCAGAGACGGTTGGCCAACGGTGGCTTCTTGTGTCCTTACAAAGGATGCTCGGATGTCATGGGCAATTCTGTACACTTCCTAAGCCACACAGCACGTAAGCATGAGATATTGCTCTGATTGTGCATCATTTGCATCATCTCGCATATAGGATTATTTTACGCAACATAGAGGGAAGGTAACTTCCATCCCTGCGTGCCGGAAAACCCTCCGTGCCGGAAAATTGAACCGGTACATTGACTTTAAGAATTATTATATCTATGCAGAACGCAATACTTCTGATTATGTTTAGTAAATTCTATTCGGTGGCCATTCTCAAACATCTTAACGTTAATCCCTACGTCGCGGAAAACCCTACGTGCCGGAAAATTTAACCGGTATATTAACTTCAAGTATTATAAAAATACAAGTATACCGCAATATCTCTTATTATTTTTCGTAAATTATATTCCGTGGCCATTCCCGCATACCTTAAATACCTCTAACTGGAAAAATCATATCCGCGTCGTCGCCCCACGCCTGATTTATAAGGAGTCTCCTTTTATAGCGTAATAGACTCTCTCTACTACAGCTGCACTACTAAGCTTATATTATCCCTAAAACGTATAGAAAGGTCTTTACCGAGTTCCTAAGCCTCCGTAATATACAGGAGATCGTTAATAGCCTTATAGCAGCTATAGCGTATAGATTTATTCAGGATTATTACACGAGTCAGTACCTCGGATTAAAGCGAGTAGAGATATTAATAGGGTATAATACCCACACGTGCTATATCTACGCCTAAGCACACGTATATAATCACTAAACTAAGCAAGGTAGAGCTATTTTCTAACGAAGTTACTACCTAACATTCGAGGCCAGAGGCTCGAACCACAGGTCGAAGGTAAATGCAGGATCCTAGGTTTCTATTTCTATTATCTACTCTCTAATTACCTTAGCTCCCTTTTTAGCGAGAAGATCAAATTAATCGAAAGCAGTTTCTAATATCCTATCCCTATAGCGTTCAGAATTCGAGGTTACACGACTAGCCGGTCTTACGTGCTTCCAGTGATATATAATAATAGTATTACTATAAGGCTGCCCCTTAGCTAAGTCCGTACGAAGTTTTCTCTAACTTCACTACATATCTATATTAATTCGATAGCTTAATAACTATCCGAAACCCTACCCTATTACAATCCTCGAACCTAGCTAAAGAATGCGTCTACTATAGTATAATAGCGATAGTAATTTCAGCCTAACTAAGTTCTTCGATAACACTATACCTAAGTACATAATCCTTTCATATAAGTAAGGAACAGAGGAAGCGATATTTAAAGATCTAGAGAAAGGAATCGGCAGGAAAAAGGCTAGCTATAAGAAGATCCGGTTCTACGAAGAATAGGCTAAAGGTAATAGCTTGAAATACTTTTAAGTAGACATATATTATATCAATAAATCAAGTAGCGCCGAGCTTATAGAAGCCCTCAACTCGATATTTCACTAGTACCAGGATACAGCTAAATACTACGTCTATTTATTAGATATTTCAGTAGTAAAGCAGAAAGCAAGTAATATATCTACCGAGTGTACTTAGGAATCTGCTTTCCGAGATAGCAAATAGTTTATACGAGGCTAGACCCTTTAAGAGCTCCTTATACCACGCGCAGTTAAATTCTTCTCTTAATAAAGTAAGCGACTAGGAGATAAGGAAATACTAGGGCGTCAGATCTAGGAAGTAATAGGTATTCTAATCTTAGTACTTAAGGGAGCCCCTCTATTATAGTTCAGTATCAAGGAACAATTGTTATAAGTAGAAAATCGCTAGATAACACGCCCTAAAGATAAGGCGTACTTACTATTAGGTATATTTAGTATTTATTTACTACCTATCTATAGCGAAGGGAAAGAGCACGCGTTTAGATAGCTTAAAAAGGAGATCTAGAACTTATTAACAGGTAAATATATAATAAACTACTTTATCTTTAGCTATCTACTAATAACTCTTTATAAGAAACTAAGTAAAACCCACCCGACCCTCAGAGTCAAAGCTATATATAAGACCTACAGATAATAGATCCCCGCGAGAATAAGAAGCGGATTAAGGATATAAAAAGCGGGCTATTATAAGACTCTTACTAATAGATCCTCGAATATCCCGATTTTCAATAATAGCGCGACAATAAATAGAGCCAGCTGCTCTAGATTAAAGGTAACCCTAGTAAAAGTAAGACTATACTTATTTATAGTATTATTAATAAATTAAGTCTTTTAATAACACTAAGAGACGAGGAGGCAACCATATTATTATCGTACTTCTTCTACTAGGCCACCGATTCGCGTATTAATAATACAGCGGCCGTGCTCTATAGCCTTATCTACTTACTTATCGACTAGTAACTATTACTTATCTCGTATATATAGAAAAAGTACAATAACACTAGTAAGGTCCTCTTTAAAGATATAAACGCATAAGTTATATTATCTGAAATTTTCATAAGTATTTTACAGGACCTAAGCTTAAAGAGTATCTACTTAATTATCGATACGCTTAATAAATACGAAATAAATCTTTACTAGCTTTTAGATCTTATTAATTGAACTACCTCTATCTCCCTGCGCGTAAAATAGATTATATTAAGTCGTAACTAACCTGATATTAAGTCGCGGCTAAGACTTAACGCTATATAAATAAGGCTCAGCCTTAAGCTTAATAAAGAGCGTGTTTCTTATGCCGTCGAGCTATTTGTCAATTTAAAAGTTTCCTAGCTTCCACTTATTACAGATAATAGCACGCTATAAGAGATAGTTCAAGGTTAGATATACACTAAGGCTAGTGGGATATTTCTCTAGGCAGCTCTTATACTAAAGGAGCTTAAGTCTATAAAGAGCTAGGACGTACTTGATATACTAAAGAATATACCGCTAGATTTAGAACCGCTCTACGATCGGATATTACGTTAAGTTAAATAGCTGTAGCGTAAAGATCCTAAGTTCTACTATCTTATCCTTTCCACTATAACTCTTATATACCGCCTACTCCACCTGCTCGAGGTAAGAGCCCTCTCTGATCTGCCTAAGAAAATCTCTACTAATTTCGATAATATTATGAAAGTTATTAATAAATATAGCTCTTTCCTTACTATATAAGCGAACCGCACTTACTTCATTTATTAATCAGCAAAGGACTTTTTACTTGAAAAAGTATTACACAGAGTATTTCCCTCTAGTAAAGCCAAGGTAAATTATACGATATTCTTGAGATCGCGCGAGGTTATATCTAGAACACTTCGATACGACATATATAGATTATTCGCCCCTGGATTCCTAATTAAGGAAGTCGAACGTCCTATCCTAGATCTACTCGCCGTAGTATAATACTCCTGTCTCTATTAGATTAACTATCTACTTAACTGCGACAAAGGATACACTACCGATAAGCTCAAAAATAATAGCTTAGTCTATTAGTTTTTAAAAGCGAGTTATATTCACTAGCTAAAGGCGCTTAGCTTACTAAGAAGCCTGCCAGATAACATCGTAATGATTGTAAAGCTTGAGAATTGGCTTAAAGTAAGTGATAATACGACTTTCAGAACATCACTATTAAATACCTTAATATAATAAGCTAACGAATGTCATAACTTACACGCGTTTATACATAATACGAGACAGTTTATTATATACAACTGATTAGTTATTAAACAAGCGCTCCTTCAATTGTATTATTTAGTACTAGTCTTTAGCCTAGAGAAAAGTCTTATTCAAGTAGTATTTAAGAAATATATCCCGGATTAGATTTTACAGAAACTAAAAGTGCAAGTTTACTAGAATACGCTACTCCAGACGCTTAAGGGCTACTTAGAGTTAGTTAATTCTATAGCTTTCTCACCTAGCGGCAAGTAGGTCATATCTAGGTCCGGAGATAAGATAATACAGCTCTAGGACGCTACGATAAGAGCGCTGCTACTAACGCTTAAAGGCTACTTAGGCTTAGTTAATTTAGTAGCTTTCTTACCTAATAGTAAGTAGGTCGTATCTAGGTCCGAGGATAAGATAGTATAGCTCTAGGACGCCGCGATAGGAGCGCTGCTACAGACGCTTAAGAGCCACTCGAAGTAGGTCTATTCCGTAGCTTTCTCACCTAGCAGTAAGTAAGTTATATCTAAGTCCGGAGATAAGATAATACAGCTCTAGGACACTACGATAAGAGCGCTACTATAGACGCTTAAGGGCTACTCGGAGTTAGTTAATTTAGTAGCTTTCTCACCTAGCAGTAAGTAGGTTATATCTAGGTCTAATAATAAGATAATATATCTCTAGGATACCGTGATAAGCGCGCCGCTATAAACGCTTAAGTGCTACTCGTGCTTAGTTAGTTCTATAGCCTTCTTACCTAATAGTAAGTAGGTTATATCTAGGTCCAGGGATAAGATAGTACAGCTCTAGGACGCTATGATAAGAGCACTACTACAGACGCTTAAGGGCTACTCGGAGTAGGTCTATTCTATAGCCTTCTCACCTGATAGTAAGCAGGTTATATCTAGGTCCAGAGATAATATAATACAGCTCTAGGACACCGGGATAGAAGCGCCGCTATAGATACTCGAGAGCTACTCGAGCTCAGTTAGTTCTATAGCCTTCTCACCTGATAGTAAGTAAGTTATATCTAGGTCTAAGGATAAGATAGTATAGCTCTAGGACGCCGCGACAGGAGCGCTGCTATAGATACTTAAAGGCTACTTGAAGTAGGTTAATTCTATTACCTTCTTACCTAGTAGTAAGCAGGTTATATCTAAGTCTAATAATAAGATAATACAGCTCTAGGATACCGCGATAGGCGCGCTGCTGCAGATACTTAAGGGCTACTCGCGCTTAGTTAGTTCTATAGCCTTCTAACCTAATAGTAAGTAGGTCGTATCTAGGTCCAGGGATATAATAGTATAGCTCTAAGACGCCGCGATAAGAGCACCGCTATAAACACTTAAGGGCTACTCGCGCTAAGTTTATTCTATAGCTTTCTTACTTAATAGTAAGTAGGTTATATCTAGGTCCGGAGATAATATAATATAGCTCTAGGATACCGGGATAAGAGCGCCGCTATAGACGCTTAAGGGCTACTCGGAGTAAGTTAAATCTATAGCCTTCTCACCTAATAGTAAGTAGGTCGTATCTAGGTCCGGGGATAAGATAGTGCGACTCTAGGACGCCGCGATAAGAGCGCTACTATAGATACTTAAGAGTTACTCACGCTTAGTTAGTTCTATAGCCTTCTTACCTAATAGTAAGCAGGTCGTGTCTTAGTCTAACGATAAGATAATACAGCTCTAGGATACCGCGATAAGAGCGCTGCTGTAGACGCTTAAGGGCTACTCGGAGTTAGTTTATTCTATAGCTTTCTCACCCGATAGCATACTATTACTAACTTTATATATATTAAATCATTGGATAGTAGATAGTACTGCGAATATTCTCTAGCTACCTTCTGAATACCGACCTATATATAAAGCTATTTAGGATAAAACCCTCGTTCTAGGATATTCGTTAGGGAATCTTTTATTTCTCTAGTTTAAATAAAGGCTAAAGCTTATAATAATAAATTAGTATATATTTTTTAATATTATATATTAATCTTAGTATAATATCTCTTTTTCTTTCCATCTCTATTTCATAGAGGGTTTAGGGGGATTAGGTTACTATATAGTAATCAATAATTGCTACTCGACTTCCAGAATCTTCTAGAATTAAGTTACTACGGTTTAGGCCGCTGAATTCGGCAGGTTTAGTCGCTGTTTTACGCAGCCTCGACCGCTCGCTAATCTCTGCCCGCCGCAGCGCACGTGCCTCGGTTCGTTATGAAGCGATGAACAACGCCCCTCCTCTCCCAACATTGCCGGGTGTCACCTTCATTCATCCTGATGATCCAAGTCGTCAATTCAGGAGCCAGAAATGGCATCCTCCTCATCAGTCATAGCAGGCCTCGTCTGCCTCGGTCTTGAGGCCGCTCCCGGCTACATAAGCCACGCAGTTTCCGCCCACCTTCGACCTCCACCAACTATCGTTTCTCCTTTGCACACTCCTTTCTATCCTGTTCTCTTTTCACCTTCTCTCGAACTCTCGACGGCTCCTTTGACCGTGGCAGAGATTCTCTCTTTCACGAAGACTCCAATCTACTTCTCCTCGCTCTCCACATCTGTACCACCACTTTACAACTCGGTTCTACACTCACTTTTCCTTCGCCCATCGTCTCAGCGTTCTTGCTCTCGAATGCCTCAAACCTTGAACACTCCACAGTTCCAGTATTTGCCCCCTACCGTCGACATTGACTACGATCTCCTCCCCTACGAAGCACCCTCGAAGTCCACTCTCCCTTCGCCGCCATCCATACCTCCTCCACCCTTCTGCATCTCGAGTGTTCATACGACTCATTACACAACTGTCGACACATAAACTTGACCATCGTATCGTCAGGCTATGTCGACGCCAAAGCATTTTCTCGATTGATCCCAGTCCCTCCTCGAAAACTCGTCTCTCCTCGAAATCTCCTCGCTCCTTGTCTCATCTTAGCGTCGGATACCCTCGCTACCCTTGGGGCTTTTCGGGCCTGTAGAGGATCATGGCACCCACTATCCAAGTGCCAGTGGAGCACACCTTCAACATCCTCGAAAATGTTCTCAAAAAACGCACCCATATCACACAAGTATTGAAGGAGAGAGAGGAGCAGATGCCCAGCGGGGAAGATTATGATCAGATGGAGGCCAATTTGGATAACGAACCGTTCCTACAGCCGTTGGACGCCGACGATACCAAGGCTAGTATCTACTACGCCAGACTGAAATGGATGAAGTAAGCTCCCCAGATTTATCATGCCTAGTTGACCAATCACGCTAACTAAGATAGGTACTGCGAACATCGTCATTTGGGGTATTGGCGTACCGCCATTCGCAAGAAGAATTGCGGCAAAGGGAAGATGATGTTGTTCCTTCACTGGATCTGTAAGACCTCCTTGGCGAGGAGGCGGACGCCGGGGAGTAAAAGGTCACTCCATACTTACTGGCGGGATTTCAAGATGCTCTACCGCCGAGTGAATGGTGAATACGTGGATGCGAACGATAGACACGAGGTCGTCAAGTTAAAGCAAGCAACCTCTCACGCCGTGCTTATGTGTGATGCTAATCCATGATTCAAGTACATCGACGGCACGCTCAAGATTCAGTTTAAGCTGCGCACTACGTCTAAATCTAAGCCTGTGGCCGGACCGGACGATCTTCTTCTCTTCCTTGTCCACCACTGGGCCAGTGATGAGTCCGTTTTTCCTACCGAGGACGACCGCCACGATGTTGCCACTGTAATGCTGTTCCAAGCCTATACAGGCGGTCGACCAGCGGAATTCGTTCACGCATCAAAGGGCAAAGCAAGTGAAGACCCTCTCGGCGAGAGGATAGAGGCCAATAAGAACGCCCAACCCCACAAGCCGACGCATGGTAATCACGACGAGGAGAGTGATGCTGACATTGATGGCAATGACAGCAATGCTGACGATGGCCTTGGATCCGATGACGAGATGATATTCGACTCTGAGGATGATAGAAGCGATGACGGCACCGCCGATAAAGACATGGACAAGTACGGCTCGGATAGCGGCTACAACAGTGACAGGACAGATGTCACCATGACAGAGGATACGAACAAGTCCTACACGGCCGAGATCGACGAGTGTGGACAGCCTCTACGCCAGAACTTGGACGCCGCCAAGCCTAGCGAGTTCGAGGAGGTCAAGCGGGAGTACAAGGCGCTCTGTTATGAGGACATTTGTCTCTGGATTGTACAGAACCCGAAGCGGGGGGAGAGAGATCTGCTGGCCATGGAGGTCCACTTCCGGCATCACAAAGGGGTGGATAACAAGCCTAAGCCGTATGTTGCGCTTCCGAGATACCTCGAATCCTGGCTAACTCAACCCTCATAGCACGACCTTCCTCTTCAGGGAGAATTCCCTCCCTATCCTTTGCCCAATCTCCCACATCTTGACCCGTGCGATCCGCGACAACGCGATCCTCGTCGATGGCTACACTTCAGCTGAGCCTTTCTTCGACACGGACCTGGGGGGTCAGAACGTGAAGGCAATGAAGGTCCATTGGAAGCCGGAATGGCTCAAGCGACCCCTCTTTCGGCTGTCAGTCTGGACCACGGACGGCTGGGTGAAGTCGACGACCAAACCAATGACCTACTCGAAGTATGCCTTCTATCTGAACCGTATTGGGCAAGACGCGGGCTTGGAAGACAGGCTGACGAGCTACTGTTTCCGCCGAGGCCTTGTCAATGCCATCGATGGCATGTATCCCGTGTTACATTGTCAACTTCTCAAGGCTAACATCTGGATTAAGGTAAGGCCCCCGATGCTGTACGGGATCAAGTCATGAGACATAATCCCTTCACGGGGGTTTTCAACGAGGCATACAACAATCAAGCTGTGAGATTCAATGTGCAAGACGCCTATCTTGAGAGCGATGTCACCGATGATGGGTTGACCCGGGCCTTCACCCACATGAGCATTCGATGCAACCCTGGCGCTCCAAAGGAAGTTCCCCGAGAAGTGATGGATCGACTTCTCGCCGCTGATCCAGGGATTGCCATCCTTCAGCGACAATTCAAAGGGTCCCATACCAGTATCAAGTGGGACTACACTTTCATCAATCGAGCTCCCAAGGAGATCAGGGAGGCCCACAAGAAACTCGGCCAGCAGCTTAAGGCTGCGACAAAGAGCCTAGAAGATGAGCTCCAGGCCGAACATAGGAAGGATTACTTCTTCTATATCCACAATGAAATGATGAGGAGGCAGTTGAATAGGCCGCTGAACGAGACGGTGGAGGAGGCTGCCCAGCCTGTCATCGAACATCAGCTCGAAGAACGGACACAACTGCAGCTAGTCCTTTGCGATCTCTCCAAAGACCTTAGTCCTCAAGCCATCGTTGCTCGAAAGGTCTCTGCGATAAACCTCCAGATCGCGCTCGCGTCGCGAAAAGAACTCATGACCCGCCAGCGACGATCCGCTCCAACCAAGAATCCTCTTGAGGAAGAATCTCCTATCCGCGCCCCGGCTCCTACTCCCGCTCTCGATCCCTTCCCGCCAGCTAGTAAGTTTCCACTCGTCTGCGACAAGACTCAGTGCATATTTTGTATTGGCAACGAGTCGCTCTCGTATGGCCAACGAACGCGTAAGTTTCGCCGGCCTTCGCATATGTGGGACCATGTCGAGAATATTCACTTGCGCGGCGTGTCAGCAGAGCAACGAACTATGTGTCACCACCCTATCTGCAAGGCGGAGGGATTAATGTTTGACGGCGTGATGCTCTTCAAGAATCATGTGGCGACAGTCCACAAGGTCTGCCTCCGACCTAACGTGTCTACTCGTTAAACATTTCTTATTGCGACTTTACTTTTTCGTTGAAATATTACTGGGAACTGTAAAAATTCCAGAGGCAATCTTTTAACATTATCTACATTCGTAACATTCATATCATCCTCTAGGACGTTGGCAGCGGCATTCCCATGCAACATTTGCAGGGATATGATAAAGTATTATTGGCAGATCGAGACGCCTACCAGCCAACATTGCCTCTTGTACTCTCACACTCGATTTCTTCGATGAAGTGATGTCTGCTAAAGGATAGCAGCAATTTTTATCAATAAAAGATGGAATTAAGTGAAGAGATGATCTTGTACACCCAGGATCTTGTAATTATCGGTTCAAAAAGATCAGAATCAAACTCCAAAATGAACATAAGGAACCCATAGTCCCGCCTCTTCCTCTTTATCGTCATCGTCGCATGAAACGATATCTCTCGGTAGTCTATCATCCCTTTGATCTCCATCATTTGTAGTACGGGTTTCCACCCCCAAGCTTGCATCTTCCTCTCTAGCTAACTTGCTTCCACGTTCAGCCTTCACTGCCGTCCTTCGCCAACGGTCGCGAAGTTCCCTAGCCGCATTATGGAGTCCCCAGGCTACCGATTCATCTGTCATGCCTTTATCTCTTATTCCCTCATATGTAATCCTTGCCATGTCCACACATATTTCATCCTTTACCTCCCACAGCGTACCAATAACGTGACGATACCCCGCCAGCTGGCACGCACTGATTAGATGGATGTTCTCGTCTACAAACTTCTCGCCCTTGATTCGACCTGTCCCGCACGCTGAGAGGTAGGCCAGAAAAGGCGAGCGTTCCCGGAGGTTCAAATCTAGAAGATCAGCGACTGTTAACGGGTCGCTCTTCCCATCCTCTAGAAGCAAATAGCTTTTGGCAGGATCATTTGCGTCTGTATAGCCATGGCCAGCGAAATGGAAAATGTCGCAATGCGGCAAGTGTGACATGACATCTTGCTTGCGTCGACCGGACTTGATAGGGTCAAGTGTCATTGATTGGCACAGCTCGTGTAGCATCTCCACTTCTCCTGTTGCGAAAGGTAGCCTGGAACTTCCTGGCGCAGACTCTATAGCAATAAGAAGTGCCCGGGCTGGGGCCGATGGTGTGCCTTCTAAGCTATGCCGTTGGCGGCGGCCGTGTATAATCGCTTTAATAGAAGAGCTGTATGATGATATGACCCGATCGAGTACTGTTTCGGTAGAGCCGTCGGTGAAATGCCCCGCTGCATGGAGTGGAAATTTGCTCAGTTGTCCGGTGGGAATCCACCATATACGAGGCCAGCAACCTTCGGGAGGTTGTTTCGTGAATCCCAGTGTATTGAGAATCGGCTGCGCTATAGTCTCCCAAAGCCATTCAAGGATCTCTGGAGCCCACAACTCCTCTATCATACGAAGTCGAATATCGCCAGAGGAAAGGTGAGGCAACTTTAAAGACCGAATTTGATGGCTCTCAACAAGCAAAGCATCGCAGCGGTATTCGCTAACATTGATAACAACGATTGGCCCATACTCTGCAGCGCTCTTCAGCTCGTCTTCTGATGGAGCAAGGAGAAATCGATCGAATCCAGGCAATGCCCGAATTCTCTGAATCTCCTCCTCTAACCTCTGCCCAGCAGTGTAGCGTTGGTCGACTTGACGTTGTGTGAAAGTTTTCGGGGTATCGAGTTGATTTCGAAGGTTAATGTATTCCTCTGCAAGACTGGGATGTTTTTGCTGAAGCTCGGATATCTCAGCACGTATCTCGTTAAGAGATCCTGCAATCACTTCGCGACCAAGCTCCAAAAGTTGTATTGCATGAACGGGACTTTGCGCCGCATTTAATGCTATTGCTACTGCATCAGACGCCAGCCCAGAAGTCGTTACGAGTAAACGTTGCTTATCGGAATTTTCGAGAGAGCGGGGTGCAAGTAAAGGTATCAGAGGAATAGTTTTTGAAGCAGTCTCAAAGGCATCTACCCACTTTTTTGCTTGAGCATGTATTGTAAGCAAGGCTCTACCAGCTCGTAAACGATCTTTAGCAAGGGAAGTAGCATTTTCAAGGGCTTCTTAATATCTTTAAATAGCAATATCGAGGTCGGCCATTGCTCCTATAGCCTAGTATTTATTATTATATCCTACTCCAAGACCCTTAAGTCGAAGAGCCCGATCAGGATAATCTATCGGAGTGCGATCTAGGGCCTCTTGAAATCGTTAAATAGCAGTATCGAGGTTATCTATTACTCCTGTAGCAAGGTATCTGTCACGATATCTAGCTCTAAGACTATAAAGTCAACGAGCCCGATTAGGATAATCTGTTGGAGTACGATCTAAGGCCTCTTGATATCTTTAAATAGCAATATTAAGGTCGGCTATTACTTTTGTAGCCTGGTATTTATTACTATATCCCGCTGCAAGACCTTCAAGTCGACGAGCCTAATTAGGATAATCTATCAGAGTGCGATCAAAGGCCTCTTAAAATCATTAAATAGTAATATCAAGGTCGGCCATTGCTCCTATAGCCTAGTATCTATTACTATATCCCGCTCCAAGACAGTAAAGTCGACGAGCCCGATCAGGATAATCTGTCGGAGTATAATTAAGAGCCTCCTGAACTCGTTAAATAGCAGTGTCAAGGTCGGCTATTACTCCTGTGGCAAGGTATCTGTCACGATATCCTACTCCAAGACCCTCAAGTCGATAAGCCTGATCAGAATGATCTGTCAGAGTGCGATCTAAAGTCTCTTGAAATCGTTTAATAGCAGAATCAAGGTCGGCCATTACTCCTATAGCAAGGTATCTGTCACTATATCCCGCTCTAAGATAGTAAAGTCGACGAGCCCGATTAGAATAATCTATCAGAGTACGATCAAGGGCCTCTTGAAGTCATTAAATAGCAGTGTCAAGGTCAGCTATTGCTCTTGTAGCAAGGTATCTGTCACGATATCCTACTCCAAGACCCTTAAGTCGACGAGCCCGACTAGGATGATCTATCAGAGTGCGATCTAAGGCCGCTTAAAATCGTTAAATAGCAATATCGAGGTCAGCCATTGCTCCTGTGGCCTAGTATCTGTTACTATATCCTACTCCAAGATCTTGAAGTCGACGAGCCCGATCAGGATAATCTATCGGAGTACGATTAAGGGCCTCTTGAAGTCGTTAAATAGCAGTGTCGAGGTCAGCCATTGCTCCTGTGGCAAGGTATCTGTTATAGTATCCAGCTCGAAAGTCTTGAGATGGACGAGCCTGAGGAGTATGCGATGGTATTGGTATTGTCGCGGCCTTCTTGGAATTGCTGGATCTTACTTCGGGAAAGCTATTTACGTGCTATCTTTGAACATCCCGTGTAGTTTTTAATCTTAAAGCGATATGTGTGGAGCTGGGCGTGAATTCATGGGTATGAAACAAGGTCACAAGGCTGTGCACAAAGTGAGGCTGTGTACAAAATACTGTAGGAAAAGCAAAGCCTCTTAATCCTTGTCACAAATTTTAGCCTCACCCAAACCTCTTCGGAGTCACAACTGCTTCTGGTACGCATCAAGCCGTGATATTCTCGACTCTATCTCGCTTCCATATAAAGGAGCAGAGCACATGTTGGTTTCGCGATTGGCCTCAAGCTAGTTTGGTGGTCTGTGCACAGGTACCCTAATTAGACGTGGCGTTATCCATACTCGTGGCTGAGCCTCGTCCCTTTTCAACCTTGCGCACTCGTGCCAGAGACGAATACAATCAGAACAGTAGCATATCTAGATTATGAATTAGCCAGGTGTTGACTTTCAAGTTTTGTTTTAAATGAAACAGCAACGTACGTTGCCCCTGCGATAATCAACTCTATCGTCCTTGCCCTCGTTAAGCCAGAGAGTACAAGAAGGTAAGATATCGTGGAAATCATGACAATGGTGATCCGAATGGAGATCGTATCGACAAAATTGCATATGATAACTGGCATCAATAGTAAAAGCGTTATCAAAAACAATAGGACCGCTTTAGCAGTTCGTTGGATCCGCCGGCCGGAATAAATATATACGTTCGGATCGTTCGAGATATTGTGTAGATGATTCTGAACTAATCGTTAGCCCGCTAGTATAATTAAGCGTTTCATCTTGCCTTTCGGAAATCTCGCCATAGCCGAATGAACTTGGTTTCTACCCAAGCTTCAAGCTCTACAATCGCGCTGTCGCCTGCGGGAGCTAGGGACACCAGCTCACGATGATGGGTAAGGTATTTTCTCTCCTCTCGGGCCAAACAACCGGTGCCGTCCAACCAATGCTGCAAGCTTTCAACGTCTCTCTCCTGAGCAGGGCCGAAATTCAGCATTTTATACGTGCTCTCGGCAAACTGGTCTGTACTCTGTAAGTAGTGAAAATGGATCTCTGGCTTCTAATTTTACCATAATCCGCGAGGCAGGACTCAATCTCTGACAGGAGAGATAATCGATCTGGATTCTTATCACATCGTCTTTTTCCGAGAAAAAGGGGAGAAAACTCTTCATGATCTACCCGTTCAAGCCTCTCCTCGAGCACAGACAGCCGGTCCTGCTTTAAGAGGAGGAGCCGAGCTCGAAGCTTGCTGAAGCGCCGGCACAAAAAGTAGGGCTCATATTCCGATAGCAGAGCAGTAAAACGTGGATAGCCGGGTCTGTAATCCTCAACTTACAATGTCAATAAGCGTGTCGGTTTGTCTAAGCGGGAATAATACCTTTTCCGGTTCGGACTTCGTTCACAACGCTTGGTTCGGAGTGCTCCCAACGCGGAAGACACGATCGAAGGGCTGTCATACCTTGAAAGAATTTTCCTTAGCACTTGATTCAAGCGAAATCGTGAGACGGATTTTCTGGATTTTCTTGCGGTATTAAAATGTTAGATCATAGGGAATGCAGTTGAATTACTGGTCATGTATTCAATTGGTGTTAGTATGCACAGCCACGACGCCCAATGCACGACACCCGCTAGTCAATGCAATCGTGCCCAACATCCTATATTCTTCACTTTCTGGGCACTCGCAGCCTTACATTAGATACCGCAAGGTTGATATTGGGGGCTATATAGGCAGGTCTGACGTCCGTATCTATCGGCCTCACGACCACATTAACTTTTTCAATCCGGAACATGGCAACCTCGGAAAGGTTGATAGCTCTATCCTTGTCAGCTTGGTGGGTTGTTGACGCTAAGCAGCCAAAACTCCAGAATCTCCTTTGATGAGGATGACCAGCGTCCATATGTGAGTACTTACGTCAACGTAAGTATACATTCGAGATTCGTTGTCAGTCTTTAACCAAAATGCTAGAAACCCGACTTTCATGTGGGAGACAAAGTGTATCTTCTCATTGGGGGTGCTCGCGGAGGGCCTTACGTTGTCGCATCTGTCAACTCGGGAAAATATACACTAAGTCTTGAAAACGGCGAGGCTGTGAGGAATGGCGAGGAGATAGAGGTCGATTATCTGGAGGCTGCTTAGGGCTGTGTTCGTGTGTGTGTCACCCGAAATACAGTGCGATGATCAGTGAGCTGGTTGCTCTGGGATGTCAATGTAACTCGCCTCAATTCAAGCCTTATTGTTCCCCTAATTATATTGCCCTGCCCCGTTGTTTTCCCTCCGACATACATCCTACAAGTAGTGTACACTGTGGTGTGCCCTGCTGGTGTGGACTGCCTGCGCCCCCTGCTGCGACCTTTCGCGCCCGGCTTATCAGTCGACTGCCTTCAGCCGTACGCCACCAGGGCTGATTTCACTCCACAGCCGCAATTCTCAGCAGTGTCCAAATATTCTCTCCTCCTTTTTTGCTCCCTCTCAAATCTTATCAATTGAGTAAGTAGCCAAGCCTGTCTGAACGTCTTCCAGTGTCACCGCCTTGTCCTCGCCAACCGTCAATCATGCTTGTCAATATAATGGATGGCCCAAACACTATTATTACGCATCATGCAATTTTGATTGGAATCGACGCTTATCCAGACAAACCACTCAAGAGCTGTGTTAATGACGTTCAAGATACCAAGATGTTTCTCGAAGGCACACTGAAAGATTTTGTTGAGATACAGGCATTCACAGCAAGCCAGACCAGCCACAAAATCTCTAACCCAGCGCAAGATCCGATGCTCTGGCCAAGCCGCGAAAATGTCATTCTGGCCTTCGAAACGGTCACTTCTCTCTCCAAAGCCGGTGATTATGTTTACATCCATTACTCTGGGCACGGCACTCAGAAACCGCCGTCTGGTGACTTCTCGAACACGTCGACAGGCGATCTGGCGCTGGTCCTCCTTGGTGGAGGGAAGGAGAACCGAAAGCAGTATCTCTGGGGCTTCGAACTAGCATCTTTGCTAAAGAATATGGTTGACAATGATCTGGTTATTACTCTCATTCTTGACTGCTGTTTCTCCGGCAGTGTCTATCGCCACGATGAACCCAGCGTTCGCTTTCTCCCTTACGATCCTGAGTTCGAGTCAGACCGTCCATTAGATCCCAAGAAGAACGTGGAGGATGGCATGTACCGCGATGTTTCTATGCAACCGAACTGGCTTCTCAACCCAGACCGGTACGCGATACTCACCGCATGCGGTCCTCACCAAGTAGCAATTGAGCCCAGATTCGAGGGGAAGAATCACGGAGCGTTATCTTATTTCCTGCTCGACTTCGTCAAGGACTTCGGCCTTACGAAGAGACATAGGGACATGCACAATTACCTGTGTGCAAAATTCAGAGACTCAATCTTGCCTCAAAATCCCGTCCTTTATGGGAATGGAAATCAAGGCTTCTTCGGAAAAGTCAGTTCAGATATCAACAATGCCGCTATTCCAATTATTGTCAGACAAGACGGTACTATCGAACTTCAAGCCGGGTACGCACACGGCGTCAACACTGACGATCAACTTCTTTTGCATCCCTTAGATTGTGTTGAGCATGAGCCTAGATCACGATGGCACTCGGTGGCTGCAGAGGTAGCCGATGCTAGAGCTCTCACTTCGGATATAAAGTTATCGGATACACCGTCAATTCCTATTCAGACAGGATGGATGGCGAAAGTCCTTACTAGATCCGCCCTTCAAAAGTTTCCAATACGACTCTCATCCGAGCTTCCATGTCGGGATGAATTGCTCAAAGCTCTAAAAGACCGATCACTTGATGTTAGTATCGACTCAGAAGATCACCCGTTCGCGATTAATGTAGTATCAAACGAGAGAAAATACGAAATTCCAAACGAAGAAGGGTATGAGATCATCGATCTGACCGGTATACCACAAGACCAGTCCGGCATGGGCCAAATTGGGAGCATTTTGGAGCACCTAGCTCGGTTTCGACTAGCTAGGGATCTAGTCAACGATGCGTCTACAGATCCTTTCCGAAAGTCCTTTGAGGTGCGGATTGTAAGCAACAGGGGGGTTTTCAGTCCAGATTGCTTGATCGAAATGGAAGATGATACTACAGCAGACTTAATCATAGAAAACAAAGGGGACGAAGATCTGTATATTTCCGTCTACGATCTTGGTCCTTGCTGGCAAGTACAGAACCCGTTTCGCGGAACAAACATAGTTGTTAGGCCACAGAGCAATGGCAAACAAAACAAACCTATTCGGAAGAAGATCATGATGACGATCCCCAAACGAATGAGAGAGAAAGGATACTGCTCATGCAAAGACATACTCAAGATCTTTGCTACCTCTCGAGCAATATCTTTCGATTCGTTAGAGTTGCCTAGACTAGGCGAACGAGCCAAAACGCCTGCGGCCAATAGGACTAGCCAAGATGGGGGTAGTGGACGAGAGAATTGGGCGGCTTTGAATTTCTCTTTTCATACCTCTCTTCAAAGAAATACGAGCACGCAGTAGACACATCTATGCAAGTCGATAAGCTGAAACCGACTTTGTGGCTGGTAGCCAGGCGAGCTGGCGAGGCTGATTTTGTTTCTGGTAATGATCGTCATTCATACCACTCATCCATAGCCAAATACACATTATAGAGTGTCAAGACCTTTTACATGACTTATCTCCTTGTTTTCGCGTTTGGCGCGATGTTGTGTGCCAGGGCTGTGTACTTGCAACGTTTCAGCCACTTGTATCAGCTACAGTCGGCCTCACCAACTTGGTAGACTATAATTGGTGGGTGGTTATTCAGCCTTGTCTCTCGCCTCTTTTAGCAGGTATGACGTCCAACATTTGAAGCCATTCAAGAAATGGCTCTTGTGCTTCATGGCTGCGCCTCACTTGAGGTGATATCTACTATATGTATTCTTACCCCTACTGACCTCTGCTTTACCGAAAGTCAGAATCTCTGGCGCCTCGTCTTTCAAACGTCAATATGAAGCAATTTGGCATGCGTGCAGAAAATTGTTCGAGCTTTAGAGCATTGGAACCAAATCCAGACATTTCGGGAATCGGCGTGAGTATACCTATCACCAGGGTGGAGATTAATTAAATTAAATTAAATTAACTATAGTTACTCTAATTCAAACTTAAGTAACTTACTTCTTACTTAAATTTAAATTTAATTTAATTAAAGTAACTTAATTCATAATTAAGTAACGGTCACATGATTTCGAGATACGCACTAAAATAAGAGAGATAACCTTATTTTAGTGATTACTATTCTGAGCCAATAGATAAGTATTAGAGTTATCTTAGCGTATCGAACCTTCGTGAACCTTTTAAAATTACTACTTAACAATTGGATTAGAAATACTTTAATTTAAGGGATTCTATTATATTCTAGTGCTTATTAAAATAAATTAATAATATTTGTAAACTTATAAATCATTAGAAATCTTAAATATTAATAATCTTAAAGAATAATCTAGAATAATTAATATTTAATATATAAGATATAAAATATTCTTAGAAAATCGATTTTATCTTTATTAAATAAACTCACAAATAAACTACTTAACAACTAAAACAACAACTCTTATTATATTATATATACTTATAAAGTATAACCTTATATAATGTCTTATACTATAAATACTCGCACAAATATTACTCAAAATCAAGTGGATTTTAAGCTCCCTGATAATTAACCACTTATATTTAAAAGAGGTTTATTTATTAAAGAGCTAGACCCGATTCAGTAAGATCCTACACAGCCTCGAACTATTACAATTAGTTGTACTTATAAAAATTGCAAGTAAGTTATATTAATCTTAAGTTATATTAAGTTATATTAATTTAATATTATAGTAAAAAGGTTTTAAAACAACGTGTATTACACGTAACAAGCAATTATATCTCGCATTATAAACACAATTATAAGCTAGTATTATTAGGTTTATTAGATAATGATATTAGTAAGTTATTTTATTTAAATTTTTATTAATATAATATATTAATTATATTTTAAATAGGTTCGCAAGCTAGTAACTCTTCTAATATTACTAGAGATTTACTAGAATCTCAAGGGACTATAAGTGATTACTTAAGCTCTTTTAAAGCTAAAAAGCGAGAATTAAGGGAATTTAATAATAAAGAGTTTAAAGTTAAAATCTTGAACTTTATATTATAAAATAACCTTTCTTTTCGATTAATTGATAGCCCTACTTTTAAAGAGCTTTTAAGATATTTGAAAGAGTAAGTAATTTCTTTATATTTTTTCGATATTTATATAAGCTAATTATTATTAGGGATATTCTAATAATTAACAGAAAAAATCTAAGAGATGAATTAGACTTTGTTTATTTAAGTGCCTTCAATAGCTTTGAAAATAAGCTTAATAATTATAAAGAAAATCAAGGCATATTTAGTCTTACATTAGACGTTTGGACTGCCTCTAATCAAGACGCTTATTTAGGTATCACTATGTAAGTAAATAATTCTTAAAATTATAATATTAATAAAGCTAACTATTATTATAGACACTTTATAAGTAAGACTTTTAAATTAAAGTCTTATTTATTAAGAATGGCTATACTAGAAGATAAGCACTCAGGAGCTTATATGTCTGAAGTATTATTAAATACTTTAAAGGATTTTGATATTACATATAATATTAAGAGGTAAGTTTTTAATCCTTATTTAAGATATTATTATTAACTTATTATAGTATTACTCGAGACAACGCTTCTTTTAATAATACTCTAATATCAAGCTTTAGTAAAGCTTATGATTTAGAGGCTATTAAATTCCAAGAGGATATAGCTTGTTGTGCTCACGTGCTTAATATAGCTACACAAGATATAATAAGCTCTATTATTAAAGCCGAAGATTTTATAGAAGAATTAGACGCTATTAGAACTATTGAAGATGATGAAAATGAAACAGAAGAAAGTAGTATATTTAGTAGTAAGTTCTTATATTATTAATATAATTAAGTTATATACTAACTTATTTTAAGATTTAAATACTATATATTCCTTATGGAAACGAATCCGCTTGATTATTGTAGCTTTCAAATATAGTTATAATAACAAGTAAGCTTTATTAGCTCAAATAAAGCTTTAAATATTACACAATTTCAAATGCCTCAACTAGGTAAGTAATAATAATTATTATATTAATAAGTTTTTATTATTTTGTTAACTATATTAGATACTACAACTCGATGGTCTTTAACTTATAATATGCTTAACAACTTTTTAATCCTTTATTAGCCTATTAATATAGTTATGTAAAACTCTAATAACAAGGCTTTTAAGGATAAGAAGTTATTAATATCAAAAGAAGAAGTAGCTTATTTAAAGAATATTTTGTTAATATTAAAAGTATTTGTTAAAGCTACTAATAAGCTTTAAGCTGATAAATATCCTATAATATATTATGTAGTTCTAATGCTATATAATATATATACATAATTAGAAAGGATTAAAGAGGAATTAATAGTAAGTTAAATTTTAATTTATAAGATATATATTTACTAACTTTTATTTAGGAATATCCACCTCTCATTAAAGCTATTAATTTGGGAATAGCTAAATTACGCAAATATTACCCTAAAAATCAATGGCTTCACTCAAACGCCCGAACTAAGACTTTATATATAAGTTTATTATTAGATCCTCGAATTAAAAAAGAGGGTTTAATAAGCTTAGGCTTAAGTCGAGAGCAAGTTGTTGATATATTAGAAGTACTTAAAGAGGAATATACTTCGTAAGTAGAATACTTTGATTTTATAACATTAATACTAATAATAATAATAGAGAGAAAAGAGACTATTATATTAGGTTACCTGCTTTACTAAGAGCTGAAAACCTTAATATATATAGTGAAAATGATGATTTAGACAACGATATATATATTAACGAATCAGAGGACGAGGATTTAGACGAATTGTAAGCTTATTTAAGCGAGAAAAGACAAAATAAACAAGTAAGTAAAAAATTAATATTAATATATATAAATCTTTACTAATTATATTATAGACTTTGCCTTTAGCTTACTAGGAGTTAAATAGCTCTAATTATCTAATATTAGCTATAATAGCTAGACGCTATCTAGCTATTCTAGTTACTAGTGCTTCTAGTGAGAGATTCTTTTCACAAGGGGGCTTAGTTATTAATAAGCTAAGGAATAGGCTAAATAAAGACACATTTAATATAATAATGTGTTTAAGAAGTTGGGGAACTATTTTAGAAGAGGAAAAGAAGGCTAATAAAGAGCTTAATAGTAATATAGAAGAAGCAGAGTTTGTATATTAAATGTTTTATTAAAAGTTGTATTTTAACAGTTGTATTTTAAAAGTTGTATTTTAAAAGTTGTATTTTAGTTAAGGTTATGTTAATTAAAGTTATTTAAATAAAAAATTAAGTAAGATTTGAGTTACTTTAATTTAATTAAGTTACTTCGTTACTCAAAATTTAATTTAATTTACTTTAAGTAACTTAATTTTTACTCAAATAACTTAATTCTTTCTCCCCACCCTGCCTATCACCGGGTGGAAATTTGTAATTGTAGATCATCTCGCATTGTTATTGACACTTCTACGATCAGGTCTTGTGGGGGTTTCTGGCGACTGTATGCCTTACATTTGCATGTTCAGTTGCCAAAGTATGGCTTGATTACAAGAGATCTTCACAACGAGAAACGAGTGCTAAATTAGACCGCTGGTCCTTTGCACTTGGAAGCGTCATCATGGGATTTAGCGATCAGCAAGTGATAACCGGAATATCGATCATCGTCGGAGGTGTTTCTCAACTGCAATGGGGAATATCCATCTACCATTGGCAGTCAGTGGTCAACTTTGCCTGGCTTTCTACCATTACCCATATCATGACGCTGTCGGTCCTCAGGAACGAGATTCGGGCGAACAAAACGATCAGATTTGTCCGATTCGTTGCCATAGGTATTCTGATCATGACGCTGATTTCTGTATCATATCCTATCGGTTACACCTCTAGCCCAGATATGTACCCCGATCGTTCGCTCGCCAGTGGATTTCCTGCTTGGTGCCTATACGAAAATCTGCTTTATCCAAACTCGAGTGGCGCTAAGCCGGAATACAATTGGCTTTACTTCGTGGTCGCTGCTACTTTCCTTGGATTCAGCTATGTTACTAGAGTCTCACTACTGTACTCTAATACTGGTTTCATCCATGGCGTCCTCCACATTCCCAAAAATCAACCTTCAACATATATTGAGTCGAAACTGTCAATTTTAAAAGAGAGACAGAACGAGCGAAGGAAAGTGCGATACTACATCATATTTAGAGTCCTGGAATCTTTATATATGCTAGTGGTATGTGGCAGTAGCCTTTACCGATCTCAAGTATTCGAGGTGAGTTGCTCCATCTACAAACATACCATGAGACCAGTAATTTATACACATATCAGGTACTCTGGTTTTTTTTCGCTATCGCATGGGGAATCATTCGTGTGATTGTTTCTAGAGCAGATAGTATGTACGAAGACTACATACCGTCAGCGGTTTCGGATCAACACTCTATTTGGGGCTTCGGTCAAGCTGTTGCTATTGGGCTGTTAGCCATACCGATCGCTAGCTTTTTCGGTAAAAGTATCGTTCCTGTCTTCCACACCGTAATTTACAGATAAAAATAGGGGCTTTCTTCACTTGTACGCCAGAGTCAGTCTTGCGCAATACCGCCACTTCGCAGCAACAGCGACAACAACAACAGATAGATCATGTCAACTTATCTCCTCTCGAATTCAAAGACCAATTGCTTGCATATCCATGGTACAAGAACCCCCTTGTCCTTGGATATATACTGTCCGTCGAATATGCAGCATTGATGTTATAGTACGTCTATTCCCATATCTGTGTCGTGTCCCGATACTTTTGAATGTCTAGTTGTAAAAGTCAACACATTGGACGATTTGTAATGAGGAATTTAAGTGCAAACCTAACTATCTAATGACTAGTTCTTTGCCAGCCAACTCACTGGGTTTGTTCTACGCAGGAATTAATAGTTGGTGGTTGTTAGCAGGTTTGGGTTTCTGGGCCTTTTCAGCTTTCCTTGTTTTGTGGTTATCTACTCTCGTCTTCATCAATCCTAGTCTTCGCAAACTGTGGACTGACCTAACAGAAGGTACGATATTTTGTCAAGAGGGCGTATCTAGTATGCTATGGATTGTGACAATTTTTGTCCTATCCGCAATCTTGCCTGTAACTTGTATAGTTTTGAGTCTGTCGTTGGGTAGTTAGTCCTTTGACTAGTCAAATTCAACTTGAGATGAATTCCTTCAACTATGCTACGGCACACAAATGTAATGCCAATGGTCAGCCGCAAGTAGGCGTCGCAGGTACGGTCTGGCGGAGCAAAGGTTGGCCGGTCATGATCGCCTGAGAAGTCATTCAATTGGATGTCTTTGGAAGGTTGCGTTGTTCAGCCACCTGAAACATGGTGTGGGAGCACAAAGCAAACGAAGCGGGGTTGGCGGCATGTCTGGTGGCTGAACGTCAGCCACAGACTTGGCAGTCGCGCTGTAATTAAGCTTCCCTAGGGGCAGTGAGCTTGGGCCAGCGAGGCGGCGCGAAGATCCGCGGGGCCCTCTGGTGCCCTTTGGGTGAATTTAGACTTTATGATTTGTTCCAATCTTCTCTTATACAAGATATGTAGAGCGGGGTAGCTCCCTCCTACCTTTACAGCAAGTAGTAAAATATAAACGCTCTGAGACTCTTCAAAAATCACGTAACGACACTCCACAAAGCTTACCTCCGGCCTGACATGTTCCGTCGCTGATTTGTTTTGGAGAAAACAGAGGCACCAAACGAAACATCCTGGCCCAACGCGGCAACGTTTTACTGAGGGAGCACCGTCTCGCCATGTTCGGCGTGGTCCTCCCGGCATGATTGTCAGCCCCCCACCCCCGGTGCAAGCCGCCGAGCCAGATGTTGTTCTCCGCACGGCAATATCGGTAACGTCCGTCCCTGCGTGCCGGAAAACCGTACGTGCCGGAAAAAATGAGAGGTACTTTGACTTTAAGCATCTCAAACTCCACACCAACCTGAAATTCCTCTGAACTACTATAGCGTCTGTATTCTATAGCTATTTATTAACATTCTGACCTACTCTCGAGAAAAATTTGTATTCGCATCGTCTCCCTTTCGCCTGGTTCATAAGAAGCCTCCGTTTATACTATAATAGAAGTCCTTTACTATAGCTATACTAGCAAGCTCTCATTATCTCATACACTAATAGAAAGGGTTTATCGGAGCTTCATAGCCTTACTATTATGTCCAAGACCGTCATGAGCTTTGTGGCTGCTGTAGGACGCAAATTAATACAGGACTGCCACGCGGGCTGGTACTTCTAATCATCGAATCTAACGACTTTCGGTTAGAGCAAGCAGACCCCGCACTGCACGTTACGGAGGTATCCTGGTAATTACGCCACTAATGCCGAAAGCACGCTTACGAATATATCATTGCACTCATCACGAAGGTCTCGCGCTCTTTTCTACAATACAAGTCTTGTTACTCAGGTTTTGCTGATCGATTATACTTCGTAATACTAAGATAGCGGTCATTTTTTAACTTATTCTAGAAGATTCTAGAAGCTCAGTGGCAATTATTAACCATTATATAGTGACCTGCTCCCCTCGGACCCTCTATGAAATAGAGATATAAAGAAAAAGAGACATAATATAAAGATTAATACGAAGTTAACAAATATATACTAATTCCTTATTATAAGCTTTAGCCCATATTTAAGCTAGAGAAATGAAATATTTCCTAATGAATATCCTAAAACAAGAGTTTTATTCTAAGTAGCTTCATATATAAGTCGGTATTCAGAAGGTAGCCAGAGAATATTTGCAGCGCTATCGGCTATCCACTGACTTAACACGCGTAAAGTTAGAAGTAGCTTACTATCAGGTGAGAAGGCGACTAACCTAACTGTGCCCGAGTAGCCCTCAAGCGTCTATAGCGGCGCGCCTATTGCAGCGTCCTAGAGCCGTACTATCTTATCGTGAGACCTAGATATAACCTGCTTACTATCAGGTAAGAAAGCAACTGAATTAACCGAGTTCAAGTAGCTCTTAAGCGTTTATAGCAGCGTGCCTATTATAGCGTCCTAGAGCTATACTATCTTATCATAAGACTTAGACACGACCTACTTACTATTAGGTGAGAAGACGACCGAATTAACTATACTCGAGTAGCCCTTAAGCGTTTATAGCAGCGCGCCTATCGTAGCGTCCTAGAGCTGCACTATTATATCGCTAGACCTAGACACAACCTACTTGCTATTAGGTGAGAAGGCGACTGACCTAACTGTGCTCAAGTAGCTCTCGAGCGTTTATAGTAGCGCGCCTATTGTAGTGTCCTAGAGCCGCACCGTCTTATCGTAAGACCTAGACACGACCTACTTACTATTAGGTGAGAAGGCGACTGAATTAACCGTGCTTAAGTAGCCCTTAAGTGTTTATAGTAGCGCGCCTATCGCAGCGTCTTAGAGTCGCACTGTTATATCGCTAGACCCAGACACGACTTACTTACTATCAAGTAAGAAGATAACCGAATTAACCGTGCTTAAGTAGCCCTCAAGTGTTTATAGTAGCGCGCCTATCGCAGTGTCCCAGAGCCGCACTATCATATCGCTAGACCCAGACACGACCTACTTACCGTCAGGTGAGAAAGCGACTAACCTAACTATGCTCAAGTAGCCCTCGAGCGTTTATAATAGCGCGCCTATCGTAGCGTCCTAGAGCCGCACTATTATATCGCTAGACCTAGACACGACCTGCTTACCGTTAGGTAAGAAGGTAACTGATCTAACTATGCTTAAGTAGCCCTCGAGCGTTTATAGTAGCGCGCCTATCACAGCGTCCTAGAGCTATACCGTCTTGTCGTAAGACCCAGACACGACCTACTTACCGTTAAGTAAGAAGGCGACTAATATAACCCAGTTCGAGTGGCCCTTGAATATCTATAGCGGCGTGCTTATCACAGCGTCCCAGAGCTATACCGTGTTATTATCAGACCCAGATACAACCTACTTACTATCAGGTAAGAAAGCGACTGAATTAACCTAGTCCGAGTAGCCCTCGAATATCTATAGCAGCGCGCCTATTATAGCGTCCTAGAGCCGTACTGTATTATCACTAGACCTAGATACGATCTGCTTACTATTAAGTGAGAAAGCGACTAAATTAATCTAATCCGAGTAGCCCTCGAGTATCTATAGCAGCGCGCCTATCGCGGCGTCCCAGAGTCGTACCGTGTTATCGTAAGACCTAGATATAACCTACTTACTATTAAGTGAGAAAGCGACTAAATTAACTAAGTTCAAGTAGCCCTCAAGCGTCTATAGTAGCGCGCTTATCGCAGCGTCCTAGAGCTATACTATATTATCGCTAGACCCAGATATAACCTACTTACTATCAGGTAAGAAAGCGACTGAATTAACCGAGCTCAAGTAGCCTTCAAGCGTCTGCAGCAGCGTATTCTAATATACTAGCACTTTTGGTTTCTGTAGAATCTAATATAGGATACACTTCTCAAATACTACCTGAATAAGACTCTTCTCTAGGCTAAAGACTAGTGCTAAATAATACAATTGAAGAGGCGCTTGTTTAATAACTAATCAGTTATATATAACAAACCGTCTCACATCATATATAAACGCGTATAAGTTATAACATTCATCAGCCTATTATGTTAGGGCATTTAATAGTAATATTCTAAAAGTCGTATTATTACTTACTTTAAGCTAATTCTTAAGCTTTACAATTATTACAATACCATCTGGCAAGCTTCTTAGTAAGCTAAGCGCCTCTAGCCAGTAAATATAACTCGCTTTTAAAAACTAATAGACTAAGCTATTATCTTTAAGCTCATCGGTAGTGTGTCCTCTATCGCAGTTAAGTAAATAGTTAATCTAATAGAGACAAGAGTATTATACTACAGTGAGTAGATCTAGGACAGGATATTCAACCTCCCTAATTAGGAATCCAGGGGCGAACAATCCGTATATATTATATCGAAGCGTTCTAGATATAACCTCACACGATCTCAAGAATATCATGTAGTTCACCTTAGCCTTACTAGAGGGAAACACTCTATATAATACCTTTTCAAGTAAAAAGTCCTTTACTGATTAATAAATAAAGTAAGCGCAGTTCGCTTATATAGCAAGGAAAGAGCCATATTTATTAATAACCTTTATAACACTATCGAAATTAGTAGAGATTTTCTCAGGCAGATCAGAGAGAGCCCTTACCTCGAGCAGGTAGAGTAAGTAGTACGTAAGAGTTATAATAGAAAGGATAAGATAGTAGAACTCAGGATCTTTACGCTACAGTTGTTTAACTTAACGTAATATCTGATCGTAGAGCGGTTCTAAATCTAGCGGTATATCCTAAAGCATATTAAGCACGTCCTAGCTCTCTACGGACTTAAGCTCCTTTAATATAAGAGCTACCTAGAGAAATATCCTATTAGCCTTAGTATATATCTGACCTCGAATTATCTCTTATAGCGCGCTATTATCCGTAATAAGTGGAAGCTGGGAAACTTTCAAATTAACAAACAGCTCGATAGCATAAGAAACACGCTCTTCGTTAAGCTTAAGGCTAAGCCTCATTTGTATATTATCAAGTCTCAGCTGTAACTCAATATCAGGTTAGTTACGGCTCGATATAATCTATTTCACGCGAGAGGAGATCAAGGCAGTTCGATTAATAAGATCTAAAAGCTAGTAAAGGTTCATTTCGCATTTATCAAGCGTATCAATAATTAAGTAGATACTCTTTAAGCTTAGGTCCTATAAAATACTTACGAAAATTTCAAATAACGCAACTTATACATTTATATCTTTAAACAGGACTTTACTAGTGTTATCGTACTTTTCCCGCACGTATAAGACAAGTAATAGTTACTAGTCGATAAGCAAGTAGATAAGGCCATGAAGCACGGCCGCCGTATTATTAATACGCGAATCAGTAGCCTAGCAGAAAAAGTATAATAATAATATAGTTGCCTCCTAGTCTCTCAGCTTCATTAAAGGACTTAATTTATTAATAATACCGCAAATAAGTATAGTCTTGCCTTTACCGGGGTTACCTTTAATCTAGAGCAGCCGGCTCTGTTTATTATCTCGCTATTATTAAAAATCGGGATATTCGAGGATCTATCAGTAAGAGTTTCGTAATAGCCCGCCCTTTATATCCTCGATCCGCTTCTTATTCTCGCAGGGATCTATTATCCGTAGGTCTTATATATAGCTTTGACTCTAAAGGTCAGGTAAGTTCTCCTTAGCTTCTTATAAAGAGTTATTAGCAGATAGCTAAAGATAAAGCAGTTTATTATATGTTTACCTATTAATAAGTTCTAGATCTCCTTTTTAAGCTATCTAAACGCGTGCTCTTTCCCTTCACTATAAATAAGTAGTAAATAAATACTAAAAATACCTAACAGTAAGTACGCCTTATCTTCGAGGCGTGTTATCTAGCGATTTTCTACCTACGATAATCGTTCCTTGATACTAAACTATACTAGAGGAGCTCTCTCAAGTACTAAGATTAGAATACCTATTACTTCCTAGATCTAACGCCCTAGTATTTCCTTATCTCTTAGTCGCTTACCTTATTAAGAGAAGAATTCAACTACGTGTAGTATAAAGAGCTCTTAAAGAGTCCAGCCTCATATAAACTATTCGCTATCTCGGAAAGCAGATTCCTAAGTATACTTAGTAGATATATCACCTGCTTTCTGCTTTACTACCGAAACATCTAATAAATAGACGTAGTATCTAGCCGTATCCCGGTACTAGCGAAACATCGAGTTAAGAGCCTCTACGAGCTCAGTGCTACTCGATTTATTAATATAATATATATCCACTCAAAAGTATTTCAAGCTATCACTCCTAGCCTGTTCTCCGCAGAACCGGATCTTCTTATAGCCAGCCTTCTTCCTGCCGATTCCCTTCTATAGATCTTCAAATATCGCCTCCTCCGTTCCCTACCTATATAAAAAGATTATATACTCAGGTATAGTGTTATCAAAGAACTCAGTTAAGCTAAAATTACTATCGCTGTTATACTATAGCAGACACATTCTTCAGTTAAGTTCGAGGATCGTAATAGAGTAGGGTTTCAGATAGTTATTAAGCCGTCGAATTAATATAGATACGTAATAAAATTAGAGAAAACTTTATACGGACTCAGCTAAGGGGCAGCCTCACGGTAATACGTATATCACTAAAAGCACGTAAGACCAGCCAGTCGTGTAACCTCGAATTCTGAACGCTATAAGGATAGGATATTAGAAACCGCTTTCAATTGATTTAATCTTATCGCTAAAAAGGAAGCTAAGGTAATTAGAGAGTAGATAATAGAAACAGAAACCTAGGATCCTGCATTTACCTTCGACCTATAGTTCGAGCCTCTAGCCTTAAATATTAAGTAGTAACTTCATTAGAAAATAGCTCCACCTTACTTAGTTCAGTGATTACATAAGTAAGCTTAGCTGTAGATATAGCATATACAGGTACTATACCCTACTAATATCTCCATTCGCTTTAATCCGAGGTACCGACCCGCGTGATAATCCTAAATAAATCTGCATGTTATAGCTGCTATAAGGCTATTAATAATCTCCTATATATTATAAAAGCTTAGGAACTCAGTAAAGACCTTTCTATATGTTTTAAGGATAATATAAGCTCAGTAGTGCAGCTGTAGTAAAGAAAGTCTATTACGCTATAAAAAGAGACTCCTTATAAATCAGGCGTAAGGCAATAACACGGATATAATTTTTTCAGTTAAAGGCATTTAAGGTATACGGGAATAGCCACGGAATATAATTTATAAGAATTAATAAGAGATATTACAGTATACTTATATTTTTATAATACTTAAAGTTAATATACCGGTTAAATTTTCCGGCACGTAGGGTTTTCCGCGACGCAGGGATTAACAATATCCATCCCTGCGTGGCGGAAAACCCTACGTGCCGGAAAACTTAATAGGTACATTGACTTCAAGCATCTTAAAATCTATACATACTGTAATATATCTTATTATTCTTTGTAAGTTATATTCCGTAGCTACTCCCTAACACTCTAGATGCTTCCGACTAAACAAATCACGTTCGCGTCGTCTCCTTCACGGCTGGACTACAAAGAGTCTCCTGTTATAGCAGAACAGACTTCCTCTACCACAGCTGTACCACCGAACTTATATTATCCTTAAAACTTATAAAAGGTGTCTTAGCCGAGCTTCAAGTCCTCACAAATACACAAGTAACCGACAAAAGCCTTGTAGTGGCTGTGGTGTGTAAATTTGTGTAAGATCGCCACGCGGGTCGGTACCTTCCGTACGGAAGGGTACGTCAGCTCGAAGCGAGTGACGATCTTGGTGTTGAACAACCCCGCATGTCCCACAATACAGCTCACTTATCTAATCATTGGATAGAAATCTAGTGCCTGATTATATTTGATCAGCAAGGTATCCAGCCTCCTTTCCTGGCAAATGCATTAAATACTATATTTTGTAGGAAATGCTAGAAAACAGGTAGCGATTCTAGAATAATATAAAAACAGATGGTTCCCCAAGACCCTCTAAGAAATAAACATATTTCTCTTACTTCTATATCACAAGTTTCGCTCGTTGTTCAAAGCCAAATAATGAAATTCTCCCAGATGAATGCCCTATTACAAGATTTCTGTTCCAAGTAGCTGAATGAGTTCTGTTCCAAACAGCTGAATGAGTTGCCCGATAATCAGGAGGCAGCCAAAGAATATTCGTATCGCCATCCAGTACCCAATGATCAGATACCTGTAAGCCTGGCAATAGCTTGGCGCGGTCCGGTCTGTGGCCTTCTCCCCCGACGGTGTGGCCCTCGAGCGTCTACAGCGCCGCTCCCGAAGCCGTGTCCTAAAGCCGTATTATTCTATTATTAGACCCTAAGACGACCTATCTGCGTCAAGGGAGAAGGCTACAGACGTAACCGCGCTAGTATAGCCTTTAAGTGTCTATAGCGCCGCTCCCGTGGCTACGTCCTAGAGCTATACTATCTAATCACTAGACGCTAATACGACCTACTTGCCGTCAGGTAAGAAAGCCACAAACGTGACTATGCCAGTGTGGCCTTTAAGTGTCTATAGCGCTACTCTCGTAGCTACGTCCTAGAGTTATACTATCTAATCGCTAGACGCTAACACAACCTACCTGCTAACAGGACAGAAGGTCACGGACTAGATCGCGCTAGTATAGCCCTTAAGTATCTATAGAACCGCTCCCGTAGCTACGTCCTAGAGCTATACTATCTAATCGCTAGACACTAATACAACCTACTTACCGTCAAGTAAGAAGGCTATAAACATGACCGTGCTAGTATAGCCTTTAAGTATTTATAGCGCCGCTCCTATAGCCGTGTCCTAGAGCTATACTATCTTATCATAAGACCCTGATACGACTTATTTGCCGTTAAGTGAAAAAGCCACGGACATGACTACTTTAGTGTAGCCCTAAAGCGTCTATAGCGCCGCTCCCGTAGCCGTGTCCTAGAGCAGTATTATCTTATTATTAGACCTCGACACGACTAGCCTACTATTAGGTAAGAATACTACGAACCAGACTACGCTAGTATAGCTCTCAAGCGTCTATAGCAGCGCTCTTATAGCTGTGTCCTAAAGCTGTATTATCTTATTATTAGACCCTAAGACAACCTGCCTACTATCAGGGGAGAAGGCCACGGACGTAACCGTGCTAGTATAGCCTTTAAGTGTCTATAGCGCCGCTCTCGTAGCTATATCCTAGAGCTATACTATCTGATCACTAGACACTAACACGACCTGCCTACTAACGGGACAGAAAGTCATAGACTAGATCGCGCTAGTATAGCCCTTAAGCGTCTGCAGAACTGCTCCCGTGGCTACGTCCTAAAGCCGTAATTTTTAATCGCCAGACCCTAACACGACCTGCCTACTATTAGGTAAGAAAGCCACGGACTAGACCACGCCAGTATAACCCTTAAGCGTTTACAACGCCGCTCTCGTAGCTACATCCTAAAGCCGTACCGTTTAATCATCGGATCCTGATACGAATTTCTTACTATCAAGTGAAAAGGCGACAAACCAGACCGGGCCAGTATGACCCTCGAGCGTCTATAGCGCCGCTCCCGTAGCTATATCCTAGAGCCGCACTACTATATTAAAAGACCCTGACACGACCTGCCTACCGTCAAGTAAGAAGGCCACAGATGTAATAATACTAGTATAGACCTTAAGCGTTCGTAGCGCCGCTCTTATAGCTACGTCCTAGAGCCGCACTGTCTTATCATAGGACCCCGATACAACCTGCTTACCGTCGAGGGAGAAGGCCATAGACCAGACCGCGCCAGTGTGGCCCTCGAGCGTCTGTAACGCTGCCCCGGTAGCCGTGTCCCAGAGCCGCACTATCTTGTCATAAGACCCTGATACGACCTGCCTGCCGTCAGGTGAGAAGGCCACGGAAGAGACATTATTGGTATGGCCCTCGAGCATTTGCAGCGCTGCGTTCCAGTGTCTTCGCACTTTTGGTTTCAATGTAATCCAATCTGGGATACATCCCTCGAACTCCCTTCGAACAATACTGTTTCCTGGCGCAAACACGAGAGCAGAGCAATACAATTGCAAGGGTGCCTGTTCAATCGCTGATCGGTTGTATAAAACAAAGCGCTTTGTGTCATTGATAAATTCACGCCAATCAGGTCTTTCAGTATCCTAAAGACAAGTTAGAAATTTCTGTATAATAGAAGGATAGCTTACCGAAACATAAGCTTCCAAGGACAATAATGCTTGAATCCCTTCTGAGGTCTTGCCCATCCACCCAAGTGCCTCAAGCCAGTGCAGTAAATGAGCCTGTAAAAATCGGTAGGCTACTTCGCTGTCGTAAACCTGAGAGCCACTCCGTTGCAGATGCTGGACCCAGTAGAGACATGCGTATTGAACTTCCGGCGGAAGGCATTCCTGTAGACGACTGCAGTCAACTTGGCTAGCCTGAGTACCAGGAGCATGCATATCGCAAATGTCCTTCTTGAGTGTCTGGGACATTAATTGTATGCAGCTAGTAGCTACTAGCTGGTGTGCCTCCTCCTCATCTACCCAGTAATCCCCACATCGGTCTTTATTGAGGAGAAAGTCGCGAAATGAAGGGTGGTGGAGGCGAAGTAATCCAGCAACATCCTTTGGAAAATCTAAGATAGCCTGTAGTCTTTCGAGAGTCTGCGTAACCCGTATCTCAGAGATGCTAATTACCTTTGCTAATGAGGCAGAGGGAAGGGCGGAAAATAAGATAATAATGCTTCCAAGAATTCTTCGCCGTATTGCATATAACCGCACTTTCTCCGCTGATCTGAAAGTGGTAGGTATGGAGTTTTGAAGTACAGTAATATATATTTGATCGAGATGCTGTTCCGGTGCCCCTTCAAAGCCAGTGCCCTCAAGAATCTCATCAAGCCTGGCTTCAGCGAACTCTTCGCCATCCTTTATAAATCGACATGCTGTTGCCGCCCAGATGAAGAGTCCACTAGCATGGATAACCAGCTGTCTCAAAATTTTATCGCCTGGCCACTCTGATCCAAGAGCCCACTCTTGCCCGATTGTCCCTAGATAGTGTTCCAAGAAAAGAGAGATATCATGGTTGATAATTGCTGGCTCTATGTCGTGGAGTACGAAGTCCTGGTGTTCGGTTTGTGGGATAGCACGTATGCCGTGTCGAATTGGAACTTCAGGTCTGCTTGTCAAGAAAACTCGAAGTCTTACCGTTGTTAACGATCGAGCTTCAGCTAGAAGCTGTAGAATTGTGCGAACGTGGCCTTCGTTGTCACACTCATCAAGGGCATCAACAATGAGCAAATAGGAAGACGGAGATAGGCGCTTATCTAACTTTGACAATGGATGGAGGACGAGCTCGCGCCACTGGTCGAGGAGGGACAGATTCGCAATATGGCTCCGCCGCATCACAGCGTCACAGATATGTGCTCGGAGAGATGGCACAGCATCCGCGAGCTGTACGGCAAGACTTGTGAAGAACTTGCCGGCATGGCTCACGTCTCCGCCGCCCCTTGAGAAGAAGAAGCTGGCTCCAAGACGCTTCTGCTCACTGTATCTGCGGGCGACGGTGCGGGAGATTGTTGACTTTCCCGTCCCAGCTAGGCCGCTCAGCCAGAAGATGCATCGCTCATCTTGTCCATCCTCTCCATCAGCCCAGTCATATATCTCTCGTAGAAGGTCGACGCGCGTGTTAGGAAGGCAGGCAGGTTCGTCCTGGCGGTCGTATGCGTTGAACGGCGCGTCCGTTGTGATAGGCAAGAACTTGAGCACATTGTTCAAGTCTAAGGTGTTTTATTAGTTTCCTACTGCTTCGGTACAAGGGATAGTTGAACGCAACTTACTTTGGCTTTCGCCAATGTACACATCTCCGACTTTGCCTGCAAAAATGTTGGAATTATTAGTTGCAGACAAGTGGCTGATGGATTGATTGTTGAGCTGGGGCGGCTCCGGCGGGTCGTCTTGGCGAGCTAAAGGCATCAGGCTGCTAACGCCGCAGTCCCTAACACGATAGCTTCAAAAGCGTAGGATGTTGAGCAATAGACTATTATCTTCACCTTGATTCGCGATGTTGTTGCGCTCACGACCACGCTCTGCAAGGCTTACAGTATCAAGATAACAGCGTTATGCATCTTCGCGATGATTGGTCTCGACCCCGCACTGTCACCTCAGCTGCTCTTCAGCTGAAGAGTTCCCTCAACTTCCATCACATCGCTTTGAAGACATCTTCTCCTCGCAAGAATCTAAACAAGTATTGAATCATTGTGTTTGAATCGCTCTTTCTGTGACAATGGCGGACCCTCTTAGTATTACTGCTTCTATGATAGGTATTACTACAGCAGCTCTTCAGAGCGCTCAGTTTCTCGTCAAGACCATCGATAATATTAAAGATGCGCCAGGCACTATCAAAGATCTCAGTGCCGACCTTCGGGTAGTTGAGTCTGTTTTGCAGGAGCTGAATGCCAATGTACAAGACGATTCCTTACAGTTCATTCGGAGCAGCCAAATCGGGCCTGCTGTCGAGAACTGTGACAGAGCATGCAAAGCATTTCAGTCACAAGTCGAGCGCTGGATGAAGCATTCCAGAGAGGATAGGATATTCTGGATATCCCGATGGAAGATTGGTTTGTTTGGGCCGGACATGATCAAGACCTTTAAAGGGCAGCTCAACGATTGTAAAAGCACCCTCAACATTGCCCTCACTACAGCGAACCTGTTTGTTTCACCACCGAACCACCTTATTGTGCTAGTAGCTAATATATTGAATAGATTGGTAGTAGCCAGCCAGAAGGAACTGGCGAAAGAGCAGAAAGATAGTATACTTGAAGCAACTGAGGCCGACCTTGAGCAAGAGCTCACCAGAGCAGGCAAAGAGATAGTGGAGATTGAGCAGAGTCTGCAACGACTCACAGTGGGCGGGAGTACCGAGCGAGATGAGGTGTCCGAGCAGAGCAAGAAGGAGCTTCTCCGGGAGCTTGAAAGACAGCAAGCTGCTAATACTGCATTGCGCAACATGTGCGAGGAAGCCCTCTCGCGAACAGTTTATCAGCACACCGGGCAGAAGATCAAGGGCATCAAGGCAACAAATGATGGTATAGCTCTGGCAGGATTCATTAACGTGCCTGGAGAAGAGTTGAATACAAGTCAAGACATTTCGGACGTAAGTGCTGATAATAGGGGTTTTGTTGTTGTTGGAGTTGCCAATAATGTAGACATCAAGGACTTGCGTCCTCGGTAGATAGGCAGGCACATTGGGGTCGTGGGAAGGGCAATATTGGTGGAAAGGAAACATAGATATGAATGGACAATTACCTTAGAACATTTCTTCAGCTCCAAAGCTATTTCTTGCGTTTTCATCACTGCATTCGATTGAATTCTCTATTAAGCTACACCAGCCTGACTAGTAGTGAAAACCCTCTGGCACTGAGGAATTGCTACTTCCCACCGCTTACAAGGAATACGGCGATAATCTTGATAGAGGTGCGTCTTTGTTATTGAATATGGTAGAGGATTTCCTAGATATGCGAGAGTAATTAGGCAATAGCTTTCTGTTGCTTTCTGTCTATTGATAACGGAATGAATGTTGTGGCACGTGCAGGGCTGTTCCCCACTAAGATCCCGTTATTCGCGTCGATCCGAGGTACCGACCCGCATGTCGATCTTGTGTAAATCTGCACGCTACAGCCCCCACAAGGCTACTGGCGATCTCCCGTATAGTGGAGAGGCTTGGGAACTCGGCAAAGACCATTCTATAAGTTTTAGAGATAGCATAAGCTTAGTGGTACAGCTGTAGGAGAGGAAGTCTGTTACGACATAAAAATATACTCTTTTCGAATCAATTCTGAAGGCGACGACGTAAACGTGATTTTGTAGTCGGAGGCAACTATGGTGTTGGGGAGTGACAACGGAATGTAATCTACAAAAAATAATTATAGATATTGCGTTGTGGATAGATATTATGATACTTGAAGTTAATGTACCGCCTGGTTTTTCCGGCACCGAGGGTTTTCCGCCATGCAGGGACGGACGTTACTCAGTTATACTTCTTCGAGATTGGTTTTTACCTGCTTTGAAAGACTGTTCGCAGTGGGTCGCGTGAAACGCAGACGACATGCAGTCACAAAGACGGGGTTGACCTCGGCACGGGGAATGCCTACATAGTTGTTGATATCCTTGGGTATGTGAGCCGATGAGTCCAAGTGCTGTTGGAGAGCATGCTGGCTCTTGAAGCTTCTACCACACTCGCCGCAGTTGTAGCAGTGTGCTGGAGAGTCCAGGTGTTGTTGAAGAGCGTGCTGGCTCTTGAAGGACCTGTCACAGTCGTCGCAGTCGAACTCGTGAGCTGGAGAGTCCAGATGCTGCTGGAGAGCTTGCTGGCTGCTGAAGTAGCGACCGCAAGGGACGCATACGTAAGCCATTGCTACTTGCTAGTTGCGTTCAAGCTGACGAGGATGGGGAGTGGAAGAGTGAAGCTAGAAAATGATGTAGGTGATGAGGACAAGTAAAGTGGAGAGAAACTGACATAGAAGAAGAAATTCGTATCATGCTCAGTCTAATCTTTTCTGCATTCATAATCTCCAATTTCCGTCACAATCGCTGTTCGCGTTGCCGCCCACGCGTAGGCGCAATCGTGATGCATGTCTGACGTGTTGTACGGCTGACCTGCACTGCGCGACGCACATGCATGAATACATACTGGAAGAGTGTTGGGTATGGTCCTGTCCAACCATGTTGACCACATTCTCGCATCTGTTACTGCATCTGTTCAAAGCCTGCTCCACATACATTCAAGCTGTGTTACCAGTATGCAAAGCACGATGTGTTGGCCTTACAGTACTCGTCGAAAAAACTTCGCTGCGTGATACCCAATGCTAGAACCGAGATCTATCATTGCCTTGTGTCAAAAAGTAATTGTCCTCAGGGTATGCTTTCCACCATCCTGCTCTATTCCAACTTGCAGACATTTGTTTTTCTGTCGATTGTTTCCACTGATCGCGGCCTTGGCCTCCCCCGACTCCTCGCGACTACTAGAGTCTCTTCAAAATTCGGAGCACTTAGGGAAATGTTCATATCAGAAGATTGTGGCTCCGAATCTGGAACACTCAAAGGGGGCAAAACAAATGTATGAGAACTTCTCTGACCTAAGGAGACAGCCTCATATCCTGATCCTCAGTAATGGCCGAGTTATGATTTACTGCTACATTCAAATCCAGTCTCGCCGTGTTTGATTTAGCTGCTGCTGACTGGACGGTCGAGCGCCGTTACCACTTCTACATCACCATCGAGATGGTAGAACTATCTGGACGGAGCCAGTCAAGTCCTAGCGCAAAGCGTATCACCTGTCGTGCTTAGATCATACCGCAGTGCTCCAAAGACCCTCTCTCCGAGGTCTAGCCGATTTCGCTAGTCATAAGCTCACTATTCACTGCTCGTGCTGCTCCCAGCAGTTTCTCGCGCCAGGACCTCAATAGACGATAACTCACGATAAGAATAAAAATCGATGATGTCTGTGTCATTCGAATTCTCCACTCCCGGCTGTCTGCGCACTGCATTAGACAATTTGCAGTGCAGTTCTATGCCCTCACTTTCGAAAGATGTCGATTACCTATCACCACTGCAAAAGCTCGCCATCGAATTTGGGCGGTCCGTAGTTGGCGAATATGGCCTCGAGAACGCTCTCGCACTCTCCACAGGCTGCTACCGAGACATCGTCGTTGTGCTCCAGGAGCCCACCTATGGTGCCTCTTATCTCTGTCCAGCAGAGATGGTTGCACAATCCTACACTATTAATTGGATTGACGAAATACTTTGTCGATCCACCGGAGGCGTACGTACGTGGAGCAATACACGTATTTTTGATATTCGCCCATTCCGCAACGCAAGGTGGAGGGAGGAAGATGCTTCTGACTCAAGAGAACGCTTCGATGAGATGGCATATCAAACTTTCGAAGAGATGATCCGCCTCGCGAAGCCAGATGTCGTGCTTGTCTGTCAATGCGAGACAGCTCAAACTGCGAAGAACAAATTAGCAATAGGTCTCTCATCATCAATTACCTCAGCCGGAACTCTTAGGGTCCTTGAGATCCTGGGCCGAAAAACGATCATTGTTAACGGCTTCCATCCTTCATACTTTACAAGGCAGCTATGGGCTAGGGACGATGCAGCGGACGACAAACATGGGCAATTGTGTCGCCGGAAAAATCTGGCTCTTCTGAGTGAAGGCTTGCTGAAGTTTGCTTTCCTGGCTGCTGTCAATGCTGCTGCTGGACGCAAAATAACCGGCTTCGGCCGAGCAAATCTCTCCCGCTGTGCCTTGAATGGGCCTGTTAGCAGAATGGAGCGAGTGGACAATGCGAATGGCGAGCAGTCGTTATCTATAACGCTGACTTACGAATGGATCAGTAAGGCTGATATCGCATCTCCTAAACTTATCGAGAAAATGAAGCGGAGACCAGTTGGTATAGAGTTAGTGAGCCATTCCAGAGTCATTCTATTGTGCTGACGTTTCCTTAGGATAACAAGAAGGAGCTATCTGACCTCCTCTACCAGGTCACTCTTCGCGAGCAGTGATCAACGCCGGCTGCTCGCCGCCGAGGGACGGACTTCTCGGGAAGACAGAAGCCAAGCACAGGACTATGCCAGGAGAGTATGAGGGAGTACATTGGAACATGGTCCGTCCACAGCGCTATATCAAAACTACCCGGTTGCTGTATAGTTTGGCAAAAAGCAGTAGGGGCGAATTTTCATGCGAGAGTGTTGAAGAGGAAGCTGCTTTCCAGGTTTGTTTTCTTATCAATTGTTCCAGTACTTGATTTGATTCACACTAGCCAGCTACTGTACACGAGATAGTAGAGCAAGAATTGGCACAAGTTATCGAATCGTCAATTCTGTAGAGACTACCAGTCGCACATATGTATTCTGGACAACTGTGTTACTAAGAAAAAGAACATAGAAGCGGCCCCACTGTCCACACTTCACCATTAACCAGAATATGATGCCCTCTCTCATATTTGAGTGAACCTCCGGCAATAAAGTATCGATCAGACACTCGTGTAATTCAAGATGGCGGTCAGCTTTGATCAGTGATATGTCCTTGGTTTAGGTTTGATCAAAGTAGAAGCTGACATGTGCGGATAAGACTTCTCGGTTCGATGACCACAAATTTGGACTTCAACCAGAGACGTCGAAGGGTACCGTTCCATACATTCCACAAGCGTTGGGATCGATAACGGCTTCATGCGCATTCTCGATATCCTCACCGCCCTCGAACTTTCGACACACGATGCCTCAACGTAGGCACCCATTTGCCTATTCAAAATTTCGAATTTTTGAGTTGGAACGAGAGATGGGATTGTATACAAGATCAGCGACGAGCTCGTATTGAAAGCCACATTAGCCTGGGCGAATGCGACCAATGATGTTGATCAAGAGCATATGGAAAGCGTACATTGAGAGAGGGAAAGGTAACATATAAAATATTGCGTCAACACCAGCCTCCGTACATCATGTCTATGATTCTATCAGTGCCAGAGGGACTCTTCCTACCTTTCGCTATGGAAGGCAGTCTCGGTCTACGGCTTCACACCTAAGAATAAAACTTAATGTAATGTTGGCTGCAAAGGAGCACTTCAGAAGCAAGTCCAATCGTTGAAAAGATTATTGCTGGAAATGACGGCGCGTATGAAGAGGTTAGGCTAAGCTGGCACATTGGGTGTGCGATATCTTACAATACAACTCTCGGGTCCAATTCATGACATGGGACAGTTTCGCGTCAACAGGTCTAGATTAACAACGAGTGAATCATGGTAGCAATTGCTTTCGGCTGAATTGTGCTCAGTGAACCGCGGTTTGAGATCTGACGTCTCATCAAAGCCTACTCCATTCAACATGACGCTCGATATTCGCGCATCCAGATCCCAAATGAAGACGGAACTCCTCTTCGGCGCCTTGCTCTCCCACTTTAAGCTTCAGCTGCGTAGGCCACTTCTCCATGATTGTATTGCTTTTCTTCATTTCAACACCTAGATCTGCAGAGATCTTCTTGAAATCGTATAAGAGCATGTACCTGACGAACAATCAGTCTCAATGCTACCTAAAACCGAGGACGTACCGATTAAAGAATCTGTCAACATCGAGTGCTAGATCACGCGCATCCCAGATTCTCATCATATCGGCATCGTTCATCGAAAATGTCCGAGGCAACGGGAGATATTTACTAAGAAACTCCATATTAGGGGTTTCATCCTTCGGATTCCCCCTCTTTACTGCTTCCTTTACTGCATTGATAAAGATAGTAATCAATGTCGCGTGCACGTTCTGTTGTGGTGATTGTAGTAGGGGGGACAAGAGAGAAAGCGTATCTCGAATCCCAATATAACCACTGTCGCAAATGTTGGCCACCTTCAATTGCCTTAGCCAGGTCTACTCGGTCTGCTGAGAGACTTACCTCTATTCTAGCGTATCTACTATGTTCAAGATGCTGAGGCAGATCCCTGGCATCGACATTGTAGAGTACAAAGCAGATTTTGGTTTTTTGAAGACGGCCCAAGAATCTTTCCATCATATTGTGAATATAAATGAACAATTTGCCGTACCAGTCTTGAGGAGCAGGCCAGCCCGTCTGTCGGACGTCCAAGACCGGCCAGCCATCGGAGGGGTCAGCCTTGTCGTCTAGAGGCCAGCCTTTTTGCCCCTGGAAAAATGTGCTAGGTAGATGAAGTTAGAATTGATCGAGTATCTTCAAAGATACTTACGGGTTCGGAGTATCGAATGCTGTTCGAGGGTACCCGAATGGTGCAAGTATACCATCGTCTTGAAACTTCTGCCTTGCAATTCGCATAAAGGGCGATGAATCTTTGAAGTACCATCGGTCTCGGTAGTCGAATCTTTCTGGAGCAAGAGTCACAGTCCTCCGAATTGCTGCAGCATCTTCAACACTGAATTCCTCTGGTACGTCTAGGAAATCTGCAAGTCGAAGCCACTCCTTTTGCTTGAGTATGAGGCGAAGTGTTCGTCCGTTCGAGAATGTCCAGGTTTTTCCTAGCGTAGTACTTGGCGGTTTATTTGTGATTTTGCTGCAAACTTCTGATATCAACGGCTTTACCCTGTCGCGTAGCTGAGACAGCACGCATGATGGAAAGGAAGCAGAGTACCAAACGTGAATCAATACCTCGGGGTTGCTTAACGGCGAGGTGGACGCCTCGACAGTAGTCGAGTCTTGTATAGTCAAAGCCAGGAGGAGCAAAATAGCATTTCTTGCCACGACAGTGAACTCCAGGTCATTCATGGTGATATCGAACTGCTGCATCATATTACGCGGGAGACTCGCGATTGTTCTGACAACATGACGCAAATCTCCTGACGCTATTGTACGTAAGCAGGCACAACCGGACTAGAAATCGGTACCGACCAGCAAATAGTAATGCAACATCTCGTTTATATTCGATGCCCTCGTTCTGCTCAAGATTCAGGACATCTACCGCCGGAGTATTTCCCCAGAGGTATTTGTTGCCTCCAAACATATTATGCCAGTTCGTAGATGCTTCGCCGCTCGCCCAGTGTGGTACCCGGCCTTCACGATCCCATGAAGGGCGCCAGTCTGCCTTGGCCATGGAAGATCGACAAGCCTTCTTGTGCTCTGGCCAATGCGCCTTTTGACAATCGATACCACAATACTAATGCCTGTGTCAGGTATAGTAATCCTAACGGCTGATCTGGATATACTGACGACTACAAGTTTGCAGTTTCCACAGGCTTTAATGCCTTGCCTTTCGCAACCAGACGTTCCATGCATCCAGTTGGAGCAAGTTGGCAGAAATACCGGAGACTTCATCATAGTGATGAAGAGACGAGCTTGAGGTATCAGAAGAACTTGGAGACTGTCACGGTACCTCTACAGGACGAAATTGGAGACCATGATTGAGGACAGGTCCGTTGTGCGGCTATATCGAAATTCTGGAAGTTGGTGAAAAGCTGTGTAACACACCCAACGAAGCTGGTTGGCTCGCGTCGACCCAATGATGGCCAATAGTATATGATTGACATCGGAGTCCTACAATTTTCCACTAGCTAGACTCAAGTGGACGATACTCGTTGCCACTAGAAATAGGTCTATTCTCCGTTCTATCTGTGACTATTGGAATAAGTTAACCAAGAATCAAACTCGGTTCGGTAGGCAAATCCTTGCAATGTTGCTCCCGAGTTGGCGATTCGTGTATGGTGTGTTGATGCGTCCAACAATTTCCTTCACCGCCCTTTGGAGCAGGGTCTCGGTCACTATCTTAGCCTTGCCACTAGGCGGGAGATCGTCAGTAGCGTTGTGACGGCTGAGCTCGCTGTCAACCATGCTTGTCACGTTGTATGTGGCGTCTCAAGAAGATCCTATGCACAGCCACATATCCGCTGCCGCTCTGCGACCGCACTTCGAGCCACGTTCCATCGTCCTTATTCAATCTGAATGGTACTTTTCGTGCAATAAGGTAGCACTCTATGACCGACCGCGCCAGTAAAGCACTTGCAGTGGCGTCCTTGCCAGGAGAGCCTCGAACGTACGATGCCACCTCTAAACGCAGCGGAGTCCCTCTGACTACCCTTTATTATCGTGATCATGGGCGGCGCTCGAAAGAAGAAAAGGCCAAGCGCCGACAATTATTCAGTCCATCAGAGGAGAAAGCACTCGAAAGGTATTTTGAAACAGATGGCTTACCTCGTGATTTCTGTGCAAATCAAGTCTCTTGTTCATGGCAGGGCATCTTCTAAATACGAGTTGACGCAGAGATCGTGGTTAAAAACAACTTCTTTCCGCACAACGCACCACTTGAGTTGGTCCTCTTCTCTCCAGCCACCGTTTACATGATTTTTGTTATCTCTTGCATGCACAATACAGCTCCTACAATACTCTTCATTGCTTTTGCCATGCTTTCCGTTCGGGCAGTAGAAGAAGTTCTGTTGTTGTACCATGGGGACCATTGTAGTCTCCATGTTGCCACTCGTCGTAATCTCAACGAAGCGATCCTCCACTATGAATGTGCGGCCCTCAGGATCGGAGATGGTCTGTTTCCTTGAACATCCTCGGTCTTGAGTTTCGGTAGCTAAATAGCGGATTTCGACAACCTTCAAATATTTGCGTTCGCATAACCATCTTTCTAGTCTCTCAATGATGAAATATTTTGCTTCCTCTAGTAGAGCTTGATAGAGAGCGAAATCGTGGCCTTTTGCTGTGTCGTAGAAGACCGGAAGGACTCCGGTCCGTAGATACCGAAGGATATGTTCGAAGATGTGAGCGTCGGTTTCGATAAAGTATGACCCATCCTCCTGTTCATCACCCCATTTCCCAGAGCAGAGGCTCTTGAAGTAGATGCTTTGACCCAGCCATCGTTCCGGGTCAGTGATGAAGTTACGTTGCGATGTTTTAATTGTGGTGTACATGATCACCCTCGGGAGACGTTCTGCAGTCTTGTTGTGAGAAGTCTTGGTGGTTTGACACTTGATGAAAGACAACTTTTCGATATTGGAGGATGGAAGCAGTGAGGGGTTCAAGTGGGGAAAAGATTTCAAGCTGGATTCAGAGACTGACGTTTTGAGATGGGCGACGACTGAACAAACCCAAGTTTGGCCTGGAAGTCGAGCACATAAGAACATGCCGAGATATGCGACGTCTCAACTTACCTCACTTATTGTGTCACATATGTCATCTGCAAAATACTTATTCAGGATTTGCCAGGTCAGACATTGCTGATCTCGACCCCCTCCCGCCGAGAACAATGCCAGGTGAACATTGTGGGAAAGAAATTGTTTGACTGGGAATGGCAAGGGTGCGGGTGTACAAGGAGAGACCTGGGCGGGCAAACGCACTGTGTGGCTGGCTGTCTTTATCTCTGACCGCCTGAATGGTCATATATTCTGTCAGAATTGGCTTTTCTGACCGAGTTTTGATATCTGTCTTTGTCTCTGACCGCCTGAAACGTCATATATTCTGTCAGAATTGGCTTTTCTGACCGAACTTTGATATCTGTCTTTGTCTTTGACCGCCTGAAACGTCATATATTCTGTCAGGATTGGCTTTTCTGACCGACTTTACTGCGTATCTACTAAAAGCTAGCTTTATTTTTGTCACCTTGCCCAGCCAATCGATGTCACGAGCTGGTATAGCAGAAGAAAACGCAAGACGGCGATTAGAAAGCTTCGTGCATTGACCAATTGAGTATAGGTATGCTCGATGGACAAATTTGCTCCCGTTCGCCTTTTCGCCTTCTTTAAGCATCGCAAAGAATATCTTCGATTTTGTGCTGTGCATTATATACTCACGCTCATACACGCCTGCAGCATGGAGGTGGTCCCGGATATCGCAACTGCATCGTCGCACTTGAAATATGGTAATAGGTTTTTGGAGCGTTTAGTGTTTCTGGACTAACTTTGGCAGACGGTTCAGCTAAGACTCCCTCCGTGGTACAAGCTGAAGACATTTCAAAATTAGCGGAAGGTCTTGCTCAGAGCAAACTAGAAGAGGCTTACGAATTGATCGACACCGTTGAAGCCATCCCTGCTGTCATCAGCAACCTCATTGACCAGCCAACAACACCTCCTTCTATTTACATCGACTTAGAAGGAGTTAAGCTTTCCCGAGAAGGCTCCATATCGATCCTTCAGATTCACATAGCCCCACAGAAAAAGTCGTATCTTATCGACATTCATGTCCTCGGCTCCAAGGCATTCGACACCTCTGGCAATCTGGGCCACACTCTGAGGTCTGTGCTTCAGTCTGACTCGATTCCTAAGGTTTTCTTTGATGTTCGGAACGACTCCGATGCTCTTTTCAGCCATTTCCAGATCTGTTTGGGTGGCATTGTGGATCTTCAGGTCATGGAATTTGCCACACGAACGTTCCGAAAACAGTTCGTAAATGGACTTTCGAAATGCATTGAGAGGGATCTATATCTATCATACAAGCAGCAATCCGAGTGTCAGCGGGTCAAAGAAACCGGACTCAAATTGTTTGCGCCTGAAAGAGGGGGCTCCTATGAAGTCTTCAATGAGCGGCCCTTATCAGACGCAATTGGCTTGTACTGCGTCCAAGATGTACAATGGCTACCTGATTTGTACCAGACATATCTGCCAAAGATTGGCAAGTCAATGTCTGCCAAGATTGCACAGGCTACTCTTGATCGGGTCAAGGAGTCGCAAAGTCCTCTCTATAACGGGCATGGCAAGCACAAGGCGATTGGTCCGTGGTGAATTTTGGTAGAAGAAGTAGTTTTGGGCAAAAGTCATGTAACCATTTCTTAATTTATCGCCGTGATTTGACTCGAAACCACTGTGACTCTTTGCTCAGATTAGATGTGCGCAGCGTGAACGGGCGCCACGAAGGAGATGCGCCTTCTAATCCTATGATCTCCTGATTCCCCCCCGATATTGACACGCCTAATGTCGAGAATCAGCATGCCGATCGTTATCGATAACTTTGAGGACAGGCGTTCAGGTGAAATCGCGAACCATATCCACGGGATCGTGGGTAAGGAATAATGTGGCAACCCTGTTGAAGTTCTGCGGCTACTTTCGAGACTGCCTCTATTCGTCGATAGCTGATATGACATGCTTGGCAGCTCCGATTTTGACACCTAACTTAGATTAATCGAATCTCTGGGTTTGGATTTGTATAGATGGGTCCCATATCTACATAAACGTCCATCCCCGCGTGCCGGAAACCCCTCCGTGCCGGAAATTTTAACCGGTACGTTGACTTTAAGTATAATTTGATCTGTGCAGAACGCAATACTTCCAATTACTTTTAGTGAGCTGTATTCAGTGGCCACTCCTGAACATCTTCGATTACCTCCGACTAGAAAAATTACTTTCCCGTCGTCGCCTTCTATTTCATTTGCAGAGGGTTTTGTCTTATATCGTATCAGACTTCTTATACCAGAGCTGTACCACTAAGACCGCATTATTTCCAAAAGTCATCGAGAGTTCTCAGTTGAGTTCTTTGGCCTTCCCACAATGCGGGAGATCATCAACAATCTTGTGGCAGTTGTAGCGTGCAGATTCATGCAAGATCGCCACGCGGGTCAGTACCTCGGATTTAAGCGAGTGACGATGATCGCGGGAACAGCCCCACATCTGTGTGTCCGAGCTTTCACTTGATACTTTTCGTGGAACCAATCGTTGTTGGCAGATCAAACACTGACGTTGAATAACTTACTAACTTAATAGATTATAAATCATCGGTCAATTGCGATTATTGACATTAAAGTTTGAAATTTACTAAATTTACCAATCTGTAGGACGCCAAATTGACAATATAATATCCTCTTGCTCAGCCTTCCATGTCTCTAAAGCTGTGCAGGATGAAATAAGATGTGGATAATTAGCTCCCAAGACACGTTTCCGACCTCGTACACAATCTTCTATAAGCCTGACAGCTTCAGTTTCTTTGCCGATTCCTTTCCACATGATTGCCAGGTTGCCCATACTTGTCAGTGTGGAAGCGTGGTCCACGCCGAGCTTCGTCTTGAAAGTCTCTATGACTTGCACAAACAGCTTTTCAGCCTAACAGAGATAAATGCATAATTCCTAAACACAAGCAAGTGCTCCTCAAACTTTTTAGCACGCCCATCACTCTTCACATCTCGGCCTTCACGACCGACTATCTTACGGCGTAAGAGGTGTGTCAGACGCTGAACTGGTGGCGCGTTGAAACTTCCAATTTCATGTCGATGACGAAGCAGCGGTCAAACAGACTCATTAGAGACAGTAAGTCAGCTGCCGAGGGCTTGCTTTGACGTATGTGCTCAAAAGAGATGTGCCATGTGATGATGATAGAGTTCGCAGCCTCTCGGTCTCGTCGAAGATGTCCAGCTTGATTGTCCAAGAGACTTGTCTTTTCGCGATCGCTTTTCCGAAACTGGTCTAGGTACTCCGACACCGAACATCTCGGCGCTCGTTGGGAAATGTATGCCGCTGCTTGGATTATAGCAAGCGGCATGTATTCTAGCGCTGCAGCCAGGTCCATAACATCACAGTTCTTGCCATCAATGTGCTACTGCATCAACCTTGCTCATAGGACCTACTGCAATCATTTCGTGGTCTTCCACAAGCTGTACCGCTTCCAGCTTAGTCCTTGTGGTAATTAGAACCGTCCCATTCTGGCATTGCGGCAGGTAAGAGACAAGCGGCCGTGAATTTGCGATCCCCGTGTTACTTGCTTGCCCATCTTGTCCAGTCCTTTGCGCCTCGACGAGAAACAGTGCGTCATCCACGTTATCAAGTATAAGAAACCACTTCCCCTTCTTCTCATCAGACAGCCATTCGTGCACGAGCTGGAAGATATTGGCTGTTGGATTCTGCCGCCCCGGGATCTTGACACGATCTGCAACCTCCCGAAAGCTCTGCTCAAACCGGGCAGCATTGCTTGCGTGAACCCAGAAGACCCATTTTTCTGGCGAGAAGTCTCGAGTTCGGTAGGCGTATTCGATTGCGAGTTGCGATTTGCTTTACAGTGGTTAGCTATACGAATCAATAAAAGCGATTGTGCTTACCCAACGCGACCCAGGCCAACGAGCGCAGTTCGAGATCCTGGAACAGCGCATTTCTGGTGAATCTGATCAAGTGCCCCTCGCTTGGCAAAGTCTGAGTCGCGACTGAAGGGTTTGACGATCGACGGCTTCAGTGGAGTCTCTGGTCGTTCTGCGAGTGGGGACGTCAGTAGCGCGGGGTCAGCATGGACCTTTGCGACTTACCAGGAGGGGCATGGTGATGGAACTGAGCGTTGACTTGGCCATTGAATATTCCACCTTAAAGGCCGGAGCTGGCGTCGCCAAAAGATACCGTGGATGCCATTACAGCAGAGGTATTGCCACGGATTGTTGGTAGCAGCTGTTTGCGACGATGTCGTTGGCCGTCCTTCAGCCGCAATGACCTGCAGCTACCCCAGTCAGAATGACGGCGTTTCTGGGATTTCAGCTCACATATCCATCTCCACCTATCGTCACTATTGCGTTTCCAGGATATCCCAACGTACCATCATGCTTCAATTCAACAAGTACAGTCGAATATGTATCCATACAACGGTTTTATTCCTACACGGTCGCTCTTCCCCCATACATCCGTCGTCCTATCACGGACGTTCTGCAATCTGCGATACCACTCCACAACCTCGAACACAACAAGAACATCTAGACTTTGGTTGCATCGGTGAATTCGATGTTGTTGTCATCCGTAGGAAGATCTTTAAAACATGGAGTGCGCCGAATGGGATTGAAGAGGGACATATTTGGTATTTCAGTCGATGCATGCGACTTCCCGGTGGTACCACACTGTCCCAGTCCAGTCTTTCTGCAAGTTGCCGTGAGGGAGGCCGGTGATACAAGTGTTACCTATGGATGCTTATCAAAATGCAATCGCTTTCAAGGCGATGAGAAATACAGTGAGCAGTTTGAATTGTTGTCCACTACGCTGAAATGGATCTTGTTCGCGAGAGCCAGGGGAGCTTCGACAATTGGCTTATTGATGAAGAGAGTTACTGTGATGAGGCATATTGGGTCGCAGCTGCGTGGAAACGCGAAGGTGTTGCAGATATCCCACAGGGCGGCGCCGGAGGTTGGAGGGATGGTGGTGGAGTAGAATGTGTTGAAGTGCGTCAGGAGCAGGGGCTAAAGGAGGAGGAGGTTATGTCTGCTCCAGCCGAGTCAGCCCTCCAAACATTTCCAGAAGAGGAAGGGACTGAGGATACTCTTGTCACTACGGAACGGAGGCTGTCCTGGTTGAAGACAGGTCTACATGGAGCACAAAGGTCTTTTCAAAGCACCAGTTCTGAGGACAGCAGATTCGTGGTAGAGCGAGCAAACTTCAGGTATGTAGTAGTCACTCTCCTACAGTCTCTGAGGGAGATTAACAGCTCATAGATCATCATTCTCCCGAAAATCATACAGGTGTGGTCTCGGCTGCGATACTCCAGCCTTCAAATGGCCCAAAGACCTTCGGCGCCATATCAAGGATATCCACGAGAACAGGGCGCGATATCGATGTCCAGTAGCAGGGTGCAGACACGGCGACAATACGGCCTATCAATCCATAAAGCGCAAAGACAATTTTCGTCGCCACCTCCAGAATCAACACAACTTTCAAAGTGCTGATCTCTTGGATCTCGATTTGAACTGGTTCATGGTCATGTTTGAAGGTCGTTGAATAAGGATGGGAAGAAGAGCTGGGAGAGGCTGGTACCAAAAATACAGAGAGTGACGGTCTGGTAATTTTGTTATTATGATAAGGGTTCGAGGAAGACTAAATCCAAAGCCCAGTAATTATTTGCAGGGCCTGCCCCCAAAAACCTCACCCCATCTATTCGAACTTAGAAAAGAGCAATGACATTCTGTTTCTCCTCGTATCAGTCTGATTATCCCACAGCTTGCACTTAAGATCAGATCATCCGTGCCACTGGTGCCCTGACTGGTGTTGGAGCTTCCATCACCGGTGCCACTTCTGGCTCTGGCTCTGGTTCTGCTTCAGTGTCGTTGGCTATCTGTACCATGATCTTACGCTTCCGGCCCCGTCTCATTTTACCCACGAACTCCTTCACAGCATGTGCCGTTTCTGGCTCCGCCTCCACGTCTGGCTCGCTCGGCTCCAACGCAGTCAACTTACGCTTCCGACCTCTTTTGCCCTTCCCCTTCGTAGCATCTTTCGCAGTACGCTTGGCTCGTGCCTCCTCAATGTCTTCATAGCTCATAACCTTCCCCTGCCCTTTCGCTAGTATTCCAGAATTAGTTGATCGGCGAATTTTGGCTTCGTTGTTGATACTTTTCAAGAATGACCTTTCTTCATCGAGGAGGGCACAAGAAGCAATGGATCTTTGGCCAGCATTGGCAAAGCCTTCTCCCTAGTAGAGTGTTATATAGAGGTGGAATGTTCCTTGCCAATTATGTTTACACCTCCTCGATAAAGGCGCTCGACCGCTTCTCGATAGGCATCCTTCAAAGGTGCAAAGACTCCGACGTCACAGGGCTGAAGCTTGTGCTGTATACGCAGCTATATTTTCCCTCCAGATAGTATTTAGTTTCCCTTTCGTTTTCAAGAAGTACTACAAGCTAACCCTGCCCTTGTGTAACTAATTGATGTGTTGTTTGTTGAGAACATCAAGCCGAGCTCTTCACACGACCCTAGGAGTAGCTGAAGATAGCGTCGTTGTAGAAGTGCGTAGTCCACTCGAAGCATTCAAGCAGCCTATATCCCAATACATTTCCGATCCAGTCTTTTCGAAAGCGTCCCCATAGGACATCCAACGCGAGAACAGAAAGCAAGACTTTCTTGCTGCGCCACACGCGAAAGCATTGCAGGTATTATCGTTGTTACAATCGAGAGCGCATTGCGAGATATCAGCGGACTTGACTGTCATATACCTAATGGAGGTGTTGTTAGACAGAGTAATACTGTCGATATCGATCCCTTCTCCACAATTCAAGGACGAGCTATTGAAAATGGCGGAAGAGCAGTGGAAAAGAGCCGATAGGATCCAAAATATATTCAAAATTTATCATTTCCCTCTTTGTTCATTGGTAAGTATTCAGTACTGAGCTCTCCTTTTAATACAGAAAATTCCAATACACCAAGGCCTATTTAGGAGTGGATGTTAGGTCTCAACTGCTTAGATTGTGAGTCACTTGCTGATCTATCTACTGTATCATCAAACTAGCACTATTTTCGGATACGAAACAGGTCTAGTACTGTATCTACTCTGTTGAAAGTCTTCGTTTCCCGTATCTAAAGAGACGCGTCCAAACTAGGAATTGGAGCCTCGCTTGATCAGGGTTTCGCTTAAACCCTGCATGTAAATAACAAACTTTAGCCGTTGGACTTTTAGGCATGTTCCTCTTACTTGCCTCATCTGAAAATAAAAATATGGCCCCTCGAATCTAAAGACTCCTTATTCAAGCAAGTTCTTTGGACCCCCATATCTAACGACATGAATTCAACATCTAAATCATTCACTACCTCAACTTGTTCATATAAGCGAGTCTTCTTTTACCTTCGTCAATTAGAGCTTTCAAGCACCTTCAAGACATGTCGCCACCATCTTCAAACATTTTGTCTCACGGAAAGCCTGCGCCTGCTTTACATAACACCCCACTTTCTCTGGGTGGTGTGCGTATATACAGACTGAGGCTGCACCCCGACCGTCTCCCGGCGCCTGTTTCGGGGACATATCCTTCAATCCGCCTTTGCGTAGAACTAACCTTGAAAAGGATTTTCTTCAGAGGATTAACCCAGCTTCACTTGATGTGTGGGCATATACTTAAATCTTTGTATACGCAGAATTGAGTCTGCACAAAGGATCCATACAATTACTTATCTAGGCTGCCATCGGGGGGCATCTGCCTGAAATCAAGAACGCCGCAACCTTTGCCCCCTCCAGGCGTTTGGAAGGCGTCATATGCTTAAATCTGCGTACGCCCAGAATCTAGAACGCCACGCCCCAACCCCTCCTCCAGATGCTTGCTTCGGGGGCATATGCTTAGGCGGTAAATGCTTAAATCTGACGCCCAAATCCAAGAACGCCGCACCCTCACCTCTCACCGTCCGGACACTTGCCTTGGTGGCATATGCTTAAACCTGTGTATGGGTAAAATCAAGAAGGCCGCACCTCAATTCCCGCCCCGCCAAGTACTCATTATAAGGGCCTATGCTTAAATCTACGTATACTTAAAATTAAAAAGGTCATCCCCCACCCCTTCTTACACTTGTCTCGCTTATCTCGGGGTGTAGGCTTAAAACTGCATGTGCCTAAGATCAAAAAGGTCATACCCCCAAGGTACCGATCTGTCATTGCCTTATCCTTGCCCCTGCTGCAGGAGGACAATCACCTGTCTCGCTTGTCTTGGGGCATACGCTTGAATCTGCACATGCCCAAATTCAAGAAGGTCATATTCCCACCTCCTTCCCGGCTCTCGTCTCGGGGGCATATGCCTATATCTGCGCATGCCCAAAATGGAGGAGGTCGTACTGAAGGTACCTTCCGTACCCTCCACCTTTATTTAGTTTTCACTTTTCAGGGGATGCGGGGTGATCTCGCTTCGTTGCGGGGTACTTGCACAATAATGTGCACAGCCTCGGTGGGTGCTCATAGACATCGCTGGGTCTTCTCGAGACCAAGTAGCTCCGCATCTCTCCAGCGATCAGTGCTATGAAGTCCATGACAGTACTCTTGATTGATTAGCCATCCTGCCATTCTCGTTCAGGTTCAAGGTAGAATGCATTTTTATTTCACAAAACAAATTCCCAAGCAAACTAGCAGCAAAATACTCCGTACTCGCGACGAGGAACGTAACCCGAACCAGTCAAGACTGAAGTCGCAGTGTCTGCATCATCTCCCAACACTCATCCATACATTCCTCCTTCACAATCTCCTCTTCCTGCTCCTCATTCCCGTGTATATCTACCTCATCATCAATTTCTGATACGATCACCTCCTTTCCACTACCTGTTACGAAGTCACAGTAAAAAGCTGCTGCCTTGGGCCAGAGTACCCATATACAGTGCTCTGCCCGGACGCGAGAAAGATGAGTCTTCACCATCCTCGCTCGCTCGGGACCAAATTTCTCCACGTCCTTTGCGTTGGGTTCAGTAGGGTCATAGTTCGATTCGACAATGCAACCAGGCGCCATTTCATAGAGCATATCTGTTAGTGTTGGCAGAAACCGCTTACTAACGGCAACTAGAAGATCTCCTTAAATCCTGCAGATGTTCTTTAAATCTGTTGAATCGACGAGTTGCTGATGGTGGAGGTGATCTTTGTGCTTCTCCACGACACTGCGTACCTTACTCGGTTTCTTTAGCTTCGCGAGTCTATCTTTGAAAATGTCGCGTTAAGCAAGACACACCATCTTCTTGTCAAGGTCTGAAACTGACATGGTGGCGTCCGAGGACATAACGAAAGCATCTGGACGGAATCGCCGTTGGCGGAGTTGCTATTCAGTGAGGCTCCATAAATTCACAATTCTTGTGCACGGACCTCATTTTTGAAGCTTGATACCCCGCGATTTTGACACCCAGCCTCAGAAATCTGCCATACTGATTGCACTTCTCAGCCAACAAATATTGAATGATGCCCCTGGCACAAAGTTTCGTAGATACTATTGCACAGTGTGCTCACTTTGTATAGAAACTGGCCGTGGCTGATATGGGACAGGTGTTTTGACAATGATACCTATTCCGATCTAACCATTAAATGTCGCGATAGATCTTGGAAAGTTCACCGCGTTATTGTTTGCTCCCAATCGAACGTTCTGCATGCAGCATGCATGGCAGGCTTTAAGGTTCGTATTTCGGGAGTGATCATCATCCAGCTCGAAATCTTACTCTTTATAGGAAGCACATACAGGTGTCATTGATCTAGACGACGATGATCCGGTCGCCGTCGAAATAATGTTAAAATACTTCTATACCGGCAAATATAACGAACCGATCAACGAGAGCAAAGAACTGCATCTACAGTTACAGGCTCAAGTCCTCACATATACCTTAGCCGATAAATACGATATACCGACTTTGATGGGGCTCGCAGAGAAGAGGTTCAAATCTACGCTTGACCAGGGGCCTACACCAGAAGAATATCTATCTGTGGTTTCAGATGTCTACACTGTACCTACACCAACCAACGCCTTACGGGCCATCGCTGTCGAGTATGCTAGAATTAAATTTCGAGACATGATGCAAAGCGCCGATCTTGAATTTTTGCGAGCTCTGCTACAGGATGTACCAGAGTTCGCTTTCGATGTACTTCAGCTGTTCGTCAACGCCCCACTGAGAGGTCGTTGTTTCTCCTGTGGTCCAAATCAGAATGCTGAAGCACTCCAGGCGCGCTGTCTCAACTGCGGCAAGGGAGGGATATCTCTGACACATTGATGGGAGACTTGGATGAGCTTTTTAGTAGATGAAGGCACAAGTCAGTCTCTCCGTTATCAGTGCAGGCTTTGAGATGGTAGGCAGATGGGCTGTGCCTATAGTTGAAGTCGATTATGGAATGCATGATCTTTCCCGTTATGACTTCATGCTTGCTAGCTCAATTTCTGAACAAAATATAACCAAGCAAATATGGTAGTCCGTTAAGGCAGTGTTATCGCAGGACCGTATTGCCTGGAAACGGTAGTTAGTAGTATGTTCCTACGAACATCTACAGTAATGGCGTCTTCTGTAGAACTCGAACGCTGCCACTTCCTTTCTTTTGTCTGTTCTAGTGATGTCTCCTCTCTGCATCCATGCACCTGATTGGTATCCTCTATAGCTTTTGGCAGCTTCTATATTTCTCTTGGAAGGAAGAACCTCTTCACATCATTATGTGAGACATGGTCTTTGGGCCAGTGGAAGAGCTGGATATTAGACCGATCAGCGGGAAGGAGCAAAGCCCTAGCTGTCTGTGGCTCGCTCGCCATTGTTTGAAGTATGTTGCAACCGAGATGCTCTCCGCCAGTCGTTACTTGGAAAGTCATTATTTGGACAGTCGTTATTTGGACAGGCGTCGGTCGGGTCGTGTGAGTGATTGGAGACCAGTTCGAGCTTGATGTCTCCGATTGCATTTTCGGTCTTGAGCTGACTGCTGTTGCCGTCAATCATTCTCGCTGTCCTTGATTGCGTCTTCTGATGTTGTATTTCTACTTCTGTCAGGCTGTTCTTTTACATAGAATTCTTGTCGTCTTAACAAGCATAGCTGTTCACATTAGGGGGCGATTCTGCGGTGGTCCTGCGGGGGTGCGGCTCAATGGCGCAAGCTGTGCCAAGATGCCATGTGGTACGAGCGTTCATCCCACAGCTTGGTTGGTGGCTTGGCTTCCTGCCAACTCCAGTTCAGTCTCCACTTGATCTACCCTGCCAAGGAAGATCCTGTGCGCCCGCCGTTCTGAGCTTTCGCTGCAGCCTCGTCTCTTTTCTTCCTCATTAACAACAACATACAACTGCTAATCTCCACCACAACTCTAGATTTGTGTCGCAGATTTTAGAACGATTGCGAAAGCCCTAAGTACCCCATTGCTGGAGTTTGGAGATCTGCGGAGTTGATTCGACGCCTCTAACGCACTTGGCGCAACGTCCAATCCAATGTCCTCCTCCCAGGACCTGAGAGTGAAGCCGTGAATCTCTCTGTTCGTTGGCTTCCATTGCTATTCATATACTGTCGACCGGCGAAACCTCAGAAGCCAACACAAAATTTCCAAATCATTCCACAGTATCGATCTGCTGACTACCGAGTCACCCACAACACAACTCTGTCGTTGGGCATCCAACCGCCGGCGAAAGTGTTACCGGCAAGCTGGCCATCGACAGCAACCCTGACAAAAAATCAGTCATGGCGTCCAATCTCCAATACAACTATGATTCTCTCCCAGGTCGTGTAGTCCGCTTACTGCGATTATGGCCAGGGCCACCAGACTCTCCCCTCGTTTGTTCCCTGAATAATGTATCTCTGGACGACCCAAACCTGGACTACAAAGCCATGTCCTATGTCTGGGGCGATAAAATCCCCCAGTCTACACTCTGGATTGATAAGATAGATCACAAGCAGCTTTTGATTCGCCCCAATCTAGCTGCGGCACTTAGACAGCTTCGGGAAAACCAACTGTCATGCTGCGATCTTAGCTGCGCCTGTCGAGGAAATTCCACAAGTATCCGCCAGAAACTTCATGAGCACTTTACCTTTCCGACATATCTTTGGATAGATGCTGTCTGTATTGATCAGAACAATATTGAGGAACGGGGCCAACAAGTGTCGCTAATGTTTGAAATCTACACCAAAGCTTCAGTCGTTGTTGCCTGGCTCGGGGAAGAAGACAAGTACACCGTTCCAGCCCTTCGGTTGCTCTATGGGCTTTCTGGTCTCTGGGACTGGTGGTCGGATGATGCAAAGGCTGCAATCCGCCACTTGGCTCACAACGAGGAATTCAAAAGCTTCTGGCTTGCACTGGGCCATTTCTTTGCACGGACCTGGTGGACGCGAATGTGGATTGTACAAGAGATTGTCCTGGCAAAGGACGCGATTCTTGTTTGTGGTCGCTGGTGCGTGAGCTGGGATCGACTTTGCAAGGCGACGACAGTATTGATGGATAGCTCTACCGATGAGCTTTTCGAAGCAACTCTCGTCACAGGAGATTTTCGCCATTTCCATGCAGCCCTACGAGGTATTGGCCTACTCAAATGCTTAAAGGAAACTAGCATGGAAATTGGTCATAATTCGACCGGAACCAGTTCGGGAGAGAAGTGCCGTTTATCTGCACTGCTACATATTGGGAGAAGTTATGAAGCCACCGATCCACAAGATAAAGTTTATGGGATCCTAGGACTTCTTCGTGGATTTGGAGTCTCCCCACAGCTGGAAGTCAGGTACGATAGGACGGTGAGTGACCTTTATATGCGCACTGCGGAATTGATATACAAAGAAGAAAATCTCAACTTTCTTGGATTGGTAGAGGTTAATCGATCCAGCGATCAGAAAAGACAGTTCAGCTTGCCTTCCTGGGCTCCAGATTTTACTGTTCCTACAAATTACTTACCAATATTCAGCGGCATGAGATATCCACCGATATGGTCAGATAAGGCTGAGGTTTCACGAGAGATGTCAGGAACATTTACCTTTACTGGGGACTCCAAAGGTTATTGCAAGTTTGGCCTGAAGGCGAAAACCATCACCGTCACGGGCTTTCGGGTGGACACGATCCAAGGAATCGAAACACGATTTGTGGATATCATACCAGACTTCAGGCGGGGCCATGCCGTAAGGTATGGTAAGCGTATATGTTGGCTCCCGCCTGACGAAACAAAAGAGTCCGAGCTTGAGGAAGTCTGGAATTCTGTTTTGGGTCATAAACCCACCCAGGCCCGAGCTTGGGTTCCCGCCGAAAAGGTTGGCGTCGAAGGCAGCTTTCCTCCCCCCCATATGAATCCACAGTGCTTCCAAACAGCTAAGATGGGATTATACGGCGTCACAGATGCGGCTATCTATGTAGATGACCATATCTGTGGGCTACTGGGACTTGGTGTACCATGTATCTTGCGGCGGCGAGCGAACTCGTGGCGTTTCGTGGGCTTGAGGTGAGTTCTCAACATTGAACCATTCTTGTCCTGACAAGCTCGGCTAACACTAAGGTTGAAAGCGGTATCATTGGTTCTGAAATTATGCAAGGCGGTCTTATGGAAGGGCTAAAGACAGGGTTATTCTCCCTGGAAAAGTTTGTAATTGGATGAAATGCGCAGGAGCAGATATTGAAAGAATGCGAGGCCGAGAATGAGACATTTGCGCCAGGGCAGGAACTATGGTGACGATAGCGTTTGAGTTGGCTTTTGATTTCATTACAACGAGTTGAAATACAACGGACATGAAGACATCCAGTTTTTGCTTGAAAGTGGAGTTATACACTAAGTTGACTTAGCCCCTCTTCATCGGCACTTCGTAGTTGCACTGAAGAAGAAAAGGGACGATGCTGCAGCGAAAGCTCGGATATCGTAGGCCTCGCTGGTCATTGAGCGACATAAATTTGCTCACCTTCGGCCTCTCTGCACTGCTTTTGGAGATGCTCAACGTCATTATAGGATGCTTTGGTCGAGAGATTCCAAGACATGAATGTCAAGTACCAGCTGTTGAAGTAGATTCCCAGTTCGTTGTTGCAGGTCTGGTGGAATGTCCATTGTGGCTTAAGAGGTCTGGGGCAAGCCACCCACTACCCCTGCCCACCTGCGAATAGTCTCACCCGCAGCTCCCCACAACTCTAAAATCTGGCGCCACCCTTTTCCCCCACGTTCATCATCTAACATCACGCCTCCAAGCCACAATGGAGATCCCTCCCCACCTGTCTCACTTCATCGATGCAAGTATGTTTACTCATGATCAGGCCAGGTGGAAGTGCGGCTCGCACTTCTGCTACTTTTGCGACAGGGACTCCAGCGAGTTTGCAAGCAGCTTCACGATCACTAGCAGCAGATTGCTCTTGTGAGAGTGACGCTGTGAGTAGTTGTCCATCAGTATGGCAGGCTCTCGCCGCATGCCCTCACTATTTCGAGCTTTCGCTGCAACCTGGTCTCTTTTCTTCCTCAACATGAACAAACAGTTGTCAATCTCCACCACCACCCCAGGTTCGCGTCGCAGATATGGTATTGATATAAAAAGACCCAAATACTGTTTATCTGCTTGTAGATTTCCGAGTTCTGCAGAGTCGATTCGATGCCGGCCAGCACGTTCGGCGCTAAGACGAGTTCAGTTTCTTCGACATCTCTTTTCCTCCACAACTCTCCTGCACAACCATTCTCAAATTCCGTCAGAACCAAACGCGTTGATCAATAAATCAAATACCACTAGCAGAGAAGCACCGAGCTTCTGCATCATAGCAGTAGGAAGTATAGCGCGAGAATAGAAACAGAGATACGAGAGGACAAAAAGGCGGGAGGAAGAGGGGCTCGAACAAAGAAGAATGGAACAAGAACGACCGGGTTAAGAGAAACGCAATCGGGTGGGCATATTTTAGAGCGTGTAGAAGGACGTAGTTCAGTACACACCGAGGGATTTGATAGCTTTATGTTGCAATTACCTATAGAATTTTGGATGTACGGGATAGCAAGTCGAATTAGGAATTGAGTAATCTTGGTGGAGTTGGTTGTTTCGAGACCGACGCGGTGCTGACGAAGAAGTATGGGGGATCTGCAGAGACGCTGTGCCACATCCCAGCTTTCTTACCCCGCAATACGGCGTCTTTCCTAACGATTCCTTCCACCATCAATTCAACAATCCGGCAAGGTGTAATCATGGAGGCATACGATCAAGAACCAGAGGATCAAAGAGTTGCCGCACATTCATCGTGTATTGCTGAATTTACGACACCAGATGCTGCAACAAAATCCGCGAGCGAACAGGGTGACGCCGATGTTGTAGCCTTGAGACCAGAGCCAGCATTCGATACAACTCCTGGAGGTCTGTTCAATTGCGTATCTTGAGCTGTCCTTACTGAAACAAGATCTTCTAGGGCAGCACCACCTGAACCATTCACATGAAAAGCTACAAGCAGGCCATACCTTCCATTTATTCCCGAAGCTGTCACTCGAGCTGCGCCTTCTGATATGGGAACAGACCTGGCCGGAGCCTCGACTTATTGAAGCCGCAATCTGTGAGGATGAAACGACCATAGAATACGAGGATGTCTCGATTTTGCGCTTCGCAGGCTCGTTGTCTACTTTGCTAGATATGAACTTTGGCACGAGAATTATTGAGGAAGGGCCGGCAGAGTCCTGCCCTCCTCCAGTGTCACTTCACGTCTGCCTCGAATCACGCAAGCATACATTGAAGTATTATCGGCTCATGGAGCATACAAATGCGAAGGTGGGCTCGTTCTACTTCAATCCTCGCCACGATGTTCTTTGGTTCAGCTTCGACTTTACCGACGAGCCTGACTACCTCCGAGATCTGCTGCGTTGTTATGGGAAGCAACTCAATTATGTCGAGAGTGTGCTTGTCCGAGAAGCAGAGTGGGAGGAGTTCACGCCTGCACGGTACATGTCGAAGTACCTTTCGCGTCTAGGCGGCCTGAAAAGTATCACGGTCTTGCTTAGGGATGACGAAGATGATTATGACGAGGGTGGTGATGATGATGATGATGATGATGACGAAGACAGAGATAGCGTTCAGGACATTGACGACGAGAATGATGAAGGTGAACCTGTCGTGGTTGAGGACAAGAGGGAGCTCAGTAGTAGCCATGATTGCAGCAAAGGATTAGATACTGAGGTTGCAAAGCTCCAAGCGCGTGCAGACGAGCTCAAGAGGGAACACGCAGAGCTCTCAAGAAACCAGGAAGGGATATCGAAGAACTTCCACTGCATGGATCGTTGTGGCACGTTCTACTGACTCCGAAAATGATGTCCGATCATCCGGAATAGCTCCATCTGCACCACATACTCCTCCTACGAGTCCTCCAAAGTGGTCACCTTAAACAGATTATCCCAGAAGCCAGAGGGCAAACGTTGACGAAGTCCTCTCGTCGAGTATAGCTTCTGTCTCGCCATTTACTCCTCCAACAAGTCCTCCAAATAGTTCACGCCAACTAGATGTACACATTTCACCATCCCGAAGAGGGCTCGAACATGGATTCCGTTTAGCAGGGATATCTCCTTCTGAGCTCCGTACTCCTCCAACAAGTCCTTTTCCGAACGAGCCGGCTTTGACGCCCAAGGAGAGGCTAGCAGGGAACAGAAATTACATCAAAGTCTCAAGCTTGAAGACCAACCTGAGTCTTGATGATTGGCGATGCTGCTGCATTAAGAAGGACGGGGCTCCTTATCAAAAACGAAGATCAAAAGATAGGGATGTCCAGATCAATTCTCAGCTCGAGTCGATGATATCTCTTACACGATCATCTCCAGAATTCGAATTCGAGCTAGAAAAACTAATCATGATTGTACATTGCACTTATCATAAATCCCCTCCTTACAAAGAACCTCGGATCGAAACTTGGACCACGGTCTTTCCCGCTGAAGACGGCAATACTGACCTGTCGGTTGAGAAGCAAATCAGAAGAGCTCTTGATCAAGTCTCTACTCAGTGTATTGGGATAACGACGTCCGACGAGCGCTGTGAGTTGGGAATAGGGGGGCCAAGGGTTCAGAATTGTTCGAAAACGATTAAAGAGATCATCAAGCAAGAAATGTACTTAGACGATGCCTGCCTTGACGACTTCCTCCAATCCTTGAAGCGAATATGTACTGTCGTCACCATATCAATCGTCGCCCTTTCAAATATGTGGCACGGTGGAAGTTGAGCATTCTTGAGATCCGGGAAAAGGCAGGTTTAAAGATGATGCCGACCATTGACAGTAATGCGCCAGGCGAATTCAGAAGTCAAACACGTACTCCTGATGCTCGAGATACTAGAAGGTATTCTACCAAGAACAACACTAGCCTCGTCTCGCAAAATCGAGGACTGCCAGCTCCGAGAAGCTCGCGACCATTAGCTCTAGATCTGGCTCAGGATCTAGCCGCATTCTGGCCGAAGACTGATGACAGGACCCCTTTCGACATTCTTTCGAGGAGCAACAGACCTGCTGACTACACATCGTCATATCATCTGATTCAAAGCCAACTCAAGAGGCCTTTGGATGAGATTGAGCAGCATGAGGGATATGTCTATCTATATGAGGTCAAAGGAAACAGTGGCTTCGTGAAACTTGGATACACCCGTGGTCCCGTCAAGGTGCGCCATCAAGACTGGACCTTCGACTGCAACAGGGTCGCTAGAACCCTATACCCAATTCCTTCCAGCTCTGCTATACCGGTACGAAATGCCAAGCGCCTTGAGGCTTTATGCCACGCGGAGCTGGACCATCGCAGGATCAGGATCTATTGCAAAGGTTGTTTTAAGCAGCACATTGAGTGGCTTGAGATTTCTCCTGAGGAGGCGATTGCAGTTATTCGGAAGTGGTCGAACTGGATGGCAACGTTCCATATGAGATGCCTCGGCTGAGATCTGGGGTACCGTCGCTCAAAGAAGAAGAGAGGCAGAAAGTTCGGAAAATTGATCAGTTTATGAAGGAGTTATCATTGTGTAATGGAAATTCAGAGATATGCGATGATGTATCTAGTGGGAATATACGAGTCTTGATTACTTAGAGTAGCACACGGGGACTTCTCGTCGAGGTCGCCAGCTAACCACCGTATCCGGTCGCGGGACTTGAAGCAAATCACGGGAGGTACGAATGACCTGAAGAGGTTGTCTTGATGGCAAGCTAGAGTGCTCTATGGACCGGCATAATCCCAGGCTATGAGGTTCCAGAAATCAACAATCTTATCCATGTCGGCAATATGCATTGTATAGTAGTTGGTATGCCCGGCTGGGCAGGCAACTGTCAAAGTACTCTGGAACTGTCAAAGTTAGTGCGCGAAGTAGGATAACACATGTGGTAACATACAACAATCACCATCACACCTGTAAGTTTGTATGTCTCTGCTTATAAAGCAGAAACGCACAGAGTCAGTTCGGCGATAGCTGCCAATATGAAGATAATAATTGGCAGGGTGGTGAAGAGGCCTATATTGACGGCGAAAAAGGAACGCATGTTAGAGGGAGGGCATTGGGAAATGGAACTCATTGAGAGGGAACCACAAGAATATGGTCAGATAAAATTTGTTTATTTGGCGAATACGGATCGATGACTATTTGATGGTTAGTTGATCACGTAATGACGAATTATTCACCAGCCGGTTTGGGGTGGTTGTCTTGTGGATATTTTAAGCGAGGTGGTCATTTTGACCACCAACATACACAGGCAAGAGACGATTTCCAAAGCTCAGTTGGTCAACGAAGCCGCCGAGTTCGCTCTCGGACTTCCTTCGTGTAGAATGGAAGGTGAGACTTGAGAGGAATCTCAAGGCGAAACCCTCGGTTGATGAAACTAGACTTCCGGCGTCCTGAAATGCCCGTTTAAGAATATGCTGCTTTGGTGCCAGCGGAAAACGAGGCTATGGATTAGCAGCTGACCAAAAATTTACAAGGGTACGAGGTGCGCTAATTTATCTTCAAGAAACAGACAGACGCGTATTGTGGATAATCCCATGTAAGCAAGTCATTATGATAGATTCGAGGACCGGATGCATTGACTGACACATTGGCTGGTGTATGGATATTTAGTACTAATACGGTGGCCCATTCCTTACTGGGGCCACGTGCGAACTGCATATGACATGACACCCTCAACACGTCCGTTCGCATCTCTCGACTTCCATAACCCCCTGTACTGTGTCAACATCCTGTCGACACAGTCATCTTCCAGTGTGCCCTCGGAATGATTGCTTGCAAAATTGTGCAAGAGATAGCATAGATTGCAAGTGTGCGAAGCATGTAAGAAAACTGAAGTAGGAGCGCGTCAATCCCACTCTAGGTCAAAGCATATACTACGTAGCATGCATCCGTAATATATCTGCCGTCCTCGACCAACGCTTAGAGTCAAACAGGAGTGGATGCCGCTCTCGGTCTGCTTCTTCTGTTGCGTACTGTAAAGCTGTCTTGCCAAAGTAATCCGTTGTTTCCTGACGAATGTGAGAAATCCTGAGGAGATATATAAGAGCCTCTTCCGTAAGCGACCCTCCAAGCGCAATTGTGTGAAGCAGATTCATCCCCCTGGAGTCCACCTTGTCTATATCCACGTCGTAGTCTTTTAAGAGCTCTAGGACTTCAACATCCACTTCCCCAAACATTGCATATGATTCGGCCAGAGTCTCCCCCGCTTTATTGACAGATTTTGCACGAGTTCCATGACTAAGTAGTAGCTGGCAGATTGACAGGTCGATGAAAAAGCGGAATTGGCTTAGATAGTGCGCCAATGGCGAATTTCCATCGTCATCTGTGTTGTTGGCATTGGCTCCTAGATTCAATAGCGTCCGCACCATATCAAATTGAACAGAGCAGGAGTCTCCGACCGAGTGGTGTAAGGCATTTCTCCCGAAATTGTCTCGGATGTTCAAGAAATCAGGAATCTCTCCTTGATACGCTTCAATGATAGATATGACGGTCTGTGGGCTGCGACTTTTGGCAGCATAGTGGAGTGCAGTTCTGCCCTCATTGTCCGCCATTTCTATGACAGAGCCATGGGAGACGAGGACTTTTACTGTATCAAGATGCCCTGCTAAGCTCGCCAGGTGTAATGCCGTCTGTCTCTTCAAGTTACAGGCAGCGACTCTAACCCCTTTCTGAATTAAGCTTCGAATGATATGTGGCGAGTCCAGCTCTGTATAGTTTACTGTGTGTAACACCGATAAACCTTGAGCGTCCTGAAACGTGACATTGGTCCTATCATCTCTGAGAAGAATCTCAACCAAATCTCTTCGTGTGGTAGTGATTTGAGTGGCCACATCATCATGTACGTCCTCGTCATGGAATTCCACAACATCCCACAAAGATTCCAGTCTCCAACGAGACTCATTCCATGAATCTCTATATTTAGAGCCCTGGATACTCCTGGAGAGCGCTAGATGTAGTGGTGTCTCTCCATAATGGGAGAGTGCATTAGGATCGGCACCGTGACCGAGAAAGAATTCCGTCATCCCTGTGTCGCCGACTAATGCCGCGAAATGGAGTGGAGTCAACCCTCTTAGATCGTCAGTGACAACCCTTTGAGCTGTGTCTGCAATGTTGGGTTCGTAGACAGTAGATCCACGTATAAGCCTTGGAATCCAGCTCCTCCTCTGCACTCTTAAATCAACGGCCACTCCATCGTTAAGTAGTATGCTCGCGATGTCTCTGCGATTGAACTGTATAGTACAATGTAGTGGTGTCATGTTGTTGACATCGGTTATATCAAAAGGTGCGCCATGCGCTAATAGTAATTCCACCATTTCAATGCCGAAGAATTCGCTCTCGATCGACAAATGCAAGGCACCTTTTCTCTCTCCATCGAAGGCGGTCACCTCGGCACCAGCACGTAGCAAAAGCTCAACCGCCGCCTTCTGGCCCTTACTGATTGCAACAAGTAAAGGTGTCTGTCCTTGCAAATCTCGCGCCTCCACGTCTGCCTGGTGTTGAATGAGGAGGTGTATGGACGTGATCTGGCCAATTGATGCAGCATGGTGCAGTGCTGTTCGTCTCAACGTGTCACAAGTACCAGTACCTGAGCCCTCTGCTAGCAACATTCCTACCAATTCCTCTTGCCCGTAGTCTACGGCCCACATCAATGGTGTACAGCCATCAGCATCTTTGACTCCTTGATCATAGCCCTTCTTTAGCAGCTCAAATGCTACATTTCGCAAGCCAAAGTACGCTGTAAGATGCAATCCTTGGATTCCCCTGGGAGCCTTTCGACGATGGCCAGGGTGATTTCCATGTGTGAGCATAGCTTCACCGGCGGCCGCAACCTTGACTGTGCTCTCGAGGAACTGCAGCACCGAGGTGTCCAATTCAGGATTTGAACCCCCCTTTCGAGCATGATGGCCCCAGCTTTGGGCGACGTACTCAAAAAACTGATTTGACTGCAATGACTTCTCAAAATCGTCAGCCTTTGGACAGATCTCGCCTTCGAAGGCACTAATTGAGAGGTACGAGATACAGATCATTGCAATATCCGAGTCTGCAGTGGGAAACCAGCGCCTTTGAGTGCGGTCGAAGTATTCCTGTGCTGTGTAGTGGACTAAACGGACGATATTACTCTCTTTATCCACTGTGACCAATCCGGCACACACAGAAACAATGTCTTCAATTGCTGGGAGATTGTCCTCTTCTAGCTCAAGCTCACCGTATTCTGCGGCTATTGCATACCGGAGCTCCAAAACCGTCAGTGGTCTTGTCGCGTGAGTGATCCAGGACAGAACCTTCTTGGCAAGCACTCCCGAATCGTTTCCTTGTTTGATAATCCTATCCATGGCTCTATCGTATACTTTCAACAAAACCTTGAACTTCTTATTTTCGCTGGAATCCTGAGCTTCGATTTTGAATTGAGATAAAGCCGTCCTAATAGCCTTCGGAACCCTCAACTGCTCAAGTTCACGGAGATAAAGCTCTGCCAAGAGAAAACTAAACACATGTGAGCACGGAAACCTTGCTTTTGATCATCGGACAGGGTAGGGTACACACATTCCCCCAGCAGCCATTGTAATGACACCCTTGATTTCCTCCTTTAGTTCAGGTCTGCTCGAAACACATTTGGGGAGCAGTGGCAATTGGCCGTTTAGGTATTTCAGTACGTCTCCATCACTGGCGCGAATTTCGCAGCAGAGATGTCCCTTGAAGTCTTCTTCGATGCCCACATCCTTCCGAAAGGTTGCGAAGAGCTTTGCCCCAGTCACGCTTTGAAGACCAAAGATTTGTGATAGGAACCTTGATCGATGTCCATTCGATACTTGGCACTCATCCATTGCATCGATTATGATGAAAGTCTTCGAAAACGCAGCAACCACCGATCGCAAAGTTGTGAAGATCTCGTCAAGTAATGGGCGCGTACGCCTTGCCTTGTGCTTTTCGTAAAGAGAGAACAGACTTTCCGGCAGGCAAGCCTGACTTTCAGCAAGCTGTCTAAGCAGACTTTCGAGGAGATCCTTGGGCCTCTGTTCGCCTTGCCGTCGAAAATTACAGAAGATGTACGCGATACCAATAGTTGAGTTTTCGGTAAATCGAGTAGCTAAATCGTTGATCACAACGGCGGTCATGATTGTTTTGCCCACTCCAGGAATGCCTGGACAAAACAGTGTTGATCGATCAGTGTGCAACCACTGTTGGAACTCGACACAACCCAAAAGCCATTGGCCAGTTCCTTCCTGTCGATAGCTAAGGAAGTCACTTTGGTCTGATGAATAGGTGATCGGGGTAATCCAGTCCAGGATAGCCTGCCGATTCTGCTCTCGCTCTCGATGCTCTTGTTGTTCATTACCACGATCTAGGCTGTCTCGGATAGCCAATGTAATTTTGTTGTCAGCTTCATGCCACTCCTGCTGTTCTCTTCTTCCTTCTCTGACCTCTTTATGGATAGTTGCTCCTAAGGCGGCCACGTCAATCCAGAGTATGCTGTCGAGCGACTTGCATTGCCGAGAGAGGATCTGGATTGATTCTCGTGTATGGTTAGCTAGGAAAGCCCCTTTCAGTCTCTCCCAGCTTAGCCGGTGTCCTTGACTTCTCTGACTTAGCTCCATGAGCAAGGACTCTAGCTCCTTGTGACATATTTCGAGCATGTTTTTCGTGTCACTGGTAGAGGAAGCATCGGGGCCAAGCTGCGAGAGGAGTACTGAGGGTCGGTGTTGAAACGCTTCCGCGAAATCTGGATTGAGAAGGATATTGGTATGCAATTCGGACAATACAGTTCTCAGGGTTCGAAGTTCAGCTATGAAAGCCTTGACTGCTTCTGGTGCGTCTTTCCAATCCAGCCCTAATTGGACCACTACCTTTGTGATTTGCAGAGCGAGACTGAGAACTCCGATGATCCCAGCTCCTGTGCCAAAAGGGTCGGCCATTTCATACAATATCGAATGCAGGGCCGTTTGAGTTCAACGTTCAAAAACTGCAGTAAAAATAGGTCTCTGTTTCCATACGAGGTTGTGAAGAGCTTGATTCGACCGTATTATGCAGAAAAGTATGTTCTTGCTTTAGAAATTTAATATTTATGGTTGTTTGGGAAAAGCTATGATACTGGGAGAAGGAAGTGGATATGAGGTGCCAGATTCTTGCGACACGCTGACAGTGGCGATGCGTGATGGACAGATGAGAGGCTGCGGCGAGGCAGATTTGCGCCGGAAAATTCGGCAAACCATTGCAGTCACCAGGGAGGAACTACGTCGGCGCCTCATCTTCTGGATCAAAAATCCCTGACACAAGTTGGTATAGCAAAGGTCTACATCGTCTTGCCACTAGAGATTTATCTTATCGTTCATTAAAGCTTACCAGTGAATGGAGCTCAAGTTTCTTCACAGCGACGCTATGGACCGATCTGGCGGGGTAAGGTGGCCGCCGCGGTTCGCCCCGGCTGTCTCCACCTGAGACCCGCTAGCCCCACCTTTGATAAAACTCACCTCGGACCTCGTTCGAGAAAGATGGTGCGACGAAGCTTAGCTCTGGTGGCTACATCTTAGAATATCGCTCCATCAACCTTATCGTTACAGTACAGTCTGCTATTGAACTGAGTCGGCCAGATTTCAAATATGCCCGGTTATCTTTTCGTTTCTTTCTTCACCTATGTTTGGTGATGCTTTCTGTCAGTGGGGAGCGCACATCGTGAGTAGTGCAGATGTAGATTCGTGGGCCGAAATTGGGCAGGCGGGCCCGCTTCCTCGTAATGGCATGTCGGCATGTCGGCATGTCGTGATTCTTCCCAGAACTAAAAGGTAGACATATCGAATCCTGAGGCCATCAATTTGGAAAGTGAGGAAGGTCTTGAGATATAGGATACTTATTGAACCATTAATGTTAAATTTTCTGTATTACAAGCTGAAAAATATCTTTAACGAATTAGCTCCCCTCTGCAAGAAGTTCCGTAATCCGTCGTAGGTGAAACTAGCGCGGCACTCAGAGCCATTTACTGTTAAACCATACTCCACAATCTGCCGATTCCTTCTCCAAACCTTGTGTTCTTGTGCAGCTTATATTAAGGCAAAGGATTTTAACGCGTCAATAAGCCAGTTACCCCCTAAGACAAAAAAGGAGTCGTGAATGGGAAACACGTCGGAATAAGTTCGAAATGCTCAGCTGGTCGCAGGTGTAAAGATGAAATGCACATGACGTGAGCAAAGGATACTGTAGGGAGTGGAAGCCAGTCGCGGGAGCTCCGGCGATGGTGATTCTGAGTATCTGCCTCGAAACATTGAGCTTGACTCTAGCAGCGGATCATGCTTTACATCTGCAATAGGTGTTGAAAATGCTACTTCCCAGCCCTGTACCCATCTCCTCTTGTCCTTTGTAATTCTCCGCAATATTTTCGCAGCTCACATCTTGTCTGTTGTCCTCTAAGGATGGACTGGTGAGAACCCTGTTGTATCCGTTCCTTGATTTCTTTCAGAACTCCACTGTTGGCTGTGCTCGATGGCCGTCCTTCAAAGACCAGGCAGATTCGTTATGAAGTCAAAGGATGCATTGTGTACTTTGTTGCTGTCGGTATATTAGCAGTGATACTAATTTCAACTTACTCGTATCTTTTTTCGTTTCATACTGCGATTCTGCGATAGGAAATCTGTTAATACTGCTTTGACTCACGATTTATACTTATCGTGTCCAAAATCTTCGAGGTATAGTACCTTAGTGCTCTTATTCCCGGAAAGGCTGGAGATATACTGACTCGCAAGGGGAGGAAGGAGGCTAGGATAAGATCTGTAAATCATATCTTGCTTGATAGCTAACGCAACTCTGTAGTTTGAGCGCACAGGTCTGAAACTATTTAAACATACTTGTTAATTCCATACTGCATATGCGAGATGTCTGCGTTGGATTTATGCGTTTTTTCACCCCCGCTACAGCCATATCAACGCGGGTCCCTCAAGTGGTGGTCATCAGGTGGGTTACCCGGTAGATGGATGATGGAATGCCTTTTCTGGTAAGTTAAGTCTTCTTTGTTGGAGTTGAAAAAGCCAATACTTGTTCGCCACTGATTCGTAGAATTTGTGGGTTGTTGGTGGTAAATTACCCCTGGTTCTGTAGGGGGTCAATTTTCTGATGGTATCACCACCACTAGGTGACAACAATCGAGTAACGAGAAGGTAACGTCTTTGAAATTTAATAATAAAGCAGTCATACCATCACGTATCAGAAGGCTGAGAGATGATCTTCTCAACTTGTTACATGTATAAAACGCTCTGAGGCATCCCATTTCCTCGCGAAATGTACCTTGTGTTGCATCACGATGGCAAAAAGAAGGAATCCGTACAAAGGGAGTTCAGGGCGACAGAAGACATTGGTCAAGAAAGCTCACAAACTGGGCCAACTTCCTGGGTTCGAAGTAGCGCTGTTCATTCGTCGGCGAGGCCGAGTCACTGCATACCGTTCAATCGATGACGAGTCTTGGTGGCCAGTGAAGGCAGATATTGTAAGTCGAATAGATAGATATCTGGCATCTAACTAATTCCGGTAATTCAGGATTTCGCATACCCGCCGCCGACGAATCTTCTGCCGCATCACTTCGAGAACGAGAGCAGCGAGCAGGTCAATGAGACTGCTACCGAGTAAAAGATACTATCATCAATCAGAAATCAATTCAACCCTTTGTGCGATAAGACAAGTCGAGTTGTAAGCCTTGCCACAATACAAGAGCAGAGAGTGGTCAATCAAACCATACAGCAGCGGCACTTGGAACAGACAGCATATTTGATAAGACCAAATGGACAATTTTCCCCTGTATTTGATGTAATTTGTTCATATTTATTGCTCGACATTGGCATTAATTTGAGATGGCATCGCACTTGATGCTGGCCTGCGAATGCTCGTGCTTCCCCCATCTCTGATTTTCACAATCAAAGAGTTCCTTTTCTAGTCTTTTGCATTTTCGGCACAGTTCCAATCCACCACCAGTGAAATAATGACCTTACAGTGAGGTTCTATAATTGGCACGCCTAAGAGTACCGAAGGACATGAAAGTCGAGGAACCACCCGGCGGAAATATCCCATCCTCAAGCTGCCGCAACAAAATTGAAGTCAAAAGCTTGCTCTTTCTCGCTACTGTAATCCCAAGACCCACGATCGGCTTCATAAGCAAAACGGATGCGTGGAATCAGCCTTCTTGGGGATACAGCTTGCTTGAGGAAGCAATGCTAGTTTGGTCAGCCAATATTCGCAATGCACCATCTTGTTGCTCCTTACATTCATCAAACTCTCAAATGACCCTTCTAGAGTACACGAGAGGAAATCAAGCGCGTCCCTAGACCATTTCTCATCATCTGGGGTGAGGTGGTAGCGGGAAAGCATCATTTCCTCTATGATATCGGCTAAAATTGGAAAATCCAATAGAACCTGTGAGATTTTAGGGCTCTCATATAGTCCATCATACTTGAGCTCTCGAGGGTCTAGAACTTTGACGCGTGGGTAAGCACAAGCTGTGTGTCACATGTGGAAAACCAACCAAGCTTGATATCTCCGTCGAGAGACAACCAGATATTTTCTTGCGAGAGGTCTTTGCAAGAAAGCTTCAGCGAAGAGATATAAGCAACGCCCTTTAGAACCTGATACTATCAGCCACTGCGTTGTGATTGACTAAGGGCATCTAGTACTTCGGTAAGTATTGTCGCTATCTCTCGCTCTTTGAGATCATATTTCTGGAATTGCAACTGAGCGAAAGAGACGTCAAGATGTTCCATGACGAGAAAAGTCCTATCATCATAACTATAGATCTCTTCGATTTTTGCGATGTTGGGATGTTTGATTTGGGTAATAACAGGCGGGTCTCCTAAAACTTCAAAAGGAGAAACCTCTCGAATATCGGCAAGTTGGAAGGACGATGCTTTGCGCAGGGCTAATGTGGTCCCGCCAGCATGTCGAATATAGCTGTAGTCATTCCACGGGTTCTTGAGCAACACCTTAAGTACCCTTCGAACCTTCTCCGGTGTACCTGCATCTGTCGGACTTGGAGGAGCCTCGTCAGTATCATCTGATGGGCGGCCCAAAAAAGCTTGAACCCTTCGCAAATGACGAAGTACTGGTTGGCTCATTGTGTTAATAACGGGGAAATTATTTCACTGTATTTAAGGAGACGTCTCAATCTTCTCGGAGAGTATTGTAATCGATAGTGCATGGAGAACGAGATTCGTAGTTGTTGCCAGCCGTTTTGTGGTGCTTGTCACTGGTCTCAGGTGGATATCATAAGCGAGGTGGTCACTTTGACCATCAACATTCGAATGGGTTTGATAACCACCTCTGCATTGGCAAGCTTTCTGAGAACCACGTCATTCCTGATTTCTGGTGGTGGAGAGCGGTTTACCTGAGGGCGATTACATACAGACGAAGCCAAGCATCGTGTGCGGTAAGCCAACCTCTGGTACTTTGCACATTTGACCAGTACAATATTTGACAAAATAGAGACTATTGACGAAAGTTAGAGAGAGGAAGGCAAGTGCTTAGTTTTATTGAGTTGCTCTAATTACATGAGTTCCAATTGCAAATAAACGATGCACAAAGGGACAAAACAAGTGTGGAGCAAAGAGCACCAAAACTCAACCCAACGACGTGCCCATTTGAAACTTTGATACCAGCGACACCGCGCAAGTCCCATGATGCTTGTTTTGTGATGATTATAGGGAGCATAAGGAAAAAGCAGGTAGTAATGCTCCAGAAAACAACTAAACTCTTCAGTAGAATGCCAAAATGGCGAAAGCGCTGCATGAAAATATAGTAATGAGAAGAGACCATAGCTGCTACAGTGACAGTAAGCATCACTGTAGATACAATTGCCAAGGCTATCGATATATGAATTATTCCGGAGGTAATGCCCTTGAGCGCATATATATCCTCGATTCTCGTCACTGCCCCCAGAGGAACATTCAGCGTCGCTAGGTTTATCGGCAATGGTTGGCAGTCGGTGTGCGAAGAGTATCCGAGACAACATTGAATTGTTCCAAAAGTGATGTTTTGGAGCCGGGTATCGATGGGATCGTTTTGTCTTGGGTTTGGTAGACCATGTCGCAAGAGTCTTTGGGGTCCAGTACTTTAGAACTGTCGAAGTTAGTGCGTGAAGTAGGATAACACATATGGTAACATACAACTATTACCATCACACCTGCAAGTTTGTATGTCTCTATTCGTAAAGCAAAAATGCACAGAGTAAGTTCGACGATAGCTGCTAATATGAAAATAATAATTGGCAGGGCAGTGAAGAGGCTTATATTGACGGCGAAAAAGGAACGCATGTCAGTGGGAGAGAATTGGGAATTAGAACTCATTGAGAGGGAACCACAGGGATATGATCAGACAAAAAATTTTTATTTGGCGAATACGGATCGATGACTATTTAATGGTTATTTGATCACGTATCGACGAATCATTTACCAGCCTATATGAGGTGGTTATCATGTGGATATTTTAAGCGAGGTGGTCATCTTGACCATCAACAATGAATTAGTATCATAGATTAATTTTCTCTTTCTGGCACATCGCATTCAATTAGTAAGCTTGCCGCTCTTGCTCAGGTGCAAATCACTCTCGGCTCACCCTCGGCTCAGTCAACTCGCCTGAGTAACCTGAGCAACCTGAGCGACTCACCTGATCACCCTGAGCAACCCTGGGAAATCAGACCCTCCTGATACATTCGCCCACCCCTCTAACCGAGCCAATTAAAGTCGTTCGAATTGGGGGGGGGGGGGGGGGGGGGGGGGACGAATTCGCAGCTGAACTCGCGGACGAACTGACTAAGCAGTCTAAAAGGGCTAGATCGGGAGTTCATGTAGAACAGCAAGCGAGGCGTCTGACTGAGGCAAACCCTGAGCGAAATTTACCACATCGTCACGTGTTTTGACTTATCGCTTTTTAGCCAATACCACATGATCTGACCTGTGTTCTCTCATCATCTTTGTCAACTTCTAAAGAGCATACTCAAGGAGCGCAAACAAGTTCCCAAGTAACCTAAAGTGGACACTTTCTAAAAAGATACCCAGTGCTTTGCCTACGGTGTAAGTTGGTTCAAAATGGATGCCTTTCAGGAGAGTACTGCTCTTCCCTCTATAAAATCGTTCCTGCTCCTTACTAATCTTAATCTAAATACCTTCTTCTTCAATCTCATCGTTTGATCGACTTCCCATGCCGTGGAAGTTACTGTTTCGGTATCCTCGATGCCAACAGAGGAGTCAACAGAGGAGTTCTTCGCGCGATCCCGCGGCAAAGGCTCTGGTATCAAATCAGAAATTGTCAACGGAACAAAAAAGCCTGGAGGAGGGAACAAAGAACAACTATAATCGTGCCCTAGCACGACGGAACCAGTAAGGGCTATTTCTTGATTTCCAGCAAATATTTCTTATGATACTTATCTGTTTTACTAAATAGATTTGAACTCGAGCACCTGGAAGCTACTCCAAATGATATAGAGACGTCGAAAGATTGGGCCGGATGTATTGCGCACGGTATCGTGGGTGCTTATAGCGACGATATTGCAGCGTTAGGCTCTGTTGTCCGCTCGTGAAAGGATCTTACAGCAGGCTGGCAGTGTCGCAATCCTGAACTTTGGCAGTCTCTCCCGGCAGAAAAACAGCATGAGCTGAAAGCAAGCCAGAATTTACCGCCATCGAATGGGAGCTGGAAGCTCCGTCTTTACATCCTAGGGACGACTCGGCTGTCATGGATCGATGAAAGGAGTTACGTGTAGAGAGAAAAGTAAGAGTATTGCCGAAGAGCTTCGCAAGAGCCGGAAACTCCAGCCGAGCAAAAGTCCTTCCCAGCAAGGACGAAAAGTACTTGACCAGGTATCACCAGACTATACTTTCCCGCGTCCGCGCCTTGATGCCAGAACGCGACCGCTTGGATACCCTCAATTTCAAGTTCTGATTATCATATCTTCCCTCCGCTCAACAATAAAGACATTACAAGTAATCCGTGGACTTCATCAGTCTTGGAAAATGCGTTGGGGGTAAGTTCTCGGCTTTCCCTTGATCTAATTTCTTAGACCTGTGTTGACTAGGCGTAACAGAACAATGTCTTGTCTACCAACATCATCTTACACGAGAATCAACCCGTTCCCAGGACTCCACGCCTCCAGACAGCCTAGACTATCAGCGCTACAACCCGTTGGGTGAAGAAGAAACAATCTATTACGTGTTATGCAACGACAGGGAGGTCATTGCAACCAACTTTATCAACAGGGAAATCACCCTATTCGAAAACCTCCCGAGTGACACCTGGCGTCACTGGCGGAGGTCTCTGACGCTGTTATATGCCACAGCAAAGTATGGCATGCCCTCGTATGATGTCAGAGGTTATGTGTTGAAGGGTCTGCCCTAAAGCGTTCGCCGGAACTCGTCTGTCAGTGTGATATCTACCAGGTACGAGCCATGACTGACTTCTAGATGGTTGAGGCGGACAAAAGCATCCCCGAGAATACTTTTAACGACCTGCTCTGGCTTTCAGAGAGGAGGAGCAACGCATATTTTAGTCGTAGATGGTCATTTCTGTCGTGGCTGAGCGATTGGGAAGGGTTAAATACATGGTGAACCTTTGGGAAGAGAGCACAAGCTAGGGGGAAAATAAGATATTTATACGTTTCGTAAGCTTAACCTATCATGCTGAATATTTATCAAATTGTCATTGAGCGCCGTGGATCTAGTGTTATTGTTAGCAGGTTTCTCAGTGCTCGTGTCCCTGTGAATTGAATCCTTTTCCCTTAGACTGAATTGAGCTGTCCATCCAAGAGGAGAGCAGAGCATCGAATGCAAATGCGGACTCTCTCTTCAACCATCACAACTTGATTGGGCCTTCTTCCCTTCTCCGCAGCCGCTCTCGGATACTGGAGGAGTTTCATACAGTTGGCAGGCAGTTATCATCAGAGTTGAAGCAAGCTGAAGCTTTTCAGGTCAGAACGGTATGTCGCGTATGGCAGTGATCACGCGAACGGCTTCGCGTTCTGTCGGACCTCCCATTCAACCCCACCAGAGTTGTTTCCCATGCATCGCTTCATAAAATTCACAGCTATGGCATCAAGGCTCTATGCTTTTCTCGCTCTCAAGTCACCGACGTCTATACACATTCATTCAGTACCTTGAAAGAGCTTTGGCACAGGTATAATTCTGAAAACTAGATGCAACTGGCCCTCAGCCCGAACGATCATCAAGACTCTGGCCAACTCTTGTTCTTTGATCGCCAATCTTACAGAGATACCTTTACCGCCAATAGACGTGGGAATAGATGAGGTAGCACATATTGACGTGCTGACGAGGACAAAAGCAAAGCTGCTCGGAGCTGCGCTGGGAGCTGAGAGCAAGGTTCAAGGTTCTGATTCGTACTTCACACCGAAAACCACCCTCCTACCCGCGATGAGAGTACCAATCACAGACTCTCGCTCACTTATACCCCTCATCCGCCGAAAGCATGCAGGCACCAATACCGAGAACTGTATCATGCACCTCATCCGATTCAGGATGTTGCTGATATGGACTGGCTATCTATTGGCTGGTCCCAAACAAAAACTGCGTTGCAGAACTCCACAGAGCGATCAGAAGAGCTTGCGACTCCACCTGTCACTATCACGTTGCCAGATTTGATAGCGGTATGAAAAGATTTAAAGCTGACTCAATTACAAGTGAGTCAGTGGGCCACAGTTTGCAGTGAGGGCTGAGATGAAGTAAGTCTGTTAATGTCGATCTTTTAGCAAGCGATTGGTGAGCTGTACAATCGACACGGAATCGAGTAACGGAAAGTGTTTGGTGATCGCCCAGACAGCAACTAAGTTTTACGAACAACTATGGAGGAGAGTTTGTGCCAAAGAAATCAGCTAAGTGTTTCAGAAGCCACAAGAAAAGAGGCAATTGAACACCCGCAATACACATTCACAATCCTAGGAAGGTGGCTAAATTCTGCAACCATGTCGGGCGAGTTACACCATATTGGAGTATAAGGCCGTCTACAGTAACCGGACGTAAGTAAGGTATATTCCAAGGGAATACGTGAACATACTATATTCGAGCAGCACATCCGAGATTCTGTTTAATACGTCCTTGGAGTTTGTCCCATTGGCGTCACACATTTCAAGCTCCTTCTCAAGAGTTTTGAGTTCGCTCTCTAGCTTCTTAACTCTCTCATCGATGAGCGGAGGAACTTTATGGGTCAGCTTCATCCTAATGAATCATGCGTGGGACATACGGGAAACCTTGATAGTATCAGACATCTTGAAATGTGCTGATGTTGATTGACTCTACTTTCTTTCTAGCTGGGACACTTGAGGACCTTGAGTATATGGTGGAGGAAGATCTCGAGTATATGGAGGAGGATCAACTTTCTCGGAGGACGCTTTTCGTTGTGGAGGTGGTGAGTCTCTCCATAATATATAGTAGGAGTGAGTTTAATCTACCTTGGGAACCAACGCCGGATGGACGATTCAGGTAGTTGATTCCTTTATCCCTGTTCTAATCGGTAGCTTACAATTCGGAGGTCTGTTCTCGCGCGGCCACCGCGGGATTGTTGGCTCATGGTTGCTGCATGATATTTTAGTTGATAAAGGGCCAAAGCTGGCTTCGCCGAATCACCCCTGTGATGCATATGATACTCGATTAAAGCTAGATCGGAAAAGTAGTATTGCGCAAGCGTTCGCTGGGGCACGCAGTATTTTGATTCTTTCGAAGGTCACCTTCTTCCGTGGAATTCAGTACTCGCATTTTGATATATGTACGATTTGATACATTCAAAGCAAAACTGGCAAGACCCAAACAGTAAGATCTTATTTTAGAAATTCAGCCAAGCCATCCGATGCTAGTTCCTACTCCTTCTATCATAATTACTTCTGCTTATCATCAACTGACGTTGGATTACCGAGACTCTCACGGATTTGGCTGAGGGAAGTGTTAGCGGCATTTTATCTGGGCTGCGGTAGATACGTACTCCAAATCAGCTGAGGTCGTTTGAAGACTTTGCTCCATTTTCGGGTCTGTTGACTGATCTGGGGACGAATCCTGAGCAATCTCGTGGCTTTCATCAACTCGGGACGAGTCTGGCTGCTCCGGCTTTGCAGTTGTCTCTGTTGAAGCCATCGTCTACGTAGAGGGTTGGTGAATAGCTCCAATATGTATGTAGAAGTATGATGTTTGATAAGATGCTTGAAGAATCAAGATAGATGGGAAAGTGAGCCATCAAGCGTTGGGAGTATTTCGCAACCTTATATATATATTTTCACACCGAATGTACGCATGTGTCTTTCTGCAACAGACTACACATCGGCTTCGTATTCAGCCGTCTCATCTGATCGAACTTATTCACTTGCTCTTATCAATCGGAGTTGAGTGTCAAAAACTAGGGCTCTGTACAGCTTCATCCACCTCAATCTCCTTGAACTCCTGATCAGGATGGTATGTAGGACGAAGAAACCGGCGTTGTATCGACGGTGTTGGTCTCCCAAAACGGATTAGGCTTGCAGTAGTGCGGAAAGTGTTGGCTTCTCGAGTGGTCAAGCTGGCTCCGCCGTTACATGATGAGGCTGCGCGGAAGAAGCAAGACATAGATGGGGTTATTGATAGATAGGTCGGCCATGCCAAAATACACAGGGAGATACGATGTATTGCAGGGGAGTTGTGTTCAGAAGGCAGTATTCAAGAGCTAAGGCAATGTTGGAGGGACACGGATAACGCGGGCAGAAAAGATGCATTGGTGAGCTTTCATTGATGTCTTTAATGGTTTGCAAGCAAGACCCTGGTTCCCACCGGTTGAGCTATTCGTATGGTACTCTTTCCATCCTTAAGGGCTCCACCACCAGTCTTGGCTTGATTAAATAATGCTATGAACATACAAAGCGCCCTGAGAACAACTGAGTTATTACAGAGGCTCATCTTGGGGCGTCCTGATATGAGAATGGGTCTCGGACAGCGGAGATTCTTGCCGCACTAATTTACTTGCATCTGGCAAGGCCATACCACCTTAAACTCAGGAAATGGTAAGGCCACCTTAGCTCCCTTCCAAAGCAGGCTGAAATAGTGCTTCGCGCACTTCCAGCCCGGGCAAAGCATCATAGTCTTTCTGTTGTTGTTTCGCTTAGTCTACTATATGAGGTTACACGCCGATCCACAGGAGCTGAGCCTGGGCTAATCGATAATTGCGGGTTTCATTAAATCTACTTGACTGCAGCCACAAATTGTGCTCCCGGTCAATGGAGGGATCACAAGCAACCGCCGAGATGTGGAGCATATCACAAGATCCTTGCTTTAACCTTCAGTAGCTGTTCCACCAAGTCTTAACCTTCAACCCGGACGTACCATTCACTAATCTACTATCGCTAATCTGCTACACTAAGTCTTAATCTTCCACCCATGACGCACCCTTCACTAGTCTACTGTCGCTGTCGCCGACCTGCAAAAGTGCGTGAGGCTTTGAAATACTGAAGCGATCTTTCTGAAGTACAGCAAAATTAGTAAAGCTACACTATATGACTAGGTAACATGAATTTAGACGCAGGAGGCTTTTTTCTTTCTTTTTTTGTTTTTTCAAAAAGTGAAGTTCATGAGGTAGCAGGAACGCACGAACGTCTGCAGCCCGCCAAAATACTGTCGTGAAGAATCGAGGTTTCTGTTCCCAAGGGGGATTGTACACATCTTTGGGCTTCCGTAGTAAGTTCTGCGGCCGAAGTGAACCAGTGTCACATTTTCGCCGGTAAGAGGCATCTATGCCCAACCCTCGTGTTAGGCAGCCAGGTGGGTCACCTGGCGCTTTCCTCCCACCCTGGGAAAACCCTTTCTCCCATTCTCCTCCGACCATGAAGGTCATCATTGCAACGTCAACGCCGGAGCACTATCAGATGCTCAGATACTATCGAGCTATGCTAGCCCAGTACAAGTCATTTCTAAGAACAAGGCTGACCTACTTCCACTGAGGTCCCCAACGACAAACGTCTCGAACAATAGAATAACGCCCTCAGCTCCTGCATTTTCCTCGACGCGCGGATCGCTGTCCATGCGAGTCCGGCTTGAAGATTACCTCCTCGATGGTCTGTCCTTGCTCTATGAATATGGCTTTTCTGACATCTTCTCTAGTCGTCGTTCGACGTACAAACACTGACGAAGGACGCTGGGTTCTTCAGCGATGCCGCCAACACCCCCACCACTGTTGAAGGATCAGGGCAGAGGGTGTACTGGCGGGAATGTTTTATTCGAGTTTACAAGGCTGGCGACAGGGAGAACCCCACAGAAAAGCACAGCACTTGCGATGGAGAAGGTTTGGTGCAGAAGGGTATCAATCTTTGGTTCGGTGGGAAGAATGGACAGGTGAAAGAAGAATCATAGCATGATATCAGTAAGTTGGAGGTGTTATTCATCAAACTTTACAAATAGAGTTTCTTTCTGATCTGTGTTCCTTCCCATAGTCCTAGAGATACATAAATGACAGCCCCATCGTCGGCCCGGTGTGAGACCACCATAGATACAGAGTCTGTACAATCACGGCACTGCCTGACATCCTCCTGATACATAGTGTTGGTTATAATTGCAGTAGCCGGTTCGGGACCAAAAGCAGAAGGAATAATGTCGCGTCGGCACCCTTGAAGCGTGAATTTGGGATTAGGCAGTACCTTGGAGCCGCCAGCAGCGGAACACATATATCGCAGCCCAGCCCTTGTTTCCAAGCGTACCCCAAACAATTCTCGAGCAAAATGTGATACCTTGTCATCCGTGATTTCAATGGCCATTTGACATTCAAATATAGTCGTGGATTGCGTATTCGTGGATGGCGTATTCGGAAATGTCATTGATATGGCGGCCACCAAGATATCTCCGTTCCTAGGGCAAGGGTTCCTTTTGATCGCGTCCGAGAGGTCTAGAGGGAAAAGTTTTGTTGCCTCCAAGAGAGATGCATTGACCAGAATATGTTGGTCTTCGGTAAAGTAATTGGTCGAGTTGACAGAAGGATACGCAGGCGCTTCATTGGAGGTAGAGGTTGGGGCGCTTCCGCTGGGCGACGTCGCGATCGGGTAGGATGAATTTGTAGACGAAAGGGTTGAATAATCATTGCCGTCCGCAGTGCCTGATGGGTTTAAAAAGCGGTAGCGAATGATTTGAACGTTTACTCACGTGGTCTTTTATTCTGGTGCTGTGACATGTTTTCATTTTGAAGCGGTTTGATTCTGTTGGCATACACTCTGTCGACCTTCTTCGCGACGTCCAGTAGAACGGCAGAGGTCACTTGCGCCGCTAACTTTTTTCGATGTTCGGTAGACTCCTCCTCAAGATCGGCGATAAGATAAATGTAGGCAGCTTTCCCGGGTAAGTGGTATTGAGCATTTGCGGCGTTTCTGGCGAGAAAGTACGCCAACCAAGCGGCAAATCCTGCATCTAAAAAGATTCTTGCTGTAGATTTCCCTTCTGTGTCTTTATTTGTTTCCCTCCATGAGTCGATGAAGCCCTTCTTCGGTGCACGTTGAAAATTCTGAAGTAGATTGAAAAGCAATGTGAATTGGCGAGATAGGCGCTCGTCGCCTGAAGTGTCAACAAAAGTTTGCGAGTCGCTTTCCATTCGAAAGTCATTTGGGGGAGGGATTGCTTTGGAACGCAGAGATAGATTTGGAACGCAGAGGTAGATTTGGAAGGCAGAGGTAGATTTGGAACGCAGAGGTAGATTTGGAACGCAGAGGTAGATTTGGAACGCAGAGGTAGATTTGGAACGCAGAGATTTGGAACGTAGAGGTAGATTTGTGGAAAAGACTGCGTCAAGGTTTTATTATGGTCTGCAACATGCCATTTTTAGTTTTGGTCTTATTTCACATTTAACCGTGGCCAATCGGTCAAGATGTTAGGACAGCGGGGTTTTCGAGGTAGTGGGGTAAAGATGACACCCTGTTCAAAACGGCACAAGCTCTCAAGGGAGAGTGAGTCCGGAGGTAGAGATTGCCTGAAAGGCGATGTTTCGTGAAACGCCAGGCTTTTGGACGGGCGATAGCCTCATCGGCCAAGCCTGCGACAGAAGCTGCGGCTTGCTAGTGGAGGGTATCCCGACTGGCGTCCGCCATGCAATGCGTATGCACCATCTTCACAATCAAATGAGGGCTGTATCGGGTCTACTCTTATCTCAAGAGTCGAGGGGAAATATAAGAAGGATGGCGACCAAATACATGCGAAACTTTGCATCATGTCCTTTTTGACGCAACGGCAATTCTGCCCATCATGTCGTCTTCGGCTTTTCAACCTCATGGACTTATTAAAAACCCTGTTGAAGAAGCGTTGTATCACAGAGCTCATATTGCGAATGTTTACACTGGTATAGCAGACCCAAAAGAGCACGAGACGTCTGCGCTCATGGAGGTTGTGCTTTACAGCAACATCTTCACCACCCGCGAGAACTTCATGGTGAATTCTCAACAGCCCCCTGCAAGCCAGTCCGACAAAAGGTGCGATATTGTCATCCGGTATCTCGAGCAAGGAACCCATAAGATCAGAATCCTTTGCTTCGTCGAATGCAAGCGGACCAGAACAAGTCAACCATTCAGCTTGAAGGCACTGGAAAAGCAGGCAACCGAGTACTGCATATTGTGCCTCGAGAGTGAAGAAGACATGGAGTTCGTGTATGCTGCCACAATGGCTGGTGCCCACGTCAGACTATGGACATGTCGGCGTGATCAAAGTGAAATGATTCCATTTTGGGGTCCTAGTAGCATGGGGGACTGGAGCCAATACAAAGACGTTGGAGACGATACAGCTGGGCGGGAGATTGAATATTGGTTTGGGCAGATGAAACAACTGCCACCTACACCGCATGCTGGTCAGAGTAGCCATACCTATGGTACAGCTAGCACCATCACACCGAGCTATCAAGCTTCCGCATCAGGCCATCAAAGCTCCGCATCAAGCTATCAAGCTCCAGCATCAGGCTACCAAATCTCCGCATCAAGCTACCCAGCTCCCGCATCAAGCTATCAAGCTCCAGCATCAACCTATCAAGCCCCAGTATCAGGCTATCAAATCTCCGCATCAAGCTATCAAACGCCCACATCAGTCTATCAAGTTTCCGCATCAATGGATCGAACCTCCGACTACCAAGCCAGCTCTTATAACTCATCAACATTCCCCCCGGCGTTTCAGTCGGGAGAGAGTGTTGCAGCTGGTGGGAACAACGAGCGAACAGGCGGTGAGATTGGTGATAGCGAAGAACACGACGAGGATGACCAGATGGAGGAGCTAGGAGATAATCAGCAAGCAACAGCGTCAACTGCAGTAACCAACTACTATATCGTCAAGGTGACCAGAAAAACTCATAGGATGTCGAAGGATGAATTCATTTTCAAGGACAAAAACGGAAGGTCGAGAACGACCAAACAGGATGACTGGAGGAGAATGACTTACAATGGACGGACTGCTTGGAAACATCATAAGTATGTCTGCTTTGATGATATTTTTGGATAATCAAGCAGGAGTAAGGGGATGTCGCTCTCTACCGTTTTATTTGACCTGAGACTTTTGCAAGTTGCGCAAGAATTACATCCTTTGTTTCATCGTACTCTCCTCTGGGACATCTTGGAGTTCTCCGGTCCAGCGTGAGACTTCGTCGTAACGTTCTGAGCACCACCAAGCTATATTCTATACAGGATTGTATTAGTATACGCTACGTATCGAAGTCGAAATGTATCTTCTGCCTTACCTCTCCGACACCAAAAATTCGGTATTCAGAATCTGAAATGGCCTTGGCCGTGAATGGTGTGAAGCTAACTTCGGTGACAATGTGACGGTCTTTGTACCTTGACATCTCGAATGAGATGCAAGTAACAGCTGGCCCATTACCGTCATATATGCAGTGCCTCTGCGAGTTGCAAGAGGAATGCCACTGCCCAAGGACGCTGATACGACCGTCGAGGTAATGTATCATTAACCCTGTGCAGCGAGTCTTGACACGACATATGTCAACTCTTTCTAAGCCATGCAGACCAGCGAATGATAAAAAGAGCCCAGCATTCGGGGTTCCAATGGGAGGAGAAGGAAATTGACAATTGTGATATTGAGGACGGAGAGGTGCAGCTCCTGAGGAAGTACCTTCACCAATGACCCCGAGTCTCATAATTGCCATGCCGGATCTTACGTTTTCGTGATACAACCCTGTGATATATCCTTCGGGCTGAAGAAGAATCCATTTGTAGCCATTGCCAATCACCATAGGTGGTCGAATGTACGATCCAAAGGTGTGCAGTCTTCCATGTGTTGTTTCAATCTAGTATGACATATCAGCAAGAGCAAATGTAACAGCTACCAGATACTGACCACTAACGCAGGCGTGGCAAATGCGGAGCTCGGTGTGTTGAGAACGCGAAGCCACACGTGAGCTATGCGTTCATCTTGACAGAACGAAAGGTGTACCGTACAGCCCTTACGAGTTCCAGATAACCGTGAAAAGCGAGTGAAATGAACCTCTAAACCAACGATGCCGTGTCCAGAAATATACACAGAAATTCCCCTTGTATACTCGTCCTTGGACCATAAAGACAAGTATCTGAAAAACCGTCGCTTTGCACTTCTGGACTCGGAACGCATAACATCTCGATCAAAATCAAACAATGTGGCATCTGGATCCAGGAGCGTGGACGGGAAATCGGCCTGATCCCACACCACTTGGCTAATAGTGGAAGGTTCAGCAGCGATTGTTATGCCTGTGCAGTTTAGATCCTTCCCAGATTAGTCGAAAACATGTCGAGGATGTCAGTCGAACTTACACTGCATTCATACCGGAGGGTCGACACTTCTCCTCGTATAATCCCATACCAGGCACAGTCTACAGCGGGAATCTTTCCAATCCAGTCACCTTCCCAATCGACACCAAGAAACTGAATCGCACAAAGACCTCCAACACTTATAACGTACTTCAACCGAGTCGCATTCCCGATCGAGTGACGATTCCCCTTAGATTCTCTGTCTTCCATTAAGCCTTGAATATATTCCGTACCAAAAACCGAGACCATACTAGCAGACAAGAAAGGTCCTTGATATTGACTCAGCCCGCGAGTCAAAGGTGAGCGCAGGTAACGGACGAGACGGGACGTTTCGGTTCTCACGAGGACAAAGGCACTGTATGGCGTCAAAAACCCAGTGTAGCACCAGATATAGGCTCTGATTTCTGTGGGTAACCTCGACATCAAGAGCGGTTGCTTCTCATAGCAAGCGAGCATCCTCACTCTAGCTATGTCGAAATAGTGACGTACTTCTTGAATATCCTCCCACATCGATGGGTCCGGTGCAAGAGCTCGAGCGAGTTTGTAGATGACTGGGACGAAACGATCCTTCACTTCCCATTTCAGGTCCCATTTTAGGACTGAATAGCACCAGCTATGAAAGCAAAAGGCCAGTCGATCACTATCGCATGTCTGATTGACTCGCAGTTCTCGAGAAATTGTAACTACTTTTGTTCGTGAATGGCCGATCAGAGCAACATCGACATCACAATGATTGCTTGGGAGGTAGGTCGGTTTGGTAAGCTCGATGGTATCCTCGCCTTCGACGTCCAGACTCAGCACTGCAAGATCTGTTAGCAGAATAGGTGACTCGAGGTCTCCAGAGTATACCGGCGCGAACCACAGATTGCCAGGCATTGGGGCCGGATACAAAGCGCAGCGGAAATTGCTCATAGCAAAACATGCAATGGTTAGTGGCGAGGAAAGACGACTTGGAATTCATCATGATACACTTCAAGGATGGCGGCGGGTGAATAGCCAGGTGTAGATTTGGAATTTAATCAGTGGTACAAGGCTGGGAATGTAGAGGCAGCTGTAGACCGACCGGATTAAACTCGCCCCGGATTTTAGGGCCTCAGGCACCAGATTTTCCGACGCTAACTCCCCTCTAGTGAGGCTCTGAAATTTCTAGTATCATCGGCCCGCTCCACACCAGAACTTGGTTCCACGAGAAGACGCGGGCACCAATAAAGCACTGCATTTACTGATCAGTGCGCATGAGAAGATTTCTGCGGAACAGGTGGGGAGAGATAAGGAACCCATGCGGACGTGGTCGTTTCCATGCCTAAAAGACCAAGACCCTACCGGTTCAAAGGTCTTTTGCGGCGAGGCTCGAGTTAGAGTCCTCACAGTTCGCGTAGGATTAGAATAATTCAGTCTTCCTCATCGTCAATCCCGCGACAAGGAGGGATGTCTCATTTTACAGCCTCCCTACCACTTACAGCTTATCTACGGAGGTAGGTAAGAGTTTGATCGTGGAGCCTCCGAACGGCTCGCACAACGCCGAGCCGTTATAGAATTCTGCCATCGTGTGACCGCAGGCAATTATCGCTGGAGAAGAATCAAGTCAGAGGCGCTGGAATGGAACTAAAGGAAAAGGCGAGGCAGGGTAGTATATTGGGTATGCCGTAGGGGGAGGTACATAGTTGGAGGTGTGGAGGCATGTTTATTTCCAGAAATGGCGATCTGGGGAGGAAAAGCTCGACATCTGAAACCCTAGAATCTGGCAACGTAACAATTCACGTGAAATGTTTGACAATTCGTTAAATATTCAGCCACTGTGGCGTTGCTTGCCCGAGTAATGAGGCAGTCATTAGGCAGAATCTTCATGCCGCGAGCGGCGGGCGTTTCGGAAAGGCCTTCTTTATCATGGCGGGGTTGCCCACGAAAATCCCAGTGCACCGCTAATTTTTTGGGACATCCTCATTCAGGCTTCTCGTGGTTCAACGACCCATGATGTACGCCCTTCATTCGATACACTGGGTAGATGAGGATCAAGTCCGCTGAAGTCCATTCGCAACCCCATCGCACTGGAAGTAGCACGAGGAGAGTCTGCGAGTACGAGAGAAAATCAGCCGATAATAGCAGCCTTTTGCCGACAAATTGCACGAGGTTTCTAGCTGAAGCGTCATCTGCGTTGGGCTCCCATCACACATGCACGTAAAACATCAACCTGCATCGAAACCGATCATACGACTTCAACTTGGTCTCGCAGAAGTCTCCTACTTATTCAAGCACCAAACGGAGGAATCTCGGAACGGCAATAGATTGAGGTGCCTTGACTCTAGCCCTGGCTCACACCAAGGCCGACATTGCAGCGAATATACTATAGACAATATGGCGAGGAGGACGAGGGACAAGCAGAATCTCAAGTCTGCCGGGGAACAGGTGGTAGGTTATTTTGCAGCCACTAGCATACCGTACTACAAAGCGTTAATTCTTCTTTAGATAAGTGATCGACAGGATCTGGTACTCGCGGGTGACGAATCGACTGGAGCGGATAATGGTATCAGTTTTGAAACGGGGGGAAGTGAGTCTGGAGGGATATGTCAGGCTGTGATTGACAAGAAGAGTGGCTATGGATATGTGTGTATCACTGACGCATCTGGCTATGTATCTCCAGAATACAGAACGGGTCCTGATCAGGAAGCTGGCTACATGGTTGTTGATATAGCACCTGGCCAAAGATGTATGCGCTATGGTTCTTGTGCGGTACTATACATACTTCGGTCATAAACGAATTCAATAGCCGAATTTCCCCCCACCTTGTTCATAGCATGCGCGACCAGTTCCTGGCTCATCCAGCGGTCGACGAGAATCTTAATTTGTGGCGTCGCAGATTGTCTTGTTTCTCGTATGTCAATGTATGAAAGCATTCCATCTGGAAGAACCTTGTCCGTAATCAAGTCTAGGCTTTGGAAATGCCTCAGAGCCTCCGCTAAAAAAGCACTGACTTCCGTTCCTGTCAAGTTTCTGACAGCCTGAAAGGTTTCATCCTGAGTTGTAGGTGGCCCTATTTCCAAAGTCAATCATCCAATAACACATTAAGAGAACAGGATTTCACGAACCATGAACAGCACTGTTCAGGGTATTTCCTTGGACTGTCCTTGAAGAGTCGTGTAGTGGATGATACTCGATAGGAATAGTATTTATGAGGCTGTTGATCGGAAGACGAGTCCTGCCGAGTTGAACTTGTGAATCTGAGAACCCCCATTTGTCGACTTGATCGACCGGCTCGAGATATTCAATTGTTGAGGCTGCAGCGCTGGGGTTCTGGGAGATGCCGAGCTGTTGCAGAGGTAAAGGAGCGGAGATCGTATTCCGTGGATCGTAATGCTGGGGGCTGGTCCTATCGCGCTCAACTTGCGAGTTCGACGCTTCCCAACTTCGATTCTCCGGCTCGAATAATTGAGGATCCGATACTTGCGCTTCTTTCGTCATCCTGCCCAAGTCCGCTTGCCTTCCATCATTACTCGTTGCATGCAACTGGCTGTTTTTTTGTGCTTGCCCTGTCGCCAGCTCATGCTGTTGAGCATAGTTCTTGGAGACTGAAGGGCTCGGTGATACCGTGCCAGACGTTGGTTCTGGTCGATTTTGCGATCCGGTTTTAGCTGAGATGCAAACTATCAGCTGTGGTGATCATCAAGGGGACGCCTGATTACAAACCATCGACCAACTGTTCCTGAAAATTCATGTAACGTTCTTTTGGACCATTTTCGAGTGCACGAGTCGCAGAATCAATGACGGCATTCTTAATCCATGGTAGGCAGGCTTCCTCGCAGTGTTTGGCAACCTTGGGGAGGTGTTTTTCTTCAACCTTGCCCAGGTGTTTCTCGTTCACAGAGTAGATAAGATTCAAGTATGCTGGAAGCGTAAGGCCCTGGAAGTGTTGCATTGTGGGTGTGGGTTCGGAATCTCCAAAGCGAATTAAGAGAAACTTGGAAAAATCCTCGGAGCACCTGTCCGCGGTCGTGAGCCTGTGGAGTACGAGAGCCAAAGGTTTAGCATCGGTCGCATTGTCCAAAGCTTTTCGGAGCAGTTTAAGGGCAGTGATTAATCTGTTCCAGCAGAAAGAGTGAAAGTCTACTTTATCGATAGCCCACGCTAAGCCTTTAGTATCAATGTAATAGAAACCATCTAAACGATCAGGCATTTCGGAGCGTGGAATGGAATCGAAGGGTATTGCTGGCGTCAGGATAGGAATAGCGTAAAGTAATGTTAGATAGAAGTGTGTAAAATGAGCCGAGCAGGCGCTGTGTGAAATGATTCTAGACGGACGTGAGTAAGTTGAGAAGAATATGGTCTGCGTGAAATGATTTCAGACAGGATGTGAGTGAATTGGATTCAGGCGGGCGTGTTTGAAATGATTTCGGACGGGCGCTTGCGGCTTCCTACTATTCCGGGTTCGTTCTAGCCTCTTCCTCGCCCGAACCCTGTTGTGTTGTTGCTGGGGTCCCCAGCATGTCGATGCGAATCGCCCTTGCATTGCAGCGAGGACTCGGCGAGAGCTGTTAAAGTCTCCAAATTGGAAATAGCCATGGTCCTGTGGATGCCGCTCCGAAGGGGAAACTGTCCCAACCTAGGAGACCGTTTCGTATTTCCGGGGAACGATTCCGCTGAATCCGAGCTGGAGGACTGTTCATGCTCTCGTTTTTGGACCATGCATGCGTAAGGTTACCAATCTCAAGGGACGTATATAGGAGGGTGTACCAACAGAACGAGGCGGCCTGCAGATGCCTCCCTTATTCCTCGACTTCTCACCGCTGTTGTCTCGGTTCGCGTTACTGCATCCTCTCATTATTCATACTGGTCCATTTCTCACGCATGTCTAGTGGCGTGAAGTATCCGGACCTGTCCACCCCACTCAACTGCATACCTTGTCTACATGCAGGATGACTGGCCTGGTCTACACTGAGATCACTTCTGGGGGTCCAATTCCTCTTGAGACTACGATCATCTACGAGGCAACTGTAACCTGCAGCACGACTGGGGACAGCTATTCAAGTGTAGCTGTAAGTCATTTAACCGAGCTTCTCAGATGTCAGCTTACTGACGAGATGAAGGATGTCTTCAACTATCAGGTGGTAAGGGATTGGTCCTGCTGGCTCGATTCTTCACCCGGCAACCGTGCCCGAAGATGTATAGAGGGCGCAGAAGAGGATTATCAATCTCAAGAGAAGCTCAAACGAATTCGCACATACGATTCCTTTACCCTGAGAACTCAAGAGGGGGTTATTAGCAGCAAGAACAATGGCATTCAACTGGAAATCCAACAGATTGGCAAGCAGTCAGGCCTCGGCACTCGCAACGAAGCTATTCAACAGCTCGAGAAGATGCTGTCTGGAGAGAAATACTACAGTGCCATTACACGGGAGATTCTAGCTCAACTAAGTCAGAGAGACCAGGTTCTGCTGTCATGTACGACCGTGGTTGTTGGGGAAAACTTCGCTGACCTGGCCAAGTGCCAGAAGCCTGAAAACTGGGCAGAAGAAGAGCGGGTCGGCTTCTGTCTTAAGTTCTCTGCTTTCGAGCGCGGAAGGCGTATGGAGGACATTCTTCGTCAATGGGTGGAACTTTCTGAGGTTCGTCATCGGATTCTACAAAATGCCGTATAGTGCTAATTGACTGATCTCAGGTTCTTCTTGACAAGATCGAGGCATGGCAGCAACCGGAGGCCTGCTGTACGAAAGTATGGAAGGCGGGCTGTGACTCTGACAACTATTCGCACATTCTAAAGGTTATAGCCCACAGCCATGAACATCGCCTGGGTGAGTCAATGAAGTTGCATCGGAAAAGTGGTCTCGATCTATCACCTGGTTGTCACTGGTGAGTTTTGAGGTGATGTTGAACTTTCTGGAGCTGGATTAGCGACCGAGTCTTCTGATGTATGATAGTTCTAAGTTATATGTAATATTACCACCGTAGTGCTCTTGGCTTTTTGGTTAGGTGACAGTGTGGTGTTTCCTCAAGTTCTTTCACAGATATAATATTCCGTTCCGTGACTTCTCGTTCCGCGTTTATATGTGCAACTCAGTCGTCGTGAGTCAGGTTGTCCTGCCCATAGCCTTGGCAGATGGTGACTCGTCCGAGGCGCATGACCTAGTGATGTGTACTCCATGTCAGCCATCTGAATGAACTGCCACCAATAGGACGGGCTTCCGTCATGATAGCGAAGCCTCGTTATCAGCGAGTCAAGCAATAAAATGGCAAATGCGATGAAGCTAAGATTACTTACAGAGCGGGAGTATGCCAAGGTATGAACCAAACGATTCTCTGCAACTGACACTATCTAGGCACCCTGTTGATGTCTCTGTCTGGGGTCTTGGGTGCCAGTAGCAGATTCTTGCCGCCTTCACAGCATCTAGACCTCCCTACTCGGGAGAAGTATGTATGTGCCGGGCTCTGCCGGGACAATTGGACAGCTGAAGCAACATGCACCTCACACCGTTATGAGCAGTTCATTAACATTGATCCATATCTGATTCGGTGGCACTGGCCAATCACTCCTGGGGATGCAAAGCCCAGGCGAACACTCGATCTGTTGAGGGCGGTGAATGGCAGCATGGTGTCAACAATTCACTTGCATGAAGGGCTCCATTGGTTGCTGATTCCAACAGTCACACCACAAGGGCCGATTCTGTCAACACACCCGCACAATTATAGATGAAAGAAGGTGGTAAGGATTTTCTGACTGTCTCGTTCTACTCCCCTAATATCAAGGATAGAAATCATGGTATAATGCAGTCACTAAATACTTCGATACGGATCTTAAGATCTAACATCACCACGGGATTTCATTCGTTATGTCAAGATGCTACTCTAGGGTGGACGGTCAAGGAGATGCATGTACCACCTCTCTTTAGTTTGGGCAATAAAATGAGGCAAGTCAAAAGCGAGGTATCTCTTGGGGATCATGAGGTGGAAGTTTCAAAGCAACAAGTGGTTAATTAATGAGAGCGTAAACTGAAGTAATTCTGCTATTCCCTCAACTTTACGAATCGCGTAATTTGACTTGGAGACTGAACGAAACCATCATCGATACCAAGAGATGAACCTCGCGTCTGTCTTCTTCACGAGCTCATTCAGAACAGGAGACGACTGCATTCTGTTCTAGCCAGAGTCCCAGCCCTTCGCTATCTGACCTAAGAACACCGAGAAGAATAGATGACCAGTATTCACCCGTTTTGTTCCATCCGAGCATTGATCTTGCCCATGTAAATAGAGATGGTGGTGGTTTTAGACGGTTGTATATTAATGGCAGGTCGGCTTTCGATCTATTAGAAATATACACTTCGATAGAAGGAGTAGACATACCGTCTGGACTCGTGGAGGCTATACTGCCTCTGTGAAAACTAATTGTTTCTTCTCTGGGCGATCTGACGGAGGCTCTTGAGAGGATGAAGGTGGTTTGGCTTCGTACGGGGGAGGAGGCTGGTTTTCCCCGTCAGGAGTCGTTCGATTCGGAGGTGGTGTTGGCTCGGCTGGATTGATAGTCAGTATTTCCTTATCCCAAGAGGATTCTACAAACAATTTGGATTAGGATTTGGTCTGACCCAGACCAAAGGCATTATGTGGTGGAATGGTGTCGAATGGATGCAGCAATCAATCATATATATCCTTTATTCATATGCTTGGATTAGTAGTACTGGCTTGGGGGAGCTGGCTGGCCTATTGACTGGATGGCTGGATGGTTTGTTTTGGTACCGGAGACATGTCTTAGCAAATGGACGCAGTTATACTCCAGCTCTTCAATGGGCTGACAATGGATCATCTGCATTACATGGATCAATCACCTAGCGTAAGAATTCCGTGGCTACTCACATGTTGGAATACACTATACCGACACACCTTCGTCTGCTTAAGAGAGGACAGCAGGGAATGGGTGAACGCCGGGCGAACTACTGGATGCAACCAAGTCGAAAGAAAAAGAAAGCTATGCTTGATACGACTCGGCTTCCTCCTTCAGCTGTCCTTCTGGGATTGCGGATAATGCGTCCGTCTAACGCAGTCAGTCATCAGTCGCACCTTCCACCAATAGCCGCTCAACTGTTTCTGCTGATCCCTTCCAGGTGCAAATCGGAGCGATAGATGCAACGCTTGGGCATCTCGTAGCTTGATGTGGGCAGGTTAGACGAGGATAGATCAGTTGGGAGCATATGCCTTGCGATTGTTGACCAGGCTATTTTGGTAGGAGGGACTAGGCGATGTCAAGGATGTCGGATAGGTTCAGCTGCATACGCATGCATCTACAGATATATGGCACAGTTCGAGGCGGGATTCCCAGGCTAGGCACCTCAACCGCCCTTAAATCCTTCTTGTGCGGTCTATATTTTCATTGGCAACTTCATATCATCCAACGGTGAATCTCAAAAGGCGGTGCTTACTTCCCCGAGTCGAGAGAAGTCAGAACTCCTTCCGCTATCTGGTTCCCTTCTTCACTCACGCGACGAAATTGAAAACTATAAGCACATGGTGAGCCCAAACAAACACGTCAAGTTATAGTACTAACCAACTATACAGAGGAGGTTATATTTACCTGGAAGTCAAAGAGGTAAGCTGCGGACGATCGTCAAAGGCTAATGTCAAGCTTGTGTAGAACGGGAACCCTTGCTAAGAGGGGCGGGAACGCTAATTTTTTCTGGTCTCTCACCCGCCTTGAAAATTGGACGTTACTATTGGGTGGAGGGAATATTGGTTGATCACCAAATCAGGACGGTGTTGCGTGTTTCGGCTGAGATCTTGATCCATTCCCAGGCTTGGATGGCTGGCGATTTGCAAACTCTTTCCCCCGGGCTGCATCCGTGGATCGTACCGAACCAGGCTCTGGAGCTTTGCTGCAACACTAGCATTTACCCATGCGCTGGTCCCGCGAAGTACGTTACGTCCTTGCCCCTACGCGCCCCTTAGATCGCGCGAGCAGGATATATTTCCAAAAAGCAAGAACCATCCAACAGCAGTCTGTACATATGGCACTCTACCACCGAGTAACTCCTTGGTCTAATCAAATTCCATCGAAAAATGCCTTCTCGACTAAACGCACCGGCCCTGACTGTCGATGTGCATTTGAAATACAATTTCGATACTTGCAATGTTGAGAACCTATTCAGATTGTGGACGGGTGAGCGTCCTTCTTGGAAAAGGGTCCGCAAACAGAGATTAACATGTTTACAGTCTCACGATCCGCTTCATCATTAGAGGAAGGACGAAGATTGGAGAACTTGAGTTGGCGATTGTGGAATAGGGAAACCTTCTGCTGCGATACTGTCTTTGAAGCCAATACCACAACACCTGCTATCGCCATCTCAGCGAGAATTTCGGGAGGGCTATACTCAGCAGAACCGCCTAAGTCTATCTGGCAGTCTCGAATCACTCAGCAACGAAGGAGCTCCCGAAATCGATCTCGATAACACCCATAATTATGCCTCCACACCTCCCGATACCTCGTATCCCCAGATCCAACGGCAAAGTTCCTTCTTCGTGGTTCGTGAATTTGGGCATTGTGCATCTTTGTACCCACCGACAACTCTTCTCACTAAGCCTTCGTCCATTCCTGCCGCCGACATTGCCGCTGTCAGTTCTACAAATGGACGAATGTTCGCGCTCGGCGCATCCTCGGGTGAAGACTTTTCAAGTGAGCAGACAGGCCTGATACAACCTACTGCTACCCAACTGAAAAAGCAAGAAGCAAGGCTCAACTTTGGCGGTTCATCAGGCGCGGATGAGAAGACACTTCTACAGACCCACAAAGCGTTGGCTGACCCTGCTCGAAGACCTTTGAAGAAACAAACACCATTCAAGGAGGATTCGATTACTCCTGAAATTGTCACGGAGGAGCAAGCATTCGACGATGCTGTGTTCGAGACGGATGAGGACGAGATTCATGAGAGTGCTATTGACGACGATGATTCTTCGGAATGGGAGGATTCAGTCGAGGACAGTGGAATGGCCGGTATCGACGAGAAGACCTTCCAGCGCGTCGATCCGAGACCGAACTTGAGCTCGCACCGATCCTTGATCACCACTATGCTTCATCAGAATGACAGAGCAAATGAGTTTACTTCTTCCGCTACAGCTTCGACGTCAAAACCTGCTCATTGCCGTCCGCGTACATCCTCTCCTAATGGACCATCTCTCGCAGCCTCGCCAGACTCTGTCGACGCCACTCCTCTCATGATAGGGAAAGGTCCTAAGCCAACCTCCGAGAATTCTCAATCAACAGCTCAACCCATCGTTCGGACTACAAGCACTACCCTTCATCAGCTCGCTCTCTCTCGGCGAACAACTCGCCGAAACATGCTCAGTTCCGAACTCACTGTCAGTCTTCGCCAAAACTTACTCTGCGCGCGAAAAGCGGTCTCCATCCGTAGTCACACTGCGCGCGATGAAGCCAACATGAAGCAGGTTCAGAGGTGGTTGTGCATGGACGATAAGGATGATGGCGACAAATCAAAATGGAATGATTATCATTATTATGGTCAGGGCTTAGATTACCATTCCAGGGGATGGTAAGCTGGAATAGGAACATACGTTGGAGGTTACATTACTTGGAATCTTCTATCATAAAGAAGGTCAAGAGTTGATCTCTGTTTTCCTTTGTTTCGAGGAGTCTAATTTCCCCCATCAGGACTATGGGTCAGAAGAAGCCGAAAAGGCTAGTATTAGATAAATATTTAGTCTGTGTAGTAGGGTAGGATCGTTAGAGACAACAATTCTGGACTGCTACCGAAGTAGCTTATTCATAATGATGCCCATTTGCCTTTAGGTCGCGCTTGCAGACGTAATTTCAGATCGATCTGGAAATTTGACGTCAGCACTTACATCTCTGTATTAAAGTCTAGTCTTTGTGCTTTATTGTGATATCCTTGATAACAGATGTGGTTGAGCGAAGCGTCCTAGACAGCTCTAGGGTGCAATATTCAGGGGTCACGATGCGATTATCTTGCTTGACGGAATACGTGAAGGAGGGATGTTCGTTACCATGGAAATTGCCTGCATCTATTGCTTTGGGTAAGGGAAAACTCGCCTATTATACCCTTGTATGTCAACAGCCCGCTGATCTTCTCATGGATGTCTGTGCGAAGCGGGGCCTGTCATAATCAACCCTGCCCGGCCTAGTCAAGAGAGTCCGCGTCGCAGGCTCGGCACGCTAAGTACTTCCGTACCCCACACTCGCGCGGTACGAAGTGGGCTAGTCATGGACCTCAATTGTGCCGTTTGCTCTTTCCACTTTAAGCTTCCCAGATGTTCTAGACTGAACAGAAGAATCTCGCTTCTGGATACGCTGGGATCTCCTGTCCGAACGCCAGTGCTTCTCATTGTACCGGGGAAATGGCAACAAGACCTGCCCCCATCTTATCTTGTGCTAATCCAGCCCGCGTCGTTCAGCCTCGCAACTGAGATATAAGTAATGTATGGTATGTCATTTAAAGGTTGATCGGGTAGCCTTTATCCCTCACCTAGTTTCAAAGCAAGGCAGACCACCTTTGTTTGCAAATGTTAGTTGAAATTCAAGGAAGGTGTTGCGGGAGCGCTTCTTCCGACGACTATTGAGATGGTGGGGTAAGCCGAGCCTTCGGCATTTAGTGTCTCGCAACCATATTCTTGATGTTTTCCCTATGACCATTTATTCAACCTGTGACTGGGTTTAGAGGCGACACGGGTTTCTTGAATTATAGGAGGTGAAGTAGTTGATGGAGGTGTCCGATATGCATATAAACATTGGCCCATGTTTTCCACAGACCGCTGTCATAAGCCATTAAAAATGAGCCGTGGCCCGTTCCGTTCCATCTCATCTACCCAATCCACTGAATTGGCATGTCCCGTCTGTGCAACGGCAACACTCTGCTTTTCATAGATAGTCTGCAAGAGCCTTTGTACATTACTAGTAATTCCTCCATACTCACGTTTCTCGACTTCAGCCATCAATCTCAAAGCCGTATTCTTCTCTGTTGAATTTTGTGTACAGAAGCCTGCCAGAAACAGTGGGAATACGGCGTACTGCAGGTCACATCGTTGTGTGGATAGCATTATGCTGATAGCGTGAAGAATTTCGGCGCAGCATGCCTTGATCTGGGCGTCGGTGTCGAGTTCTGGGTCGTGCAACTGCCCTGAATACATGCTGGTATATGTGTATAGTATACAAACGCGGGATAGCAGATATGACTATTCTTGTCAGTCAGTTTTTCGAATGTGAGAAGATTATGACGTACATGTTCTACCCATTCCAAGACTCTAGGTGGAAGGTTGTTCGGAGTCTGGAATAGAAACCTCCAATTCATTTTCCGATCGAATATCTGCTGTCGAAGATTTCGAATACGTGTAGATCGTTCCATCTTATGTGTGTCGTCGGAACCCTCAAACCTTTCTTGGCTGACCTCCGTTCTCAGAGCTTTGGCTAGGCGACCAACTTGAAGTGCGATTGAGAAAATCTCTTGAGTGATAGGGATGATTCTTGAGAAATGTGCCTGTTCTTCGGGGAATTCTACTAGAAGCTGCTCGGCCGTCTCGGGTAGTAAGCATCGTTCTGGTAATGGCAACATATTTTGTTTGGAAACGACCTCAGCAAACATTCCCGTCCCACTCGCACTCAAAAGAGCATAGACATCGATACAGAAGATCATCCAGATAACGAAGTCGAAGTGATCAGCACCACATGCTTGTCGTCGCATGGAGACTATCCTTAAAAGTTGGTCACAGTGACATTGCCACATAGCTGTCTCCTGTGCAACGATCTCGTAGAAAAGCAAGAGTAAATGTGTCAATAGGGCACCGTCGGACTAGGGAAAAGTCAGACTATTTTTCTCGAGCCGAGTAAGCATAGATAAACTCCTTGCAATGTTGCATCCGGAGGCTGATTTTAATAAGATGCATCCACAGCTACAGTGACGCATGGTAGGGAATTGCACTTACGTAGGAATCTTCGATGCTTTGAACCGCAGTCTGTAAAGCTGGAATGACCTGTTGGTAATGCTCAAAAGCAGTGGTGTTACTGGAACCTTCCTTCTGCGCTATACTCAGGGCGGAGAGTGCCATCATTGCGTGGAAAAGCTGTCTGGTATCAGCGATTTGTCTCCGAAATACACACTTTGACTGACTGGTGGGTATTCTCGAGCCTGGACCTCAAATATATCCTCGCCTACTTGAGACTTGCCGATCTTGATAATCTGTGGTGAAATTGTCGTTCGGTAATAGCGTAGCAGCTCGGCGTCTTTTCCACCTCGTTGAGCAGCATCAAGAAGAGATATTGTTTTGGAATCAAAACTGGCTTCCGATATTTGTCTGCAGCTAAACGTGGGTGAAATTAGACGCGGTACTATAGCTGGCCTCGGTCGGTATGGCAAGGTTGCGGGGGCTCTCGGAAACGGGTCTTCAAAGGTCTTGAGGATCACTACCTAGCACTCGCAGTAGCAGGTCAATTATCTATCCTTGCTATTCAAGAAACACGGACGTGACTCACATTAGGATCATTCACCTCGTCAGTTATACTGCCATCAAGTGAAGTCGGATCAATATTCACACCTTCATATTCCGAGTTGGTAGTACCCTGATGTAAATTTCCTAGGAACTCGCCCTGATACTCAGGGAATTTCGCAAAACTCGACACGTTTGCAACAACTACGAAGGTTCCAGGATCTCGCGACTTTGCCTTCTCCTCTCGCTCCTCATCGGTGGTTAGAGTTGGAAATGGAGGCAATATATCCTTGAGTACTTGGACCTTTGGCTTTTGGTCTTGTGCCTTTGCTGTATCTCATTAGCTTTGCGGACGGAACTTGAGTACACTTAACGTACGATCCCAAACATGGCTACCAATCATAGTGACTTGCTGTGTGCCTTTGAGTATTTTCGACGTGACGTCTTTGAAGAAGACTTTCGCGTTATAGTCACTGATGGACTTTCTTCAGCATTTTGGCAGAATAAGAACAAATGAAATGGACTTACCAATCATGACCAAAACGTCCGCATTGCTGTGCCTAGTCAGCGAAAAAGTTCAACTACCTCTGTATGTTACTGTACTCCACAAGTTGGCCTTTCTTCGTCACATTTTACCTCTAGGCAATGGTGTTAGTTATGCTGGTTCAAGGGAAGATGAGCGAAGAATATACTCCGAGTTCGACATTTCCAGCAGCCACTCTTTGACCTTGGAGGAATCCTGTTCCTCCGATCCTCACGAGGAGGATTGCCGGATGGTACATATCCAGGCTGGGGAGACGATGGCCCGACCTCCTGCCTTCGTGCTATGCGGAGCACACGAAGCTCGGCGTGACGACCTCCCTGCATCTGTATAACAGTCGAAGTGCACAGAAGTCAAGGAGGTTGAGGGGCGAAAGGCTAGCAGCAGATGTTCAGGGGTTCGAGCGAAGAACGGTAGAAAAGCCGAAGATTGTATATATATTGTGGGCAATGTAGACGCTGGTGCGGGCTCCAGCAAGAGTGTGCTCTTCTGCGGTTGCTCACGAGTCTGCGCCAGTAGATCTGGTGCTGTGGAGGGGTCTGATGCTGGGAGACGCTCGGCAAAGGACCCGCCCAAGCAGGAAAGACTTCAGCCGCAAGCTGGTGCGACGTCAGGGAAAGACAGACAAGCTACGGCAAGATTTCCATATCCGTCGAATCACATGAAGTTGCCGATTATGCAATACGACAACAACCCCGTCATCATCAACAACTAACTCGATTAACTAGCTTCGGCGCTGGGATAGAAGCTGCGTTTCCCGATTTCTGATCTGTCGCGAACAGTCGTACTCGCGCTGCACTGCTGTGCTGATCTTGCAGCACAAATCAAGTTCCTGGATTGACACTCTGGAGATATATCCCGACCCCATCGGGATGCTCGTTACTATAATACCGTGAGAAGAGCAGCAGTGTAAGTCCTGCATGTTGTCCTTCACATTCAAGGAATTACGTTACTGTGGGGGAGGATCCTTTTGCACAATCAGTGCATGTCCTTCGGTCACAACAAGTCGAGAATAGAAAGGTTCCAGATTGAGGTCGGCAGTGCATCTTTCGTGCGTCAGAACTGAAAAAGATTTGGGGTCAGAATCAAAATATTGAAGATCTAGGTCTTATTGAACGTGCTGGCTCGACGGCTATGGTACGCTACGTCTCCCGTACAAAACCGAGGTACATCATGTGATGTGTAAAGACGCTGGGCCAAAAAACCACAGGCTGCCACTGCACCCAAGCGCCAAAGAAACATAGCTCAAGCTCTACGTATCAGAATCACCCACAATCCTAGGGCAAGCAGCCCGACACCCTTTGCATCCAACCCTACCTGCTGCCAGCACATCAAGGACCTGCCATCTGAGCAAAGGAGCGGTGGCCGCCAAAAGATTGTGCGACTCCAACTCCGACCAACAAAACAATAATATTCTGCAGACAAACCTCGGAATAGTACATTTCGAGCAGGAATAGCGACGGAGATGATAGTTACTAGCTCAGGGATAAGTGAGAGTATTGCAGAGGATGCTCGAGCAAGTCTCGATGCTCAGGTCGCCCAGCTACAAGCTGAAGGGAAGTTGGAACCCGGAAAGTCAAGCCATGAGCAATTGAAATGGACGCCCGAGACGATCGCAGCTGCTCAGGAGTTCCTCAAGGTATCCCTTGCACAATGCCCTCATCGCATCGCACAGCGCTGACCGACCAAAACAGAACGTTGACCTTACGTCCCTCAAGAGCCTCGGAGTCGATGCGAAGCAGGAAGATATCCAATGGAGGATGCCTATAATATACTCGAATGTGTTGCCTGATCCCTTGAAATATGACAAGTCGGGTCCCGGGAAGGGAATCATTGGATTACTTGCACTAGGCACAGTTCAGCTGCCAGAAATTGGTGATAGCGGTGAGGTAGAGATCGAGAGTGGCTCCGCTGCATTCTTTCTCGAGTCTGATTCTGTTGTGTATCGTTCATGTGGAGGATCGCGAGGTATCTTGTTTTATATTAGCATCTGACAGAGAGGAGCTGCCCGTTGGCACACGCACTAATGGACCATTCCCGTGTCTGCACAAAGCTTGTGCCACTCACCAAACGGGCTTTCAATGACTGGTCCTATTCTTCTCTGTCATGGCCAAACCAACTGCGGTGGGAAAGTGTGGCTGTATCCCACTATATCTTCCATCATGTTTAGTAGTTTTGATGCTCTCTCCCGACCTGATTCTTGCTGCAGGGAGCTCGGCAGGCAGTCCACTGCACCCAGGCTGCTCGTCATATGCGGATCGACAGTCAGCAAATTTGGATTGATCGTGCTTGGTCTCGACTCCAGGGCACTCGGCAGACCGCCTCCCGCGCCCAGAGTATTCATCATGTATGGATCCATCGTCAATTCTCTTTCCCAACAAGGGTCTTGCTGCAGAGAGTTTGGCCGACAGTCTACCGCACCCAGGCTGCTCGTCATTTGCGAATCCATGGAGACTGCTCCTGTCTGGCCAGAACCAGTGAAAGCCGCATAATTTCTCGAACTATCCGCCATCCATGGGTCCATACTATCGTCCTCAATATGTCTCCTGGTAATATCGTCGATATTGTGACCGGCAGAAGTAGAGGTGGAAGAGCTGCCTGGATCGTGGTGTCCATCTCCAGACTCAGCCGGCGGAAAAGTCTCGGTGGGTTGGTCGTCGGAGGCGAAGGAACTTTGCCTTGACGTACGGATTTTGTGGCTGTGACCCCTTTTCTTCGACGACTGATTGCGAGTGCCAGGGTGCATGGACGATGTGGATGGTGGAGGCGGCAAATGAAGGGTGCTTGCGATGTTTCCTGATTTTATTCTTGCTGGCAAAACACTCAAGTCCTGTACTTGACAGGAAAGAGTAGCCATATCAGGAAACAAAGATATTGACCTTTCAGGCTCGATTGTCTCGGCTAACGGCAGCCATATCGAATTGCAGATTTGTTCGTGGCTTGCAGAGTGTTATTTTATGTCTCGTATCAGTGAGATCAGAATCATACCTTACACTGTGCATCATGCCGCTGAGCGCTCGTGTGGGATTGAAAAGAGGGACACCTTCAAATCCACTCGGAGGAGTGAGCCGTTTCAATGCATTCGCGATTTTGGAAGCAAATTTCTGCCGCTTTTCTTCTGACAGACGAGCGACAGAACTCATCAAACTCCCTTTCGCTACATCGGTGTTAGCAATTGTATTGCCAATCGGAGGAATTGCTATTATACCAGCAAAGACATGGTAGAGCAGGTAAGCCTTGTTATTCCAAGTCGGCAGCATCAGATTTACAATTGAGTTGATAATGTGGACCAACCCATGCCAATTGAAGATGTTTTGTCGATTGATGCTTTTCGTGGAGGAGGCTCCTAGGAGTGAGGCACAAGCGGCGGTATATCGCATAGACCAGACGATGCCTACCGATGCACCCTCTACGTCCTCTGCCAGCTTCCACAATTGATCTGCTAGAGTAGACGCGTCGTCCTTTGGTTCCGGGGGCGAAAGGCTGGAGAGAGTAAGCAGCGTCGGAAGAGGCTTCTGAGACAACTTTTTCAAACTGTCCTCCAACCAAAGGGTGTTCTTCATGACAAGTTGGGCCAGTGTATCCGTCTCGTCTATACACTGCTTCTTTGGGGGCGGTGGCCTAACCAGCTCTCCACTTGGTTCAGCCATTACTTTTCTCTTGTGGCTGACAGGTGGTGCGAGCTGGCCGGTTGCCGGACAAGCTCTACCGTCAAGCGCATTCTGATTGTCGATACTGTTGGGTTGAGCTACCGGGAAGTGAGCCTCGATGTGGGACTCTGTATATGCTTTGAATCTGGATTTTGCAACCGCAACGCATTGCTCGATATCGGAATTGGTAGGATGGTCCAAAGTGCAGCTGCTTTCGTGTTAGGTAGTTCCCCTGGCTGGGAGCTAACTGACTGATGACTTGAAGAGTAGTTCCAACAAACTGATCGGTAGGAAGAGTCGATGACTCTCTGGACTGTATTCTTGACAATATCCGAGGTGATTTTATGGTCAATGTCGCAACAACAAGGCCCGAAACGAAGTTGGGACGAGAAAAATATTTGTCCTGGAAATCGTTCGAGCGAGAATGGACTTATTGTGACCCGGACAGCGACCCAATGCCTGCAGTGTACCGGAACGACCATGCAAATGTACGTATTTTCACCACGAGAGATTTCCCGCTGGGAGATCTTACGTCGTGTGGAATCCTCTCTCTGCTCTGCCAGTGTATAGTAGGATACCGGTCCTTTGCACATCGACGATAGCACTTGATCCTCCATGGTGGGAGGGCAATTGAGTGAGAAAGTAGGGAAATTGAGAATCTTGGAGCGCAGGAGTGGTTTGCAGGGTGGTAAACATTGTTTACAGCCCCTGTCCGCCCAGATTGCGAATCACCTGCAGGTCGGTTTGCTTTTCCGGATGAGGGCTAAGTCGATAACGCCACTAACTCGAATCACTTGAGGCGGGCCAAATTCGTCTCCGGTGAAGCGACCCTGTTTCTGGTGGCCAGAGTGCTCGCTTCACCGGAAGCGAATGTCGCCAGCCTCGACTGTTGGCGATCCTTTGTTTCACTTGATCAATATCTGGTGGAGACTTCTCGTGCTATTGGATTCTCATCAATCAGGAACGAAGATACGAACCATATATAGGAAGCTGGCAAAACTGCAGGCGCTCCTCACTTCGTCAATCATCGATCAATGTGCACTTGCATTCTTGTCTCCGCTTCTTCCTGCAGTTCCCTCACTCCTCATCTCATAAGGCATCTGAATTCTCCCTGCGCACCTGCAGGTTGCCCTACTTTCGTGCATCCTTACGTGCATCTCCAAGCCTGTGATCATCGATCCCCCGATGGACATTTTAGCCTTGAAAACGTCCACCCACGGAAGCGCTATCCACTGGGAGGGGGAGGCTTGCGAAATCCTTCGAGCCTCCACCAGCGCGGAAGAAATCCAGCTTGTCTGTTCCTATTTTCCGTTCCAACATCCAGACACTCCCTTGGGCATATTGTCCAGCCGAAGGATTGAGAATTTCCCGACGGACGTTGATGTACTTGGATTGCACAAAGCAGAGGAAACTCTCAGAACAATAGCAACAGAATGCAAATACTGCTGCTGGAATTGGACATGGAGCGTCCCTTTTGCATCTTCAACAACAGGACTCACCAAAGCTGCCAACAACACGGACAAGGGTTTATTGACATTGATCTCCAAAGTGACTTTCATGGCCCTGGAAAGAAAAGCATGCGGCTTTCCATCAAGGGCGTTCGAAGATATCTTCGATGGTCTCACTCATGTACGGCTTCTACTCGAATACCGTTTCAGCAAGCTATATGTATCGAAGAAGGAGTATGAAGCAGTCGGGAAGGTATGATCTATCGAGAACGTGGAGGGATTAGCTTGCTAATTACTTTACCAGGAATTGAAGAGCCCGTTGGCTCGCTGGATCTTCTCAACCAGCTTACGGAGCACCGGCAGCTCACCTTGTCCCTCTGATGCCTTCGCACCAATCCTACGCCCAATCGAAGAACTTTTTGAGAATCGAGAGCTACCGCTCATGTCGGTGCTTCAGCGCCTGAAGATTTTGGGCGTTCTACATCAAGATATTCTGGACGGACTTGACCCAAGATGGGAAGGCCTCAGCGAAGAAGACTTCAGCTTCCTCGAAGACGTTACCAACCACACACCTCGGGGCTTAGCGCGCCTGTTGATTGAAAAGGACCTTTTTTGCTCGCAGAAATTGTCCCCTAATGATTTTCTTGACCCCGCAGAGCTAAGGAGCAAATCCACACAATGGTCACGCCTGGTATATAATGTGAGGGTGTGCGCAAAGGCTCATCCTGACTTGGTTGGGAGAATCGATGAAGCTGCAAAGGTAAGGTTAATCTTTCTCATGATCTTTCTTCGCTAAGTTGGCCTCGAATAGATTCTACTCTGTCACAGAAACTTCTTTTCCGGGATGGCGCTCATCTACGGCCTTTCCGAAGCAAATCATCCTCCTGCAGAACCGTGGTGGAATTTTTTCTCGGTTCGATACCTTTGTGCGGCTTACCAGGTAAAAGGTTGGTTACTGAGGTTGCCTGACCACATTGAAGACGACGCTGGTAGCAAGCCAACCGGAGCTGAGACCAAAAGTGAGCGATCTTGTATGGCGTCCTTCCTGGAAACTACGTCCACGCTGTCCGTGACTCTGTTTGGCATGGAACAATACATACCCGGCTGCCGACATGCCTCGGACGGATCGCATGAGCAAAAAGAAGAGCTCAGTAGAAAGGAGGTCAATCCAATGGCAGGAGGGTCATGGAACAATGGCTTAACAATGGCAGGCAGTGATCTAGGGCCGGAATTGGGATACGGGGTCGAGGATGTGGGTGGTGTGGGTTCAGATGTTATGTTGTCTGGAGTAGGAAGTTCCGTTAACCACGTCAACGACACGAGCCACGTAGACGACTACGACCATACAGAGAGTAGCCTCGGAACAGATGGTCATGACGTAAGGCGATACCCTACCGTTCTTATCAGAACTTTGTTCTAGAGTTAACTGGGTTAGGATTTTGACTCGGATTCCGGTCTGGGGAGCGATTGCGGGTACGTTGCAATCTCAATATCAAGCAGTATCCAACTGAAGATTCAGGGAATCAACGACAACTTTGACATCCGAAGCCCTCGAGCACGTCGAAAGGTATGGCCGCAGCTACCACGGCTATCATGCAGGGAGTAAGTATCATTCTGATTGACTGTACCTGAAAATGTTGTTAACCACGCACGTAGAATATCTGCTACCGAATGACGAGCAGGAACGGCAAAGACTTGGTGAGCATTCACCCTATCGTGCTACTCATATTACTGATTAGTCTTACGGATCTTCAACATCGTCTCTTTGGTATTACTTTAGATGAACATTTACACTTGGCCCAACTTCCGAAGATAAAACGAGCCCTCGACATAGGCACCGGGACTGGAATTTGGTCAATAGATTTTGGTAAGTGATTATTCACCCCCGAAAGTTTAACGCTTAACCTTGAACGTAGCAGACGAACATCCTGATGTCGAGGTTTTAGGGGTGGACTTAAGCCCGATGCAGACAGAGTGGTGCGCTTGCTTCTGATTGCTGTTTTCGAATGAGCTGATAAATCTCAGGGTACCGCCTAATTGCAGATTTCAGGTCGATGATCTCTCGCTTACATGGAACTTTGAGTTTCCGTTTGACTTTATTCACGGTCGGATGTTGTTCTGCTCCTTCTCCAACCCACTTCACGTTTTCAAGGAAGCTTTCGAAGCACTGACAGCTGGAGGAATCATCGAGATGCAGGACCTCATCTTTGAATTTCGAAGTCGTGATGGATCATTGGAAGGGACTGCGTTGGAAACGTGGGCGAAGAAAGTGACGGAGGCATTTGCGTCCAAAGGAATCGACTTGACTTCTGCATCAAGGTATAGGAACCACCTCGAGGCGGTGGGATTTGAGGACATTGAACAACAAGAATTCTCTTGGCCAGTTGGCACATGGCCGAAGGGTAAAAAGTTCAAGACTTTGGGACGGTGGTGTCGACAGAATATCTTGGAAATGCTCTTTGCAATCTCGATCGTCCCGTTAACCGAACAGCACAGCATGTCTCGGGAGGCGGTCGAGTTGCTCCTAGTACGGGTACGGGAGGATCTCCGGAATCCACATATCCATGCTTATCTCCAAATGTGAGTACATTTCCTGTGTGTGAATTCCGGCTGACAAAAACTGCAGTATTGTTGTCCATGGCCGAAAGCCGAAATAGATCAGAGGCTCAGGGGTTAAGACATGGCAGATGGTCGCGTACAACTTACACCACAACACTTTGTACAATAATATGTAATGCGTTCTTTCTATCAGATTAATATTACTGCACTCCGTATTCGTGCAATCTGAAAGCCCAGATGAGAAAGCAAAGTACCAGGCGCCGAGACCCCATTGTGTTTTGCGGCCGAGAGGGGAAGAGGAGCCGTAATGATCAGGCCAATTGGAACTGCTGGACTGTGATAGTGATTTTTAGTGTGTTTCGTAGCGCCGGTCGCCTCGAAGGGTCGGGTAGCTCATCAGTCTGGTCCAAGTGGCCGTTTTGCAATATCTGAAAAGCATAAGTAAAGCCCTTACTCCCTGCGTCGAAATATCTGCTTGAATTATCCATTCTCTTCTCCTTTCCGATACTGTCGCAAGCCTCCTAACACTGTGGTCCTCTGGCATGGCTTCAACATCAAAGCGACTGCAGTTCCACACTTCCAGACTCCCATCAACGGCCGAGACTGTGACATGTCAGGCACCATTCCAAAATACAGCCAGCTCGTCCAAAAAAGAATCAACTAGCATATGGCAAGAGAACCAGGTACCAATATATCTTCATCGTTGTCATCGAAACATCACGCTCAGCAACAGCATAGGAGCATCATGACAGACCTAAACTGCACGGAAAAGAAGCGAACATGGTCAACAAGCAGAGGTTTCCCGAAAGCAATATGAACCTCCCATATCTTCCTACTCCTTCAGCCCGACCTTTTCATTTGAAGATTCCGCGAAGGGAAATCCCCGCAGGGCTTTCCGCAGCAGCCAAGGTCGGAAGGAATATTTCAGCGCCGAGGTTCCCAGAGACCATGAGCACGATCAATATTGCTAGATTCGACAATCATAAGACATTCAATTCACAGCCATCTTATTCTATTGAAGAGACAAGGGCTGGGGATTCTGTAGCACAAGAGCGGTAAGTGCAAGCAATAAATTATCCCAGGCATTCTCTAATGAAGACATCAGTCGGGCAAGCGACGGCCAGCATAATCGGAGCTGTGGGAAGGACGGAGGGAGTCTGGGGCAGCAGACTTGCCCAATTGCTGTTCTGGCCACCTTCGTTCCAGCCGATACCTACAAGTCGATGATGGAACATCATCCAACAATACCAGATGTGAGGAGCAGCACACATTATGCACCGCCAGCTACGGATTGTGGTGCTATGTTTTGGTACCTGATACGAGACGAAGGGTGCAGCCCAGAACATGCAATCAGCATAGTCCGCTTTGCAATTTCTAATGTCACACCGGCAACACAGAACTTTGCAGCTTCCTTCTCGCAGCTCAGTCACCAAGAGTCTTCCAATCATCTCATGGAAACTTCTTTTACCGAAAGAGCTCGATATGTTGACTACTACCCAGACCACGCACTTCGAAAGTACTGGGTATCACCAATACTCAAGGCAGGTATCAGCAAGCCTGAAGAGCGCAGCTGTGCATATCTACTCTCTGCAAGTGTCTGTGTTTGTTCCCGAGAAGAGCGCGTGTTGAATCGCATTTTCTGCCACTTGTGGGGGAAGCACCCGGGGGTTTCAGCAGCATTGGAAGACGACGAGTTCAGGAAAATTAAACGAAATGTGCTAGGAGATAACATATGCGCATGCCCTGAGTTTCATCAGGAGATCCTGAGAATAAGTTGAAGCGGAAGATCACCCGGAGAAGGGGGGAAAGGGAAGGAGTGGAGAATTGTTCAAAAACAAGTCAATTGAAAGACTTAATCAATCATCAGCAGGAGGAATACATCTAGAATTGTAGCTTATAGACTTATAAGTATTCCGCCTTTCGTGTGCCCTGGCGGTGCATCAGAGAGAGGGGCCAGGCTTGATGATAGGGGGATATGTGATTGACGAAGCGAGATGGCAGGGTAAGAGCATCTTTTTACAGGCTACTCCTAAGGGTAGCCATGTATGGTTGAAGTTTGGATCTGAGATAAAAGCAGAAGCCGGTGTTGATCTGAAGGACTTTGGGGAGAAGGAACATACGTTCAAAGTACGATGGTTTGGGGCCCATCCACCAAAGAGGAAATGAAGACGGGTTGAGGCGCATCGAATGAATGGAGAAATAATGGGTGCGAATAGTGAAGACTTGGTCGTGACAGATGCCGACGTCTTGTGAGCCTCCTTCTGGAAATATCCTAGGTTTATGATAGATCATCAGCTTCTCATATCAACATGTCCCAGGCCAAAAGATTTAGAAGCCGAGATATTTCTGATCAAAACATGGGACTTGCTTCAAAGGTTCAAGGCCACGCCAGGGTACATTGATCCGTGATTCAGGGTTCAAATCAATTTCCCTTGCCATCCTTCATTCAAATCTCTGGGGAACGCATTCAACCCTCCTGAATTTTACTGAATCCCTCAAAACTGGTTTTCATCCTTAACTCACAAGTGAGAATGTGCAATTACACACAAGTCGAGTTTGAGTGCGGTCATTGTCGTTATACAGTTAGAGCATGGTGCATCAATTATGAGACGACACATCGACGGTGTCCACCAGCTGTAGTAGCTGTTGAATGGAGGTTAGTTATTATAATAGCTTTTGATATTATTATAGGATGTACTGCTGACAAGTTTGTAGATTAGATGAACGCTGTGGTTCGTGAACCGTCCTGCGATTCCACTTCTGCTAAGTACATATCACTAACGCCTCCTGCTCTAGGAGACTGTCGCAAGCCAACGATACAACCCTGGATGAAAGATCAGAACAAGAACTCTCGAGCCCAAACATAGCAGGTGGAAAGGCTACAGCGGATGGGTGCGAGTAAGGCGAACGAGATAAATATCGTTCTATTCTGAACTTTTGTATGGTCGCCAACGCAATGATCACGTACCTTGTTATTTAATCTGTCTAGTTACAAACAATATATCGAGGTCGCACTTCAATGGAGCGCCTAGCCCGATGTGTGTTAAGACAATGCGAAGAGAGTACCTGCTCATTCATTCTGTTCCCTTTCCCCCTGACCGGATGTGTCGACATACATCCTTATCACCTGCCGCAAGTGCATCTGTTCATCCCCATCTCCCTGTTTACCCCCTGTTCCCCTATCGAATGTGCCGCGTTCAGCTCCTCTTCACGAATGAATGGACCAGGCGTGCTCCACGTGCCAAGGCCGACATAAAAAATTGACCTCCTCCTTGAATCTTCTCCATGAACCCTTCTCACTCCAAAATTGCCACAATACGAGATCCGAACAGCTTATCTCGACAACCCTGAAAGCTCTTCCACAATGGTGGTTGCTGAATTGCCGTCAACGGATGGGCCGAACATGAGTTTTATAGCTCAATCATCATCGACCTCGATGCCAAGTCGCGTTGGAGAACCAAGTCTGGAATGCCATTGCGAACTGGCAACGGAGATAAAAATAACTCAGACCAAACTTCGCGGACTTTCGAAGCGACAAAGCATAATCAACAAACTTTATGACAATGAGGATATGAGAGAATGCATGAAGGAGGTTCCTGGAGTCGAACGAATCCGCCAGATCTGGTCGACAGATCATTTAAACCTGGAGACTACCTTACAGAGCCAGCTTCGAATTTTGAAGGAGAGCGCTAGCGCTAGCAGATACTTGGGTGGAGGGCAAGTTGTCATCAGCCAGCTGTGCGCCGATAGACAAAAGGCCGAATGTGCACGAGCTTTCGAATGCATGGAAGTGATTCCGCACAAGATGCTAGGTCCTGAAAATATGGAAGCAAAGTCAAGCGGTAATGGGCAGGATATAGATGACAAGGGTGGGTACAGTTGCAACCAGGCTGACGATGATGCCGACGAGGAGCAGAGTAAGGAGGCTGAGCGATTGGATCAAAGAGTGGAAGACTTTGAGGACGAGGAGGACAACCAATTCATGGAGGCTGAGCGATCAGAGGGGAGAGATAATCGCGGAGTCGAAGATGAGGACGAGCAGAATATTCTGATATTAGGAGAGGTGCAGAGAGGCGCCAAGGACGAGAGATCTGATGGGGAGCGAGCTTTCGAATGCATAAAAGCTACATTTCGCAACGAGCCCGTACTAAAGAAAACGCAATCAGCTGCTGGATATAGTGATGACAGGATGGGGGAGCAGAGTACTGAGTATGGAGACGAGGATCCCCGGACCAAGAGCGCTGACTGGAACAGAGTAAGAGAGGATCACAATGAAGATAAGGGCGAGCATGATAGTGAGGCTGAGGGAAGAAGAAGAGACGGCTGTGTGGAAGATTGGGGGAGGGAACAGGATATTAGGTCTTTGGGGCGAGAAGAGAGGGAAGATCCAGGCGTGGAAGGGGAAGATAGGGCAGAAGATATCGAGATAGTGCACGATACGGCATCCGGACCGGATAATACGTACACAGAGGAGCACGAAGAGGAGGAAGACGAGGACTATGAGGACTATGGCAGGATTCGTCACTTGTTCAAGGGGCCAACAGAGTCACAGGCTAGAAAGACAATTTGTACAAACACTAGGAGCAAAGTGTCAGTCACTCTTATCCCCTCCAATCAGCACAACTGTAACATCGTTCCAGCAGGATACCAGCAAGGAAATGCAGATACATCTTTTACACACCTCGACAGGATATTCAACTTCCAAACCCAGTGACTATTATTAGCGCGCCTGGGGACGAAGACTCGGACTTCGAGAACTGCAAGATGAGAAGAGCGATTTTCAACCCTGCATGGAAGAATGACGATCGCAAATTCACACGATTTATGTCAGCTTACCATGGAGTCGAAGATCTTGGGGTAGTGACCAAAGCACTTACCTATTCTGGCCTTCTCAAATGGATCGAAAATCGTAAACGGGACCATGGAGGTAAATGTGGCTTGCAGGAGGCGGCCAAAATACTCCATGTTGATTACTGGAGTATATACATCGCGCTCCATACCTGGATTTATCCTTTCATGAACATGGGACCACAGGAATTGTCCGGTTTTGGATGTACGATACCTCTTTGCCCGCATTCACGACCGGAACACTGGTTTCAAGACAGAAATTGTTTAGTCATCCATATGTCAACATTCCACGTATGCAATCGGCGTCAAAACACAGTAGGCCGAGACAAGCTTGGCCGATCCCCGTTACTAGAAGAAGCAGTCCAGAAGAGTCTCGAGGCTGGAGAATCCCGGATATCCATCATAGGTATAAGCACCCTCTATGTTTCGATTTCAGTGAGATTAACTTTCGTAGCAAGATCGAATCTCTACAAGGCTCGTGTAAAAGACATTTTGGAATTTGGACCACAGCAGCGATTCCCCAATATGATGTCGTGTGGATGTTGTCAATACATACACGCAGAAGCATGTTTCTCTCCGCTACATTCTAAACGACGAAGAATTGGGACCGCCGAGGACGACGCATATCTCCAGGGCGAGTCTGTGGAGACGATGGCTCGTGACGAAAACAGCCACATCCGCATGGACTCCCATTTGTCTCAGACAGCACCAGAAAGACTCGAGGATAGAGGTACCAGCGCTGCGCTGAACACCACCATCGATACTGATTTTTCATACTGTCTCAAGCTTAGCGCTCGTCCGGTCCATATCGCAGTTAATAAAGCGTAGTTGAGTAAGGTAGCAAGGGAAAGACAAGTGCTTGATTTGAGTTGCTCTGATTACATAAATGTCCAATTGCAGATAAACGATACACAGAAGGACAAAACAAGTGTGCAACAAAGAGCACCAGAACTCAGCCCTACAATGTGCCCATTCAAAAATTCAATACCAGCAATATCGCGGAAGGAAGTCCTATGATTCTTGTTTTGTGAAGACTACAGGGAGCATAAGTAAGATACTCCAAACGCAGTAGGACGATGATGACTTCTGAAATTGCGTTCTCTCATCACTATCTAGTAGAACCAGAGAAGATATTGACTAATGAAGTTGTACGCCGTGGCCGGAGGAATTCTCGAATTGCTCGATTGTTGCTAGGGAGGGGAGCCTCTCTATATGTACATTCTAGTCTTTGGTGGACGTTCAATGGCTATCTGACGGTTCATTAGTAATTGATGTAGCATAGCCTAGAATACTACGCGCATCTTACATTGGGCAGTTCCAATTGAGTTGCTTGAGATCCGATCGATGGAGATATTGCAGTAGAGCGTTGGTCCTTCCTCCGTGCGCTTTGGCGACATGCTGATTTCCTGGCTTTACCAGATGGAACGCATTCCTCTTCACCTTTTCGATTGCATCAGGTTTTCTTCTTGCGGCACTGATTGCAAGCCTTTTTAGTACGAAGACGTATCTCTGACTGCTTCTTTTTCAGACATGCAGAGTTGGGGAAGTTGATCATCGTCGAGTTAATAGGCTGTACCGATAGTAGGCTATGATTGAGATAGACAGGAGACTCGACACTGCCAGGCCATGTGCCGCCAGGTATAAGGGGCATGCTGTTGACGGAGAAGAGAGTGTCAACAGTTGAGTCTTGATCATCAGGTAGATAATCGTTGAGGTAAGCAGAGAAATCGAAAGTTTCCAGCCATTCATCACCAGGGAGAGATGAGTTTTGGTTCGCAATCGAAGACATCGGGTAGAAGAGTGAAAGTAGTAATTTCAGGATAAAGAGTGTATTCGAGAAACGAGGGAACGGGTTCCAGACGATGCTTTAAGACCATGTGGGGGAGGCCAAGAATCATAGGCTTGTGGAGAAGCAAGCATTTAGGAAACGCGAGGCCGAAAATGAAAGCGTTTGCAGGAGCAGATAACTTGTGTTGTTGAAAGAAACCACATCGCTCAAGAGACCAGCTCACTGAAGAGACCACCTCGCTAAAGAGACCACCTCGCTAACGAAGTAAGGGCCCACCCCGTCAAAGAGACCACCAAAAAACGGACGACGTCTACTCACACGTTGCTGACCACTGTCTGTAAAAACCAAGGCTACGGCAACAGGGATCCGTGGGTGGTACTGTAAAAGAGGTACGGACTTGAAGATTATAATAATACTTAATAACTCGAACTAAACTCTCCTCCCCACCAAAGATTCACCTCAGACGCAATTACAATAGCTTCTACGCTGCGATACCACTCACCTACATGAACAATATGAGCGCATCACCCCTCGGCGAAGCAAACCCAAGTCCAGTGGGCGCCTCTCTCTACGTAAGTCAAAAATCAAACTTGAAGCAAATCTCTACTGACGGCGAAGAACTCCACTGATGCGATGTTCTTTCCCTTTGAGACTACGCCCGAAGCAGCTGAACATATGGCGCCACCTTCGAACAGGTCAGTCCATGGTACCACAGACATTGAGAGGGTAATAAACATGCCTAGTGATACCACACCAGGTCTAATAGATGTCAATTTTGAAATGGTCGCAGACGCAGTGAGAGATCCATTCATTCGACTCTCTGCTCTACTTCCATTTTTAACAATCACCTAAGGACACCCAAAGGCCGTCGTACAGTGAAGAAGACACTCGCTTTAGTCTCATCTGTGGTATGTTTATATAGATTGCTATGTTATTTCCAGCTAACTTAAAAGTAATCGAAAGTCTCTTTCGAGATATAGCAGCCAGATCTTTTGGCTCGAGTGCTTCTATTCCGCTAGAAACGCTCAAGCTTCTACCCAAGTTATTACGAACTCTGATCAGTCAGTATTGTTCTCCCAACATTATGTCTCCGCTCACCTCCCACCTTAGAATTTATCAGTGAGCTCCAAGCTAGTAATAGCCAACTCCATATGAGCAATATACAGATCCAGGCTAGTCAGGAAAACGGCCAAGCCAGAGAGCAGCAAATAGAAGGCAAGATGACCATATATCTCCCTTTGGTCCCCGGATTAACAAAATCCAAAGGCCACATAGGTGTTCTCCAGGGAGAGATTGAGTTAGTCAAAGGTATGAATGACAAGCCTGCGAATTTGATAATGCTAACTGATGCAATTAAAGACGCGAAAATGCAGTTGCAATGTGAGTATTGCGTGCTTCTTCGGTCTGCTAGTTATGCTAATACGATCTAGTCAAAATGGATGAGCTGAGGCGGGAAATGCGCGAATTGGAGCAAGGATACAAGAATATCAAGGCGCAAAGGGACCATCTGAAGGCAGAACTCGAGCAGCTTGGGTTTAGAGTCATTTTTGACATTAGCGCTGAGGACTCGAGCAAGAAACACTATCTTCAAGAGTAAGATAACGGATCCAAGAGCATTATTCCTACGCAACTATTACGTGCGATACGAAGCTCCCTAGCAATCATCTTTTCAATGGCATTATTTACATCACACTTGGCTGTCTAACATTCGCATCCACTGCAACTAATCTCAATCCCTCTCCTACGCTGTGCTGTTGCTAGCCTCCATACGCGGTGATCAAAGTGTCCTAGGTCTTGTGGTTACTGCCCACCTCGCTAAGTCAGAAAACCTTATGGAGGTGTTCATGGTCGGGACTTCTTGGGACGACTTCGTTGGGCCTCAATCTATTTGTTTGAGCAAGAGCAGGGGCAATACTGCAAGCATACAAAGTTCCCAGCTTGACAGCGACAATGCTCAGCGCCCACATCGTGGCAGCTACCAATACATTTGCATGGCATAGAGGCATCTGCTAACCATTGGCAGTCGCGAATAGCATCGTCGATGTCCTTTTCCGAACTAAGATTGAAATCGGCCGGCGATAATCTGATGATACCAGCAACCTTATTGAGGATATTTGCGGCTTGCTTGGGATGATCTTCGTTTGACGCCTTGTCCCGGTGAGCCATGATAAACTTCCACATTGGTAAGGTGTGAGTAAGGAAAATTCTTGAGTCCCAGCACATCCCACCTCGGAAGAAACAGTTTGTAGGAGAAATTGGAGCATGAATCGTTCCTGGAGGCATTATCAAATAATCACCTGGAATGAGCGAGATGATTCGGATCCATTCCCGCGGCGGCTCCCACTCAGGTCCTTTTTCCCCAAAGGCTTCGAGGGCGGAAGGAAGACATTCGTCTGGTACCAAGACAACAGCCCAATATTTGATCGTATCTTCTGCGCCTTCATGATCATCATTTCTTTCCAAAGTTGCCCATGTAATGGGCGCCGTGCTATCCATGTGCCAACCAGATATCGCCCCGGCCTGGCTACAAATTTGAAATTGCAAGCAGCTTTCGAGGTCGGCATCCATCCTCGCGTCAGTGGTAGTCGGTTTGCCAACCAGATCCAGGCCGGCGTTTGTCTTTCTTGCTAAAGCGTCGACTTTTACCGCGCGTGTTGCTTTGTGAAGTAGCGAGCAACGATTGAGTAGTGGCGGTGGAGTGATCTCATAGTTAGAAGATGACATATTGAGTAGATTCATAGGCTTGTCCACAATCTGGCCATTGGATGATGCCCATCGCCGCTGGAATTTGGGTGTTGGTAATGCTCGATAGATTTGCTCCGAAGGTAGTCCAAAGTCTTGGAAATTGATGATTGAGTCCGTAGGTAGGCTTTTAATCAAATCATTACTCGTCACTCTCCTTGACTCTTTCGAGAACAATCTATCGTCACGCAATACGATAATCTCAGGGTGTACAACCCAATCGCGCTCTAAATATTCGTCGAGTCCATCAAGATCTGTCAAGACATAATCTCGATCAGGTAGTGTGCATGAAGCCGCTTGTGCCCCAAGAATGTGATCGCCTAGTCGACCCATAATTGCGAAATGGCTACTCGACTTCGGCTTCGACTTTGAATTCGCAGCTTTATGCCACCGTTCCCGTAGGCAGTATCGGAGTGGATGGGTATACAATCGCACTTGTTGCCTGTCACTCTCTTCCCGATCTGCTTGGATCCTTTTTTTTCTTCGCGATGCTCGTTGCGCAAGCTTGTTCTTCGCCCGAGCCTGAGCCAAAGCCTCATGCCTTTCCGCATCGCGCGATGATGACTCTCTCTGTTCATCATTCGTATCACACCGTGACTCCGGTACCGTTGCAGTAGCATAATCTTCGGTGATGTTGTTGCTGGATATAGCGTCAGTAACCTCCAGAAAACAATCTGGGAGAGTTCATACCTCCGCTGTCGCCTTTTTCTTTTTCCTTCATAGCCCAACTTATCAATGGATATACGTGGTCGTCCACGCGTAGACATCGATCTTCAGGCAACTGAGAGATGACACCAGGTAGCAGCATGTGCTGATATATTGCTGTGGTGTGGCGAGGAACAACGAACGACGAAGTCACAAGGTTTGGATAAGTCACGCGGGGACAAAATTGGGGACTTGCACTGTGACATTTTTGTCATTGGGGTGTTTGTCCCTCCGGCCTCGGCAGTAAGTCACGCGGGGACAAATTCGGGATTCCCACTATGACAAGAATGTCACACAGTATTTGTCCCTCCCTCCACACACGCGGGACGAAATGAATTCTATTCACAACTGAAACAAAAAATTCGCCTGTGAAAGCACAAGGTGAAGATCAACACACCTCTACAGTAACAATAGGCAATGTTTAGTTCTTGAATCCAGCAGGTTCTTGGTACTGCGAATGCTAATTGGGCTGGCCACTGCCGCGCACGGAGTCCTATCTCCCACCAACATCGTCAATTCGCAACCTCGCACAACACAACCCTACGGACGACCATCATGGCACCAACGGTAAAGCCCATAGCCGCTACACCCAAAACCTCTCAAACACGACGATGACGACGCCACGGATTACCAAGAAGGGCAAGAGGTCGAGTACCATACCGCTCCACAAAGATCATGCTCAGCTGTTGTACTTCCCCAATACAACAGTCCTCGACCAGTTCTGCACAGAAGTCGACTCCCGACTTACTACGCGCCACTGTTCGACCTACTAAAGCGGAAGGCAAACGTGCTCGCGGATCAGGAAATAATGGCGTGTCGTAGGGCTAATGGATTGGGAGCTGGCAAGAGATCAACGACACCGGAGACGGGGGCGCGAGAAGTCGACGAGGAGATCATCGGATCACCCAAAAGCGGAGGAATCCACCAGTCCTACATCCATCAGCTCGTCTAAGAAGCGCAAAGAACGCGTCGGCTCGATCATGTACGCGCAACATTTCAAAGGGCCCCAAGTCGAACTGCTTTACCAGCCAAACGCCTTCACGGTCGTGGCGCCTATACAAACTCTCGTCCACTGCGCGCGACATCACCTGTACACCTCCTCCCACATCATGAGCGCAGCCGAGCATTCACGGCGTCTCGTACAGAACCACCCGAGTTGGTCAAAGGCTGGAGCAGGTGAAGGCAGAGTGCTACAACGTTCGCTTAGACAAAGTCAACAGAATATATGGCTCGACAGACCCTCTACTGTCAACTCTTTCCCTCTACGAACATATCCGTGATCCCAATATCCCTGCCGTCGCAAGTCTGATGCGCAGCCACGGCAGTGCAGAAAGTCTCAGGACGGATACGGAACTGTCCATAGCAAAGAAGCCTTCAGCTGTTTCGGTGCCGACACATCACTATGTAGAAGCACTCTCAAGAAGTCAAGGTCGAGCCCGCCACTGAGCCTGGACATCAAAGCACCCCACCCCAGCCTATCCATTACTACGACGATGGAAGCACAGTAACAACGGCAAGTGGTCCACGAGGGCTACACGGGGACGCAGTACGATTACGCAGTTTCAATACCGATCCGGGTGGGAAGTAGACATCATCACCTCGACGCTCTGACACTGTGTAGCTGGGTCATCACAGATGGCCTTCGATGGCCAGTCATTCCGGCTGGGCATCGCACCATCAACACAGCCACGTCTCTGCAGATATGTCGTTGTAGACCATACACGCAACTTTGGTGCACGAATTTCGAATACGCTGCCAGAAGACCGAGCATGGTGTGGAGGATATCAGACGTGCGTTGGTCTCTATGAAACATTGTTCAGACGAAGGTAGCACTTGTTGTTTCCCATTTCAGTTGCGCTGATTCTCTTCCATCACATCATTCTTAATTGTGTTCGAATATAGTGGCATGTAGGGGGTATCATGATGGTACGAGGACATTCATAAGCGAAACCGCCGGGAATGTCACGGTTATGATTTAGGAACGCTCCTGCCACAGCACCGGACAGCTACCGTCTCGACAAACACATATATGCTTCTATGACGTACAACGAGAACCACAACAAGTTAATATGTGCTTGGGAAATTACTAGTCCTGGATCTTCCGCTGTGACGGTGAATCTTGTGAGCTGGTAATCAAGACGTGACCGAAACCGACTCTCACGGAGGTGATCTCATTGAGTATATGATTTGTCTCTATCTTCAGACAAGGATGTTTGCCAGGTGCCCAGAGCACCACCGGACGCTATGGAAAGTGCTAGGGGTTCCTTGTCTTCGTCGATGTTCATGAGTTCAGTACCACATTCCAGTCGCCGACACCACCTTCACTGCTCAAAGTCTATGTTTAACATTGTCCTTATTTTAATTGCCGAAGTCGGCACATCAATTCCGGAGTCTCAACCCTACACTTTACTTTGCACTTCACCAAAACAAAGCATCAATGGATCATTGTATCGACGAGCTGTACCCAAGTCATCCCTCGCAACTCGAAATGCCGGGGGATCTGATCTTGATGGCGCCTTTGTGCCCATCTACGGTTACCAGCTTCAGAAGTGGGACAACATCCGAATGACTATTCTTTGGCTTGTGACAAGTCGGGTGCGGCGGCAGAGTCAGATCATCCGGACTTGCAGCTGGTGCTTTCCGCCTAAATAGGGACGGAAGAGTTGGTAAGCATGCGCAGATAACCCCGACATGAACCTCGATAGAGCTCCAATATCCCACAGGAACATAATCCCCTGCCTCTGTGATTAGTCCCTGTCTCTCGACATCTGACAAAAAACCTTACAGGTCATGTTATGCGTGTTTGCGAACTTGACAAGTGATGTCAGTCGCAATATGCTTAATAGAGTGACTCTAGTTGTTCCTGCATTAGTGCAAGTCTTGGAAACTTTGATTCTCAAGTACTTACAGAAATCCAAGGCTAAACATGGCCAGGATATGAATCTTTTGTTCCCAAGACATTACGAGTCTTGTTAACTCAGGTAATGGGAGGATAACAGTGACGGCATCAAGAATAATGTTGATCGCGGCGCTTGTCCATCCGACTGCGTTTGCATTAATGCATTTAGCCGGAACCGTACCATCCCATCTAGTCCAAGCAGCGTGGACTGGGATGCATTGAAAGATTGAAGCAGTCATAAAACTCGTGCCGTAGAGAAGATTTACTACAGTGACGACATGTGTTATTCTTCTTAGGATTCCGTGAGGGAAGATTCGAAGGTAAAGACATAGCATCGACACCCGTATCATCATCGAACTTCCAAGGTACAGCACCTCGCTGAAGTAGAATATCTAGACCAATTTAGAATGATAACGAAGTGGATCATGGACTTACATAAAGAATGTGGGTTATGTTCTCAAACTGCACAGACCAGATATCCTTTCCAAGTCCATGATTTGCAACTACCATAACACATTAGCATTTTTTCCCCCCCAATTCGGGAACATGTATTCTCCTTGTTGACGTACGAGTAACAGCCATCGCAGAGAGCGGGATCACAAATCCCTACAATAAACGTCAGTAACAGTATAATTTTGAACCTAACATCTATACCATTGCAATAATCATCGTCCAGTCGTCCATTCCAGGTCTCCGACTTTTTATCCTTGATAAGAGACGTAGAAGTAGGGCCAATAAAGCAAGGGACACTCCAACGATGGCAGTCACGGAAACAGTATTGGTTCTGTCTCGGATTGGCCGACTACAGATGCTTTCCGTAATGGATTTGGTCGCTAATGGTATCAGTTATCCCCTCAAAGCTTCGTACAGAACAACTTACTAAGAGCCTCTCTGATTGAGCAGGTCCCACTCACGCAGAGTTCAAGACTATGACTCAGCTGTTGATCCGTACATATATACGTTGCCAGCATCCTGGGCGACACAGAACTCAAATCGCCTATACATTGGACCTATCCTCTCAGTATACAAATGTAAGAAATAGAAGCCTAACTTACAGCACATGCTGGTAGGGCTCTGTTTGTGAGGTTCGCTTTTGCGCGAGGGGCCGCGATTGTCATAATACAAAGTTTGAAAACCTGGGACTTCCAGATCCAGTGTTTTCGTAGATGTTTGTAAGTCTCTGAGAACGTAAGCTTGATATGCCTCAGGAACTGGGTAGACTTGATGATTTGTATAGAGTTACCTTACCATTGGAATGCTTATAAATTTATTTGCTAGCTAGTGTCAAGCGAGGTGGTTACTGGAGGTGGTCACTGAAGCGAGGTGGGTACTGAAGTGGGGCAATAACTCGAGCTGGCCATCTGAAAAGTACGGGTTAATGACCATCAACCAGTTACCTAAGTTTCTAAGGTTATGGAAGTGAGATATCAACACGAGACCTCCGGCGCTCAAATCCGAGGTGCGTATTTCATTCCTTCTTTTGCGGTTGAGCATACAGAAATCCGCCATATCCTCAAACTATCATCACCATGGTAACCTTTTCCAAAACAATCGAAGATTTGGAGAATCGATTGACACGTCTCGTTAATGAAGCTATCAAGGACAAGTTTGGCATCAAAGGCGGAGATCACCGCATTCGCTCTGCCGATATTGTCATAGATCCTTCAGCGGGTATCCAAACATACTACTTTCGGGATGAGGCGGTATACAACGAAGGTCCTTGGAAAGATTTTGTTGACTATAAGGTCAATGGAAGGCTCACCATGAATACAACACCAGGGAAGCTCTTCCAGGCTGTCGACAAGGCAATTATTGAGGGGGACATCATTGTGAAGCTTGTAGACACCCCGGGTCAATGCATTGATTGGGATGATCTGAGAGGGTGGCACTATCACTCACCTGGAGATCGTTTTGATGATGAATTTGATCACCTCCTTCCCTCGAGAAGCCACGAGGAGGATCCTAGTGCAAGGTTTTGTGTTTGTATCTACAGTAGTGGAGGAACCTCATGAGGTGATGGCGGAAGTGACTCTCGAAGGTGTCTACCAACGACAGAGAGCCTGAGCATCTTCTGTCGCACTTCATGTATTTGTCATCTTGGTACAGGCAGAAAGAGAGGGTCCTACAAGCTTTACTATTAAGTTCGAAGATATGTTAGATTACTTAATTCAAGAGACCAGGGCAAAAAAAATACTACGCTGTGTCTGCCTCTCTACTAATAGATCAGAGTGAGCGCTCATGATACTCTAAGCTCTATAGAGTGATAAGCGGCAGCGCTGTGCGATACTTAGAAGGAGAAGTTACCTTCAGTTGTAGAGTCAGAAGTGACAGACTGTTCCTCGAGTTCGGCGTCTGTGACAGCTGGATCCAACATTAACATGTATTTGAAACAGGAATTAATTGCCTCATCCTCAGGATGAAACCTGTGATGCGGGAACAATGCACTGCGAAGAATTGCTGACAGCTTCAGGCTCTCACCTGTATGCTGCCCGCAAAGAAGGGTCTTCGACGAGACGTTCGGATTCAGACTCAGACCGATCTGGTTCTTCCCTGACCGTAATTGGCGGGACTGTAAATCCACTTGCCATTCGCCCAGTACCTGGTACGAGCCATAAGTTAGGCTGCTTCGATGCGAATAATTCGGGAGAATAGGAGGGCGGTCGAGTGGAGTGAGGGAGGGAGAAGAATGAGGATCGAGAAACTCGAGTCTGAAGGGGGGGACGGCGTGCTCACTTATACTGGGCTTCGATTCAGAAGGACTATGCTCATAGGTTGGGGAACCGAGATACAAGGAGCCTTGACAAGTTCTGCAGTCCGAACGGGGGTACGACCATACGGCCGAGATCATGGATAGATCTGGCCTAGGCTCGTATGAATGGCAGCGGGTATAAGACGGTTGCTGTCTTCCAGTCTCCGTCTCTTCTAACCTTCACTTCTTTATTTTCAAACAATCATCGAATCGAAAGTCTTCTCAACGCATCATGGCCCAAACCCGAAAATCCAGAGCTCCTTCATCCAATACCCCCGCTGTTATCAGTGAGGCACCAAAAAGCCCAATACTGGATAGTATCGCCGTCGTCGTGCCTGGAGGGGTCGATAACACCGCAGTCGTGGATTTGCTACCTCACTCTCCGGACACTGGAACAATGCCCTCTTTTGCACCAGCTCTTGACACCAGTGAGACTACCTCCAGCTTCTTTCGGCCGCAACAGAGCAGCATTCAAGAGCAGAGTAGTGGTAAGCACGCCGACATCTCTCGATAGAACCTCAAATAACCGTACAGCCCTGGTTACTTTGAACGATTGTAGCGAGAACTTTGACACTGCCTCTTTGCCGGTCGATGAAGCTGTTTCGGGTCAGCAGAATGCAACGGTTTCGAATCCAGCAAGTTCAATTCCGGGCGTCACTGCAATAGGCTCTCCACCAGTAACCCTCGGTGATACTGAGGATATGCCAATACCTTCACTTCAAGTGGTGACTACTCTTCTAGCCCCTAGACCCCGCATGTTCCCAGGCTAATTGACCGAAACAGGACAAGAGTACAGCCTGCGGTGCGGCCCCCAATGAGCCAAATCGCTATGAGCATGAGTCAATCCAAATTAGCAAGATGAGACTCGAGTTAGACAAGCACAAGCTCGAGCTCAGGGCTGCAAGGCTAAAGGCTACCTTAGCTGAGCAAAAAGTGAATCGCCGCAACGGTAAATGCTGAATTAATCCCCGCCTTCTAAAACAATTACTCATATTTTGTCCAGTGGTCAGCAGGGAAGAAACCCATGAAAAGATCCAAATGCTCCTGAATCATATGCTGGATGATATAGTGCCAATCCTGAAAAAGGGGATTTTTGAGACAAAGCCGGGGTCAAAGAAACGATCTTTTGAGGAGTACCAAAAGGAATGTGTTGATGAGTTATTTGAACTCACTCGAGCTACCCGGAATGCGATCTACAAAGTCCGACAAGAATTTCACGCTAAAGTGGGGACAGTTTGGTGACGATGCAGACTACGAATTGAAAGAATTCTCAGGCATTGTTACACCCTATGTTCAACAGATGTATACCAGGCAGGAGAAACCCAAATTTTAGATGATAATAATGAAACAAAAGATCGCACTTGCTGTACTCTGGTGATCAAAAATAATAGTATCTCCGCTCATATGACTCGCCAACCACGTCGATCACCCTTGAGCTTCCGCTTGATGCTTCCACCACAAGTGTTTAGACACAACTCACTTCCTGCTTTTAGATCGTAGCAATTATGGGAATCGCAGTTCGGGGCTACTATTCTGCTTGTGCTTGAGTGGGTGGGGACACCAGTGGCGATTGACGGTTACGGGCTTGCTCGCTGAAACCATTTCAAGGTTTACTTGGGAGTACTGTCATGATATTTTGCTTGGGTACGGGTGATGCTCGAATCTCACTGTGCCAGAAACCCTTAAAGAAATCTCAAATGTCAAGGGGCGAAAACAAACATCAAGCTCATTTATTCTCCTGTCTATGGGTCTGTTTGGAGGGGTTGCCCATTCCTGTCTTAAAGTATCTCCCCGCATTAAGGTCGATGTGTGCCTATTGAGAAATCTTTCAGCATCCGACTCTCAGCTTGAAATTGAGCATTGGCGCTCCAGAAATTACTCAATGTGGCCCCCGAGATGTCGGTGGGTTCTAGTTGAGGAGTTGTGCCTAAGGCGGAGTGGATTTTGCTGCTTACCTAAGGGCTACCCACTCCAAGTTCCGGGAAAATGCAAGCCGCCGTGTTCCGTATTCTTACACAAGGCTTCCCATACACCAGACTTCTCACACAAATCAATCCACCTCAGTTTACGATCGAGATCACTGCGCTATTTTTGCTTCGGTCGGCAAACAATTTTAGCCGTAGCTTGTACTTATCAATAGGTGGTGATGGAAGACGTGGCGGAGAAAGTTGAAAGTATTGAGAAACGGCTCAATGGATTGGTCGAAAGTTTCAGGACATTATGCAGGAATGGAGACCACCGCTCAATGCATACGAACAAGCAGCCAAGTTGGATAGCACAATTCTGCAAGGCCCTGGATAATATTTCAGCAGACTTGCGGACTGTCAAGGCGACGCTCAGTACACGTATGCGTAGCGGCAACTGCCATTTGCAGGCTGATGACACAGCGAATTCCATGACCGAAATCGAAACACAACATGGTACTCCTACACAAATCCAGTGTGAACCAACTCCTCCCGCTGTCGTGAAGAGCCAAGGGAAGGCACACCCGGTCTGTGAAGAAGGTCGCGACCCGCATGCGGAAACGACAACTTACATAGTCCAGAGTCAAGTACCGCAAGCAGAAACACACTGCAGTGAAGCAGTACGGCCGCTACGGAAGCCTCCAGCTACACACAATCGGCTCTCACGAATGGACACGAAGGCTGTCTCAGCACCGCTGGACGTGCCTTCAGCCCTTACTCGAAGAAAGAGGAAGGCTACGCAGACCGAGATTGAGCCAAGTAAGGCCAAAGTTGCGCCCCAAATCAGTATCCTCTTCGAGGCAGTACGCGGGAAGGAGGCATTCCGCCGCCTGCGCACTTTAGTTCGCAGCTGGAGAGACCAGTCGATGCCGTTATTTGACCTTAACAAGGACAACGAACTTGCCGTGCAACTTGTACGAGTGATTGGCGTCGGAGAGGGAAGATCACCGCTTATTGAATTCTTGAACCGCTTCGCGAAAGTTAAGCTGGCCGATGTGATAGACAGCGGAAAGGCAGGCCGTAGTTCTGCAGATCCAGCGAGTCTTAACGAGCTCATGGATGGTCTGAAGTGGGTAAGAACGAAGCGGAACCGTACGCGTTTGCATGATTACCTCAAGGAAGGCCGGCGATGGAGAAGACTTTGCGGCAATTTCGACGGCCTCTTGTGTCTCATTCCACCGAATCGAGAAGATAGGGAAGCCACTCAAAGGATTTCTGGCCGTATGTATTATGAATTAAGTCAGCACGATATACAGCAGTTCCACTCGTTGTTAAGCTCCGATCATTCAATGCCCCTATCTCGAATTGGAGACATCCTCCAAATGTCGATCTGGCAAAACACAGAGATTCCAGAATTCGAATGGGAGAGCGAGGATCCCCAAGAACTCGATCGATTATCCGCTAAGGAGCTAGCTCCTTTCATGCGGGAGTTCCATTCGATAGAAGAAAACGAGGTCGCGAAATATGAATGGCCGAAGCCCGACTGTTGGCCCTGGGCATGGCCCAGACCCCCTAGCTGGGTTCCCCCTTCTGATTCTCGATGTGAGCTCTGCAGCGAAGGAGATTGCAATTGCATTTTTTCATGCTTGCCTCAGACTCGACCTCGAATCAGTAACGAGCCTGGAAAGGGCCAAGGCGTTCGAGCGGTTGGTATATACAGAAAAGACCAAATCTTGGGGGAGCTTCTTGGAGAGTTTGTGCCTCTTGACACATTTAATGATGGCTGGGCCACGGAGTTCAGAAGGCCTGATCTTAGCGACGAGCCTGTCGCGCAGATCTATTCCAAAAAGATGGGAAACTGGGTTAGGAAAGTCAATCACTCGTGCGATCCGTCAGCAGAGTTCAAGGTAATGAAGATATCTGGGACGTGGAGACAAATGATTGTTGCAGTCAGGGACATATCACATGATGAAGAAATCACTGCCTTCTGCGGAACCAACTTTCTGCGAGGGCAAGGAAAAACCTGTGTTTGCAGCGCATGTAGCAAATAGATGTTGGCATCGATAAGAGAGCAATTTGTCTTGGACTGAGACTTATGCACGAGCCATGATAGGAAAGTTTCCTGTGGTGGCCCGTGCATATATGGGCTGCGTCCAATCAATACCCGGATCGACAGTTTTCCTCCGAAGTAGCTGGAGGATCCCCCCAAACTATCAGCCTGCCTTGCGCATCCAGGGACGCGCCTTCATTGCTTATCCAGATGCTATCGTAAGTTTTCCTTATATGGATAATCTCATCATCAGCAACGCCTAAGTCGTCCTTCGGGATCCAAATGACAGGACGAGCCGAGGTCAGAGCTTCATCTCTGGAGTCCGATTGAGATATCTTGGGCAAGACTGCTGATCTCGTCAGCATTCCCCGATACCCCTGGCTCCAGTGTGCCTTACCTTGAATATCAGCTTGATCCGCTGGCTGCTTGATAGCCCTCACAAACGGCAGCCAGTGTAGCTTATGTCCGTGGTTCAAGGTGCAATGGAACAATGCGGTCAACAATGTGGCGAATATCATGAGAACTGCTTGCGCAGTGCAAGTAGCTTTGCCGTCCGTGTCGCGCACAAGAAAGAACAAACCGGTCAAGCACAGTTCCATAAAATAGACGCCTGTGAACAGCTGGCGTATTGCAGTAGGGTAAAACAAACCACTAGGAGTGAGACCCGCTTCTGTGAGCTTCGGTGGATGGGATCGATAGAGCAGCCAAAGACTCCCAAAGTAGATGATACCGAAGACTAGAATAAGAGGGGCAATCACTGAATATATAATGCCGGGAGGAATGTCAGTCGAACCCTGAAGCATAAAACGGAGGGACGAACCTATGCATGCAACATTCGTGAGTACAGGTATGAACGTTCCCCAGTTCTGCAGGCCTACACTTTGGCTTCTTGCCCACTTGTCTCGGGCCGTCTTATCAAATAGAGGGGAGAGAATGAATACGGACAGAAATTTGTTAACTTCTACGAGAGTCGAGACAACGGTCGTGAATGTGTGTATCAGGATGTAAGAGAAGAAGTAATTGCATGCCTTTGGCAAATTTTGGGCAAGGACTACCGGCGTCGACGCGATGTTGTCTTTTAAGTCTCCGACGAGAGTTGTGATACCTGCTGAGAGGGAAACGGTGAGGAATACCTGCACAAACAAGAACGTAAAGTAGTAGATCTGAACGTGATTTTCGACAACTTGACGCGAATGATGTCCTTGTATGTTCGCCAGCAGGCGTATTACAACTGGGACAGCGGCGGTGATCAGGGCTAGCATTGCAGGGGGCAAGACTCCTTGAATGGTCGCTACTAGCGAACTTGGGGTCGAATCGATCCATCGTAACCATGGCACTACCTTCACCAGGTATTCGATCTGAGAAATCGACCCTATGATTGTAACGGGGAATGCGAAACCAGCGGTAAGCAAGGCGACGAGGGAATAGACAATGGATGTTCGAATGCAATGCTGCCACCAGCTTATCGACACGTTCCGCCAAATCGTATCGGTCGCCACAGTTCCCTGCTTGAGTGTCCATGTTGGGGGAACTCGAGCCTTGAGCGCCAGAGCCGCAAGCGGTACTGAAAGGGTTCTGTTGAAATATACCACAGCTGAGTTTATCGGAGGAAACTCATCTGGGTGGAGTTGATACCGATCGATCTCGAGATTGTGTCGCGCAACCTCCGCACGCAGATGATGGATAGCATCCACGCGAGGGCCCAGAAGAGGTATGACCGGCAGCCATGGGGAGAGTGGGAGTCGCAGCAACGGGCGATCATCGTGATGCAGGTACTTCATCCAAGGAGGCAAAGACGTGCTATCGTCGTCAGGGTCGTTACCCTCCAATCGCTGAAGAACCTTCCTCTGATGATTTGCCTTGACAATGAGTTTAGTCTCTGCAGCTTCCAGCTTCCTTATCAACACGTCTCGACGGCATAGTTTCGTACGTAAACTAGAAAGATTCCGATTTATCGTTACTCCATGTACGCCCCCACATATACTACGAAAACGTCGCTTGATTGTGTTGGCGGAGAGTTGCTTTGCTGATGTGGAGGTAAGGAGGAGACAGGACCCTTCGCAGCCGTCCCACCCAAATCTACTCTGGAGTCTAGCATAAACCAAGAGTTCACTCTGAATGGTGTGGCATATCAAAATGATGACAAACGTGGCAAGTATCAGGTGGGCCCAGTATCTTCCAGTGTGCGAAAGACCAATATTAGAATAGCTGAAACGATCCAACCCTCGAACACCTCCAAGTTCATTCCTGCCATCAACCACATTCAAAGGAAGAAGCACTGGCAGTATTACCAGTCTAAGAACGATGAAAAGCTTCAATACAGTCTGTAAGTATCGGTCGAAGAGGTAGTTTTGGAAACCAGACGCATGTTTCAGCTCGGGGTCTGGAATCGGCGAGAAGAGCATTCGCAGCTGTAGTGGGACTGGCTTCCACTTTGTCCCCGGGACCTGGCATGCTCGTTGATGACTTAAGATCAGTATGAGGTCTCGATAACTCATTGAGATAACCTACTAGTACTCGGGACATTTCCATCGAAGAAGTATGTACGCCATAAGCCCCAATGCAAGAATTGCTCCAGATGTTGTAAGAGATGCAAGAAAGGTTGCTAATGACTCGCCCTGGGAACTCTGGGCTTTCCCAGCAGCTTGGTCTAAAACGTCGTTAATACTGCTACTCATAGTTGGAAGTGAGGTGTAGACGGGACGAAGGAACTCCTGAGTCGACTGTAACTTGTAGGAAGACCAGGCAGGGTGGTTCTCAAGCCAACCTTCCAAGCCCACCTTGAAGATGGATTACATAATTCACCAACGCTGGAACACAGCCGTCAATCAGGCCATCTTCTTACTGCCTCTGATGATCATAAACCATATATATATTGCCCCTTTTATAGCCCCACATGATTAATGTAGATTTGGAAAATTTCGACCAATAGCAGATTCGGCGTGACCGCCGACCTCTCGAGGGTATACATTGTGAACAGGCTGTCTTTTCCGCTGCCTTATTACACTGCTTCAAGACGGATGACTTTAAGACGCCCCAAAAACTTTAGTGTCAAGAGAGCTGGTTCAATTGTAGACTTCAGATATGAGTGATATCTAAACGAGATTTTAAATCCGGAGTTCAGAGCAGGAAGTCAGAGACATCATCATTATCATCGATGTCCACAATCCTCACACCAAGACTTCCAATATCCTCGTCGTCGCTTTCCACCTCCGATGTAAGAGAGCTGTCCCCAGAGTCTTCGTTCTCCTCTTCGTCGTCGCTTTCCACCTCCGACGTAAGAGAGCTGTCCCCAGAGTCTTCGTTCTCCTCCTCGTCAGATCCCTTCTCACTGATATTTCCATATCCAATACCCATGACCTCATCTTCGTTCCGCGCTTCATCAGATTCGCCTCCACAGAGATTCTCGACACCCACGTGCTCGGACCCTTCATCGTCTGTCTCCTCTTGGTCATCCACATATTCGCTATCTTCAGACTCTAATGACGAAGTGTCGCTCTCAGTCATAAACCATGAAGCCGCCCGAGACCTGAGATGATCCGAGTCCTTGAGACCTACCCCCAAAACTGCGATAGAAGCACCGGGTTTGTCTCTATTACTAGTGACAAGACGTAGTACTATTCTGTTAGTATGCTCCAAGAGGACCAAGGGGCCTGCTTACCTTCGTTACCAAGCCCCGCTTGGACTGGTAATATCATGAGATTGATCAAGCAATCTATGTTGAAGCCCGCATCGTTGACTGATAGACACCCATTTTCCTCCCACGTTCGCTTCTCATCACAGAGATTGTTCCACTCAAATAAAACATCTCCATCGACGGGTGAGCGATCAAGACTGCCCTCGTCGAATCGGGCTTGAAGAAACTCATTGATGCAATGCCACGAGTAGCTATACCCCTCCATGATACCGAGTAGCTCAAGAAGCACTTGTTGCTTGGATAGACTCTCTACCCGGAGGACTTGTTGCTCTGCCCACCTTTCGATGTCTGTATCACTGTCGTGTACCATGTTGTTAGGTGTTCGGGCAATATCCATTCGGATACGAATCTCAGCCAGCTCTGAATGAAGGCAAGGAGACTCTCGTAATGTCTTGCATGTTTATATCGGATATCTAAATACTCTTGCTGATCAGCTTAGCGTAGAACGCCAAGTATTGCAAGCGAATTGTCAACGGCTTGCAGCCTTGAGTGGGGCAAGACTCGTTTAAAATTACCACCAGGTGGGTCGTCACTGCCCTCAACATAAGGCGGGTCGGCGAACAAACCACCTTGCCATCCTTGGTATGACCGTTTGGTCAGATTCACCACGCCAGCAAGTAACAGCTTCAGCGCATCATCATTGTGGGGCGATTTTGAAAGTCTATAGGGGCACCGAACGTATGCCAAGCTTTCCCTGGGTACCAAATTCTGCACTGCCTCTATCAAACTTCATTGACTTGCACACTCAACGACAAGACCACAGCTGGGTGCGGGAAGCAATTAAGTTTAGGAATTCCAAGATGAGACACTATAGATAACTATGCTTCTTTTCCCCCTGAACAGACCACCCCACGCGAGAAAGTATTGAAGCTGTAAACCTCATACGAAAGCTCTACTCTGCAGCAAGGGCAGGTAGTCTTCTCTTCTTCGTCTACCCACATTGCGATGCATTTAAAGCAAAACGTGTGGCCTATCGCAATCAGTATACTATTTGTACATTTGTGGAGGTGGGATTAGCTTGCCACATTGTGTCCGACACATATCACCCCCTTCGTCTGATGTAATGAAGCAGATCTCGCAATCCCGCCCAAATATCCTCCAAGCAGCTTGTTCTCCGTGATCGAAGTGGTCATCCTTTGAGCAGTAGACCCCTTCGATCCCAGTAACGTCCTTTTCTTGGTCTACTGGGATAAGCTCACGAAGGCATTGGCCGCACCTGATCTGTAAATGAGAAGTCAGCATTGGAATTATTTCTAGGTGGAGCCTCGTACACAGCCACAGATCGTGAAGGCAAACATGCTGGAAACTCCATCTTCACCTTGACCAAGAACATTCGGGCAGATAGCACAATGATCAATATCGCTCGTAAGGTCGATGACTTGCGTGGCGGAAACACGACGTTGGGCACGAAAAGTAGAGGCTATGACCGGGTGATTTCTACGGCGCTTCTGGGATGGATTTGAATCGCTATTGATATCTCGTGATTCCTTGCGTTTCAGGCTCTTGGGACCAGCCGGGTCGTCCATAGTTTGATCTCGTGAAAAGTAAAGGAAGATGAGCACGCTGTTACACCTGGGGGATAGCCTAATATATATGTTTTGCCCCTGCACATTACTCGTGCACGCTAGCTCTGCTCAGAGTCTCAGACGACTTGGATCATATCTTGTCATACGAGTAAACGTTGTACTAATCGAAAGGTCTCCTCAGTATATTGACACCTTTGCAACCTATTTAATACTCTATGGACGCCTGCAGATGTCTATTGTAACCTCCCCACTCCCGAAAACAGAAAGCTGTGTACTAGAATTGTTGGCTGTTTAGCAGAAAACTCAACCACTCAAAGTTGTTGACTGGGATAGCTGGTCACGATGACCAATGACGTTACGCAATGCGTTGTTGCTGGCACAGTGATCGTTGTGTATGATATAGGGGCAGAATTGCCGAGGTCTTCACCCGCCGTAGGTAATGCCGTGTCAATATTTGTAGTCGAGGCCGAAAGTGTGCCAGCCGAATTGGATGATGATGCTGCGGTGCTGGCGGTTGATATTGTTGAGGAGATTGGGATACAACCCTCTCCTGGCATACCTGCCCGAAGATTGTCATAGACCGAATCTTGATAGACCAATTGGTTAGGGGCGAGCCGCAAATCACCGAGGACGCAAGCCGTGTTCCTGATCAAGCTCTTGTCCCCTGGCCGATCAGCGCTGCTCTCCCACCACATAACACCACCAAGTTTCATCTGCTGAATCCAGGTGGCCTTTCGCTTCCCAGCCATAATGGTGTCGTAACTAATCAACTCCCTTGTCGTAGCATCATAGCTATAGCTCGCGCCGGTCGCGTTGTCGTACTTCTCAACAGCTCCTCTTAATGGAAGATCTTTGTAATCGTAGACACCAGCCTCCCAGGTGCCCGTACCAACGCCATTAAATGGTTTTCCGAGACCATCAGTTGCGTCGAAAGACCGACCATAGATAGGAACGCCAAGGACAATTTTATCTGAGCTGACGTTTTGGGACAGATAGTATTTGATGGCCGTCTGGGTGTCGAAGGGTGTCGCAGCCGGATCGCCTGCAGACCTGAAGAGGTTGGCTTGGTGAGAAGCAAGAGTGCTCCAAGGACCGGCATAATCCCAGGCCATGAGATTCCAGAAATCAACAAACTTGTTCATGTCGGCAATATGCATTGTTTGGTAGTTGGTAGGCCCGGCTGGGGACGCGACTGTCAACTGGAAGTGATATGGTGGGTTGAGCGAGCTCCCATAAGCGTCCAGTGCCTCCCTAACGCTTTGGATGAGGAGTACCATATTTCCAGCCTCAGCACGATCTGCTGGGAATTCCCAATCGATATCGAGGCCATCGAATCCGAGGTTTCTAACCAATGTGACAGCAGTTGAGGCAAAGGCTGTCCTACCTGACACAGTCGATGCTGGCGCGGCAAAGTTCGCTGAGTAACTCGAGCCACCAATGGAGAGGAGTACTTTGAGGTGACGGTTCTTCTTCTTCAAAAGATATAACTGCTTGAGACAGCCATAAAGATTGGTTCCTGCCTCGCTTGAAGAATCCTCGGGAAAGGGGATATCCGTATCGGCCCAAGCATCGGACAAGTACCTAGCTTACAGTATTGGCGGGAGTTCTGATAACTGAAGGACCGTTCCAAAGCTCATTGACTAGACTTACACTTCTCCAGTGTCAGATTTTATATTGGCAAAGGCATAGAGGACGTGTGTCAAATTGTCTACTGGGAGGTCCTGCGGGTTGAACTTTCTGTCATAGATCGCCCTGTCGAGACTTTAGCAAAGGCCCCAACAACGGACGATGAAATATACCAATTGGCAAAATATGCTACCGAGCGAAAGGTTACATTCTTGCCAGCGGCCGGTGGGCTGCCGCAGGTGGCCAGGTTGCAACACAGTGAGAATAAAATGAGAAAATTTGTCCGAAACATTGCGGGAAAGACGGGCGAGGTTCGAACGACTTTGTTCGGGGCAGATCGTAGTATAAATGCATTGATGAGGTGGAGTAAGCGAGGTAGACACCGAAGTTATCACCTCCATTTCCTGCTGGCCACCCGAAGTGCCCTCTTTTTGTGGACTTCTATTACATAGGTTGTAGCGACAAAGAAAGAAACCGAGCGAAGTTTTGGTTGCGAGCTACGTGAATCACATGTCTCTAACCTCGTCCGCTTGAGATCGCTTCCTCCTACATATCCGCTCCTCAGCTCTCAGAAGTATGATCTAGCCACGACCCTAGTTCCTCTACCTGATGCCCTTCCTGGCCCACAATATGCGCTCCCATATTCTCTGCAAGCCATTTCAGAAGTGCTTTCACGGTCTCGCCCATATCCAGCGTCCAGCGTAGGAGCTGCGTATGGTTTGATTTGATCGTGTACAGCTCCGAATTGGCCGTCTGAAACTGACCTTTCACTGTGACAAGCTCTCTGTGTAGTGTCAGTTCGTACTATAACTCTGAAAAGGCTACACCACCTTTTTACTTCCTGTAGCCTGCAACGAATAAGTAATTGTGAACAAATAGATGCGGTGACTTACGCGTCCCTGAGTTCCTTCACCTCCTCCCTGATAGCTTCATTCGACTGGTCAGTGGGCACCTCCTCCCTGGTAGCTTCAGTCGACTGTTCAGTGTGCAAATTGTAGCTTTGGGAAGCAAGCTGGTCTAGCCAGAGCATCTCGGTGTCCAAATGATACGGCAAATCCTGGTTACTAGAGGAGTTATTCGGGACGTCCGGCGCTGCCATGATCATGCTGTCGATGCTAGAGTTCGCAAAGGCCTGTGAGTCTTGAGCCAGCGTTTCTGGGTCCGAGAAAATAATCTGGCTCCAGAAATCAAGATCCGTAGGGACTGCTTGAACGTCAATTGACGTTGTAGCGTTAGAAGTGTCGCACCAACTTCCGTCATCTGTGGTGTTCTCCATGGCGTCGTAAGGATATGCACTGTATTGATGCTGGCTATGGATCTTAAAAGTACCTCGTCGCATTTTGGGTGGTCCGGATCTTTAAACCCATTGAAGATGAATGGCGCTAGTCTTCCGCCGACTGCTAGCACGTAAATATGGTCAAGCCCGGGATGAAATCTCGCCAACGCCACTCCCGCTTAACGTTGTACCCTCCGATCCCTGATGGTTTAACCGCTAAGCAAGCTCCACCCAATGCAAGGTTTTTTTTTACCCCTCTTCTCTGGGAGATCTTCGTCAGTCTGGCTGGAAGCGCTTGCCGCACTGCTATATCAAGTCCACGAGTCTGCCCGGATTGGCTTGCTGTTGGTTCCTAACATAGCCATGTCTGATCATCGACTTGTGTGGTCCGATTCAGAGAAATCCTTACTAGTCAGCCTTCGGAATAGACTGCCAATAGCCACGGTCAAGCAGCTCACGGATATTTTCAACATGAACAATCACCAGGAGAGAAGCACCACTGCAGTCAGAACAAAGTTACGGATGCTTGGATTGTCACGTCGGCCGCAGTGTTTGTACAGAGTCCCTGTTTCTATCTACACAAGCTTATGAAGGAAAGCTAGCGTAAGAATTCCGACAATGCCGACGACTTTGAGAGACCTAGGCCTGCCAAAAAGATCAAAAGGTTCATGCAATGCTCTATGCCATCAATCCCAAGCTAATCATCAGAGCAGTCGGTCTCAAGGTGTCGATGAAGCTAGCGAAACCATTCCACCGCGACCGCCCGCTGGTAGGATACCCTTCTCCTCAAACCGTCTCCAGAAACTAATCCTTTCTTAGCCACGATATGAATGGGGTGTTCTTGAGTTGGGTGTATTCCTTCCACTTCATCCCCTCCTCGCAGAAGCTAGACAGTACGCAGCAAGGCCAGAGACGGCCAGGCATTTCGAAGACTTGTACGTAGCGCTTCCATGGCTACCAACACTTGGAAAAGATCCCATATCGCAGTTGAGGTGTGGAGAGAAGGACAAGTTGGCATTGCAGCAGTATATGGAGCACCTTGGAAGTTGGAAAACAAAATAGACAGCGCTCAGATTTCATCCGATGTAGGATAGATGTCAGAAGTATAAGACCGGTATATGCACGCAGAATGCGAACTTACTTGTAGATATGTCTTTGAATCCATAAATCTGTAAATTATGGTGCACACTGCCCCTCAACAAGTGGTAGCCGTCATCTCATATGATAATGGACGTTCAGACAATAATGATCATGCCCGAACTTTATGACTGGGTCATCCAGGGCCCACATGGTAGAACCATGGATGATCAAGTACAGCCAAACTCGGGCCAAACCAAGCGATTTTCCCCCCCATCCTCCCCCTCCCGCACACAGGGCGATTTGGGTATAAGTTGATCGGATTTGTGTCGAGTATAGCGAGCACCACCAAGGTTATCATTTTCCAAATATATCGTCCAATTCTATGCTTTTCACGCAGACATTTCTCAATGTCTCAACACCTCTCGGTAAGCTCTTCCAGAAACGTAGGCGAAGTGGCCATTAACAGTCGTCAGGTATTTACTACTCAGTGTGAAATATGCTTGGGAAGGTCAACATGGGATTTCTTGCAAGACTTCTACCTGAGGGTGGAAGCGGCGGAGAATCACTCACGAGGGTTAGAGAAGGATCTCTGCGAAGCTCAAACAACGATGCACCATTGCCAAAATACTCTCGTTCAGTGCGAGGCGTCTCTACTCTCTAGCTGGGAAGTTCTCAATGAAGAGCGTCGAAGTCATCAAGCATGCCAAGATGCTCTTATGTTCGAAAGCGGTAGACAAAAAGATACGATAGAATTGCTCGAACGAATACTCAAGGAGGCCATATTGAGTAGCGAGGCTACAGAGATTCTCGGTGGCCGACGTACCCCAGGGCCCGGAAATGCAATCTATCAAACAACACCGACATTTGAGGGTTCCCAAACAGAGATGACCCAAAACGCACAGATCTTGACAGAGAACGGCACATCAAATTCTGTGGAACGACAGAGTGAATCGCTTCAGCTGGGTGAGCACGAGAGCCAGATTGCCACTCGCGTCTGCAGCACTGAAATGTCAAACCAAATCCAGCAAAAGAATTCGACATCCACTCGAAGCGGATCATATGCCACTAGTAGGACCGCGAATGTCTACGGTTGTACGGAATCTGCACAGATCACTGAAAGCAGGAGGATCGCGCAAAACAGCGTGCGGGAGTCACCTCTGAGAAGAACACAATTCCCTGGTGAACACTAGACGAATCTCCAGATTAGAGTGGACGTTTTTCGTTGGAGGGGTTGCTCCGTTTTCGATCTCTCCTGGAGACGTCTTGGAACGCTGGTAGTTTGGAACAAAAAATCGAGTTTGATGAGTGCAATGATTAGCGTACCATAGCTAGTTTTCTCATGTCCGGATTTGCTCTAACAAGGCAGTTTTTGACCTTGATCTCTGCGAAGAAATTCCTCAGTGATCGGACATGGAGTTACAGTGCAGAGGATGATATTGGCTTCAGCCAGGTGCCAACCATAAGCGGGTTCTGGTGGTGGTCTGGAGGCGAGAGTTCTGCGACCGGAAGCGCCACGGTGACAGCCGCTCGAAGGTTGTCACTAGGCGCGGCCCGGTCTTTTCCTTTCCTCTCGGATAACTGTCAGCCGGAGATATTCCAAGTCAATTATTTCCAAGCCTTCTTTTGCACCAGCTTCAGTCACCCCGTGCTAAGTTTCCTCAGCAAATCGCCTGCTTGATTACCGAATGCTCCGTGGGTTTCGGCTTTACCTCAGGCACCCAGGCAATTGTGTCGAGATTTTATGCCGATCGACTATTCCTAATATGGCTAGTCAATAACTCACAGGTCGTCCTCGGCCTTGGAAATGGCATGAGCTTGCTAAAATAAGTTCTGGCTGGTCATATCAAATGCGAACCACTAGATTTTCTCCGCCAAGGTATGTGTTCCCTTCGCTTAGTCTACCCTGTTTGAGAATAGTAGGCGGGGAAAAAGGCGTGCTGCGCACGGCGCAGAAACGGTCCAGTGACCCGCTGGGGAACCGCCGTGGATATCTTGGTGACCCCACTAGCCTGATCTCGGGATGGAGAACGTGCGATAGGCAAGGCTCAGGGACAACCCCACAAAAGACGACCCTTTGCATACAAGGCTACCAACCTACCGGTAGATGAGGTGCGGAACCCTCGACCCCTTTGCACTTTGGCGATCGTGAGCAGACACGGAGCCACCAATGCCTACGACATCATTTACTGCGCTCTATCCCGGCGGGAAACAATGGATCTGTGAAAAATAAGCCCTCCTGTCCATCGAGAAACAACCCCCGGACCAACATCATATCTTCTCACGATCTTAACAATGCACTGGCGTTAGTGTTGCTGTTATTGTGATAACTCACAGACGGTCAATCTCGACAGAGATACCTCATGCTAGATCCAACTACCACCATTATTCCCTTGTTCTCATTGAGCCCGGCATACCAAGAGCTTTACAACCGGCTTAGCATCAACACGCAGCAGAATTTCTCTCAAGTGTGTCATCGAGCAGTTTCAGTCCACTCTTGACCCCACCTCTTTATCACGTCGCTTCGAGCGTGAGTCGTCCACAGCAGCCTTCGACTGGAGTCCATTATGTGATGGTCGGAGCGACCACTGGTCCGTGTAAGAGTATGATAACCCCAACTGAGATTGATTCACCATTCCTACTGTGCTGCAAATTTACTTCGGTCAGGTTCATCAGGGATGTCCCAGCCGTCAGGTTTACACGGTAATTCCGAGTTGGGAGTACTCACTCCCTCCATCCCGACCTACTCGGAAACCCCAAGCATAAACAGTCTAGATCATCAGATCGGCCTCCAGAATGGGTCAACATCGATACTCGAACTGTCTAGGCAAAGGCTCCAACTTGCAAAACAAACGCCCCCCTTGAACTTGTCGGCCCGCGTCGAAGAGCTCACGAGGGAGTTGGGCCACCAACGCCAAGAGATTCAATTTTACCGACAAGCATTCGAGAACCTGCAACGGTTCCGCGCAACCGTGTACGACCTCTCTCAGCAGCTCTTTCTCGCCCACTATCTCGATCATGATGTCGGCCGCTTAGATGACGTGATAGCCCAGCTTCGGAATGCGTTGGAGGACTCTAAGCGGCGCGAGTTCAAGGCCAAGAGGGATTGGATGGAATTCTGGGGCATAGATCACGTTGCGCAGGATCAGAGAGGGAATTTGATCTGAGGACGGGTCACAGTGACCTCTTTGGGCAAGGTTGAAAAGTAGAGTACTGTTATCTCATTTTCTTTTCAATCGCTGACACGGCTACCCTTCATACCAAAACATAACCCTCGCTAACCAACACGACGACAGACCCATCTTAACGAGCCGGCAGCGTTCCGCCTAGCCTAAATAACATCAGCAAACTGTCTTTCCATACCCCTGCTTGCTCCATACCATCCAACATTTTGCGTGCAGCCAACATCGACCTTGTTCGGAGTGGTCGTTAATTGGAAATCGACGAATCGCGTCTCGCAACCCAGGCATCGAAGGTGAAGACATTCGGAAAGCTTGCAGGTGCGAGCATCGAAGCTGACAGTCTGAGAATTGTCGCAGCGGCAGCACCGCCAACGCCATGGCATGATTTTCTTCCACTTAGTGGTGGATTTAGATATCGTGAGAATAGTTTCGTGGATGAGAGAGAGCTAAATTGTGAATCATATAACACGTTGATGGCAATCTACATTAGTTGATATGTGAGGTGCCAGAATACCAGAGACTTGCAGAAAATCTACAGGTGACCATCAATTTCCGAAGGAAGTGACCATCACCTTGGTTACCACCTCGCCGGATAGTACGGCTAAAGTTTTCCATCGCATAAGCCAGTGTTGGAATTGTTGGTGCGGCTGGTCGGCCAAGATGTTGGTGTTGGTTGCTCAAGGTGTTGGTGCCGCAAAGCGTTAGTTGAGATGTGAAGATGCAAGTGCAATAGAGACTCGCAGAAAATCTACAGGTGATCATCACTTTCTCGGACAAATGACCATCACCTTGGTTGTCACCTCATCGTACCGCACGGCAGATAATTTTCATCGCATGTTGGAGATGTTGGTGCCGCGTGTCGGCCAATAGTTTGTTGGTGGCACAGCATCATCGTTGGTTCCAACAACGGCTACCGCTACGGCGATCATGTTGGTTTTACCAACAACCAACAACCGACAACCAAAAACTGCGACGGCCGTGGCAGGGTCCCAAAATATCAAGAAGAAGCGAAGAATACTTCGTCAGTCACATCTCAAAAAAACAAAAATCTTAAAAGCCCATTTTTTTTTCTTTTAGCTCGGACTCGCAGTACGGTTGGTGAATAGAATCACTTTTCGGCCTAGTCTAATCGCCTACTCTACAAAGCCTCCTTTCAAATGCTCTCTGCTTGATGCAGGAGCACCGATAGTTGGTTACCTACCCCTTGCACTTGAATTCCATGTCACTAGTCGACGGCCACCCCGTCTCTCGCAAGGATGGCTGGAAGTCTAGCTCGACCAGGTGAACCCTCTTGTTCATTCTCCGCTGGACCTCTCTACGGACTTTGTCCGCCATGACTCGATCGGCACATTCTATCATGATGTCAGCTGGTAATTCAAGGATGTAATGGATCGACGCATACGGGAGACCATCACCTTGCCTCGGTGGGATGCGAACTCGGTCTGGAGCACTTCCACAATATTCGGCGGGTTGAATATTTTCTTGATCTTAGAGTGATTTCCGTATTCCAAATCTTTCTTTCCACCGTGATCCAGGACATGGAGGCGGACCTCGAGTATCTGCCTAGCGTTAGAAAGCTGGCAAGGTTGGATGACGCATACGCACATATCCAGTATCACTATCGAGGAGATCATCCATCCAGCTCTTGACCCACTGCTCTTGGCCTAAGTGGAGATTAGAAGCGAACAGGATGGGTTTTCTTCTCCTTGACTCACTCTCATTGTTTATCTGCCAGACGAGGAGAATCCGGCGCGTCCGTACTTGGCAATTGTTGTATCCGCTAATGAGGTCCTTGATATATGGAATATGGCCAGCTATGCCGATCCCAGTGGCAAACATGATCACTGTTCCGTATTCTCCAAATTTATGCTGTATTCCGTATGGTCCATCGATGAATGCAAGGAGCTCTGTGTTTGTGTACCTATCCAACTGCCCAGTAAACCCTGTCCTAGACTTGACCAAGAGGGAGATTGTCAACCCTTTCTGGCTCCAGTCCCACCACGAAATCATAAAAGGGTGTCCTCGTAGTCCGACCAAGATGCCAAGTTTCGGTATTGAAACGAAGACATACTGACCAGCCCTGACCTTCCACTTTCTGGGCACGGTGATATCGACCTGTAATACGTTCGATGGCCCTGTAAGGGACCTATCTGAGGGGTAGGGAATCGAGAGGCGAGTTGCTACCGCTTTAGCAAACGGTCTGCCTATGGCAAAGTTTCTGAATGCGAACAGAAGCCAGTGGAGTGTCGTCATCCCAACCCAGAAACATATACCAATCTGTAGAAATATCTCTGCAGGTTTTTTCGAGAATACGTGACGCCCGATGGCGATCAGAGCTGTGACTGTGAGAAACAGGTGCAGATTAAGAAACCATTCGTAGAAAAGCCTTCGCCCGACACGAAATGAGAAAAGGAGAAGTAGCCCAAGGGCAGAGCTCGCCTATCGCTTTGCATTAGCCAAAGATCTCCCTATAGAAAAGCCAACGCAGACGAACCACAACTCCAGAGGCATTGATCCCTGTCCATTCGAACGAGTGACTGCCAGTCAGTGATATGATGGTGTGCAACAAGACCTCTGCGACCGCCGTCCGGCCCAACCATTGGTGGCTTCCAATGCTGGCCCGTAGCGTAATCCCGAGCATCTCTGTTATGAGGCTCAAACGAGGACCGCACAGGAGCGGAATGAGGTTAATAGTCGACATGATAGCAGCACGGGTGCCTATATCCGACCTTGAATCCACCCCAACGACTGTAACGAGGACGATATTGGCAACAAGGTACGCAGATGCGAGCAGAACCTCGAGACGTGTTGCCGTCCCTAAGAAGGGAATCCTTGGGAAGAAATGTGGATATGCAACATGTTTCAAGAAGAAGGAGGAAGTCGACAGCCACTCGGAGGTGAACGCGCGATAGACGGCACGAAGCAAGAGCCAGATGGCGAATATACAGCCCAAAATGAAGCAGTACCAAGACGGTATGTCCATGTCACTGAGTTTGGAAACTCCTGAACGAACAAATGATGAGAAAGACATGATTGATAGTGCTGTGAGGATCAATACTTCCAATGTTGGAAGATTGAGAATCCGATTCGATCCCAAAGATGGCGTTATGCCGCTTGCCAACGATCACGGCCATCAGCTTTGTGAGGCCCACAGTACTTAACCCTCCTGGGTGATCGGCTAAGAGATTACGAACCGAGTGGTCACCCAAGTGATGATTCAAGTGGTCGTCCAAAAAGTGGTCGCTGGAGATACGGGGGAGCATTCAACATGGTGCGGTGATGTTGCAGCTTGGTACAGGTGGCCACCAATATAATGACGGGAAAGTCCACCTCTCACCAATCGTCGTCGGCGTCAATTCTAACCATGGACAAGCGGTCCAAATCAGAGCAATTTCGCAAGAGGAAGAACAACTTCTTTCGTCGGGGTTACGACATTGGAGTGGCCTGCGACACGGAGGTTTTCATCCTCTTCAAGAGGAACGGCAAATTCTATACGTTCGCAAACACGGAGGAACTAGAATGGCCAACCAAGGAAGATATCGTGAGGCTCGCATGCTCCAAGAGAAACTGCTCTATTTCTAACCATCCCAAGCAACGCAATCTAGTCCTTTGCAAAACAGCTGCGGACTATGAAAGTAAATCTCGGACGAAGAAGAAAGCTTCTAGAGCAAACGCAACCACCTCATGTTCATCAAACGCTTCTGAGGATATAGATACATCTACCTTGCCCTTACTTGGAATCAAAGCCCCAGTATCACCACGGCTAGATTCACCGTCCCACTACAGGGTGGGAGGTTGGAAGGACTTCATAGCATCCCTAACTCGCTGAGTGAGGTTGGGTAGAACTGGCTTCGTCATTTTTGAGTATCAATAAACAAATCAAAGATATTTAGGAGAACGAGAAAACTATGCTCAGGTTTACATCGACAATTGTGTGAGATTTGACAAGTTGCTTTTGGATGGTGCGTGCACGAATCGTGTTCGACATCTGATCTGTGAACTGTCTTGTCTTGGCCGCCTCAGGGGGACAAAATGAGCGTTGCTCGTCCAGGGTCTGGTAACCACTCGATTGTTTTTGTATTTTTCAAGATGGCTCACATTTATCACAAACAATTGATCTAGGTATGGGTGTGTGATAGTCTCATTTCTTGTCTACATATTCCTTCCATTTGGCAAACCTCCATCTCCATCCCAGCACCCTTCTCATCGATCCAGCTGCGGCAATACCATGGCGGCTGGCAGTACGATGACAGCAATCATGGGTAGACTGGTAGGTAGCGCGAAGCTCGAGCTCGTGCTACTTGGAACGTTGCTAAGGCCAAAGCCAGACGGTGGCAATCTTGTATCGATCAGGAGGCTCGAGGGGAGCGCAGATGTGTATTCGATGGTTAGCGTGAAGCCCGAGTCCTCGACCTGCCCCTTGGCGACGGTGCTCGCGATCTTCTGTGACGGGAGGCTAATATCTTAGCAACTGAGGACTCATCGTCTTTGATATGCTTACAATGTTTCTGCTCTTTCTCCGGAAATTTCAGCGAGCACAGAACCAATATCAGAGCGAGTGCCATTACGAGTGGGCTCTTCATCTTGCTGGAATACTGTTGCGTTCCAAACAATTCGCATATCGTTTCCTAGGCCGCTGGATCACTATTGCGTGAGATAGATGATAAGAGAAGATTTGATCTCGTGAAATACTCCCTGAGAATCTTGTTCAATTCCAGACCAAACCGACTGTGGGTGCAATTAGACCATCAACTAATGGCTTCCGGTAGAGCCCTCTATTATTTGACTGTAAGATGACCACTTTACGACTGGTGGTGAATTGCATCCATATATTTAGGGTGGTGTAGCCATCCGGTTTGGGGGGGTATCAATCTATCATTGTAATATCCCCATGAGAAATGATTTTAGAAACTTTGTTGAGTGATATATATTCTTGGATTAAACCCCGTGTTCTGACAAGTTCCAGGAACAATCAAGATGCCGAAAGAGCCGAAACCCAAAGGTGCAAGCAACAGGGTAGCTCCTGCCACGCCAGCAGCCAGAAATGCACGCAAACAAGAAGTTACCGAGAAACTTGGGAAAATCACTGACAAAGTCAAAAAGCGGCGTACCGAAGTCGCAACTAAGGAACGCAGGCTAGACGAGCTCAACGAATCGCACAACGATAGCTCCAAGCCCGAGGAGAAAGCAGAGTACGAAAGTCTGGAAGAAGAGTTTGATAAGCTGAGAGGGGAGTTGATGGAGTGGGAGACTGAATTGGTCAATTTGAAAAAGGAAGAAAAGGATCTCGACGGAGATACCATAATGGACTCCAGCGGGGCTAAGGAGAGTGATAGCGTTGACGAACTTTTTGTCAGCTCCTCTTCCAACAACACGACTCAGCCGCCTCAGTTCGACCTGACTGGACCCAATGGCAAATCAAATCCACTAATCATTGGCGATTCCGACGATGAGGAGGCTGTGTTCACGCCGGCTCAAGCAAGGGAGGCGACAGGACAGAGCCATGATGGAAAGATTGTTGCATGGAGGCAGCAAGATCGGTCAAAGCCAGTGATTGTGAGATATGGTCCACAAAACGCCGCAAAATACGAACGTTCCACGGCTGCCAAAGAGGGCAACGACTTTGACGAAGAAGAGACTGAGGAATTCGGTCCAGACCATAGACTTGGAGACCAGAAAGTTGCGAAGAAATTCGTGCGCAAAAGACGTGAGCTGTTGGGTATTGCGGGCTTGGCCTACAACTGCGATTTGAAGGACCTAGAACCGAGGGAGAAGGGCGAAACTAGAAGAGTTGCTCCTCTTGAGATTTGGGTCAAATGGGAGATTAATGGTGCCATCCACAAGACATGGGAGATCCGGTCCTCCATTCGACACCTCTTCAGCAGCCCCAAGAAGGCCGATGCCTATATCTACGAGGCAGCAAAGTGGCACGCTGCTCGACACCAGGAATGGCAGAACGGCCAGCGTGAGGCAAAGGACAGATCCCCAACCCCGGTCCCGAACAGCCGACTCTCGCCATCGCCCGAGCCGAAACAGCCAGAGGTCAAGGTTGAGGGTGAGAGCAATGGCAACCCGCTTGCTGCTACCAATAGCTCCGCAGAGACAAAGTCTGCCAAGCGAGCAGCAATGCTGCAGTATCGGGAACAATGGTGCGATCTCAAGGGCATCGATCCTGAAAACATGGACCCAGCCGCTGAGGGGAGATTCCTAAAGGCCTGGAATGAGATCAAGGATACATTGTGAACGCTTGGAATTAAGGAGGCGGAGTTCGATATCTGGATGCCAACGGTCAGACCAGTGCTTCTTCCCTCCTTCTTGAACTCAGATGGATAGACTTGCTCCTTTTCTTTGTCCAGCCTCGTACCGACCAATCGGTTTCATTTTCTCAGTCCTTACCGATACACAGTCTCGTCTCTTTCAGACAGATCTCCTTGCCTGCGGTTTGTCATATCATCACATCCATATAGCAGCGTTGGTTTTGCAATTATATAGAATTCAAACTACACAGCAATCCACATTACTGAGACCAGCCACTACCTGAGACCTGGACAAGGCTCACCAACCTTACCCTCAGGATGACCATTCTCTTGTGACCTTCTCATCTTGGGCTCCCCAAGCAACTAGATGCTCCTTCAAATTAATTGACTCATTCATTCTTCTCCGGGCCGATTGCATGTCCTTCTCGTTATCTTCAAGCAGCGCCTCACTCTCTTCAAGCAACAGGACTCTCCTCATCTCTATCGCATCGATTTCTGCCTCCATATCCTTAATCATCTTATCAATCATTGACACTGATTTGCTCATCCACAAGATTTCGTTTTTAAGGTGTTTGCCAGGCGAAGTCTTCCGTTGTGGTCGCTGGCGGTGTGGTGTATTGTGCTTTCCTGGTGCTGCAATCGTGAGTATGAGAATATCATGAGGTTAGGCCGCAACCTACGAGAGCCTGAAACTGACACCAGATCTCTCCCATCGTCAGTAACATTGGAGCGCTTTCTTTTTTTGATGCCCGACTTGGCCGAAGTAGACTTCGGACTCGCCTGGTCCTCCTGAGCTGGGGTGGAAATGGATCCAGAATCTGCCACTCCATGTTAGGTCATTCGTAGGTAGTACCGAGAACAACTCACTTGTACTTGGGGGCGATGGCGACTTGGGTGCCTGGGGGCTCTTCGCTACGCTGGGTCGAGGATTTTGATGATCGGCAGGTTGGCGGGGTGACTCTGATCCGGCAGCCAGATCTACCTCATCGTCACTCGTCAAATCAATCACCTCTTGTTCTGGCATGAGTTTGTATGCCCGATGAAGGTTGGGTGAAGAGGGCGGGGTAGGCTGGGAACTCTCGTTGACGGGATTACCCGGGGACTCATCGCCATGATCGCTGGTTGATTGCTCTGATTTTGCGACCATATTCAGTGCCCTTTCCTCTATCGAACCAGTTGCTGAAGGTTTCGTATCAATTTTCAGGGATCTTTGTGAGTCCGCCGTATTGGCAGGCTTCTGCTCGTCTACAACTGCGCTGAGTCCAATGTCATCATGTTTGATTTGCTGCCCAGTCGAGGGTGTGGTCTGATCTTCTTGGTCCAACTTCGTTCCCCACTTCTGGAGTAACGCAATTACTCGCTCTTTAAAACAGTATCTGCCGTTTCTTGGGATTTCATCCAGATCTCTGATCTTTTTGAGAAGTTTGGTAATTCTGGTACCGCTCAGGAGACTTTGCGGTGGGTCTCCAATGTACTCCAGTTTCTTCAGGTAAGCAGACATGGTTTTCATCTCATCTGCTTTAGGCTTTCCAGCAGTTGGGAAGAACCCGTTCTGTAGCTTGTACCGCAATAGTCGAAGCTGAGCCTCGATTGCTGTTAGCATTTGTAGGTCAAGTCTAAGTTTCCTGCTCACAGACCTCTAGCTCTTGCATTGAGCTAACCTCCGGTTTTGGTTGGTCATCGCCTCCCTTGGAAATTGTTTCCGATGCTTCCTGGATCGCCAATCCTGAAGCGGAGTGGATGGGATGAGGGTTGGAATCATTGGCATCAGCAGTAGGGGGTGGAACACCTGTTGCCGGCTGGGTGGCGCCAATGAGACGTGTGTGTGTTTCCTCTGCAGTAAACTGAGTTTCGGAACACGGGTTTTCAATGCCCTCTTGCAGGGTCTCTGCATTCGAATCCGAGTTGCAGGTATCGAGACCAAGAATGGCTGATAGGTCATCGCTGTTCTGTGATATGGCTTGCAGCTGAGAATCCAGATCGTTCATGTCGTTATGAGGGATTGATGAGTCCGCGTCAGAGGTCCAGTCGATCTCCATACTTAGCTGGCTGTCGTGGGTCTGCGGTTCTGGATTCATGTTGATGAAAGATGCTGGGTCAAGGAGAGAGCGGAGGGTTCAAAGAGATGTAAATTGTAGGACAAACGTCGGTCCTCCGAGCTGGGAAGGAGTAGGCTTCTTATACTTCTCCCTATAAGAGATCGACCCACTATCGGATCCCACTTGCCATCATACTTGGTGCTTTACTGAGTCAGAAGCTGTTGCGATGTATCCTGGTAGCAAGGATTTGTCAATGGCAAGGCAGACTTGTCGAAAATAGCTCCAGATCACCAGATTTCACGCACAAATCAAGGCAAGTCTCCTCTCGTGTGGAACCGGCTGAGTGCCATCGGCATAAGGCGTCGTCATGGCAGCTTGGAAGCAGCTTGATTGGAGCCAGTCGCTATTCTTGTACAGATATGGAAAGGTTCAGCTGTTCCCCTTCCACACTCCTTGAACTGCCATTGGAGGTATTGACGAAGATATCCCTTTCCACCGACAGATGCTCCACCAACAACCCCTTAAGCGTCTTTTGGAAACCTAAGACGCATTGCATACCAGAGATATATTTAGATAACTCCTAGATTGCGATGTGGAATGCCTTCTAACTTCATGATTGGTAGATACGATTCAAGAGAGGCACGGGCTCGACGACGCAATGGAAGAAAAGCGCCAACCTGCAGACGGCATATCTACGATCCGCCCCAAAAGCTGACGAACGGTGACGACCGTCTCTGCCTCGTCTATTTCTGGCACATCCTTCACGACCTGGCGATGGAGACGCTGGTCTATCTCCTCCAAGTAAACCGATCACGGAGAGTTCTCTCCAGGCTCAGTAGCCGCTGAAAGTAGAAAAGAGCACTTCGTCCCCCTCTCACCTTCATCTCCCTCCTGAGTCTCCACTGTATTTCGTACCATTCTCTCTACTTTCATTACCTCTTTTCACCTCAAGAACCTGCATAAGAAATGTCAGCCAGTCGACAGTACGCAGCCCCATCCAGTGTTGATGCTCGGCACCTTGCATCTTCCAACATCAATTCTGACTCGCCAACGTCTCAACCAGCTAAAGGTGGCCACTCAGCCAGCCGCGATACAGGCCCTGAAGATGCTGCACTCAATATCCTCTGTCACACGGCAGCTAAGCTTGGCTATATGCAGGACGTGGGTTACGGGTTTGACGGTAGCTGCGTTCATTCGGCACCCATTTTCAATGTGCTAATACCAATGTAGTAGCCACCTTTGGGGCGAACGCAATGAATAGTTACTCGAGGAAAGCTGAAATTTCACGAGCGGATTACCAGTCTACCAATAGTAAATCCGGAGTCTCTCAGCAGGCTGGTTCGCATGGTATCACTAATCTCTCTGATACCTTTGACGAGACACAGAACTTTATTCAGGGCAGGACCAACCTCGAGATACTGGTCAGAGATGCGAAATTCTCACCTGAGACGCCCCCGCTACTCCCAGCGGCGGGAACCCAGCTACAGGCCGTGGCTACCAGTGGCACCCACGCGCGTCAAGTCGGAACTGCAAATGCCCTTGAGGGACTTTGCGGTGTCAGGCTGAAGAAGCGTCGACGGGAACAGACATCGAATCTCTCACATGTAAAACACACCGAAAGTAAGCCTTCCTTTCCACTGTGTTTGTCTATACTCATATTTCAAGGCTCTGATGATGGTGCTCGGGGTTCAAAGAGAACTAAAGTGGACTGTGACTGTGAAGATGATCATACATGGTGGATGACCATCAAGATTGGAGAGATGAATGAAGTTCTTCAACGAATCGATACTGCGATAGGTGTGGTTAAGATGTTGTCAAACGGGTCAAATGACTTGGGCAACATTATAACTGAATGCAATCTGATCAATCTACTTAAAGAGTCCCGGGCGATTCTGGATGGTGCGAAAGACGATATGAAAACAGAAGGTGGAAGAGATAGAGAAACCACAGAATAGCTGCATCCAAATATCAAAATTGCCATCATTCCTTTTTGTCCACTGTAGGATGTTCTCCGCCTGCCATTGCATTCGAGCTGCCTGACCTTTCAAGGGAAGGTGTAGAGAGCATCCGAATAACAGCTTCCAAAGTTTCCACCATCACTTTTGCCTTCTGACATTCCTGCGAGAGAGCAAGATGCGAACTCGACACGAGATCAAAGTGGTGCCTTATCACACTGCAGTCCTGCACAGCTCGTGCCAGTGCTTCCATATACTCGTAGTTTTGTTGTTGAAGGTAACGGTTCTTGCGAATCTCTCGTGTGAGCTTGGTACGTGCAGTCGACAATTCTCGCTCGGCGTTGTTGGTACGACTCTGCGCGTCGTAGGCGTCGGCAACATTAACACTTTGCGTTGCAGGCGTGAGAGGCATCTGTTCCAGCTTGTCGGTGAAAACAGACTCTTCCTGCTACTTGTTAAAATATGCTTTTGCGGGCTAAGGTATCTTACCGAAGTCATGTTGATATTTTGCGACAGTATATGTCGTAGTTCCTGGACTGAGGTTTCGTAGATTTTCTCGAAATTATATGACTTATTGTGAGACGTCGATCAAAAGATTGAAGACGAGTTCCGGGTTTCCTAAAGCAGTTAGAGGATAGATCATGAGTCGTGCCATCAATTTGCTACTGCATCTATAGTGACCACCTTCAACGATGTAGTACACATAACGGGTGGTATTAAATGCCATCTGATAATTGAGGGCCTGGTAGGCTGGCTACATTTCAATCCAGGTACTTGAAAGCTGTAAACGCAGTCGATCTCAAATCTCACATCTATAGATCCCAGGATTCAAAGCTCACTTGAGAGGAAATCTCAAACAGAAGTAAGACCCCAACAGCTTTGATAGTCATAGCGAATCTAACAGATAAAGCAATGTGTATCATCGTCTATCTCAACGAAGACCGGTTCCAGGCGATCCAAGAAAGGATTAACGGGTCAAGATTCAGACGTGCATGCCGACGGCTAGTTTCGAAATTTTCCTCCGTCCAAGAAACATATCCTCCCCCGTATACAGAAGGAGCCTCCGTCCAACAGACTCCTCGGAAAGCAATTTTCAAGAGACCCGACTCTCTTACGCTTCCAATGTACGCAAGCTATCGCAAGCATGTGGGCGCTCAAATTGTGGAGGGAGCAATTGATCCAGAGAATCATCGGGGGCAGGTCTTTGATGGAGGATCGCAGACGCTCTTTAGCGGATGAATTGCCCGCGTACACAATATCAGGTCACCTTCTGGTAAAGAGGGTGTATCCAGGGTCGTTCTTTGATTAAATGGAAGAAATTACAATTGCATTCATCTCTAAGCAACCCTATTGTGAACGAATTTGTTGCATGCCTTGACTGAGATCACGTAATACCTGCACTCGCCGCCAATTTCTTAGGCCAGCGTAATTATTGGAGTGTTGGCAGTTATGGGGCATCCTGGTGTTGATGACCCCATTACCACCTCGCTTAATTTATGTGCCAACTCGCTTAATTCAAGTGTTTGACAACACCACCTCGCCTAATTTGACCACCTGACCCACCTGACCCACACATCCACCTCACTTGAACTACTGAATAAATCATGATCAATCACCTACCACCCTCATACCCTCATAACTCGGATGTCTTGTTCCATCACACTCACAGCCCACACCCGTCCAGTAGGTATACATCTTGATAATCCTCCAAAGTTGCCGATGGAAATCAGATTGTATCCAAATTGTTATTTGAACCAATCCCCTTTCGATCAAGCGTCAGTAACATGGCGCTGTGTGCTCACCAATACTGGCTTCGCATGTATCAAGGGGAGAGCGGTGTCGGTTTGCAATATACAAATCGACTTCACCATATTTCGACCTCGCTTCCAGACCCTACAAACCAACGCCCGTCTCTACTTTTCTTCTTCGGAAAGCAGTTCAAAACACGCGTATTGAGAGCTCTGTATCCCGGCAACGCCATATCAAAGTGTCGAAACTATGGGATTGCAAACATCTGTCTCGATCCAGCCACACAAAATGACGATCACCCAATTCTCATCGCAGATAGCTGTCCTGATTACCCCCAAGTCAAATCGAGAGGCAGAAACACCTGCCATGAGACAATCGATCATCCGGTGGGCTGGATAGATGGGGCTGACCAGCAAAAGCAGCAATATTTGGCTGACCATGCTCTGGCCAGACTATTATCGCTATTCATCGATGTGCTGTGCATATTTGCCCAGGATTGCGGCGGCCTTGACGGAGTGGTAGACATGTTAACAGAGTGGACAGTAATCGGCTCGGCTTCGAGCCTTCCTCGTGCTGTCCGTCCTCGATTGGTCGTCGTCACGAGCGTACCTGGCCATACTTTTGCATCCGCCGCCCTTCAATTCCGTCTGAGGGTTCTTTCCGATGGCAAGTTCTCAGAGTTATTCTCTTCTTTAAATGTAGTCAACGTCTTGGCCTTAGGCAGAACCCCGTCGCGCGAGCATTTCCAAGGGCTGGCACAGGCCCTACAGCACGAAACACATCTGATCCGTGCTGAGAAAGTCAACTCCCACACGCTTTTCTCCCTGATTCACATTGCCGATTTCTTTGATGCAGCACTACGCCAGTTCGCCGTATCGCCACAAACCTTTGATTTTATACAAAGCTCAAGGGAATTATCTCCTGTTTCCCACAGCTTCCAGCAACACATAAGCACTTTTATGGGCTTATGTTCCGAGCACAACATTCCTGCAAGTATGATTTGGGACTTCATCGCCTCGGTGGTCATTTTTGACAGCTTCCCTCCTGACATGCACAGTAAGTTAAGGTTGATTTGATAATTCCCTGGAATCTAACTAGCTGAAAAAAGTGTTCAACCCATCAGACGTTTTCCGAAACTTATACCGTCAATCTTGCGTCCTGGGTGTACATGACTTCGCAAAATCCCAGCAGTTGGATGTCGACTTGGTCACTGCGGACGTCGAGGCCCATATAATCTCCATGTTCTCGCACATGAAGTATGGTGGACAGTCAGCCGCTGCAATCCGACAGAGAAGCTTGGAGCGAAATCTCCAACAGTGGTCAGTATTATCGCATACCTCGATCTGCCTCACGTGTCTACAGAGGAATACGGAACACTGTCTGGAGTGTGGACATGCGATTTGCGACGACTGCCTTGTCGCCTTTGGTGAGCCGACGAAAGGGGTAGAGTGCCGATATGACCTCGTTAGCTGTCCTTTCTGTCAGAAGGAAGTTCATTTCCAGGCCAGACTCTTGCCGCCCACTTGTCGGGTAAGATTCCTTGGCATTGATGGAGGCGGTTCGAGAGGTATTGTCTCTTTGGCATTCATGGAAGAGCTGGAAAAGACGCTTGACCTGCCATATCCACTGCAGGAGCACTTTGATTATGGCATCGGGACGAGTTCAGGTAAGGTTGGCTTCTTAATCTAGCTCTGGACTAACAGCCCCAATAGGCGGCGTTGCAACCATTGGGTTTTTTGCTAAGCACTGGACACCAAAACAATGTCTCGCTTTCTTCCTCAAGTTTGCGAGGATAATTTTTCCGCCAAAGCGCGGTTGCAGGTTTTCAATTTGTGCTATAATCAGACGTATTTTTGCGTTCTATCTTGCAAATGGCGGGTACGACGCAGCCGTTTTAGAAGAGGCTCTCAAAGAAGCATTAGGATTAGGCCGGGTGTTTGAATCAGCAAAATCAAGGCCAGCCGGAATGAAATTTGCGGTTACGGCGACGACGATATCGGACGCCACGTTATGCCTGATCTCTAATTATAATGGCAACGGTCCTCCTAGCAGAGATTCAAGTAAGTTGACACCTTTCACCTCATACCGAAACTAATACGATAGGGTATAAACACCTTCGTGCTCAAAAGACGACAGACGAGATGCTACTCTGGGAAGCGTAAGCTACCTTGGCCGTGTACCAATACTCGCTAACGATGGTCAGAGCGAGGTGTACAACCGCTGCCCCAACGTGAGGGTTATAATTCGCCATTGGAGACCGGTGCTGACTGAGTTAGTTACTTTACGCCAAAGTATCTCGAGTCATTTGGTACGTTCCAAGACGGCGGGTTGAAATATAACAACCCTGTCCGGCCAGGCCTGCGTGAAGTTCGCCGAATTTGGGGCGATGTAGGTTGCGATCTGGTGCTTTCGATTGGGACGGGATATCAGCAAAAGCTCTTATCGCCAGTGGCTTCGAACGTCCGAAACCTGCTACAGGACGGCGCCTTAGCTCGAGTCTATCGAGCTTCTATGCAGTCATTATCACTCAACGGCCAACTTAGCTGGGAAGATCACTGGCATGGCCTTGATGAAGAAGAAAAAAAACGGCACTTCCGGCTCAATTTGCCCCTTGTAGGCCAGGAACCTAGGATTGACGATGTCGACAAGATGCAATATCTCCGTGATCAGATCTACCATCACTTAGGTGATATGGAGGGTATTGCTAGGGCATTTAAAGCAGCGTCCTTTTTCTTTCAACTCAACGGGCCTCTGGTATTCGAAGGTGGGCAGTACATATGCCACGGTTCGATCCTATCCCGGAGCCCGGACAGTCGTGCCCTCGTGCAGAGTCTCAGAACGAGCTACCCTTTTGCACAGTTCCTACATCAGGAATCTTCACTTGGCATCCTAGCCCCGAACGATCTCTGCGAATTGTGTGGACGATTCCAGAAGCTGATCAAATTCCACATACGCCATCCCTCGGATCGAGTCAACATCCAATTTTCGTTTAGCAGATTATTCCGTCGGAGTATCAGTGGGTGCCCGCAGCCAATGGAATGGTTCGTCAACCGGCAGAGATTGAGAGCCAAATTTGGTTCGCCTGACCATAGGAGCAGAAATGAGCGAGCTCAAAATCCGACCTGTAATTGTGAGCTCCTGCGTTATCTTGACAGACCTGTCAAGCTTTCGGAAAATAAGCGGCCCCTCGGCGTCCAAACGAGAACACAGAACAAGAGGCGGCGTTTACGATGAAGGGAGGCCGATGCAGCGAATCTGATCTTTAGAAGCTAGACACAAACCAATCAATTCTTTATTACTTGACTCTCTTACGATGACTGTCTTCCATTCCGTGAAATATTCACAAAAATGGTCTCCATCTGCCCAACCGCCCCGGCAAGCCCTAAAACCCGCCCAAAAATGAACAACAAACACAGGACCGGGGTTTATCAAGCCATAAAACTCTCTAGCGCGTCACAAATGCTTATTTTCTGGTGTCGAAAGATACCAATCCTGGCATCTCATCCTGAACATGGCGTAATCTCTGTACGATATGAGAAAAGCCAGGTTCGTCATCCGAATCTGCAAATGGTTCTTGAAGGGCTGGGTAGACTTTGCGCAGGCAGCGTTCGAGCACTGCGAAAGCATCCAGATCTTGGGCCGGAAACAAACCAACAAACATTAGAACGCCCTTCAAGTCATGAATTTGCCCAAAATGAAGCCGTGCAGTACCGAAGCAATGCTCCTTTGGCAACCTTTTGTGCGAGGCGAGGAAAACCGTACCGGAAGGCGCAAAGCGTGACCCGTAAGCTTCCAGGAACCTCGCTATGACCAAGAAAATATGGCCTTCGCCATTCTTGAATTTTCGCTCCACAGCTTCATGTGTTTCAAGACCGAGTCTCGTAACCATCTTGACAGCTGTTACCAGACTGAGCCAAAGACTTTCCAGAACCTCGTCCAAAATTCCGGCGTCCGCCCTCATCCGTTCAAATTTGCTCCGGGACAGGGAGATCGCCATTTGAGTGAGATGGTACGGTGGCGCTACAAAATCATGGATGATGGCAGCGGGAAGTGACTTTAGCCATACCGTCCGTAGTCGTCGATGGGCGCTGGATGCATTCCTGACTGCCTCTATTACCGATGGTACTTGCGTGAGCTTTCGTCGATGTCGTCTTGCCGTGTTCGTGAAATGATAGACCTGCTCGCAAGAGCTGAGGTAGCAGTAGGGAGTTCTTCCAGCAATCCATGCGTCAATATCATCTGATATTCCGAATAAAGATCCGTAGCAATATGCGGGAGGGTTGATGTACTCAGACGGAAAGTCATATGCTGGAGGAGATCCATGCGCAGCGTAGGATTCGTAGTCGTGGTGACAACGCTCGGTAGATGAAGTCTGATTCATGATGGAGGATGGAAGAGTGTAATATGGAGAATAGATTTGAAGTGAAGAGGGGGAAATGGTTGACAGAGGGAGCGAAGCTCGTCCCTTTATATCTTTGGAGCTCATGTGAGCCACGGATTTAGACTGCCTACGTGTCCGAATTATTAATGCAGCCATCATGTTCGAGACAGCATGGTGGGTGTCTCGACCAGCTCCTCAGGGGCTTAAAGCTGCGCCTTCAGCAAGATGCTCTGAAGTGGAGTTGATATCTCTAGGAATTCCCTTCCTTCCGACCGGGTTACTGTTTTGGATATGCCAGCCCGTTTCTATTTTGGAAAGTAGCTGATAATCGGGGAGCTTCCATTGCAGATACGAGAATCGCCAGTCACCTTCGGGTTTTCCAAGGCACAAATAACATGTGGGTGCCCAACGATCCCGGCAGTTCTATGTCAATCCCAACAGAATATGGTCTGTTCGGCGGTATGAGATCGTCTCGAACGCATAGCTGCGAATGGAAAAGGGAGCAGCAGTGGAGCAGCCCAGAATATAAGCAGTCGCCCAAAAAAGTAAGGCAGACTTGCCAGCGAGGACCATGAGGGATATGGACATGCACGAACGCTAGGTGAATATCCTGCTCCTGTGCTTCGCTTATCCTCTCTCGCATCGGCCTGCAATTTGACCTGCCAGATTCAGAATCAAACAACGACTACCACAAATGAGCCACCCCATTGTAAGTTCAGTACCTAGAAATTGACATAAGGTGGCTGTCGAAAGACTGTCACTCAAATTCCAAAGGCTACGAGTGAACTTCCTAAAGCACACAAGCGTTAGGCACCATCAGATATCCATACTAAGTGCGCGTAAAAACTAGTAGAACCGATTGCATGCAGAACCAAAGCAAACAGTACTCGGACCAACCAGCACTGACAGAACCCTCAGCCGGTGATTTACTGAGCTTGCATCTTATAAGCCGACAAAGTCTCCAGTCAAAAGCTAGAGTCTCTATATCTACGTTTTCCTCACTTCTGACTAGTTACTCCAAAGCTCATATATTGTTTTTAAGAGTTGATAGGAAACCTCAATAGATGCATCGAAGGATTTGAAGAGATAAGCTCATAGCTAAAAGGTTAGGATGTAAGAAAGGCCCCAGGTGGGCGGGGAGCATTTCAATTTAGATTTCTGGTTAGTTCATCCCAGGGTCATGTTGCAGATCACGCACTGTTTTCCAAAGCCACATCGTGGAAAGAGTTCTATTTGAATGAAGCCAAAGCCATACATTCCACGAATGAACGCCAGGTCTCTTTCTTTTCCACCGATATCGAAAATTGATATGGTCGTACTTCACTCCACAGAACCCGACCTGTACATACTCAGGCTTTCAATCGTGTCCCAGCGAGCATACTCTATAAATGGAATCATGACCGTTGGCGACACATACTTCAAGAAGTTGTTCTATGAGGCTGTTAACTCTTTCCCGCCATAATCACATGATACCATAGAAGAAGACCCGAGTAAGCTAAGAAAAGCTTGTCTTCTCGAAAGTCGAGCTCTCAGGCAGATCTATCCCAGCTTAGAGCTCTCTTGGTTTTCATAACATAAAGTTTCTGTCAATTTCCTTGTGCCACCTTCACTTGTTGATGTTTGGAAGTAAGGCAAGCTCTCCAGCTACGCGTCTAAGTCGAAGCAGCAAGATGCACTAGTGCTTAGGTGGTGTAGGACCATCTAGATTCTGAGGGTCTCACAACTTGTTTGCACTAATCACATACTGGTACCAACAAATCATTGGGACTAAGAATTGAATGGTACCATAAATTAAATGGTACCAATAAGTCCTTGGTACTAATAATCCGTTGGTACCATAAATTAAATGGTACCAATAAGTCCCTGGTACCAAGAATTGAATGGTACTATAGATTAAATGGTACTAATAAGTCCCTGGTACCAAGAATTGAATGGTACTATAGATTAAATGGCACCAGCAAGTCGTTGGTACTAATAATCTGTTGGTGCCATAGATTAAATGGCACCAGCAAGTCGTTGGTACTAATAATCTGTTGGTGCCATAGATTAAATGGCACCAGCAAGTCGTTGGTACTAATAATCTGTAGGTGCCATAGATTAATAGTACCAGCAAGTTATTAGTACCAATAATCTGTTGGTACTATATATTAAAGAGTAAACTTGAAACTTTGGCGTATCAACTATAACTAGAGCGTCTTCACCGCTTGATTCCGTCCTTACTTTACTCATCCTTTACTCCTCTTTCCTTTGCCGACGATATCGTCACTTACTTACCTCCTCTCTCGTACGGTGATTTCGTCATCGTCAGCCAGCAGCCAGCTGCCAGCATCACCAACTTAACCCAGTCCAACCTCCGCCTCCCAGCTACCGACTCCCGCTCCCACGAAAAACTCGTTACATTTCTGCTCCTTAGTTGTTTAAACGTTTTCCACACCCATCATCCGGATCAGTAAAAAGACAAAACGTCAAGTCCCCGATCAGGTCCTCCAAAGCAACCCCTTGTCTTTCCACCCTCTTGGAAGGCATACACTGGCGATCAGGCTATATATCTGGTTTGAAGTGCTGCCACTACTCAGGATTCTTGACTTTGAATCTTAGAACGACTGAGTTGGGACACTAGAGAACTCACACCAGCCCTCTGATCCCTAAAATTACTAGAGAGTCGCGAACCCTCTTCCTCCCGTAAGGTTGACCTACTCGTTCAAACCTCAAATGTCAGAACACAACGGCCAAAGCAGTCTGGGACTTCAACACCACGATCGACACGATATACGCACTCCACCACACCAACTTAGGTAACGTAGATGATCAGTTTACAAATTGCGTAAGGAGCTGGGTTGATTTAAGGCTTAAAGCAATAATAACAGCTGTAGGTTCTCTTTGGTTGTTTACGGGAAATCTTCTTATTCAAGAAATCTAAGCTATTTTTTTAACCACTAGCAACCAATGGAGAAACTGTATCTGAATCTGAAGTCTTTAAACTTAGACTTTCAATAGTATCCCAACCTGCATAGTGAATGAATGGAATCATAACACTTGGCGATACGTGCGTTAAAAAGCGATGCTAGAACAAAATCGATAAGTGGAGTCAAGGCAGCAAGAAGACCTCTTACTTTTTGAACTTCCTTTAATGTTCCCCAGGAGGTGACCTCTAGAAAGTTCGATGCCTCTGGTGACCATCGGTCAGGGTGCTTCAAAACAAACTTCTCATCCTCCTCAGGAGGAATGCCATTCTGCATCATTTCGATGGCGACGACCCCAAGAGAACGTGCCGCAGCAGATTCTGTGGTCCTACATTCATCAAAGTGGGCTTGAGCATCATTCATCAGACCCGGTATAGATACTGTGATCGCGGGAGACGCACCTATCTTTACACACCCATCTGGTGAGAATAATATCCTGGAGCTATCGAGTTTGTTATGAGACATACCAAATCTAGATAAGTGCTGCATGCCTTCAAAGACCTAGATACTTTAGTGGTTGAGTTTCTGAAAAAAAATCGACGACGTACCAGACGGCAAGTCGCAGACACGTGCAATTCCTCGAGAGGTAGTGGGATGGCGATCACTTGCTTAAGAGTAGCAGCTGTATAGTCTGTAATGACGAAAAAAACGCCCCGAAAGCGATAAACCTCCAAAATTGCGAGTAGATTCTCATGCTGGCATTTTCTCAGCTCCATAAAGCTATCGGACAGAAGCTCTTTAATGACGACCACACGCACTGGAACCTTTCGGGTATATGCTACTGTGACTTGGCCGCCGCGTTCAAGATGACGAAGAGATATATATGAGTTCCACGGACTCTCTACTCGAACGGGAGGAAGCTGAACTACTTCGGAGGTCTTGATGTTCGTTTTCGGCGTAGGTTTCTCTAGAACCACATCGGGAGGATTAATCCTTATCGGCAGTCGAAATGGGAGTTCGGTGGGTTGTTCCTTCTCCGGAGAAGATTCAATTCGCTGCTCCTCTTTCTCTAATAGACGGATTCTTTCGATATCTCTACCTCCTGGGAATCGGGTACGTCGGTTAGGGTTGGATCTCTTACTAGCATCAGTTTCCTCCAACAGACCATGGTCATTGCCTGGAAACCGTGTTTTTCGACTGAACTTCAAATCCATGGTTGATGGCGTTGGTGAATTGCACTGCAGGCACTTTGCGGTATGTATTCAAGTGGTGAGCACTTTCGCCTAACTCTCACGCCCTGTGACCATCATATCACCTCGCTTAACCGCCCTTGACCACCACCCCTCCACATACGAGGGGTTGATCATTGCACCACCTCGCGTATTTTTGACTACCTCATGCTCGCCAAATGCGAAGGGCTGATTACTCAGGGAGTAACATGCATGCATCACAAATGATATAGAAGGGGAATGCTACCATAAATGCCTTGGTTAACGCCTTTGCAAAGTTTGCAGCTGCAGCACTGAATTTATACCTGCCCCGCAGTATCCAAATCCACCGCCAACCCGACATGGAAACCTCAAGTGCGGAAACTCTCGCCGCCATAGAGCAGAGGATTGCAAGTGATAAGATTGCCAACTTCAAGGGCGCCGCTCGAGTATCGATTCAGCATCTGGAATTTCCACACCCAACTCGTCCGATCGATAGGAAGGCCATTCGGCAGTTGATCAGAGAATTTGATGGCGAAGGATGCATTCGAGAGGAAGCGAGTCATCGTATTCCTGTCGTTATCGATGACTCGATACTGCAGGCTGCACTCGAGAGGCTTTCTCTGACAGCTGAAACCTTCAGATCGAAAGCGGACCACCCACCTTTTCTAGAACTAGGAAGCGGGGTGAAACTAGAGTGTCTTCATGGGCAACACCGAGTTCTGGCAGCAAAGGAGCATCTTGCCGCATCGCAATTGTGGTGGGTAGTTGACATCTATGGGACCGGTAGCTGCACCTGTTCTGACAAGTAACCAAGCTGACCAGTGCCCAGATCTCAACAAAGATACCAAGCAAGCGCTTCGCGAGGGTTATTCCTACTCAGCAAAATATACATCCGGCGAGTTGTTTCGCCACATGCGCCTCTGCCATTACGATAATGATCCTTTGGGAGTACAACGTTGGCGGGGAAGGTTTAGCTCTTCTCAAGACACGTTTTTAGAGCAGCTTCTCAAGCGACCTATACTAGTTGAGGCTTTAGATTCTATTCTTCATATCCAAGGTGTCTGGAGAGATTTTTATGTCGGATCTCTTGACGTCATCTTATTCCCAAAGTGTGACGAAGTCAGTTTCGTCAATTTCTACAATGGCTGGTCTAACTTGGTATAGGAAATTGCTCATTATATCAACTCCATCAAAGCTATCCTAGCCCGTATTTTCAACGGCGATATGACAACAATGATGCGTACCGATCCCATGACAATAGAATCCATACAGTCGAGGTGTCCTGCACTTTCGAAGTCAGACTATGACTTTATCGAAGAGAACATGGAGTCTGGCGAACTTTTTCCAGAGCTCATCGATCCCGTAAAGAGGGCTGATATCACTCGGAATCTACTCAACAATGAGGAGCTGATACCAAGTCTCTATACGTTGGTCAAAGACATCAGGTACTTGAAGCAGCCATCCAAACACTTGTCCAGGCTCCTACCTGCGTCCCGTAAGAAAAGTCTTCGCCAGCGGTGGTTTCATCTTTTCAGTGGTACTGGATCGAGTGGTGGTGGGATCGCAATGCAACAGCGGGTACTGGGTCCGTACACAACTGGAGGTCCGGATTCATTTGATGTCCGTTATCAGCAGCTGTGGCTTTGCTCCTATAGGGTATGCAAATACCCAAATGCGTATGGCCGGCTGCATTTAGCGGAGCTTGCTCGCCGATTAGGATTTTCGACTCCAAAGATCGAGTTCGAATTGACTCAGGACCCTGCGCAAGCTGTGATTAAGAACGCACTTCGGGACGTCTTCCACACCCTGCGGCCGAACGAAAAGTTCAACTTCGATGCTAACAAAGCAAACCCTATCGTGGCCTCATTCAAGGAATATATCAACAGCCAAGAGTCAATAAACGCGAAGTCGGTACTCCCCCCAATTACCGTCACCGGAAAAGGCGCTCCGCTGTCTTGCAGATGTGGTCAAAGCAAATTGGATACTCGGGATCTCGCACACCTTTTTCTGGACAAGATACACGCTCCCCTATCCAAATATCAAAGGCACGGAGATGAAATTAGTTCATTTTATGTTAAGCGTTCACGACATATTGCGTTCTTTGGTGCGATAGACCTCACAGAAAATCGGGAAGGTCCGTCAACGCATCTAGTGTCTACTCCTTCATCTTTAGATCGCCGACAACCAGACGCATTTCGACCTGCTGTCGAAATGACCAGTTCCATCCCTTCTACAAGTCGTCAAGCTCGTAGCCCAGATGAAGGGATTGAGAGCAACCAAGTTGTGTTATTCCAGGAACCGGCGGTTAAATTTATAGAGAAGGGCGTTCTTCTTCGAGAAGTTCCATTCAGAAAGGAAGATGTTAATCGCCAGGCTAAGGAGTATGCCGATCAAGGCAGGAAATTGTTCCTGGAACAAGGCCCGTACTTTACCTGGCAGGATTGTTTTGATATACTCACAAGGACGAAAAAATCGGCTGTCACTGTAACTACGGTTGTTGAGTCGCTAGCGGGGAAGAGACGCCGGGGTGAAGACTTGCCTACACGGCTCCAGCCTGCAACAAAGGAGGCTTTCGACTTTGAGATGAACGAGGATGAGGACGAGGAGGAGGAGTTGTAATCTAGTAATGAAATAACACCAAACTCTCTGCTACTCGCTATGAAAGAGTGACAGGACCAATATCCACCCAATCTTGAATCTCCTAGCGATCTCTACCCATCCACAGATTGCAGAACTTTTCCGGCAGTTATGCCCCTCAACAACGGCAGTTCCTCGTTGGCTCACGATAATCAACGATTCTAACATGGAGGTCTACGCAAGGATAATGAAGCATATAATGTACCATTGCAATACCAGGGACTTTCTTGGGGCATGCAGCGCTTCCAGGGCCACAATGTCAAATCTACTACCATCAAGAAGACCCAATTAGATTCCTTTCCACTCATTGTGACCACGTCAGCAATTACATGCTCAGGCCTAGCTATAATTAGCGCTGGCGCTTCTACAAGGAGCTAAGAAGTGGGAGTGTGCATTCGTCTCGTAACTATGGCATATGGTGCTAAGGGATAGCGGGTACAATGGCCGAGATAGGGACATACATGATGCTACTTTGCACCGTTAGTGAGACGGATTTGGTGGTGGAGGAGACTACATACCACTTTCTACTAGCTATGATGCATCGAAGCAAGGCTGAGGCTACCGGGAACCCATACAGGAGAGGTACAGATGACTCGGTCTAGAACGAACAACTAGCCTTCAGGTTATCGAAGCAGAACACGAGGACTATAGAGTATGCCCGACATAATATAACCATCTTCAACAATTCTGGGAATTTGGAGAACCGACGGGGTCTTGTTTGATTTCAGGTAATGGATCAAAGTGTTGGTGGCTTGGCACCCTTCGAGCTAGAAAACTCTGGGGCATTGTTTACTCGCTTAATGAGTGTCCGCTAGCTCAACAGTTCTCATGGACCACGGGAGGGTCGAGATCACCAGATGACCAGCATAGAACTGTTCTTGTTGCAGCCGGCATAAGTTCCATTGGAAGGTAAGTTGCTTTTTTCAAGATGTATACCAGCTATCTAATCCTGCGTCGTATCCATGAACATATGCTGGCGAGGTATGATATGATACACACAAGTTCTCCTACGTAGTATTTGCCAGTTCATTGAATCCCTGACTACAGGGCCGACGAAGCACTCCTAATTCTCTGTCCAAACTTTGGATACGTGTCCTCTGACTCCGCCTGTAGATCAGAAAACTGTTCACCCCAATGACTATGGACCGAATGAGCCAGAGCGCAGCTGTCCCAAAGTGTAGCTATCTCTATTAGCATACATTAGACGCCATCCATCCAGGAAACACTCACCCATAGGGCCAGAATCCAATTGATTCGATGCGACCCGAGAAAGGAAAGACAGGTGGCACTAACACATCCCAACAGGCTCGGTACAAGTGCCAGAACCAATTGGTAATAACTCGATAAGCTCGTGCTGTAACGCTGAGAGTGCCAGATCAACCACGCATAAAGACTCGAGAGACCAAGGAATTCAACAGCCGAAAACACCAAGCTAATTTTGATTACATGATAGCGGTTATGATACCGTGACAATCTTTCGGTAATGAAGATAGTAGATACAAAGAAGCAAGCTGATACACAAAGGACGATCCAGTGAAGATGGCCGAGAATTACATCGACTTTTTTGACCCATGATTCGGGCTGGGATGTAGATCGAATGCGCATTCCCCGGAGAAATTTCCAAATAAATACCGCCTAGGTCTCGTCAGTATATAGTCTATGACTGCAAGTAAATTCTTACGTGTTGCATAAGCAGAACTCTCCCAGATAGAAGAAGCAATACTTCAATCCATTTCTCGTCATAAGAAATTGAAAAAACCAACAGAGAGATGCTCAATCCCATGATAGCAGTGGATGTGACAGCGGTAATGAGGATACTAAAGATATATTTCCAAGTTGGAGGGTGGTATTTGCGATGTTCCTTGTACTGGTGCCATTCGAAATGTGAAAAAAATGCGATGGCGATGATGACCACAGCTATGATAAATGATGACGCTAGGATGGAGATAGTGCGTGGCATATACATGATGATTGTAGAAGTGTCGACCAAGCCATCTGGACGAAGGGGAGGGAGGGACTGACCTGGCTTATATGAGGGTCGGAGTGTGGATTCTCGATCCTCATACATTGACAAGGAGGGCTTATGGGTAGGCTATGCTAGTTTATCTGGGTGCCCAATTCTTTATGGCCTAGAGGATCGCCCTTGACACCCAATTACCACGAAGTTATGACTGCTGCTGGAGCTGGTGAGACACGTCAACCCAGTTTGCCAGAATAGTCTATGAAGGCGCTGATGACTGTCGATCAGCTCACAAGAGTGGCGGAATTTGAGACCAAATCCCAGAATTGTTCATCAACCGCACAGATTTTGAGCATTTTCACTATCGTTAAAGAAATCCATCACTACTCAACAGCTATTCTGCTCCTGAACAGAATACTACGTAACATTCTTTGATTTCTGATTGGTATGTGGCTGAAATCATCAAATTCAACCTGAAATCCGCCGTAATCTCAACTTGAATAGTCACAAGTACGAGCATGGCTGCTCTGAGAGGCATTAGAATAGCTACAGCCGAGCTTGAGGGGCATGTGACACGTGATCGGGTATTTTAAGCGATTTCTTCGGTGTGAGGACATATCTGTTACAATTTCGTATCAAGGCAGGAGTCATGGTTGCGGAGAAGTTCCTAGTGTCTTGTAAACAGCACTACGATCCACTGAGCTGCAGAAGCACTACTGCGGCACCAAAGGTAAAGTGACGCGTACCAACCCCTACGAGCAACCTGGTTGTACATGTCAAGTGTTGGCTCGCATGTGAAATTCAGCTGCATGATGGAGAAGGTGGATATCTGGTCCAAAATCTACCTCATACGGACCCAAGGCCCGACCTCGTACGATGTTGTGCTAGATTTCAGTTTCAACTCCAAGTGTCACTGGTGCAATCTTGCCATACTGTGATTCCGTCTCAACCAGGTAAAACCCACACGGAAGAGCATCTGCAATTGTCAAGCAAGAAATAGGTCCCTGTCAGGGATATAGGGGCCTTCTGAACAATTTGGTAATATACGGTCTAAGAATAGTGTTCGCTCGACTTTATCCCTGGCTTATACCTGATGCCCATAGGCCGCCCTGCTCTATCGAAGTTGGTATGTTGTGGAGACAGCTTGTTTTGCTGCAGCCAATAGTCGCAACTGCTGAGGGCTTAAAGAATAGTCATCCAGCTTACGGACACGAACAGCAGTCCCTATGATGCCGTTTACCACGGAGTTACCGAACTTGCTAGGGGTTCAGAAGGTGAGCCCCTGTGACCACCCAAGCTGTCTTCTATCCATTCAACATCAGAATTCACCGGGCTAAGAGACTAACGCCTCTATAGATAGCTACAGAGCCCAAAACCCTTGCACCAGTTGTTATCCGGTACCAGGTGTGGAGAACCTCCCTGGGAGCTGCGGGCCATCGGGAATCTAAGGCTTGAATGTGGCCTGTAATACCCAAGTCAGATATTATTTGCACATTCCGCACTAGTTCCTTACGTATCTAGGCAGGGGTACTCTGCTTGAAATTGTACTCATGACTCTCGGCATAATGGTTGTTTCCAGTAGCGAGGTATGCGAGACCGGCTTGGCCAGGGGGGTATCGAGTATAAAAGCAAGATAAGCAGCCAACCATTCTCCATCCTTATTCACTACCATCTAAAATCTTTGATTGACGTTATGAGTTCACAATTCCAGAATACGATCGAGGGGGGGGACGATGTACAAGTTAACCAGGTGTAAGTCACGATCATGTATATTGGCCCCCTCTTCAACAAGGACTAATCTTGCTCTTTGTAGACTGCATGGTCATTCCAGAGAGTCAACTCCACCAGATGTGGCCAACAATCTCGCCCCTGAGTCGGTATGATATATTTTTCATTTCGGGCTTGCTACTTCAGACTGACCGTTATATCAGGCGTCAATACGAGCCCCTTACCTGGGAGAGGATAGTCGAGTCACCCTACTGCGAAGTAAGCTTGCACTAATCGCCCCAATTTATACTCCACTAACATCTGTAGATTTAGATGACAAGTTCCAGAATTGGGCATCACCGCTTTTTGTGGTGAATTCTGTAGGAGGACAACTTGATAACCCCATTACCATTTCTATTGAGATGGCTCGAGTTTATCAACTTATAACACGAGGTTCTATTCGTGAGTTTGCCTATCATATGCTAATAGCTATTCCTAATCTTCTTTCCTCCTTTTCAGAGGTTATAGAACAACTGCAATCAGAAAAGGGACAGTTAGAATACGACAGTTGGAAATTGCAAGTTGAAAACCAGGGTCTGCAACAAAACAACCGGCAATTACCGATAGAGTGGCACGAAATGAAAGGCGAGTATCTTATTCTCCGATAATCTCAACCGACTGTATGCTTACCTAACTGGTATCACAGCCCGTATATGCTTTTTAGAATCAGAGAATGATGGATTGAAAGGTCGGTTTCACCATTCACTGGAAGACTCTCATAATACTAAGTCTAGCAGTCAAACACAGTGCCTTAGAAAAGAAGGAAATCGAATGGGAGCGTAAGGTTGCATGCCTGGACAAGAGTAATAGCAATCTGCGGGAACAGTTGGACGCTGTGGAGCGTGGATGTACGTCGCAAGGAGAAGTCACGATTGAGACGTGTGCTACACGTAAGATGAAGACAAGGCAGGAGGAAGGGGAAGGCCCGAGCAGAAAAAGGCTCAGGGAAGAATGAAACCGGAGATGTATACGCGTCGTCGTTTTCTTGCTTCTCCCTAATCCTTCCAACTACGATGAAATAGCAAATCACCATCATCAACCTCACATGAGACCAATATTGCACATTGTGGAGGGGCTCGTCCAAGCAACCACATAACAAGAGAGTTAGCACTTAGGAGGGAAAAAGTATGAAGAACGATTTGATCCCTTCTATAGGTTTCAGATCTCTGAAAAATAGAAATCGTTGATTGAAGGGTGGTGAAAAGAATGTATTAGCTATATTTAACAATATTTATTGTTGTTTTCATAGGCGTGTCGTTTGTTTGCAAGATGAGGGGATGCCGACTCTTATATCGAACGAGTGTGCATCCGGTACACTAAAATCATGCCGCCTTGCCACAACATTACATCCACGATCAACCCCGACCCTCGTGATGCTGCACTGATTGAAAACCAGCCCCAAGATGTATCTATCGACTAGAGTCAAACAAGTCTTAGACCAGCCATTATATCTATTAAGTCGTCATCCAAAGTGACCGGATATTCTCTCGCATTCCGCCGGACTTATAAAATGCACATGCCCCTGACACACACACGGAGTGCAGCCCTCCTGAAATGGAAGTACCAAGCCCTGCAAGCTGCTGCCTGCTTGGTACGAGGCAGGAGTATGGCGGGTTACTCGGATCATTGCCACGGTTGTCACCAAAGCACCTGAACTTATCGCAGGGAATACATTATTAGTAAGGACGATTGGCGCTCCCTTGACGGTTTAGCGAAACCGATTCTTAATAAGCTATAATAGCTACCCATCAAGATAATAGAACATTCTAAAGGGAGAGTTGTAGAGATACAATCTATGTTTCTATATACTAGGTGTTTTCCTTCTTTCTTATAAGTAGTATAGGGTATCGCAGACTGATAACAATAAACCTTTATACCTAAAATAATCTCAATCTCGACATCAAGGGCACTGGTGACTCGCAGTCACTGACCGGAAGGGTCAATTCCAAGAGCTAAGATGTATCAGTTCTTACTTAGCGCATTCATCTCTGTCCGCCTGAGCCACTCTCGGTGTGGCCGAAGTGCCGCTGTCTTGATCCACGCGATAGCTCTAGTACATGCACACATCCAAGTCCCGTCCACCCCTGGCTGCCAAAGAGGGACAGTGACGCGTCAAACCATATTCAGACACACCTTCAGTCCAGGGGGACGAGATTAGCAGTGGCGTTTGGCAAGGCAGACTTGGCTCTCAGGAGGACTGTGGTCTCATGGCCTTTGATATAAATACAACGGCTTCTGGACCTCCATTCACTGACTTCACATACTGCACCAGTTACACCAGCTTCGCCAACTCCACCAGCTCCACCAACCTCCCCACCTATTCAACCTCCCACCATGCTGCTCATCACCACCTTACTGCGCAGTGTACTCAGTCAGTAATATACACCTGTTTATTTTGAGAGAAAGCTAATATCCTGTAGCTGCAATCTATCATATACGTTGCACATTCTACGAGGTGTGCAGCGGATGCCGAAAACCGATCTTGACTCTTGATTTTGTATACTTGGTCTGGAATAATAGTCTTTTTGTGGTCCCACAGAATATTGCACCCCCTTCGGAACTTTGGTTCCAGATCCCTATGGACAGTCAAACCACTATCATTGGTGTCCATAGCGCCCCATTTTGCTGCCTCTCAACGGGTGAACAGGCGCGTGTATTAGTCGAAGTGATAACACATCTAGCAAAGACTACTGAGTTTTCAAATGCTCATATATGGCTACTGCCTCATCCTGTTCATAAAACCACCACAAGCAATCAAGATGAGAAGTTCGACGGTGTTATCGTATCCCTTAAGTATAAACGGCATCGGGTCAGTCTTTTGGCAACAACCTTTACTTGTTCACAGCATGAGTAAGTGAACCGGCAGTCTCTAATCACTGTCTCTTTTAATAATTTTGTCTTAGGGAATTTATCTTATCTCCTGATTTAGGAAAGTTCTTGTCACAGATACTTGTTGATTCTGGTGGGCCGCCTGCCTAGCGATCCAAAGGGGGCTCCCGAAGACTTTCGTCAGATGCTGCAGCTCCTAGAATAACAGCGCTGACTATCGACGGACGACATAGAACAAAGGGGTGTCGTTGCTTGGTTTTTTCATGTAATACCACAAGTCACTTCTTACAAACCGTAAACTTGACACCTCCTTCGTGATTCTGTAAGCGATCTTTATTAACGTGATCGATCGGATATAGTCAGGGATAGGCCGAGTCGCTATATATGAATCAAGCACGCCTCGCGCCAGGATACGACTGGCTCTGTCTATATTTTATAGCCTTCGCGATGGTGATATACACTTACTAAGATGAGTGGCGGACAATCAGTGCTACCACGTGTCTAGAATATCCCTGACACATGACCCCTCACTACGCACGTGGCCGTGAATTATGAAAAAACTCCTTGAATTGAATGAACGCGAATCAGATTCTTTTAAATTCAACGATCTGAATGAAAATCTGGCTCTTCAAAGTCGTCAATTTCATGAACTTTATAGTAAAATTAGACTGAACTAAACTAAATTGAGCTAAAAAGGTGCCGAAATAAACTCCCCGGACTAATTGCAACACCCTTCAAAATATTCATGAAGAGCTTGAATTAGCTACCGTAGTTCAGTCTAAATAAAATTCATTTCAAGACTTCAAGATACTCAACTTCATATCACAGCCCTACGAAAACGGATAAGAGTTGAATTTTGATGATAACCGTGACTGAGACGGTGGTCATCCGTTTAGGTGTGGGCTTCTGACTTTTAAATATGCCCACTAGTGTGGCTTCTTGTGAGACTATTGCCTCGTTATAGCTGCCACTCTCTCATATTCATACCGGGCACAGAGCTTTGCATGATCTTTCCGTATTCTGATCTAACCTTCAAGCACGACAATATCAAGAACCATCAGGAAACATCCAAAGCACAACCTCAACTCGGCCCAGCATCCCCATGATACAACATCAACCGAGCTTTGCACGACCCTCACTGCCAGACCTCCAACTTCTCTATTTTCTCCACCACAGATCCCGGGACGACGAAATGATCAGGACGCAATAATTCCCCATTTAATATACGTCCAAGATGACTACTCGCGAATGCCTGCCCCTTTCGACGCATAGCGAAGACGGCGCGAAGATAAGGGATGGGTGTTCGCGTGAAATTGCAAAGATGGGCCATCTTGGAGTAAAGGAATTTGCGATGGGCAGGGGTGATAAATCTGATAGGTCGATGTTAGCTTCATTCCTCATCCCGGTTATTTTTACCAGGCCCAGGACAACTAATAACTTACCCATCGGAAGCGACTTTGACATTTTCAGGAGGAGCCTGGTTACACAAGCCTAGGAAACCGCAAACTTCTAGATATTCCTCAGAGTTCTGGAGGTACAGCTGACCAGCAAACAGAGTCAGCTGAACCCCGATTGACGGAGCAGTCCACTCCGCTGGCAGAGCAGGGATCGCGCAGAACTTGAGGTCTTCCAGAGTACAATTCATCAAGCTGAGTCTGGGTGCATAGATGTGTAGGGTGACATTCGCGTTGCGTCGGATGATGGGGAGAAGTTCGTTGGCTTCGTATGGACTGACGATCACACATGGTGTGTCCTTGCAAGCGGGGCGTTTGGTGAGAATCCAATGAACTGCACACAATCAGCAATGTGCTTTCCCGTTGTCATAGGGATTCTAGTGACTTTGCACTAGATCTCTGAAATTGAAACCCACCTGGGCGAAGATAATGGTCTAATTTCTCAGCTCGATCCACAGTCTGGGCAAAGTCTGCTGTTACAAGGAGATCTTGGGGCCCTTATTTCCCCATGACATTAGTATAAGAAGAATCGTAGGACTCTGACTGTGAGACTTACAGGCAGGGAATTCGAACAGATCTCCAGCGCTTGTATTGAGAAGCGATGCGAATGCCGATCTGAAAGCAGATGAAAACCTACTAATGGCGCCTGTGGTAGCGAAATCCCGGACATCTTTGTGGACCAGATGAGGTTGTGGGGGCAGTCGGTTTGGGCGCTCGACCTGCTGCTCTCTCTCATTCTCGGGTTGTAGTTCGCGCTCCTGCTCTTCTTGCAGATTTACGCCGCGGAAGGAGTCGAGGCCGAATTCCCAACACTTGTCGCGAATAGCATTAAGTTCACCTTGGAATGGCGAAAGGAGGGGGTTCCCGACGTTTTCATTAATAATAGCTTGCTCATGAGATTTGTCACCTCCGGGTCCATAACGTTGCTCGAGTGTTTGGGCTTCTGCTTCGAGGATCGAAGAAGGGTCTGTTGGAAGACCAGAAAGGGTGGCGCATGCCGCACGCCGTTTGTAGTGGCGCACACCTTGAGCTACCCAAAGTGGAAGAGACTTCTTGGTATATTGCCACTGATAAGGTCAGTCAATTGTTTTTCAAGTGTGCCAATCTCATGAAACGAAACCATTGTTAGAGTCGGAGTTGAGAACTGAAAAAGCGCATACATACCGTGTTTGAGATGCAGTAGATGAGGATGTCTGACACCTCAATGACATCTCCGGCCGTCTTGCCACAACATTGAAGAATCTTCATTTGAATTTCCATAGATGAGCAGAATACGACTGATTGGCCCTTGCCCAACTTCCGAAGTCGCATACATGCTGCGATATTACCTGTTAGTATTGTACATAAGTCCTTGGTAAGGTTCAGTACGTACCTTGAGCAAGTCGGTCCTTGGTAAGATCAGGTCCCAGAGTTACTATAGCGCGGTAATTTGATGGCATCTTCAAATCTGTACCACGTGTGTGGGCCTCATCCCTTTTCAATAACAGTCAAAAAGCGCCTTCGAGCGGTGTATCGGACACTGATGGGGAGTATGCATGATAGGCCATAGTGTGATACTTACAGGTAAACAAGACAACGATCGATAAGCTTGGCAAACGGAGATATCTGCAGTGGTTCCGTCAAGCCAGTACGACTGACAACACAGATCTCGTTGCGCTCATCCACGTAGATAGCAGCCTGGGCATCAGAAGGGGGCACAATACTCAGCCATTTCCGGGCAACCTCTATACGCACAAGTTAGCAGGTGCATTTGAACTTAAAGTACATCCTCTGCGGCATGCTCAAAGTACAACGAACACATGGTTTCTTCAGGAAAGGCAACTTACCTTCATTTTCAAGCTCCAAGACTTGCGCGCCCACGTCAAGTATTACCCGAACAGGCGGGTTGGAAGCAACAGCCATGTCAAGGAGAACTGCTGCATCGAGCACACCTTTACCATTGGAAAGAGTGGAATCTACAGAGTTCTCGGGTCTCAAGAGGCAGTCTAGAACCTCCGCATTCGTATGTAACTGCTGAGGAAGGTCCGACTGCTTAATTGAAACCGGCAAGACGTACTTGCTATCATTCGTGCCACTGAATCCCGTGGTAGGATGGTTCTTGTCTCTCCCAATCTCCCAGCCGGATGAAGATAGCTTGTGAACAAACTCTTTCATCTCTTTAGGAAATACAAGTTGAGACATGTAGAAATCAATGAGACCCTTTGAGAACCTCAACAGTGGGAAGAGCAGTCGAGTACATTGCGTGGCGTTGCTCAAATTTATACCATTGAGTTGCATGAAGCCAGTGGGCATGTTAGGGACGAATTTGATCCACTCTTGATACTGCTCCTGGGGGTGGTCTGATTGAAGCAACTAATACAAGAGAAGTCAGTAAACACATGTCAAAACTCATTTCAAACAGTCCACAACCCTTAGAAGAATAGGAATGTGCTCGTGGAAAGTGTAGGGTATACCTCTTGAAAAGCTGCATAGATCTCCTTGTTACTTAGACCTCCATAGTAGTACGATAGACAAGATAGCACAATGGTGGTATCTGGGTGAGCAAATTCGGCTCGCGCAGAGGGACTGTCCTTCGCCTGGTAGGGGACAGCCAGCCGAGTGCGGACCAAATGCAAACCATAATTGACTCTCCATCTCTTCTGAGCAAAGGCAAAGTTAAGTACGCCACCAGTGAAAAGTCCACGAAGTAGGAGAAGCGATGACTTCATAGGTTCGGCATCGAGAACTGTTTCCTGGAGTGGTTGTAACTCAACATCGCTGATGTGTGGATCAGTGATGAATTTGAACAAATCGTTCCGGGCTGATTTTGACAGGTTCCAAACGTTGATACGCGGCAATCCATTCTCACAGATTTCCCGAGCGGTAGCTGAAAGTAGTTCGGCTCCAGCATCTGGCTGCAGAATTCTGAGTCTTGGAAACCCATCGCCGGACTTTGCAGCTACGATTTCGAGGCCGTTGGGGAACTTCTGAGAAAAACCGCAATTCTGGGCGACGTTTGCCAATGTGTTAAGCACACACGGAATAATCTCCCAACGGTCGGGAGAGAACTCAGTCCCACGTTGTTCGCCCATCGTATAGATCTGAAAAGTTATAGTCAGCATTATTACATAACATATTCCAAGGATAGTCTCTACTCAGAGTATGATGATTTTGTCGTACATACCAATTCAAAGTTCACATTCAATATCTCGTCACTTTCATCGAGAATATCCCGCGAATTCTCAAGAAGCCACTCTAGAAAGAGCCAATGTCAGTAAATAGGCTATCAGGAGAAGTCGCGGTTACCAGCTACAATGTGGCGCGGAGATTGTAGGACTCAACTCACTTTGTGTGTTGATCATTGTAGACCCGATCTGCGTCAATGACGAAGTTTTACTTCGGGCGCTCGCATTCATGCCTCTTGAAAGTGCATAATCGAGACCTAGTAATTCGAATGACAGTATGTGTTCGGGCAGCACAAGAAGGATGCCACCAGATTTCGAGCAGCTGATATAGGTGTCCCGAATCTTAGTGGCGAGTTTGGGGGTGAGTTTGAGAGATCGAGATATTGGAACATAGTATATCTTCCTGTTGATCATACCACCGAGCTTGTTCTGCAAGAGGTGGAACATTTGGGTCGATAACGACTTCAGAACAACTACACGGATCAATTTCAATCCATCGGCCAGTTTCACTGCAACCATAGGAAGGACTACGGAGGATTTTCCCCGGCCCATATTAAATTGCATGATGCAGTTGGTTCCCGACGAAGGGGAGATCATATGACGGGCAATTTGAGCTTGCTCTTCCCGAATTAAGATGTCGTTTTCGAGTTCCAGCAGTAGCCAATCAGGTTGATCAAGGGGGTCCCATCCGACATGGCCAGGGTTTGCCAACTCTCCAAGGAGCTCCGCTGGGTCGCTTAAACATGCGTTCAATCTTTTCGCACGTTGAAGTGTAGTGATGGCCGTCCCATACTCAACGAATGCTGCTTTCCAGGCAGCCGGCAGCATCTTTGACTTGTTCCAAGCCAGATGCGATAGAATACTGGTTGGCGATAGTCGAGGTGACATTGATGCCTGGTGACAGAGAAAATGGCCAGCTGTTGGCGAGTGGCTAAGATCCCGACAGATGTTGCGATAAAGCTCAGCGACATATGCAGCCGATTTGCTTAAGTGCTGCCGTACCAGAGTTTCATTGTTTTGTGCAGTGGATATCGAATGATCATGATCAGCAGTGAAAGCAGCAAAACTCTTCTGAAGATCGCTGATGTAGTTGTTCTCATACCCGCCGCGGGCTTTCTCAGACAGACGGCTGAGGAGATTCTGCAAGTTGACACCGCGATGCGACGGGCTAGCTGCCGAGGAAGTTTTCTCAACATGGACTAGAAGAGGAGAGCAATTTTCTACACCAACTGTGCTCGGTGTCCCTCCCATGATGATGTTTTGGAAGCTGATGTATCTTTGACGGACAGATATAGCGGAAATGGGAGATTGGAATGAGTAGGTGGTTGCTGATGCTGGACTCGCTATCGTACATAGGACAGCCTCGAGATTTGTGATATATTCACGAAATTGGTGGTTTAAATGCCACTCCTTGAACTTCTTGACGACTTCTCCCTTCGCACCATCGGTGTTGACGTACATTTCGAGTCCATCTACAATCGCAGTTCTCCAATGAAGATTGGAGGTTGGCCACTGGCTGGTCAGTGTCTGGATAAACTGCTCGCATTTTTCGTCCGCGGCAGAAATGAAGGCATCTTCCCTACGGATGGCCGTTGCCAGATAAGTCTCTGTCTCAAGTGGAGGAAGTCGACTCTCCCAAGACTTTTGGAAGGGTTTGATGTTGCGCCCCAAGATTTCCATCAAGGTAGTAGTACTTGGAGCGTATCCATGACTGAGATTGATAGAATGACATTGAGGCATGCGAATTGTCGCGAGTTGTGGAACTGTTGCAAATGCAAGGAGAACTTGCACAATGTCCTGGTCGGCATTTGGCGAATATGCCAAAGTCGCGAAGAACAACATGAGCCGATATCTGTCGTTGGATACGTTGCATCCGATAAGCGTCTTTTGAATTGTATTCCAAGCTGCGGGCAGAAACTTAGATGCCGGATCAAGTAAGGCGTGGTCAAATCCCAGGCCTGGGAAAGACTGGTCATCTTTCCCAGAAAATGGCAAGCCCCATTCTTCGAATTTTGAAAGCAGACCCCGAACGGGCATTGAATTGACAGCCCAGCCATCAACCAGCTTTGAGACCGAACAAGCTTGGAATTCACGGGTAGAGTCTGCGATACTATCTCTAGCAGCGTAAACGTGGTCGTGTTGGGTGGTAAATTTCTCTGCGCCATACCCGTAGACTCGAATGTTGCTGAGTCGGATGCTGGCTCTTTCATACAGCTCTCTGAAGTTACGAGGATCAATTGCTGGTGCCTCCACGAAAACATCCTGCAACTCTTGAAGCGACAGGGCCTCCTGCTTCATCGTTTCAACAATCTGAAAAAACTTCTCGTGCTGTTGTAGACTGGGAAGTCTACTCCAACTCACAGTTTCCATGGTCCGAAGATGCGGCGGATAGTATCTCCTGATGGGAGAGAGAGAGCCAATCTTAACAAGCAATTGGGTTTCTAGTTTTCCAAAAGTAGAAAAGGATGTGGTCGATGCCTGGGTAAGTGAGTGAAGTGCTTCCTCTGTGCCAGTTCGACCGAGAAGGTTATCCGGCAGAGGATATGATGTTACAGCGTGGAGATAAACTCGAAACAGGCGGCTGTGCAGACTTCCGTTATCAACAAGGCGACCCAGTAGGCTATCGATATGGAACGGATGGTATGATATATGTCTCGCTGATCCCGTGTCGATGTGCACTCGAACATGGTCATCTTGCTTTGCAGAAAGAATTTCTCCATCTGGAACCAAGACAATCCGCGAGGATCCAAGAGCCTCGCGCAGTACCAATTTCGTGACCAGGCCTGTCAAAGATCCAAATGTTTGACTCCGGTCAATGAACATGCCGCGGAACTGCTTCGATTCCAAAAACGAGCTTCCCTGCTCGATGGTGAAGTCCAGGTTCATTCTAGGGATATGAACTTCAATTTTGGATGTCCCAGTAAGCACCACATGAATGTGTTGCTCCGCTTCGAGCGTATTCAAAACTTGATGAATTGCTTGCACGATAGGACTCCGCATTTCCATCAACTTGCGGTTGCTTTGCGAAAGAATGAATGGATCGGATCTCTTCGTTTCAGTACGCCAATTGTCAGGAGATGTGCTCCAAGGGGTACCAATAGGTCTCAATTCGATAGAGCCTGAGCTATGGTCGAACCAGTGGGCATAATCTTCGATGAAAGCTTGAGGAACATCGCCATGCAAAGCCCGGAGTGGCAATAACTCAAAGTCCGACCCATCTTTGCACGCACGAATGATGAGTTCCGAGCCATGATAATGGAAGTGAACTTGGTATCCAAATATCTCGCGGCGGGATGCGAAAGTCATGCCTACTATTTGGGAAGGAACGACTTCCAGAATTCTCCCACCAAATATGCGCTGATAAGTGGCGTGGGACTCGTATTGGCGAGGAAGTCGTGTCAGGGGAACTCCATTGACGAGAAAGTCGCCATCCAGAACGTTGAAGTGTACAGTCATCCCAGCCCTATTGCGTTGAGCAGATGTCTGAGTGAATACCCATCGATCATTTGGAGAGCTCCTACAATTATGATTGTTAGTGGAAGTCTTTCCTCTGTGATTGAAGATCGACGCCAGAATCTGAGTATGAAGGGGTGAACAAAACTCACAATGCAGTCCACTTTCCAGAAGGCTCATACCCAGACCACAGATGGCGGATAGCAATATCGATTCCACTGGAGTCGGTCAAGATCCGTCCTCGTAATGTCTCTTCGATGTATCGAGAGCAACGGACAAATTGAGCCATACGGGCAGCCATAGACGCATCGCGGCTTTCATTTACTGCTGAACATCTGTCATATATGGTGACGGCGGATTCGACCGCGATGGAAACGTTTTGTGCCGATGAGAATATGCTGGCTAGGTGACATTCGTCGGTGTCGAAAGTTGCATAGCAGGTCAGTGCCAAATCGAGAATGCGTGCCGCCATTCTTTTCTGCTGTTCTTCTCCATCGCTAGTGTGTAGCAATTCGGTGACATCTTGGATCCATCCAACTATGACCTTTCTTGCACGATCAAGGAATTTGAGGCATCGACTACGCACAAAGATATGCGGGGACAACGACAAGAGACGTGTCGTTAGACCAGTGAAAGTGCGAACTGCAGTAGCGCCCTAACAGAGTATCAGCATTCGTCGCCCTCAGAGTCCCAAGAGCCAGGAGAGATGTCATAACAGTGAGGTCGGTACATGCCACCTGAGTATCCTGATCTTGAAAATCTGGTGAAGGGAATATACTAACCTGCCAATTGCTCTCGACAATTCCTAGACCATCTTCGATTGCCGAAAGTAAAGACAGTCCAAAGTCCTCTTCTACCAAATCAACATGGGAGTCTCTCGTGAATGCCAGACCGCTGGGACCTGCTTCATATGCTGCTTCCATTACCAACAGGTGTGTTTCGATATGATTAAAGTTCAGAACACGCGAAACCAGCTCCCGGGAGATATTTCGCCACTGAAGTCTATGGCCGGCTCGCAAGGTCGAGAAAGAATAGAGCTCATGTAAGGTGATTGATCCCGGGCATTCATCCTGATTTGCGATAATGCTGTTGGATGTGTGCTGAGTTCCATCTAAAACGTACTGCAGAGACTTGTAGTTTCCTGGGGGCAGCTTCAGAGTGCAAGTACGTCCTAGGGAATGTTTCCCGAGGATTTCACAGGTCCAAACACAAGCACCTGAGTCGTACATGATACAACGTAATCCGTTCTCCACACATACAGTGGATTGGGTTGCGACATTAAAACGCTGTTTGCCGTAGTGTGATCTGGAAACCTCCTTCTGTATTACATTTAGAACATATTTGCACTGTATTTAGAGCCCGTTGGAGATGAAACTCGAAACGAAATGAAAAGTGTACCAAAGTCGCGAGATAGACAAAGGACTTACGACTGAAGATGCCAGCTGAATTCGTCCGGGTTTGGTCTTGATCCATTTCTGGATACCTTCAGATTTGAGCAACATGTACTTCCCATCTGAATGGGCTGATTTGGCAGTATCAGCTGTGAAAAGGTCAACAAGAACCGCATAGGTAGATTCTCTCCCTTAAAGATGGACGTCTGTTAGCATTACCAGATACACAGAAGCAATGGGCGAAATCAGTGACTTACAGATCGAAACTATGTCAGGGACGTCAAGCTCGAATACAGCAGCCTTGGCTTCAGTACTAGCGGAAGGCAGAGGCCATTCATGCACAGTGATCATCATGTTTGCAGCAGTGCTTTTGAGAGAGCATTTACTGCATTTAGAAGCAACATGTTGTTCTTCAATTCTCCTATTCCTACGTCCGCCTACAGTGACGGACGTAGTTGAGCATGTCTTGGAATTGGATTGCCTCATGAGGTTCTCGTACTATTTCAAAACATCAGCACGTGCCGCTACCGAATAAAGATAGGTGTAGAGTGGAGAGATGCTCAATTCGATTCGTGAGTATTTTTAAGCTGGACTTACTACAGCTTTCTGCTTCGCAAATTCCCGAAGCTTTCTCTCTCGATCTTCAGCGGCAGCCGCTTCAATTTCAAGCTTCAATTGTTGATGCTCAGGCGATTGGTCAAAAAATGCCACCGCAAAGCTTCTTGTTGTATTGCCTTCATGGAATACCAGCGGGTAGCCTTGCTCAGCTTCATCTCGTCTCAACAATAGATATTGCTCAATGTAGAACAATCGACGCATGTCTTGTTCCTTAGCCAAGAGCAGTCGGTCGAAGATGGAAGACGGAAAACCTGTGGGGTACTTTCTGAAAAGTGGCTCCGCAGATATTGTACATTTATCAAGCGCAACCCACATATCCATAATGGTCAGTACCATGATAGAAAAGCTCTGGGGGTCATCTCTGTACACTTTTTTGGCAACTTCAAAGTACACAGACATGAGAGTCGCAAGATTTCTGCATGTGGTCGTCGATGGCGTGTGAACGAGATTGAGGGATATCCACGTTTGCAAATGGTCATTCACCCAGGCTTCCAGATCAAGTAGCCATAAGTTGTAAGATCCAGCATCTGTGTGAATAGCGCAGGCTGTTGGCAGTGTTGACGCCTCTTGCAGTATTCTATCTTCGTAGGTGGGAAGCGATGGCCGGTCATCAGACGCGTTCAGAAGGCGTCGATCGATTTTCTCAAGGTATTTACAAAGTGCCCGAAATTGTAGATGAGTGTCGGAAGCTTGGCGGAGACTTTGCAGGTCTAGATTCTCGTAGATCTTTATATGTGGAGTGTTCTGAACATCGTTCCATCTTTTCAGCAGCTCGTTTCGTGCCGCGTGCATCGAGAGCTTTACAACATCCAGCCAAGGCATTTTATCTGCGGACGATCCAAGCTTCAGCATACGTCGACTGATCTTCGCCGTTATAATGAACAAGAGTTCCCCAGAGATCGACTCTCGCATAGCACGGTCCAAGACATTCGTAAACAGAAGCACCATGAACATCTTATAATGTGTGGAACGACCTTGATCTTCATCTTTCTTCTTCAGGCTTGTCTGCAGAGCGACTCGGAGCAGTAGCCAACGAGGGGATCGACGCCAAGGAGCAAGAGCGTTATGCCAAAGAACTTCGTCTCTCGTGTGCTTCTGGATTCTTGTGACATCGTGTGGCTGTCCAACAGAGCGTAGAAAGCCCGTGAGCATCTCCGTAACATACTGTGGGCTGGCTGTTTGTCGACACTCTACAAAATCCAAACTACTATATATTAGCTAGAGCTGTCTCTCTGAAGCAAATAACTTACCCGGCCTTTTGAGACGTTGGACAGGCGTCTTCCACAACTTGGTCGCTCAACTGAAGGACACACTGAGCAAATGCCTTTCTGAAGTTCACATCATTGACACGCTCATTCTTGACGGCGATCGCGGGGCCAGGGAAGCAGCGCACAAGGCGACCTTTCGTTGTTGTGACTTGGTCCGTGGTCGGCGAAAGCTCGAAGGACTCGAACACATATGCTTCATTCTCTCTTCGGATTATCAAACCAGCATTTTGGGCTCGAATGTGAAGAACGAGCACACCTAAGAAGCCTATCAGCACTGTTAGATGTGATGATATCGACGACATACCGCTAGATAGCATTGATCCCATGGACTGGACCAATCGCGCCTCTGTTAAGGTTCCTTCCTGTTCCAGGAGCAAGTCTGGAATGGATATGAGAGCTTTCCAGCCGGTTTCAGGAGGTGCACGGGCAGCAGCAGCCCTCAGCGTCTCTTGGAACAGCTCTGTTAGCATGTGGTCGTTACCCTCGGAGCTATCATCTTTCTGCGGGAGTTGAGGCGGCAAGAAACAATGATTGATTAGATAGTTGGTCGCCATGATGGTGATTTTGTCGAGATTGGATGCCCGACTTACGAAGTGATCGGGTTTGTGCGATGGTGAAAATGAAGCCTGGCGCAAGGGCGAGAGGACAAGACTCGGTTTGGATGAAGTAAGATAAAGTTGGGAAGAAGGGTCTCTTATGAAGGAAAGAAATGTGTTTACCTCGCTTAGCTTAAAACAAGATGGAGGCAGGCTATTTGTTCAGAAGACGGGAAGCCACATACGTTCACGTTCCTAGGCCTTCGTCAACTTGCCATCTCAATCAACGTAGGCTACATACAACCCAGACCCATCCCGATTCCGACTTTCAAAGAGTGCAAATAAGATGTTTGGGAGAAAAAAATGGTGCGACGAGCGTCCGCCTCCTCTATTCAAGCAGTTCATCAGAGTTCTCTACACAGACACCGCTAGAGAATTTGATAGAATAAGCACCAAAGAATCGCGACAAGAAAACAAGGAATTCGACAGGAGAACACGAGTCTCTCTATGCTAGTGAGCTCGGAGCAGCAGAGCTATTTTCGGTGTCAGCTTCAGATCTAGACAGGGACGACGATCCGAAGAACAAACGAATTTACATCTCAAGCACACCTACTAAGTTGTGATTTCTGCTAAACCAGTCTTCAACTAATTTGACACATTGAGGAAGTGTAATGTGACAGGTCAATCAATAGTGGCAAAACATGGAAGCCTTGGTTCAGCTGCAGCAAGAAGACTATTTCAAGCTCTTGTCAGAAGCTCCCCTCCCCTCCTCATCTCATCTAATTTAACGAAAGACAATGGTTCTCACTAATCGTAATGCTAGCGTCATGTATCATCCAGCATTCCAGTCCAGAACCAGAACCAGATGCCACCGAGCTAGCGTCTAATGTCTCATCCCACCATATCGTCAACCCTACATTCCGTCACCCCTTTTAGACTAGAACTCACAACTTTGAATGCCTAGTATAATTATCATTAATTGATGAAATAAGCTAAAAACAAAAACTTAGGCCTTACTTTGGTCTAGATTTTTCAAATAATGTCATGAGTTTTATCATTTCATATTAAGTGCTATTGTAAGTTAAGTATTTGAAGTTTAAAATTCTTCTCTGACACAAATTTTGCATATAAATTTTTCCTGTTTAACTAGTGCTTCAACAACGCTGTTCTGGTGTTAAAGTGTGGCGGAATGGTGGTTGGAAGGCTGGAACATGGCTGTCGCAGCCTTCTCGCAAGAAGGCTCGAAAAGCTGAACGCTGGATTTGATACGTGAAGTTGGAATGCACAGGTAGCGCGAAAAAGGAACATATGCTGTCAACAGTTCTCATCCGAGCTCAGGAATTTATTTTTCGATGCACTTTTTGCTGGGGTTCAATTGAAGGCGGAGATTTGCGAGAAAGGGCGCGTCTCCAGTCCTCCAATCAGGTACAAGTATGGGAGTACAGCATTTAAGTGTTGTCCCTGGTCGCCCAGGAAGGGTTGGCTCTTAATTGAACAGAGTGATATCCCAGAACGCACTATCTCTCTCACACCGAGTAGAACATCTATCTACTACCTTAAGGACCTCCGTCAAGTTGCCAGACCTATCAACTGCGACCAGGGACAGCACTTCGCGGCTGTATCTGAAGCAAACAGATATGAGATTTGTTAAATGATTAAAGGGTTTTAACTAAATCAATTGCATTTACTGAGACACCCACCTGCCAAAGATGTGCGGAACGATCCTTCTCTGCTACGTACGCTTCCGGGGCCGACCTCGAGCTTTCTTCCCTGTACCTTTCACACCAGCTTTCTGTCTAGTAATCGATCCTAGGCCGCCTCGCGTGAACCCACGTTGTGCTCGAATACGGGCCTCGAATTCATCCACCAACTCCTTTGCATGACCCAGCGAGTGCACAGGAAGTAATGTTGGGTGCCAATCCACCAAGTAATACGAAACGCCATCAAGGTCCTCTTTACCAATAATCTCACGGACGTCCCAGTCCGGGTCGACATCGGTAAGCATTGGGCAGACTTCGACTTCTGCTAGGGAAGTGGCTTCTAAAGCGGGGGTGCTTCTGGAAGAGCTCGTATGTCTGGCGTCGAGAGGAATGCTGAACGTCCCGTGATCCGCTTCACTATCCTGGTTATCGTCTGACACCGGCGGATATGACGGCGATGGGCTGCCACGAGAGACTTTCCAATGGCCTTGCGGAGTGGAAACCTTCCGCCGTTTAGAGCAGATCCCGATGGGTCTTGACTTGCTAGAATTGCTGACGAGTTCCCTGCTGCCTTCCTCATCTTCATCACGAGGAAGTATCGACGTGATAGAGTCAACTGGGGTGGAGGTGGAGGGAGGAGAGTTGGACCTCTGTCGTTTCATAGTCTGGTGAGACATACTTTTATCGTTGCCGATACCACCATCCCCATCCTCGTAGGTCGCACGAATGGAGATGTTGGGTGGGTATTCCATATCACAGGTATCACAGCCTGGTTGTCCCCCTTCCCCAATGCAACGAGCATGTCCGGGATCGAGATTGTTATCCTCTTCCGACTCTTTATCGGAATGTGATATTATTGTGTCATCTGCAAACTCGTGAGCACATGTTTTGCGTATTCACACAGGGACCTCAGCTCGCTTACTGTGGGCATCAGCAGCTCGAGATACACGAGATCCAAGAAGAATAGCATCTAGATCTTGATTATTACCTTGCCCTACAGTGCCCTCCACAGCCGGTCGCTCTTCTGCCGATTCAAGCTTGTAGTTTGTTGAAGACAGTAACTGTGACGAAGATGGAAATTTGTAATCGATCTCGTTCCCGAACCCATCCCTCTCTGCTATCAAGGCTTTTATAGGGTCAGACGAATATAGTAGCTAGAGTGAGATAATTTGACATACCTTCAGTTCCAAGTACATCTTCCGTACAAGTCTGTGCACCTTGGATTGTGGCCACCCAATCTCCAACAACCTTCTGACACCATTTATCCTCGCCTGCAGCTCCTTTCAACGCCGGGAGTGCTTCGACTGGTACGCTGCTCGAGTCAATCGCCAATTCCTGGCCGCGTTTGGAGGATGGTTTCCGAACGCCACTATTCGATGGTTTTGGTTCGTAATGAACAAAAGCAAAGGCAACCATGTTTAGGATAGAGTACTTCCGAGATCAATCCGATTACTGAATGAAGATTGCAAAATGGACAGACCATGAAGAGGCGCATTGGGGGGATCTGTACACCTTTTAAATTGCGGACTCTCAGGACCTACTCTATAAGCTACATCTGCCCTCCTTCTTTGCTGCTCCACTACCTCAGTGCCATCCTTTTCATGGTAATGCCCCACTCCTGCGTGTTCGCGACTTGAATCCATGTCTCGATCGGTGGGAGGGCTAGAAATACCGATAGGTCAACAGGAAGACCATTTCGAGAATCTGCTTCGTATCAGGACATTAGTGTCTAGCGTCTTTCATACGAACTACAAAGCATCTGAGGGCCGCCCAAGCGGGCCATGAGACGTCATGCTGTGTAGCGCAGAGGGACAACTGGGCATCAGAGACCCCTTGAACATCCCCTGGATCATCTTAGCTGGCAAGAAAGCGCGTTTGCTCCGGCGCGACCCACTCGAAGCTGGTTCAGACAGCTTCCCCCTGGACCATTCCAGCTGGCTAATGCGTCACCCGTGCCATGCCCAGATGCCGACACGTAAGTTCAGTACTGTGAGTCTCCAAATCAGGGATTGTTTGCCGAGTACGGAAATCGAGGGTTTTCCGGACCAGGCGTCCCCAAAATCTGATGGGTAATCATATGCGTAGCTGACTTGGCCAGCCTCGCTCTGACTGCTCCATCCCCCGGTGTCGCCGCGCTTCCACCTGAGCTTGGATTTTTCCGTTCGTATGAGGTTGCTGTACGGAAAAGTGTAGCCTGCCTTGAGCCCTCCTCTTCCTTCTCACAGAACTCTTGAATCCTGACAAAGAGCGAAACCTTCGTAGGATCTGGCGGACACCAGATACTCAGGTGATTCAGTAAAAGGAGGAGGCGATGACCGGGAAGAATGCTGTGCTGACGAAAAGTGGCTTGCAATCATCGACCGTAGATCTATTCTCGGTGAATGGGAAGCACTGCCGCAGGAGTGTACGCGTGGCAGAGCGTCGGCAGCTCCGAAACGATCTGGGGTAGTAGAGTAGAGTCAGTTCAAGGCAGATTCTTGACAGTGACGCCAGCGAGAGCACATTGAGGGGCACTTCGAATGGGGACCAGCAAATCAGAGCGCAGGCCTGGTCTGGTGAGGGAATTGGAGGCGTGGTGCAGGTGTTAGGGCTGGCTCGTGAGCCATGGGATGGTCGCGAAGGTCTGATGGCCAGGGCGACATGTGGCCAGCGCATTAGAACTTGGTGAGGGACGAGAGAAGTTGAAGTTGGAAACAGCACTGGATTTATACACGAGGTGGGGTCTCAAGGGGAGCTAACAGGGGTCGAGACCACTCGATCCGGTCGTCTCAGAGCAGCATGAGCACTAGAGCAGCCAGGCCTTTAAGCGAGAGATTCCCTGTTCAGGAAATCCCGGTTTCCTGATGCAGAATCACCGACACGCAGAATATTATTATTATTATTATTATTATTATTATTATTATTTAGATTTATTTCTATATATGACTCGGAGGTATTAGCTTTAGATTTTTTTATAAATCGATTATCTAGTATTTTTATATCTCTAACCCATAGTGTCTTTTTATCTATAATATCATATACTTTATATATAGGATAATTAAATCCGATTAATATAGCTTTATTTGCTTTTGGTTCTAGTTTTATAATATAATTCTTTTTAACTTTATAAAAGCATATAGAGCCAAAGGTTTTAATATAGTCGATATTAGGTTTTTTATTAAATCTTAGTTCATATAGTGTTTTATAGTTAATTGCTAAGTGAGGGGTTCTATTATATAAAAAAGTAGCTGTAATAGCTGCTTCCCCCCAGAATATATTAGGTAAATTCGTATACACTAGTAAACATCTTACTTTATTAAGTATAGTTCTATTTATACGCTCTATAGCACTATTTAGTTCTTTTGTATAAGCAGGTGCTAATTGGTGAGTTATACCATGTTTTATTAAATATTCTTTAAACTTATTATTAATATATTCCCCTCCGTTATCAATTACAAATATACTTATACGCTTATTATTATTATTAATTTCATTTTTAGCTTTATATTCTATAAAAGCTTATAAAGCATTATATTTATTACGTAAAAGTTTTATTTCTAAGTATTTACTATAGAAATCTAAGAATATTATAATATATCTATTATTATCATATGTTATAAGTGTAATAGGACCACATAAGTCACTAGCTACTTTTTCAAGTAAATTAAAGCTTTTATTACTAATAATTTTATTAATTTTATTTATGAATTTACTTTATAAACAGATTTCACAGTTTATAATTTAATTATTTATTATATTATTTGATATAATATTAGTATATCCATATATTTAAGTAATTATTTTATCTAAGTATATTAGGCTTATATAGCCTAGTTTTATATGTAAATCCATTTTATTTATACTCTTATTCTCAGTTATTATTAGTATATTATTTATATACAGTACTATATCTAATATATATAAGCCATTTACTTTTAATCCTTTTATTATTAGTTTATTTGTTTTATTATTTTTAATATATATATATGAATTATTAAATATACTATAATATTGTTTATTTAGTTGACTTTAACTTATTAAATTAATTCCTAGTTCAGGCATATAAAGACAGTCTTATAGTTTATATATTTTATTATTTATACTTAATTTTATAAGGATATCTCTATATCCTTTAACTGTTATTTGTTTAGCGTTCCCTTAATTTACTAAGTTATTACATTTTTTAAAGATACTAAAATACTATAAATTATAATATATATGTTTAGTAGCAGTAGTATCAAGTGCAAATATTTAATTTTAACTATATACACTTATTTTTCCAATCCCGTGACTATTTACAAAATTTAAGTTAGAGCCTATATTATTTATATTAGTGTTTTTATTAGTATTTTCAAGAGGTATAGTTATAAATACCTGAATATCCTCTATAAGATCTAAATTAAAGTCAGAGAAGTTAATAGCACTTGAAGTACTATATAAGATATCTATATTTTCATCTCTTTGATCACGTGCAGTTTTCTCTGTAATAAGAGGTTTATCACCTGATTTATCCTCCCCCGGCTTCTTCTACCCCTTCGGAGCTTTCTCGGGGAAAAGAAAAGTATAATTTAAGGTTATATAGCTATATTGTTTACAATTAGTGTAATACTTCTTATTAGCACCTTTTGTAATTTTATAGGGTTTTTTCCTTTTATAGCCACTTCCAGTTATAAGTACCTGATCAGTATTAGCTCCATTTAATTCCTAACGTTTTAATTTATCTAATAAATTAGAGAATAAGGATTCTAAGTTATAAGAGTTACTATTAGTCCGTAAAGACTAAGTTATATTAGCTACTAGGCCTTCATAGCTCTCGCTTAAGTTATTAAGCACCTAAGCGATTATTACCTATTTAGGCAACTTAAGGTTCTTAGCTTTTAGCTGATCGCTTAGCTGTTTTACCTTATTTAAGTACTTCTCCATAGAGTTATACTTTAATAGGTGAGTATTAAAGAACTCTTAGTATATTAGGAACTCAGAACTAAACCCTTTTAAGGAATATAGGTTCTTAAGAGATTCCTAAGCCTTATTAGCTCGCTTAATATATTATATTTACAAAAGGGGGCCATCCTCTATAAGTAATTGGATATTAGAGAGAGCTTTATTATTTGTATCTTCACTTACTTTATTAGTCGCTGTAATAGCGTTTAAAGCTTCCTTAGTAAGGAAAGCTTGCATACGAAGAGCCTAAATAGGGTAATTAGCCGAGCCGCTAAGCTTAGCTATAGTGATTTTCTCGGTAGACATCTTTATAGTATGTTAGTTTATTTTTCAACGAGTATTTAGAAGGTTATTAACTTAACTTTGGAACTATAAGGGTATTTATTTATCTAAAAAGTCTAAATTTTTACTTATTAGTTATAAGGTATATAAAGAGTATTTATACTAAGTTTCAAGGGAAAATACCTTTTATTTATCTGGAAACGTTTGAAGTGTTGATTTAAGCGAGCTTAAGCGAGCTAACAAGTCGCTTAGGGGTATCAGAGGTATTAAAGGAGATATCAGCGAATATATCGGGTTTTTATTAACTGAATTTCCTTAAGTTTTTTTATTATTAGTTATTTGTTTTTCAAAGTCTAGTTATTAAAAGTTTGAGAGTAAAATACCTTATAGTTCTTAAGAAACTTTGAAGTGTTATATAAAGACTTTAAAAAGTCGTTTATTTCTAGTATATTAAGTTATTTTTATAAGTATCAGATATCAGGGGTTATATATACCTTACTTATCAGATCAACTAATAAATATAGAGAGAAAGGTGTATTTATAGGTATAAAAAGAATTAAGAGGTATTTTAAGGATTAAGGATAAAAGGTATTAACAAGTAGAATTCAACTCGAACTAGTCGGTAGAATTCAAAAACAAAGAATATAAGTGATACTCTAAGCGAGAGAGTGTAATTAAGGTAAAATAGAAGCTCCTGATTAGTTGATTCAAGGTAAAATAGAAGAAGTTGCTATCAGAGTCTTTATTACGAACCCCTTAGCGCTACAGTTCAGTTAGCACCTATATAATAATAAAATCATTAGTAGTACTATAAGGGTATTAGTACTAATAAGGGAGTAGTACTATCGATAGGGTAATACTAGCTAGGGAATAATATAAGATAAACGAATAGTACTACTATATACTCACGCTTTAGTAGTAATAATTACTTAGATTATAGTAGATAATAAGTCACGTGATAGATCCCTGGATCCCTGGATCCTCTTATAGGAAAACAGATCTAAGGATCTAAGGATCTAGTATCCTAAGGGATCTAAGGCGAATAAAGGTTCTATATAAGACTAATATATCTACTATTAGATAAGAGCTTCGTGCTTAACTTTAAATAGTATTTTAATACTTAGTAACTATCTTCCTATCTATATAATATACCTACCTCTTAATTATTAGAGATTAACTATAGCTTTCTGTATTTATAGCGAGTAAATACCGGACTATTACACTTTAAGTACCTTCTTATTAGAAGTACTAACTCACGAAGATAATATATCCTCTATTAAAGAATTATCGAATAACTACTCGACTTCTACTAAGGTCTTCGACCTAAAGAATATACCTAAGATCACTACCCTGGATCTTTATAATAAAGACTGATCTAAGCTTAGAGTATATCTTACGTAGGTTAAGCTCTATATAGGCTTTAATAGTTACTAGTTCGCTATAGAGACTAATAAAGTCCTTTAAGCTTTATCTTTTCTCTAGGGATCTACTTTTAACTAGATTAAGACCTTCCTCTTAGATTATATTTAGAACTAAACTAAGGATAGGAGAGTCTCTATAGTAATAACTAAGGAATCCTAGAAGATCTTTATAACTTTTGAAGGTTTTAAGTATAAGATTAATTATATCTTTAGCGATATTAATTAGAACTATACTACTGAACGGAATATCTAGAACTTAAAGCAGGTTAGGTTAGTAATTATATATACTACCGCCTTCTAGTAATTTACGAATCAGATTAGCTGGAATAATAACGCTCTTCGGGTATAGTACTATAAGGGGTTAAAGGATAGAGTAAAAGATAAGATAGTAAGATTAGACACGCTTACTAACTTATAAGAACTTATTGAAATAACTATTAAGATTAATAACTAAAACTATAAGAGGGCACTTAAGAGGAAAGGCTAATACCGCTCTGGAATATATATATACTAAGGAAAAGGAGGTAATAATAAGAAACTATTCTACCCTTAGGAAATAGAACTTAATATAACGTTTTAGAAGCTAAGTTATTAAGGAAAGCTATATAATAGCGGGTTATCTAAGAAAGTTATGAGTAAGTGATAAGAAAAGAAGCTATACTTTAAATATAGCCTCCCTAGTTATATGGCTAGCTCTTATTAATAAAAGAAGTTGTAGATAGATAAGAAATATACTAATGTAATAGGATATAGCTCTTATAATAAACTAATATAATAACTCGCCGCGATATATTAATATATAACTATAAACGAGCTCGAGGAGAATCATATCTATACTTAGTTAAGTGATTTTAACGATAGTAAGTGAGATTCCGTAGGTATTATAGATTAGCTCGAGTAGACCGTTGTTAGTACGCCCCCTGAGAACTATATATATTAAGGTAATAACAGCTCTAGACTAGACGACGATATAAAGCTAATACTAAGTAATAGCGAGGAAGAAGCCTAGGAGCTAGAGTAGACTCCGGAACTAGGGCTA